ATCGGCAATGGCGGACTCCCTCCGAACTGGAGGGACCAGCTCCGCATGAAACGGGTCTTTTCCGCTCCGGCGAAGCAGGGACCCTTCTGGAAATCACAGGTGGATGAAGCCTGTGACCGTGGGACTCGGCGGGCACCCTTAGCGCCCCCCCCAACCCGCAAAGGAACCCACAAACGGGCTCCGAAGCGAAGAGGGGGAAGTGGCGCGGTGCTGTGAGTCAATTGCTTTTCCTGCGGAGCGAAGCCGCATAGCCGTTGCCGGAGAGCGCTGCCTTTCTCCTGGGACAATTTGGCATCTAAAATAACCAACCGTGAGTACTGGAACATTGAATATCTGGACTTTAAATAAGAACTGGAGAAATAGAAAGGAATTTGGACTTAAAAATTTACCCTAATTAGGTACTGAAACGGAAAGGTTTAAACAGGAAGTCAGCCTTCCGTTTCCCTGTAGCCAGAACAAAGCAAAGACAACGCAAACTAGAGCTTTAAAAATCACTCTTAAAGGATTGACTTTCATCATTTAAAATCGCTGAATCCCCCTTCGGTAGCAGGAGAAGAAGGGGGAGCTTTTTTCGAGCTGTTTAAACCTGCAGAAGTGAATCTAAAGCAAAGTAATTTTCCACCGTCCTGATCCTGGAGCGGGGTGTCAGAATTGACGTTTGAAGCTCACTGACCAGAAACAAATGTCTTTGACAGATAGTTAAAAGAAGAGAAACATAGTGACTCCATTGCTCCCTTTCGCATCTTAAAAGAACAAATATGGACAAAATATCTTAAAAAAGAAACTTTGTTGCTATTGTTTTTAAAAGAAAGAACAATCAGAAGAGTTCCCCCTAGAGGGGGACTGTGAAATTGTAACTAATCCCTGGGAGCTTGCAGCTGTCACTGATTACAACCGTGGGAAAGGGTTTGTGACCTTGCAGGACAATGTCTGCAGAAGCACTGTTGGGTGCTTTCTGCAAAATAAATGCCCTATTGGATCAGTTAAGCCAGAAGACGGATTTGATGACAAATGCGGCCAGAACCTTTGAACAGGTAGTGGGAAACTATATGGAGCCCACCCAGGAACTAAAACAGGAGCGTGCCATGACAGAACAGCTGAGAGATGAGGATTCTGCTGAATCTTGGGCGCCAGAGACGGAAGGAGCTGCGGCCCAGCAGGAATATAAATTTTTGGATTTGACAAATGAACTTGGAAAAGACCAGACTTGGAAAGAAAAAATTTGGTTTGGTTTGGAAATGGGGGGGTGGATAGACCCCCCTATACAGGGAGATTTGGACTTTTCGAGTCTGGAAAGGGGCCGTCAGATGTCTGGAGCAGTGGGGGCTTTCAACTTTGAAGGAAATCTGGAACATGTTTTTAAATACTACATCGAGTCTAGTCTGGACTATGGAAAAGGGTCAAAAACATTACCAAGCTGGAGTTCCCACGAATAAAAGGAAAATATGAAGAAGAGCGGTGGAAGGGACATGGAAGAGACTTGAGGGCCTCAGATATAAGATTGCCAGGTTAATGTGCCAGATTAATAGGACAAAAAGGACTGACAAAACCCAGGACCAGGAGGAAGGGACGCTGGAGGAAGTTTGGATTGCTTAAGTTTCTATTTCTATCATTAGGACTGTTTTACAAAATTGATGAATGTTAGGAAAATGTTGAAATGAAATTATTTGGCTCTTATAAAAATGTTTAAAGAATTAGGTAAGAATGTTATGGTTAGGAGAAGTTGGTAAAAATTAAGATTTAAGTTTTAAACTTTTTTTATATATAAGATAAGATGAAAATAGACTAAGGTAATGTAAGGACAGAATATTATGAATTATGGAAAGGATTTGCTGTGACTATTATAAATCAGGATACAGGAAAAGGGAGGAGGAGGAGGTCAAGGAAAGAAGGTATTGAAAGTGGAGAATTGAAGAATGATGGTTTTACTTTTCTTTTTTTTTGTCTTGTCTCTTTTTTTGTGTGTAATTTTAAAAAAATTCTCAATAAATATCATTTAAAAAAATAAAAATAAGAGCAGTAGTCTTGCAATCTGGGGAACCGGGTTCACGTCTCCGCTCCTCCACATGCAGCTGCTGGGTGACCTTGGGTCAGTCACACTTCTTGAAGTCTCTCAGCCCCACTCACCTCACAGAGTGTTTGTTGTGGGGGAGGAAGGGAAAGGAGAATGTTAGCCGCTTTGAGACTCCTTCGGGTAGTGATAAAGTGGGATATCAAATCCAAACTCTTCTTCTCTTCCTGTGGGACATCGGGCACCGGCAGCATCTAGAGATGGGGGCTCCAATTCAGTGGCAGGGAATTCTCCTCCTCCTACCCCAAAGTCAAGCTCCTTTGCACATTCACAAGAATCCGGTTTGTTCCTTTAAAAAGCTAAACAATTTTGCGGGTGTCAGGAATGTTACTTTTTGAAATATGGCAACCCTACAAAAATACAATGTTGATATAAATTCAGCATGGATCAAGAGGTATGCATTTTTTAAAAAAACAAACAAACAATAGTACCACAGTGTAAGCATCATTGACCTCTCTGCCCCCACCGCTGTAAGAAAGAGGAAATGATCTCCCATATAGAGATGTAAACCTGAAACCCAGTAAATTGTGACACTTAGGCTGTAACAAGGCAGTGGAACAATTAAAAAGACATTGCATTTCTTCAAGGCAAGGGGGTGTAACTCTAAGAAGCGGGGGACATGATTGAATGAGCACAGGCAATTTTCACAGCAACTTGCTGTTGGGTTTTTCTGCCAGAGGAATAATAAATTGGATTTAGTGGGTCACATACAGAGTTATAGTGAGAACCAGATGTGCGATACTTCCTCTATCTTTCGGGAAACAAGGAACATAATAATGAAAACATTTGCTATAGTTCAGTCTGCTTCTAAATGGAAAAGCCTGTTAGGAGGGTATCAGTGGAAATGAGAAGCCTGTTGTGCGTGAGGATTCCATCCCCTCACTGAAACAAGAATGCATAATGGTCCATAGCTGTCAACCTTCCCTTCTTTTGCGGGAAATTCCCTTATTCCAGCGCCGTTTCCTTATTCCAGCACCGTTTCCTGCTGCTTCCCACTGCTATCCCGGATTGTTAGATATCCCATAGACTGTCCCCAGGACAAATCCCTTATTTTCGAGGCAGCTGATCCCTTATTTTCAAATTGAAAGTTGACAGCTATGTAATGGTGGCTGCCAAAAATTGGGCACTATCATTACACATTCAGGTGGTGCTGGTGACCAAGATTGGTGCTTTGTTTTCCAAAGCATTTTCAAATGATTTGCCATCTGTGACTGAAGAAAGGGACTGAATTTTAGTTATGTATACAGTAGTTCCTCGGGTTACAGACGCTTCAGGTTACATACGCTTTAGGTTACAGACTCCGCCAACCCAGAAATATTACCTTGGGTTAAGAACTTTGCTTCAGGATGAGAACAGAAATCGTGCTCTGGCAGTGCGGCGGCAGCAGGAAGCCCCATTAGCTAAAGTGGTGCTTCAGGTTAAGAACAGTTTCAGGTTAAGAACAGACCTCCAGAACGAATTAAGTACTTAACCCGAGGTACCACTGTATATTGTTATAATCAGAGTTGCCATGTGTCCTCTTTTTCCAGGACACATCCTCTTTTTTCAGGGATAAAATTTGGGACAAATTGCATTTATTTGCTTTTGATGGCCATCATAGCATTCTCTCTCTTCTTTGCTCTTCAAAATATGGCAGCCCTAAAGTATTGCAGTGCTTTCTGTGTGGAACTAGCCTTAAAGTTATATGGAAGCTTCAGCTGGTGCAGTGTGTTCCAATGCACATATAAAACATTACCCATGGGCTTCAGTGAAAGGATAATCTTCTACATATGCCTCCCTTTGCTCATGATTGCTGTGTTGCTGGAACTCTAGCTGGTATTCTGTAGTCTGACTGGCCTTCACTGGGTTGAGGAAATCCAAGTCAGTTGTATATCGTGTTGGCTTGCATCTTATCCAATGTACCTTGCACACAATAAATGCTTGCAATTCCTTTCCTCCTTATTCTGTCCTGATTAGTGTAGCATACCCATCCCCTTCAAGCTTTCCACACAGATCTTGGCTCCCCTAACCTAACAGGCCTCTAAATGGACACATTTAGAGAGCCTATGTGGTGTAGTGGTTAAGAGCGGTGGACTCGTAATCTGGTGAACCGGGTTCGCTTCCCCGCTCCTCCACCTGCAGCTGCTGGGTGACCTTGGGCCAGTCTCACTTCTCTGAAGTCTCTCAGCCCCACTCACCTCACAGAGTGTTTGTTGTGGGGAGGAAGGGAAAGGAGGTTGTGAGCCGCTTTGAGACTCCTTAGGGAAGTGATAAAGCGGAATATCAAATCCAAACACATTTCTGTCAAACAATGTCCTTAACCTGTACAAGGTTATTAAATTGTAAAAAATAAAACTGTATCAGTGGTGCAATATTTGTGGTGTTCCGTTCGCATGTGCTGTTCAACACATGGTGTGGCTGTGATCATGTGGAACTGGGATGTGCAAACCAGCCCTGCATTCCAGTTATAGTTTTCCCAGTAAGGATGTGTAAGATGACAAGGATTCTTTCTCTTCAGAGCTGTTGAGTGCAGTCTTAAAATGAGTCAGATGTCAGCAGTGCAATCAACTTTGTTTCTACATTTGCTTTGTAGAATTTGTAGATGTTGTCTAGAAGATGCAGTATGCGTGGCCTTTTGGCCTCTCTGTTTAGTTTTAGTTTCTAAAGGAATTTGGCCATGGAGTTAATGATACACATCAAAGAAAATGAAGGGGAGGGGAAGGTTGAAAATAATGTACAATGGTCGCTCAATTTCCTTGCCACTCCTGCTTGGCTCTAGTCAATAATCAGAATAAAATCATACCAAGATTAGGACTTTACAGAAATTATGCTTGTTTATTTCACCAAATGGACATAGCCTTACATGGATGACAAAACCAGATATTGTATTGTACCCATGGTTATCTGCATTTATTTTGCTTTTAGAAATAACAAGAATGACAAATGCATGTGAATTTACAAAGATGTCTTTATTTTGAGTCTGTTTTGGAAAAGTATTCATTTCTTTAAAACCATATTAAATTATTAAGATGTCCTACAGTACATTTGATAAAATGTGTTCCACTTGAACTTTGTGCAATACAGGTTTGTTGGCACCAAAAATATATTTTTTTAAAAATAAAAGAACTGTTGTCAGAGAGGAAAGTAGTCACTGAATGGAGGAAATATATATATATATATATATATATATATATGAATGATATTGGACTTTAGGTACATTTTAATGCCCAGGTCGAGCAAGAGAGATCTCTGTGTACAGAAAGCTTGCTACATGGGCATATCAAATGCAGATGTCTTGATCCAGATCATCATTTTATTGTTTGGACACACATTGACATTTTTACTGTAATGCAATGATAATTCACCCCTTATCTGCTCTTGTGCAATACCTTCTTTCCCCATATATACAGCTGGACCAAAATCATTGTATGTAAAATACTGTGTGTATTGCTTGTCACGATAGTGAGATCTGTGGTATAGATTTTTTGCGCTTGTTTATAAGAACCGTATTTCCATAAAACGCCCTGTGGAACGTAACTAGAGCTGTTCTATATATAGCATGAAAACAGGAAGATCAGCCAAAAAGAACGAAGGGAATAGCACACACACAAAAGTCAGCATTTATGTTTGTTAGATCAGACTAAGCTGAATAGTTGGGGAAAGGTAAGATCAATAAAGCTGCCAGTGAAAATTATGGAAAAATGTATTTTGAGATAGAAGAACTGTCGACAAGTTACCAGAGGCTGTCTTGAGATGCTGTACTGCAGACTACATGAACTAATGGTCTGCCTCAGTATTAGGCGGCTTCCTATGTTCCACTGAAGATGTGCATGCAACTTGGCTTTAACATTGTAAGGGGAAGTCACTCCCTCATCCAGCCATGAGTACATGAGCTTTCATTACATCTGGTGCCCATGCATGTCACCACAAAAAGAGATATAAGACTTCCCTCCTGTAGTTATTGCACCAGCAACTCGGTAAGCAGATGCGAAAGCAATTCATGCATCTACTTTTCCAATTGGCGATTTGAAAAAACACCCTTACTGAAATCCTCTTAAGCTGGATAAAGTGATGCCAATTTGTAGCCATTGGAAGCAGCAAGCCATGTCTTTGTCAGGGACTTTTCTCTTTATGGGAGACAATCAGCGGCTTTTGCCCATTGCGAAAAGCAAAGCACAATATGTTGGGTGAGCTGTATCAAGGTTAAAATACCAAGTCCTCAGTGTTTGATATCCCTACTCTGACATGCAGAAAGTCTCCTATGTGAGCAGGCATCCCATTCACTTCAATGGATAGGGCGTCTCTGTCAGTGCAGAGTTCTTCCATTAAACTGAATTGGGATGCGCTTTTTGGTGGTTGCATTGGAGCTCCAGGCCCTGTAAGATATTATCATGAAAAACTGTACACACACACAAACACACACAAAAATCTAATTTGAACCAAGTAAAGTTGTTAAGAGCATACACTTTTTTAGGATTACAAAAAAAAAGTTTTGTGAACACTTGCTCTCCTATCATACAACATGATTCAGGCCCATGATAAATACACACTTTAATACTGCCAGTATATCACTAAAATCCATGAACAATATGGAAACGTTTGGCCACAATCTAGAAAAAACACTTGATAAGCTTTTGAATTTCATCCTCTTTCCCTGCTCCCGGGGGGGGGGGGGCGGGTTCTTGGACTGGTCCAAGACAGAGGCAAAGAACAAAAGGATGGCCGCATTCCAGATACAGAAGCTAACCAGATCGGCAACTGAATTTTGCTCCAACGCTGATGGTTGGGACAGTGTCTTTCACTGCACCTGAGAGCAGTGGGCTAGTTTAGGAGTGCAGGGCAGGCCATGTGCTAATCATAGAATTGTAGAGTTCGAAAGGACCCCAAGGGTCTTCTAGTCCAACAGCCTGCAGTGCAGGAATCTCAGCTAAAGCATCCATGACAGACGGCCATCCAACCTCTGCTTAAAAACCTCCGAGGATGGAGAGTTCACCAGTTTCTGAGGGAGACTGTTCAACTTTCAAACAGCTTCCAATGTCATAAAGATCTGCCTGATCTTTGCATGACTATCATTGTGGGTTTCTGTGTTGTAATCTAACTTGAATGTGCACAGCTGCAACTTAGTCTTACAAATAGATCCTGCAAATACGCAACACATATAAATACATTAATATCCATACACATTTATACATAACACAGCACTACGAATATTAAGGGATGCAGTGCCTACTCTATAATAACTGTCTCTTGTTATTAAGATACAACTAAAGAATAAATGATATTTTATATATATATATATATACATACACACACTCTCTCTCCTTTAAAAGTTGATGGCAGTAGAAGAACAGCTCAGGTCTATTCCTGAGTTATTTTCGATTTATACAGCTGAACCAGTCCCATGGTAGAGTATAAACAGCAAAATGGAGAAACACCCAGAAGTCTATTAATGCAATTGCTGTATGTACTGAAGTTTCCTTTTGATGAATCCTAGCAACAGTTGGTTCTTCTTCATAGAGGATATTCATAGCCTTAATTCAGAATTTAGGAGGCTTTTATCACATATGCAAACGTGAGCTGGATAACTGTTAATGAAAATCCCCAACATTGGCTTGAGCTTACTTTGTCCTTTATGGAAAGTTCATTTTCTTTAGATGTAGGTTCACTGGGATTTCATAAAGGCAAGGGAGAACCAATTGTCAGTCCACCATCTCTCTTGGCTAAAAGCCATGGACAATGTAAGTACGTTCTCTTTACCAGTTTGTCTATTACCACTAATGGTCTTGAGAACACAGGCCTTTCCTCAAGCTCACATCATCCAATCCAATTTCCCCAGTTCTTCCTTTTCCTTTCTCGCCTTTGAAAATAACCTGGGGGAGAAAAATATTTATTTATTTATTAAATTTATATACCACCCGATACCCGGGGGTCTCAGGGGGGGTTCACAAAATAAAATCAAGATATATAACCACAAAATACATAATAAAAATAAAGAACAACCACCCAATAGCTCCCACTATTGTGAACTGTAACACAGAAAGTTTATTGTATGAACCAAACTGTAGCACAGCTATCATCCCAGTGCAGGAAAATGTGTGTATTTGTGAAAGACAAGAGGTTATTTTACCATGAACACATAGGTTAGACTGCATCACCTGTATTCTGACAGCAAAATGAACTCTCAAGTCACACTTTATGTGTGATATTGATGAGCCTAAGAAAAAGTATGCCAAGAAAAATATGACTTATATAGCATTTTCTTAGAAGCTGCCTCTGGTAGAGATAGATCAGCACCACTTTGATAATCAGAAAAGGGCCTCCTGATCATGCCACATCCTGCAGAAATACATCACATGATCATATGGAGAAGGGCCTTCTTGGTGGTGTCTAGAGTGGACTTTCCTCAAATGTCAAATCCAGTATGCCTATGAATACCAGCTGCTCAGAATCTGCAGAAAATGCTGTTGTACTTGTAGCAGGGCTGCCATATGTCTGGGGCAAATATGGGTTTTGAGTGTTGGAAATAGCATCCGGGCAGAATTCCCCAAAATTGGTTAAAATATCATGGAAAACCCAGTCGTATGGCAACCCATGTTGGAAGTGTTGGGTTTTTTTGGTGAATTTCCATAAAAATAGCTCCAAAACATCTTCTTTTTTATTTTTTGGAGATTTTGCATAGAAAGCTCAACAAAAAAAGTCAACAATTTTGCCTCCCCTCCAAAGAAGAAGCAGCAGCTCAACAACGAGCTTGTATGCCAACCCTAGGCATCAGGTTGGCTACTCAAAGAAGAAAATGCTGGATTAGATTACCTTTGGCTTGATGAAGCAGGTGTCAACAGTGTTTGCATTTCACCAATACACCAAGGTTTATTTTAAGGCCAGTTTTGCTGCTTCATGGATGTTGCGGTTTGTATGTGCATGCATCTATACACACACAAATTTGATTTGTTTTATCATGTCGCAAACCACCCTGCTGTTGTTGTAACTGAAGGTGGTATATTAATAAATCAATAAAATAATAAGGGTAAAATCTAACCATGACTCCAGTTCTGATCATCTGTCTTCTCAATGCATCTGGCTCAAACACTCCAAAGACACTGATACAATCCCTGCTCTTACAGAAACTGTGAGAACTGCCACCATCTTCATAGCTCATGCAACCTGAGTTTGGTCTTAACTATGACAATGCCTCTTGTTTAATGGCAACAGTGAAGGGAGACATTCTATTTCAGGGAGATCTCCACTTCCTGCCAACATGGCTTTCTCCCAACAGTGAGGAAGTTGATGACTGCTTTTGAAGTACAACAGGAATGCTGTCATCTATGGTAATTAGGAGAGACTGGATAACACATGGGCCACAGGCAGCCATGTGCTCTTGTTATAATCTAAGATTTTTTTAGCTCCACATGATCACAAGGATGAAAGTAACGAAAGGGTCTGAAACACCGCAAAACTAAAAGAGAACCCCTAATTACTTATAAGCACAGGCACACCAACAAACCACTGTTTATTGCAGCATGAATATGTGATATGGTTGAGTTCTCCCTCCTCTGCCTTTCTTCTCCTCTTGCATACCTGGCTATGGAGGAGTCATCATGGTTTGTTAAGCCACAGTTTCCTGTGGCCAAACTGGGAATGACAATTATTCTATGTCTGGGAAGGAAAGCTTAATTTTTAACTTTTTATATTATTATTAACCATACCCAGGAATCTCAGGGATTCAAACCCAGTAGCCACATTTTACAACATTTTACATGTGGAGTTTAATAAAGAATAATATCATTCTCAGGAACTCCCTTTTCCATGCACCCTAGAATGATACTCACACTCTTGATGCCAGATCCTTGCAGACTTATTTGTGTTTGCCTCCAGCCATGACCACCATTCCTTCCCCAAACTGCTGGTCCGTGAGCCCCGGCCTTTCTCACAAAGACTTGAAGTAAACCAGAATGGATCCCAGACACTTTATGCCTGAAGGACAGACACAGATCCCCAAAGTGACCTAAATGGCCAAGAGGAAGGACCAAGCGTGCAACGTGGCCCGATTTTCCTTTGGGTTCAGAGACAGATAAATACTGTCCTCCTATAATAATAGAGAGAAAGAGAAAGAAAGAAAATGTTTGACTCAAAATGCTCATAGTCATCAAACTTAAACTAAAGCACAAGTTGGAAACTTCAGGCTTTGGGGGCAAATGTGGCCATCCAGGCATCTCTACCTGGTGCTCTGAACAGGTCACAACCCTTCACTGGAAATGCTTTGCACTCTGAGTGTTTTAACCTGGCTGGAAGATTGTACTCCGATAATGCCAGCATAATATAACCAGCAAAAAAGGTAAGGTAAAGGTAAAGGCACCCCTGACCATTAGGTCCAGTCGTGGCCGACTCCGGGGCTGCGGCGCTCATCTCGCTTTATTGGCCAAGGGAGCCGGTGTACAGCTTCCGGGTCATGTGGCCAGCATGACTAAGCCACTTCTGGTGAACCAGAGCAGCGCACGGAAACACCGTTTACCTTCCCACCGGAGAGGTACCTATTGATCTACTTGCACTTTGATGTGCTTTTGAACTGCTAGGTTGGCAGGAGCAGGGACCGAGCAACAGGAGCTCACCCCATCGCGGGGATTCGAACCCCTGACCTTCTGATCGGCAAGTCCTAGGCTCTGTGGTTTAACCCACAGCACCACCCGCATCACCCGCAGCAAAAAAGGTAGTGTAAGTCAAATTCCTTCTGAATGGAGTTTGGAAGAGGAGTAACTTACCCTAGTGCGACACATGTCAATAGAACTTATGCCAGCTTTCTATAATTCTTTAGTTCTCTTGCTGCGCAAATAAAGAGCAGCAGCAACAGAACAGTGTTAATAACCTAGGACTTACTAGACAATCCTCCCTTGCTTAACTCAGATTGTTCATACATCAGTTGCTTGGATGTATGGCCTGAACTTACTGTCTGAAACTCATCATGGGAGAGTCACTTAGTTCTCTGAGTCTTGCTCCCTAGTAAATGTGCATATGATTACAGCCTTGGATTCCCACCCATTATTATTTTTTTTTAAAAAAACAGCACGTTCATATTTGTAAAAATTGCCCCAAACCCAATAAACATGGAATAAGACCCCAGTACTCCCTAGTGTCCATTCCCTTGCTGCCAAGCATGTGGGATTCATCTGAAGTCATTCATGCACCTCTTCCTCTCTGGGATATTATCTGTTCAAAAGTCATCAGCTGCTAAATGAAAACCAGAAGACTGGCACCATTCAGAAGAGCCAAAATCAAAAAGCATGTAGTATCAATCACTTATTTCATGGGGCCTTTCATGCAAGAAGTCAAAACTCTGCTGAATGAGTCTTCGTGCCACATAAACATTAATGTGGATTTCTTTATTTTGATCTCATTTTATTAAGTGTTTCAAAGCTGGGGGTGGAGTTCATGACAGGATACATAGGTTTTATATGAAAGTGGTGATAGAAAAAACAATCAAACATACAAAACAATTGCCCTGCTCCAGCAAGAAAGATCCATGCATGTAAGCAAGTCTTATATATACACATGTAGAGTTTCAGTAGAGATGTCTATCTCAAAGAACATCCTATTTTGAAACATGATACTCTCTTAAGCATTATTGAACTGGCTAGATGTGTCCTGTATGTCAGAGACACCAGTTACTGTGAATGTCTAGCTGCTTGTAGCAACAAATAGGTGAGAGACCCACATGTTTCTGGGCTTAAATATCCTGAGTATTAACTTAGGAGAAATGCACACTAAAATTGTGGTGAATTGCCATAAGGAAATTCCATGAAATGTGGTAAAGCAAACTTAAGACTAGAAAAAATGAGAAACTGAGAGAAAAAGAAATTGACACCTGTCAATTCCTCCTAAGAATCCCCCCCCCAAAAAACACCTGGAATCGGCCCTACACATTACCTCCCCTCCATAAAATCTTTAAGTCTGGAGTAGAAAATTACCCAACTACACAACTGTGTGGCTGTTCAGATTGCTTGTTTCTTGCCCCTCAAACTTTGATGATAAAATAGGCTTGAACGAAATCCAAGGAAATCAAGCAATACCTGAGGCATCTTTCACAGGTTCCCAGTGCAAATCATCGTCTTTCTCCTTCATCCACCCACACAGACCACCATCAAAGTTACAGCTGTGAACCAGAACACCTGCAGGTCAAAGGTCAAAAAAAGAGCGTAAGGTCTTGACTGTTGGAGCTGGTGAACTTTTCAGCCTAAAGCTGGTTGGTTAGAATTTATAGCCAATGTTGGGGTGGGGTGGGGAGGAGTGATCAAATCAGATCTGCAAAGAGAAAGTTGGGCCTATGGGTTTTATTAAGGCTTCAATATTGTGGGTGTGTTTTGTGTTTTGTTTTTGTTTTTTTGTAAGAACTGTCCCTATTGCACTTTTATTGCTATCAAATGTGGTCCATATTTTTATGGCAAACACAAATACTAATGGTGACTATGTTTTTCCCAACAGTTGTGTTTGCTGCAGGAAAATACAGCACACACCTAGCAGCATCAACTGCAACCTATAACATAGATTCACCCTGTATTACTAGGAGTTGGAGAATGCTGGTAAAATCTTTTATCTATTTTATTTCATCCCCCCCCCTTCATGGAATCCAAGGTGACATGTGTATGGTTCCCAGGTGGCCCAGGCACTGACCAGCCCTGCTTAGATTCAGCAAAGAGGTGTCTTCAAACCCTTGGACCTTAAGGGGCTCCTTAGTCCATTTTCATAGGTGGCACCAAAAAGTGTCATGATGACCCCTGTATCCGGTAGTGATCTGGACACAAGAGCTGGGGACTGCAGGGGCATCAGACTTGGAGGCAGGTCCCGATCAGGGCTCAGAGCTTAAAGTAAACGGGTCTGAAGGGTGGTGTGTCTCAGCGCCAGATTGTAGGCCAGTTGACTCAAGGATCGCATTGCAAATGAAAGGAGTAAAAATGTTGCACGCACACACCATAAGCCAACAAGAAACACAATTAAAAGAAGATGTGAGAACTGTGGTGGCCACCTGGATCATCGTTCGCTTCGTCGTCATCGGCACTAATCCCTCTTTCAATTTCAAATGTTTCAAAGAGATTATTGCTCACTCCAGGCTGGCGTGGAACTGGGGGAAGGAGAAAAAAAAAGGAAGCTATTTAGAAGGAATGAATGCAGTAGATAAGGAAGTAGGCCACTGAGTAATTCCAACTTTAACATTAAATAAATAAATAAGGAGGGAATGCTTTATGCTCCTGGAAAATTCAATCTATTTAATCGCCTTTCATATATGGATTTATAGCCCCCACTCAACAACTTATACAGTAACGTTTATCTGGTTTCTGTCAAAGGTAAGTTGAAAAAGCTCAACGGCGCTTCGAACTTAGCAGACTTTGCCCCCATAGAAAACTTCTACTGTCTCCTTCTCCTCCTTTCCTATCCCTGACATAGCAATTGTTATCGTGGCAGCATTTCAAAACACAGAGATGCTGCTACTGCAGTGCAGCCTTTTTAGAGTGGTGGCATCTTAGAAAAAGTAATCAGTTTTGTCATGAGCCTTTTGCAGACAAGACCCACTTTCAAATCCAGTAGGTACACATGATTACCAGGTGTACAGAAATCATTTGGAATGCCTGCATTCTGCTGGCTTGTGTCCAACTGGTTGTGTGCAGGATCTAGTTGCAAGAATCATAGGAAGCTTCCCTGTACTGAGTCAGACCACTGGACATATCAGTATTGTCTACACTGACTAGGTGTAGCTCTCTGGGGTTTCAGGCATCCTGGGGCACCCCCAGCCCTACCCATAGATTCTAAGGATCAAACCAGAGGCCATCTGCATTCAAGGGTTTACCACTAAGCTACGGCTCTTCCCTCACATAAACAAGTCAGGTGTGTATTGGTTGACCAAGGCAAAGCGGAGGATGCTCTCCACTTCAACACAATCCCCAAAGGAAAAGCCTGCTTTAAACCACTCCTTGTTGAAACTGACCAACCCCCTGCAATGCAGGAATCTCAACATGCGGTCCCTCAGCCACTTTGAAACCATCCTGGACCCTGCTTAGCTTTGCAATTGTGCTAGCAGTTTTATTGCCCCACTGGATGCAATCTTAACTGGTTAAAACCTTTAACTAGGGAGAAGAAACGTGGTCAAATGCCTTTTTGTGTATGTGAATTCTGACTGAAGGAATGTTGCAAAGGATACTACTTGAAATATGCCTTTCATAGAATATACTCTGCACATGAGCCCAGTATACCTGAAGGAGCGTCTCCACCCCCATCGTTCTGCCAAGACGCTGAGGTCCTGCGCCGAGGGCCTTCTAGCGGTTCCCTCATTGCAAGAAGAAAAGCTACAGGGAACCAGACAGAGGGCCTTCTCGGTAGTGGCGCCTGCCCTGTGGAATGCCCTCCCACCAGATGTCAAAGAGATAACCAACTACCTGACATTCAGAAGACATCTGAAGGCAGCCCTGTTCAGGGAAGTTTTTAATGTGTGACATTTTAGTGTATTTTTTGTCTTTGTTGGAAGCCGCCCAGAGTGGCTGGGGAAATCCAGCCAAATGGGCATGGTACAAATAATATATTATTATTATTATTATTATTATTATTATTATTATTATTATATTGTTGCTATGTATCTTGAGTGGATATAACAGGGGAAAGAACCAATAAAGTTATTTCTTGCACATCTTCAAAGAAATGAGTTATGTACCAGAAGATTTACTGTGACCGCTGTACAGTGGTATATCGAGTTACAAATACCTAAGGTTACAAACACTTGAGGTTACAGACTCTGCTAATCCAGAAGTAGTACTTCGCATTAAGAACTTTACCTCAGGATGAGAATAGAAATCGCGTAGTGTCAGCAGCGGGAGGCCCCATTACCTAAAGTGGTACCTCAGGTTAAGAACAGTTTCCGGTTAAGAACAGACCGCCAGAACGAATTAAGTTCATAACCAGAGGTACCACTGTATAATCATAGATATCTAGCCATATTGTTTTAATTTTTTTAAACTATTCTATATGACATCTGAATGCCATTTTATCCCCTTATTATCTCTGCACAGCATGTTTGGCTTTCAAAATAAGGTTGACAAATAAACAATACAGCCATTGTATTTATACAAGTTAGCCTTCATTTAATAAAAGCTTTCATTGCCCTTCATTTTTTTAGCTCTTTCCTCCCTTAGACACATTTTTGTTAAAACTGAAGGCAGAACTAATTCATCTGAACACACAACTCTAACTTTGCAACAAATAAGGATGGATGGGGAATCCTGTGACAGATCTCCCAATATATGCACAATTCATATAAATTAAAAGTAGGTGACAAAAATCCTAATGAGAAACTGTTTAAATTTCCCATTTATTTCAACCTATTAAGTTCATTAAATGTAATTTTGATGTTTTCTGCATTCTTTGGCAGAAGGGTGGAGTTGTGGTGGAAATGCTTGGCTTGCTAGGGCAGCATATTAATTCCAAAAAAATAACAAAAAGTAAATAAAGATCTCTAGAAAACAGGAGTGCCAAGAGGAGGGAGTGGGAACAGAATATTTTGAAGGGCTAATTAAAACCAATTTTTCACTCTGCCTTTTAATCTTGAATGCTTTTATCTATTTGCCAGTGGCTGAATTTGGTTGGGAAAGAGTTGCATTGTGGTAAGCCATGATTAAGGGTCTCGGTTTCAAGTTGATTCAACGGGGCAAAAAGAAGCTTACTCAATGCTGTCAGAAAACCTGAGCACTAAATATCAGCCATGAGATTAAAGAGATTGTTAAATTAGGACTTTCTTGAGAGAGAGGATGCAGAAAAGGAAACACAACCACCCTATGAGCTAATAGAAAACTCATTCTCGACTGCTGATCCTTACGTACTCAAAACTGCCATCTGCACACAAGGAGGAGATATCAGCAGGTCTCAGGAAAATGGCAATACTGAAAATCTTTAAGACAACACAAAAGCTTGGTGAGTGGGATTAGTAGGCATGGAATGCTCATTGAATTTAGAATTCAAAGTCCTGATTTTGACCCCTAAAGACTTAAATGGCTCAGTACTGCAGTACCTCAAGGACCGCCTCTCCCCATATGAATTGATTGGATCCTACAATCATCATCTGAGGTCCTTCTTCATGTGCCCCCTCCACAAGAGTTCCAGTGTGTAGCACATGAGAACAGGCCTTTTCTGTGGTGGCTCCCTGTCTGTGGAATGCTCCCCCTAGGGAGGCTTGCCTGGCACCTTCACTACATATCTTTAGGCGCCAGGCAAAAACATTCCTCTATAGCCAGGCATTTGGCTGATTAAACAAACCATAGCCTTTTAAATGTGTTTGTGGGAGGTGGGTGTTATTGGTTGCTGTTGTTGTTAAGATATTATTTTGTATTTTCATTTTGTATTTTTATACTGTAAACCACCCTGTGATCTTCAGGTACACTAATAATAATAATAATAATAGTAGTAGTAGTAGTAGTAGTAGTAGTTGGCCAAGGACACATCTCAAATAAAACTCCCCAAACTGGTCCAGACTGAAGGCATGAAACTGAAAATGTAAAGGGGACAGAATCTAAAATCCTTCTTACAGAGATTATAACCAAATGAGTTATTTTATCTAACAATTTAGTAAGAAATTGTCTAGGCAAATGGGTTTTGAATACAGAAGAAAAGATTCCCATCACATGCCCTGCACAAATTTTCTGTCTAAACTGAGAGGGCACCTGTTTATGGTATCTTTAGATAAGGTTAATTACAGTGCTAGTTTTGAGCTTATGTTGTACCTTCCTATTATTTAATGGTTATGATTTTTTTTAAAAAAAATATTTATGTGCTGCTAACAGGGTCCTCAAGGCAGTTTGTAGCAAAACATGATTATAGTATGAACATTAAACAAAAAAGAAAATCATAAAACCCACCATTAAAATAGCAAAAAACGACAAACAAAACTTTTTAAAAAATCAAATAAAAAGAGTTGCGCAGTTAACCGGCTCAAAAATACCTACAGAAAAGTAGCTGCCTTTGATTGTCCTTCTGCTCAGGACAGATTCTGTGGGTTGGCTTTTTTCCCCTATTAGCCAGCATGCTTTTATCCTGGACTACGTCATCGACTGTCAGGGACAAGAAGATCCCTGGCAATTGATGTGCCTTTATACAGTGTGCCTTTTAATTTCAAGCCACTTTGGGCGATAATCTTGTCAGAAAAGAAAGCAGGGTGTGAGCTGAATAAAAAATATTTTCTAGGGGGGAAATCACTGCTCTGAATTATTTTGGTCCAAATTACACAAAGAGTTAGCAGTTTATTTAAGTAGTTTGTTCAGGACTGGGCGCAATCCTTCTTGAACAAAAAGCAGCTGGAAGGGGGCGACTGTTCTGGAAAGTTTAACTTTCTCCTTTAATGCTACTTGGAAGTCGGTTGGCTCAGTTGGTTAGAGCATGGGGAGAGAGGGAGAGAGTGCCTTGCCAGGCAATATCCACCTAAAACTTAAATTTAAAGCTTTATTTCATTGTCCACACTATTTTTCAAAAACTGACTCGAGTTAAGTTAATAAAAGGCAACATAAACTGGCCCTGGGCTCTCTGGAAAGAAAAAGGCCTCAGGGCAACCACCATAGGAATGCTTAACAAATCGTTAGCATCCAGAGCATGAAAGGAATCTTGTGTGCAGAACACACAGCTGTGCCTTTGCTTCCATGTATATCAACTAAAGGATAGCATTTGGTTAATATTGCCTTGACTTGCATATATCTGTAACTCAGAATGTCAAGGCATGCATGCTGAGTACCTGACATTTCTGCAAGGATGATATGTGGTGTTTGCATGGCACACCTATCACCCTATACTCCTTACACCCATATGACTTCCTTAAGTACTGGGCAATTTCTTCCAAGTATCCTCTTTCACTTGCTCCTTTCTATGACAATTCCCTTTCCCTCCACTTTCTTCCTCTTTTATGTAGGTACCCTCGGACTTAGAACCTGCAAAAGGACAAAATTCCAGCCAAACTGGGAAGATGGGCTGCTTTTTCAGAGGTGAACCCTTAGAACAGGGGTAGGCAACCTAAGGCCCGTGGGCCGGATGCGGCCCAATTGCCTTCTCAATCCGGCCCGCGGACAGTCCGGGAATCAGTGTGTTTTTACATGAGTAGAATGTGTCCTTTTATTTAAAATGCACCTCTGGGTTATTTGTGGGGCCCGCCTGGTGTTTTTACATGAGTAGAAGGTGTGCTTTTATTTAAAATGCATCTCTGGGTTATTTTGGGGGCATAGGAATTCATTCATTTCCCCCCCCAAAAAAAAAATAGTCCAGCCCACCACATGGTCTGAGGGACAGTGGACCATCCCACAGCTGAAAAAGGTTGCTGACCCCTGCCTTAGAACCTGTGAGCACTCCATGCCATCATGCTACCCTGGCTGCCAATCACACTGTGGCTTTACTGCCACAAGCACATTACAATATAGACCACTTGAATGGTCAGCCAGAGCGTTGAAAATACTTTTATCTGTACAAATGTACTTATAACTTATTCTTTTACAGTGATACCTCAGGTTAAGAACTTAATTTGTTCCGGAGGTCCGTTCTTAACCTGAAACTGTTCTAAATCTGAGGTACCACTTTAGCTAATGGGGCCTCCCGCTGCCACTGCACCGCCGCTGTATGATTTCTGTTCTCATCCTGAAGCAAAGTTCTGTAACCTGAAGCGTCTGTAACCTGAGGTACAACTGTACTTGGATACATTAAACTGAAAGATGCTTACAACACAATATTCTTTTCCAAAAACAGACAGAAAGGAGACACTTTTTAATAATGCCAACACAGAAGCAATATTTTGGTCACACTGCGAACAGTGCCTGCATGAGCACCCTTGAAATGAATGGGAATCGCAGTATGGTTCCTCTTTATTTCAACAAGAATTGTACGTTCCCAGATTGTGACTTCATTTTCCTTAAACCTTTTGTCGTGTTTTGTTTCTTCTGTCCCAATTTATCAAGCCTTCATATCTGCAGCATGTACTTAAAAGGAACAGATATCAAACCAGATAGTCGTTTCAACAAGGGGAAGAGCTTAACATGCCTCAAACTGTGCTGCTGGGAGTTGCTGAAGCCAAGCCAAAATCACTCCCAAAGCCATTAAGGAATGCACATGTCCATCTGCCATAAGATAACAAAACTCACAGACTATTTTGCTCAGCAATGCTCCTGTTTATGAGGCTGAAGAGCAAGACTTGTCCAAATACCAACCCCAAGCTCTATAATTAACCTCAGCCCTGGTGTTATAGATGAAACAGAGTGCTGGGTATTTCTTGGCAGGCATGCTAAAATGAGCAAGCCAGCAAGTGTCATCTGTGGCATGAAGTCAACTTGGCATAAAAGTAATGCAGTATCAATACAGCTCTCCAAAAGATACTTCCTCATACGAGGAGCATCTTTACAGCACCACGAGCTTTAAACGTGTCTCCTTTTGGTGGGCACATTCCATAAAGCAGGAATCAAAAGTTATTTTTAATTTGATTTTTGCAGTTGCTTAGCAATAAATACCGAGGGGATGACTCTGTGAATTCATGGATAAGAGCATTGTGCCACTTAAAAGCTTGCACTCGAAAATAGATATGGAGCCAATAAAGTCACCGCTTTATCTATTTCGTGTCCCTCGTTTCATTCAGTCGTAAAGTGGAAGAAACTTTCCATAACACAGCAACTTGCTCGATTCGTTGCCTTCCAGATCTTTGGTTAAATGCTTTCATTAAAAAAGCATTTAACCAACGTCACAGTTAATTTACCAGTTTTAGCTATGGCACAAGTCGCCCAGGCCTTGAGTGACCAAAACTACAGTTATAGCTATTTACAGTTTTGTGTGTTGCATGAGACTTCTAATGTTTTCCATGTACAGAACGGCAAGGTTCGTTGATAGAAAAAGATTCGGTGGTACTTACTAAAGACATCTCCTCGCGGTTTCTGAGGATCGATTGGTATCCTGTTGTCAACTGTGAATCCCTGCGGAGCTGTGGTTTCACTAGGAAAGTGCAGCGGCTCTTTAGTTGTGAGTCGTGGTGTTTTTGTCGTTACAGGCTTAGGGGGAGTTGGAGGCGGCGTCGGGGGCCTTGTGACTGGTGGGAGTCTTGTCACTGGCTTCAAAGCTGGCCTTGTGGTTGCAGGCTTGGGTACAAACCTGGTAATTGGTTTGTGTGTTGGCCTCATGGTTGGTTTTGGGGTAGGTCTCATTGTTGTCCTGAAAGGAGGCCTCGCTGTAGCTGGTGGATTAGGTGGTTTGATGGGATGCCTCACACCACCAGTTTCAGGTATCCTATTGGTCATGCCACCACTGCCTTTAGGAAAGGTTGTATTTCCCTTAAATACAGTATGTGGGCCAGATGGATCAATCATAACTTTGGGAATAGCTGAAGGAAAAAAACACACGGATGATGTTATCTCTCTATGCAAAGCATACCAAGGACACAATTGAAATATTCGGAACTTATGTTTGCTTCATGATTATATGAACAGCATCGCATTACTCACAGCATCTGTTAATACCAGTTCCTTTCCTCCTCTCTTTTACTTTTGAAATGTGATTGATATTATTGCTCATACACACCCTCTCATAATAATGAGAATAGTGTGCAAGGTTGACGCTGATCAATGGTCCCCAGACTTTATTCCCATGGACCACTTGAAAATTGCTGAGATCTTGGTGGACCAGTTATATATTTTTTTTCTGCCTGTTGCAGCAATTGTAACGCTCTGTGCTAGATGCTGGTTTTTCATTATATTTTTATAGACATGCTGCAAACCACCTGAATGAAGTTTGTGAACCGCTGGTCAACCACAGACCACAGTATAGGACATGGTCTTTTCAGGGATGTGTTTGAAAACACCGAATCAAATCTGACACAACCAACACACTCAAGAACCCACAAACTGAGCACGTGAAAAGTGTACATGAATACCTCTGAAGTGAAGGAAAACTATAAGTTTTGAAGAACTATAAGTACAAGACTATCTGGCTGAAATGTTAAGGTATTTGTTTGGGGTGGGGCGAGTTCTACATATATGAATTGGCCTAAGCTGCAGTGCCATAAGGTGTGAATTGAGTCCCTGCTGCTGAAATGTGATTCTACACTTAGAAAGAGTTCCCCAGGGGAAGAGACTGGCACCTCTGTGGTTTCTGTGGGCCTAACTTACCCATGTTGTGATATAGCCCTATCCCACCAGGATAGTCTTGCATGACAGAGCTAGGCTGCATGGTGGTGCTTGCTAAGCAACATCAATAGGCTGTAGCATTGGTGCAGGGACTCAAGCTGTCTTTGACCCTACTCTTAGGCTGTACGCCAGAACATATTGGAACACTTCTATTACCGTATTGGCCTGAATATAAGCCTCACTTTTTTCCTAAATTCGAGACCTTACAGTATGCAGCCAGGACCATGGGGCAAACAGCGCCAGGAGAACAGCAAAGTGGCGCCCGCCCCACGCATAGTCCCCCGTCCTTTCCCCCAAGGCCAGGAAGGGAGAGAGTGAGGAAGGGGAAAGGCCACTGGCAATGCAGCTTATATTTGGGTATTTCTTATTTTTATTTTCCTTTCCCACCCTCCTATTTTGAAGGTGCAGCTTATATTCGGGCCATCACGGTACAATCTGTGTCTCCCGTGCCCTTGGCATTAGCCACTAGAAATGTGAAGCAAGGCTCTGGAGATTCACAGTGCAATGTGACAATTTACACAGCAGGTTAAGTCTAGACTTTGTATTGTGTCTAACAAAGTTCCACTCAGAGTCAACCCATGTTCATTAATTTCAAAGGGTCATCTTTGGGTGATGTAATCGGGATTGAAGGGAGGACATTTTTAGCAGCTTCTTCCTAGCAAGTTTAACATGTGCTTTTGTTGTAATTTACAGGCTTCATCTATAAGGTAAATACAAATAGCCATCTAGCCTTGACATAGAACAAATAATCTTTTCAGATGACTGAGACACTTCGTGTTTGAAAAGCTATAACGACATCCTTCCTTCCCCACAAAAATGAAGAAACCAACAAAGGAATTATTGTTAAGGAAGAGGATTGATCATTTGCTGCAACCGTTACATTGGTTATCTGTCATCCAAACGTCTAAAGGTCTAAGGGTTGAAGCCTCACTGCATTAGGAACGGTACAAAGACAGACAGAGACCATCCCTTACCCCACATTTCCCTCTGATATGCCATCTCAGAGAGAAGCACATTAAAAGGATCCCGTTCACCTCTGCCATGCGCCTCAGCTGAGCCAAAACCCGTCTCATTTTCAATAATATCGAAAGCTGGTGAAAGATTTAGCACTATCAGCAAGGCTATCAGTCACGTTCTCGAAAGAAAGACATCTTTGAAAATCACCTATTTGGATCCATCAAAGTCTTTCATGCAGGTTGCCTCACCAAGTCAGGTGTCTGTGCAGTCCAACAATAACCACACTACCAATCTTGTTTCTTCACAATGACAAGCAAGCACGTTTCTAATTCGCATGCAGAAAATCCCTCCCAACAAGCAAAGCAAAAGAAGCCAGAAGCAGCTTCTCTTGCACAGATTCTCAGATCTCTCTTAAAAGCTAGTCACATGCTGTCAAAAGCATGCAGGAAACAGAAGTTACTATTTGCTTCTATAACTTTATAAACTCTCTAACTTTACAAACTCAGAGGTGACTGTACCATGCAAAGTCCCTAAAGATTTCAACATGCTTCAGACAACAGGAAGGAGTAATTTGGGGAACAGAATTTACAAATGCGGATGTCTATAAAGACATCTTTAAAGGTTTTCTTCCTTTCTCCTGTGATTCTTCACATATAACTATTTTCAGCGAAAACAGTGAACATACTATGCTTCCTTATACTGAATCAAACCATTGGTACACCTGGCCAAACTCTGTCTTCTTTTCAGGTGGCCTTAACCTCTCCAAGGTTTCAGACAGAGGGCTACCTGCTACCTGAAATCCGAATTATAAAGCACTGAATTTGGAGCTTTCTGCACACTCTGCCACTGAACCTGACCAGACTCCACTGGGTTAAGCCAATGACTTCCAAATGTTCAGTTAAGATCAAGCTATAACTATTTGCTTCAAGGGAGGCTTCCTGAAATGGGCACTGAGGCCCTGAGCTGTGAAAAGCAACTGATAGTGCAAAGTAGGAAAATAGCTTTCAACTCAAAGAGGGACTAGTGCGTACATGGCTAGGGAGACTTCTTAAGAAAGACCACATTGCTTAGTACTTGAACTCTATAATGAAATCATAAGAGACGTGTGATCTGCTGAAGTTAACTACTGAGAATTACAATTTTATGCAATGCACACCATGACAGAAAAAGCATTAATAACAGTCAACAGGAAAGGCTTAGGCAAGCAGACCATAATCCTAAGAAAAACCACAGACTGCAAAACATTAAAACAATTAGAGCAATGTACAGAGATGTAACTGCAAACTACAACCACTGGCTTTTCATTCTAAAAACGAAAAGTGCTTGAGGAAATTTATTTTTACACTGGCATATCAAGGCTCATAAAACTTTAAATACACTATCCATTCCTTCAAAATTAGATGAGTGTGATGGCACAAGGATGCCTGGCGATGTTTCGGGATTTGGAATTCAAGAAGAAAACGATCATTACGTACTTATGCAGTTCATTCCGTCACCTCTGTATCCTTCTTTACATTTGCATTTGTAAGATCCCTGCGTATTGTAACACTGTGAAAAACTCCCACACTGATATTGGCCAAGTGAGCATTCATCTATGTCTGAAACGAAAAACATTGCATGAAACTCGTGTGATAGCAATCATAGGGCACATTTTAAAACTGAACATCAATTATCATTCTCTTGCTTGCTGAAATAGTGAAGCAAATCAGGAATAGGTAATCTGTGGCCCTCCAGTTATTGATGATCTTCTATTATCCCTTCTATTATCCCTGACCATTGGGCATGCTGGCTGGGACGGATGTGAGTTGGAGTCTACCAACATCAGGAGGGCCACAAGCCAGGATTTAGGTTTAAGCTACTGGAGGTAATGGGGCCCTTTATATGTCCAGCTGGTAATTTATGGGCACCCTGTATATAGAAATGAGCAAACCAGTGATATTTTAGGGAGCAGGCTAGCAGGCAGGGCCTATTACAGTGGTACCTTGGGTTACATACCCTTCAAGTTACATACGCTTCAGGTTACAGACTCCCCTAACCCAGAAATAGTGCTTCAGGTTAAGAACTTTGCTTCAGGATGAGAACAGAAATCATGCTCCGGCGGTGCGGCAGCAGCAGGAGGCCCCGTTAGCTAAAGTGGTGCTTCAGGTTAAGAACAGTTTCAGGTTAAGTACGAACCTCCGGAACGAATTAAGTACTTAACCCGAGGTACCTCTGTACTTATATCATAGGAGCCTATACAACACAAAATACTGTTGCTGTATGTAGGTTTTATTTTATTTATTTTTTTATCTTATATTTTGGAAATGTACATCCAGGTTTTTTTTCCTTTAAATTTTTTGGGGCCTCCCAAGAGAGTGGAGCACTAAGCTATAGCTTGTTTAGCTTATACGTAAATCTGGCACTGGCCACAGGTTTCCCATCCCGGAAAGAAATTGTATTTATATTTTAACATACTGAAACACCAATTGTGAAAATAAAAATAAGAAGTTGACAAATGATTGACTTTATTGGTATTCTGAGGCCCAGCCCCAACACTAGATGTTCAAAATAGTCTTTGGAAGTAACCCTTCTGCCACAACAAATGCTTGCGTATTTTTAGTAAATGGTTTTTAAAGAGGCATTGGAAATTCTGTAGGCAGGCAAGCGAGAAGGAATGGCTGAGACATTTTAGGACATTCTAATTATAACTTACAAGTGGGAAAGAAAAATAAATATATATATATATATATTAAAAAACAAAAAACTTACACGTCTAGTAATTCGCTTCATGAAAACATTCAACACACTTCCAAATGCATATTAGGATGTGCAAAGTCCACTCCATTCAAATTATATTTGGCTGACTACGTGGTTCCTCCATAAACAGTTGGAAAAAATATTGGTTATTTACAGGAGTTTGGCCATTGTTTTGAGGATTCCAATCTTTTGGGTGAAAGTTTTAGGAAAGTTTTATGTCTTCTACTGAGTCAGTGCATTGATCCATCTAGCTCAGTACTATCATCACCATTATATTTAATTTATCTACCACCCTTCATCCGAAGTTCTCAGGGCAGCCACATTAACTGGCAGCAGCTCTGAGGGATTTCAGGAAAGGGCATCTCCCAGCCTCACCTAGAGATGCTAGGAATTGAATCTGGGACTTTTCACATGCAAAGCAGATGCTCGAACCCTGAGATACTGCACTTTTGCTTTACTGCTTGCACGTTCTCACAGTTCCCCTGAGGAACTGTGGTGTGGGGTAGCTGAAGCAGCTGTGCAACACTCCTGTTTGTTGTCTAGCCTATGGGTAGGCAACCTAAGGCCCGGGGGCCGGATGCGGCCCAATCGCTTCCTCAATCCAACCCGCAGACGGTTCAGGAATCAACGTGTTTTTACATGAGTAGAATGTGTCCTTTTATTTAAAATGCATCTCTGGGTTATTTGTGGGGCATAGGAATTCGTTCATATTTATTTATTTATTCAAAATATAGTCCGGCCCCCCCACAACGTCTGAGGGACAGTGGACCAGCCCCCTGTTGAAAAAGTTTGCTGACCCCTGGTCTAGTCCAAATTATGAGGCACTGGGCCCCTTTTTGGGTGCTGAAGCATGGAGGAGTATATGATATCATCAGTTTCAACAGCAGAAGCAGTGATGCCAGCTAGATGACTAACAACTGCTACCATAGGGCCGATGTTTGCTCAATGGCACATATCGTCTTCTCTCCTCAGGTGGGAGTGGAGCCTAATGCATGTGTTAGCTTCCAGTTTGTCAAAAATCTTTTCGAAAAACCTCAGTAACGGATTGCTCAGTGGTGATCAGCAATAGCAACGTTTGGGATTTCTGCGGCAAAGAGTTCTCTGCACCTGAGCCTGCAATAAATCCGAATGTGGACCTTTATTTGCACAGGAATTGTTGGAGAGGTCACTGTGTTACCAATAAGTTTGTTATATGCACGGGCCTTCGCAAGAACGAAATCCTGCTGACAGGTCATAGATTATTTTAATGGATAAGGCCTACGTTAGCTATTTCAGGACTTTGCAAATTAGTTCATTGTGAAGAGCTTGTGCAGCAGCTATAAAAAATCTTTCCCTTCCACAGCCTCTTATCCCCTAAATCTCAGTAAATCTTAAATTAGTATTCTACCACACGCAAATCACGTTGGAATCTGTCTCCGTTTTAAGCAGGCTGATTGGGAACGAGAAAACTCATGACCATCAAGATGAGGTATCGGCTGTAATGCCAGTTACAGTGTGAATGCAATACTTTTAAAAAATTTAGCACTGAACTAACTCTTAAGGAATTGAAGACAACTTCTGTGCAATTACAGAAAAATGGGGACTATGCAGATTTGTCATTTGTCGATGTGCTGTCTGAACTGCTTTATCCACCAGAGAGGAGTTTGTGGACTTTGCAGTATTATCCCCAACCGCAAAAATGGGACAAGTAGTGGAGGCAACAATTCTAGCCCAATGTGAGGGAAAGTTTCTGTATTCTAAGGATGGAACTACACATTATGGGAGATATAGACCTGCATATCTCAATAAAGGTAAAGATAAAGGACCCCTGACAGTTAAGTCCAGTCGCGAATGACTCTGGGGTTGCGGCGCTCATCTCGCTTTACTGGCCGAGGGAGCTGGCTTTTGTCCACAGACAGTTTTTCCAGGTCATGTGTCCAGCATGACTAAGCTGCTTCTGGCGAAACCAGAGCAGTGCACGGAAACACGTTTACCTTCCCACCAGAGCGGTACCTATTTATCCACTTGTACTTTTGACATGCTTTCAAACTGCTAGGTTGGCAGGAGCTGGGACTGAGCAACGGGAGCTCATCCCGTTGCGGGGATTCGAACCGCCAACCTTGTGATCGACAAGCCCAGAGGCTCAGTAGTGGTGGAGTTGTGCTGAAGATGCAGGACTACTGTGTTTTGGGGGGGTGGGTCTCATGATGGGCTGTTATGCACATCACAGAAGGGAAGACTGCCTATGCCTCCTGTAATAAGTAGGTAGATTTGGAGTAACATTATATTTTGCACACAGTTTTCTTCTAGGAATGCTTTTGTGATCAGCTCATTTCATTACCGTAGCACTGGTATTTGCCTCCAATGTACATCAAATCAAATCCTTTATGGCACTTGCAAATATAGCTTCCGAAGGTATTGACGCACTTCCTGAACCGAGGACAGGTAACTCTGCCAGTGGCACATTCATCCACATCTACAAGTAGAAATCCATTAATTTCACCAAAAGGTTTAATCATAGTACATTCAAAAGTATGTTCATGCGACAAAACCCGAAGGTCAAAAATACTTTTTGGAAATTACCTTTGGCTCTAGCTTTGTGTTTTAAACTGCCTCACAGAAAATACAATTTTGTTTTTAAGGCATATCCATGCTCAACTTTTCTGTCTCTCCCCTCCCAAACTCAGGTCACACACAAGACTTCCTTTTGTGCCACAGTTCTAGGTACAGGACTGGACTTTAAAGTTCCATGTATGAGTGCTGGAGTTTTATTGTCCCAGAGCTTTCCCTGGGGAAATCCACGTTATACTGCGTTAAAACCAGATTTTTTTGCAGATTGTTGTTTGCTCCAATTCAGCAGTAAGACGCAGGTCTGCCCAGGAAAATGCCAGAACCCACCCCCCCCCAAGCTTAGACACAGAGCGTTAAAGCGTCTGTAAAACTGGATATAGGAGTAACACAGTTCAGTTTTGTTTCCCAAACCTGAATAGATTTTAGTATAGTATACAGTTACCCATGTGATTTTTGGTGAAGTACTGATTGTAGGAGAAACTTGAGGGGCATTAGCAACAGTTTTTGTTGGGGGGCAGTAAGGGAAAGATGCAAAGCCTCAGACTCATGCTTAAAATAGGCGGTTTGTTATAGTCTGAAAGTTGTCCGACACATTTCAAGAACGATCAATCCTGGGGCAAAAGGTCTTCATATATATTACTCTGTTGAACCAGTTGAATAAACTCACTCAGGGAACATTCCTTCAGTCATGAAAATGTTCTTTCACAAAAATATTTCCTGAGTGAATTGTTTCTGCCGAGGTACCAGGGTAAGAAATACAGTGACCCTTTGCTCCTGAGAAGATCATTCTCAAAATGTGTCAGGCAGTATTTTCAAAACTCCACTCTGAGACTTTGACCTTTCCCTTTCCCCCCAGTGCTGATGTGCATCAATTCATTCACTATTAGATATTGCCTTTAATTTTAATTAAAAGTCACTGGGTGAACTCACACAAAACACCCATGTATAGTTTTGTGCCCTCCAGATGTTGCTGGACTCCAACTTCCATCAGCCCCAGAGCCAGCATGGCCAAGATTGAGGGCTTATAGGATCTGTAATCCAGCAACATCTAGACGCATGGTACCTAGTTTAGCTGTATCCAGCCTGATCAAAGTGTCAGCTCACGTGCTTCTCCCCTGCAACATATAACCTAAGTCGTCTTTGTAGATGACAAAGTGGCAGCAGGATTGCCAACTTTTTAATTAGTTCTGCTCTTGTTAGTCTATCAGGAAAAAATAAGTTGGTGAAGGCTGCACTTAGCAGTAAGCTTTCTTGATCACAGTGCAAGTTACTTTCACGTACACAACCAGAAAGGATAGGCAACAAAATATATAGTCTGTCTCAGGTAAAAATGGGCAGTTTTAAGCATGTGCTATTAGGGTGTCTATGTGTTTTGCTGCTGGCATCCATCTGTCTCAGGAGATAATGAAAGAGTTCATCTTCAGGGGTGAAGTCAAACCATTGGAGAGTTACAGTGCCTGCTGTGGCTGTAGAGACAAATACAGGAGAGACATGTTTTGTTGCAGCTGGGGCAGATGACGGCATGTACCATGACATTTTTTCCCCTCTGCACTCCTCCTAGTGATCATTTCTCCTCTGGTCACTGCTGTGGATACATGACCTGACTGATTGTCTCCAGGCACTGTGGTCATCTGCAAGGGATTCCCCCATGCGTTGTCAGCTATCCTGTCACATTTGCGGACATCTTTGTAATGCAGAGTTGGTCTGCCAAGGGACCTGGTGCCTGAAGCCAGCTCCACATGGAGCACGTCCTTGGGGATCCTGCCAGCTTCTGTTCTGTGGACATGACCAAGCCAGTGTAGATGTCGCTGAGACAGGAGTGTGAAGATGCTGGGAATGTGAGCTTGGGAGAGCACATTTTTGTTTGAGGCTCTGTCCTGCTATGGTATCCCCCAAATCTTCCTGATGTAGCGCATGTGGAAGGCATCAAGGCATCGCTCCTGGTGATGGTCAACCATAAAGCAGTGTGGTCAACCGTGTGTGTGTGTGTGTGTGTGTGTGTGTGTATTTCAGCCAAACAACCATCTGATGTAGCTCCATGTAAAGCTAGGTGTCTTGCCTCCCACCCACCCGTGTCAATGGCCAACAACAACCACTGCTGACCAGAATTTCCCAGTGTGCATGAAAGGGAGAAATAACACGCTTACAACTTTTGACTTACCTACACAAGTTCTACCATCAGGAGCTAGTTGCAAGCCTGGGGAAGGACAACGGCACCGCACCTCCCCTTTCACGACATCACAGCCGTACTGACAGTTTGCCATTGAACATGAGAGAGCGTCTGTGGGAACATCATACAAATGAAATTATCTGTTATCAACAACAACATTTCAGAGGCTTTGTGAGATTGGGGAAGGGAGGCATAGCTCAGTGGCAGAGCATGTGTCTGGCTTGCAGAAGGTCCCAGGTTTAATCCCTGGCATCTCCAGGTAAGAAGGTGAGAGATTGCCTGCCTGGAACCCTGGAGAGCTTCTGCCAGTCAGTGTAGACAATATGGAGTTAGATAGACAGGGCTTCTTGGAGAACAAAACATGTTTTGTTTGATCTTACCTACTTAGTGCAGGAACCATCCTCAATCTGGTAAACCTCCAGGTGTTGCTGGACTAAGACTGCCATCATTCTTGACTTCTGGCCAAGCTAGAAGGCACTGATGGGAGTTGTAGTCTAAAACAACTGCAGGGTACCCAGTTGGAGAAGGCTGTTGTACAGCAAAGCTCCAGTATAGAGGGAGTCCATTATTCAAATGACCACCCTATCCTGTGGTGATTTTAATTGTCCGTATTCTTCTGTCAAACAGTCCCAGGTACTGATATGGGAAAAACATGTGACAGAATGGCTATATCTGTAACCACCCTGTGACTTTCTGTACCTTGAAATTACTCAAGAGGTTGGCCGCTGGGTTTTTGCAGAATGGATCTTTCAGTGAACTCACTAATGAAAAGCAATTTCCATTCTTAGGAGAAACTGGTATGCTTTTATCTGAAACCCTCCTTCTAAAATCTAATCTCTTGGCTGTAGGGAAGGTTCCGTCATTCCCTCTCCCATTCTTGGTGTGGTGAAGTATTCAAAATATTCGCTTTTGTAAGAGAAAGGAAGAACCTGGCCACTGGGGAGTTTTGTACTACGGTTTCCAAACACAGAAACCAGCAGGTGCTTGACAGTTTTAGTGAGTTGCGTTTACATTGTACAGTAACACGCAGCCAGGTATGTTGCAGCTCTTGCTAAGAACAACATTCCCAAATGAGCTGATTGTGAGCAAAAGAGAGGCTGTGCTTGTATATTTCGAAGAAATTCAATTTCTGCGTACTCCAAAATTAACTGACATGATCCACACCACCCAGACAAATGTGTAAATTGGAAGCTACAGTAATTGTCCTTCTACTACTCCAAATATTGCCTTTCAGTTCTTGGCTCAAAAAACCCAAACCAAAATTCATCAAGAATGTAGATTTTAAGATAAAATATATTTTGAAATGCATGTATTGACGAAGTACAATAGAACTTAGTTACATACAGTTCATGACAAAGTACAAGGGCTGTATATAACTAAGTTCTACTGTGAGTAGGGTCGTTGAAATTAAGGACCTAAGTTAGGTATGTCATTTAATTACTGTTGGTCTACTCTGCTTATGACTGACATTGGATACAACCCCATATTTTTACACACACACACATACACATATACACACTCAAACACTAATTTATATTTTTCATGTGATTATTTTCTGAAACAGGACAGAACAGATTTATCGATGAACATGGGCTGCAAAGAAACTGCTCTGTCCATCCCATATATCTTGCAATAATAAAAATAATGGGATGAATTATTCCATTTTTGTTTGCTTTTCCAGTTTAGCAGACCGTTCATCCTTTACTCACAGCAACGTTTTCTTTAATCAGTTAAAAAAAAACCCCTAAACAGAAGGGTCTTGACTTACTAGAACATGATCCATCTGGCATAAGCATGTATCCATTCAGACAATAACACTTGTAGCTGCCATAGGTATTCATGCACCGGTGTTTGCATGGTCTTGGTTTCAGACCACACTCATTGAGATCTAAAAAGGGCACAGAGGGGAGGAATCAAAAACAGAGCAGGCATTGCATATTGGCATCTTTAGAATTGCAGAAGATGGTAGTGATAAGGTTCTCAAAACCAGACCAGCCTTGATCCTAAAATGCCTCTTGCAATATATTCCCATACCTACATATAGTCAGAAGGACAGTCTGTTTGCAGTACTTCTAATCCCATAACAATAGAGGCATTGCACACTCTCCACTTCCATCCCACATCAATTATCCCTGCCTATGTAGCTGTAGTCAAGGCTTTTGTTGGCACCAGACTTAACCTGCATCAGTATAAACGATTCCTAAGGTCTGGTGTAAATCATAATCATTATTAAAGCTGGCTGGCTGGGGAGAGGAGGAGTTGTAAGTATGGAGTGTATGATTCAGCATCCCTCAGAACAGGGACAGGCAACCTTTTGTCTGTCAAGGGCTACAGGGCTAATCTGTCAGGGGCTACCTGCCAGTGAATCAAAGTCAGCATGCGATGGGGCCAGAATCAAAAGTGTGTGGAGTCATCCCTTTTCTCTTTCTGCCATTTGCTCTTCTTTTCTGCCATCCCCTTCCTTCCTTCCTTCTCTCCCTCTCTCTCTCTAGCTACTATCTCTTTTCTTTCTCTCCTTTTCTGCCACACCTTCCATCTTTTTTACCTCCCTCTTCCACCACCCCACTCCAACAGACTGAAGGGAGAGGGGCAACATAATTTTTGCCAGAATATTTTTAGGACTGACATTCTATCAGTCCTAGGATAGATTTGGCTATAGATAGGCACTCAATTGCTCCATTTCCTTTAAAATCAAGTTCAGCTAAACTCTATAGGTTAGAAGGCAGATATTAAGTGAAGAACATAAACTAAACCCAGCAGATAGAGTAGGTTCATATCTTTTTCTCTCCCAAATAATGCAGTGGCTTAGTAAAACAAAATCCCAGTCCACCTGTTGTATTGTTTGGATCATTCTACTGAGCTTTGAATCTGACACCATCTGGCATAATATATTTTGGTACTCAAGTGTAATGATATTGGCTAGCTATTAGTGGCATAGTCTAAGAATAATGTGCACATACTTTAAGTGTTTCTGCTGGGAAGTGTATTCATACTTTGTTCCAGTAAGCTTCTATAAGTTGCTGAATTTTAATTATATGCACAAAATATTTTTGCTGGCTTTACTCAATCGCTTCATCAGCAAGACAGTGCGAGCATCTAGTATAGTGCTAGAGTTTTGTTTAATGTTTTGAGATTCACTTCTTGCAAAACATTCTAGAAACTTTAGGAAGATGCATAAGGTCACATTTGTTTTCCCACCCCTGGTGTTCCATTCACCGGCCAAAAGCAATACAAGGGGCTTAATTAAGGGTCTCCATTATAATTCCATTAAATCTAAACAAACATTGTGTGATTCCTTCCCTTCCGCAGCCTTAGCTTCTTCTGGGAAATGGTTTACACTTTCAAGTTATATTTGTAACAGCTTTCCCTCTGCCTTGTTTAGAACACATAGTACACAGGCAAGTGAAAGAAAAGTCATCAAAACCCTTTTTACGGTTGTTGTGGCTAGTTTGTTGTTCTTTTCGCACATTTCTTACCATTTCAGAAGCACGTTCAATATTTCTGTGTAGCAGGTTTTGCTCTGTAATATTTCTCTCAGTGGTTTTCTCTTCCATTTGAACTAGCTAGGAAATGCCACTGTTTCCATGTGCCTTGTGAGTATCAGTTATGCTGAATCAATGCAATGGACATCTGAAAAATACATCACCTGGAACTACCTTAGCGTAGTTGCATGGGGTGGCCACAAATGTTGATGGACCTCAGCTACCATAGACTCTAACCAGAGGCCATACTGGCTCAGCCTGATGGGAGATGGAGTCCAAAAACATCAGGTTTCCCTTCCCTGTTTTAAAAGATATTCTCCACTTCTTCAACCATGGCACAGCTACCTTTCTCGAGAGGGGAATGGTTTCCATCAGTGGGGCAGTGAGAGCAACCACTATTTTCTCCAACCATGCTCCTGGAAGGATAATATATCATGACTGAATCAGGGAACTAGACACTTTAAAGAGGGACTTGTGCCCTGTGATACTCTCAACTTTCATCAGCCTTGACCACTGGTCATGTTGGCTGGAACTGATGGAAGTCCAAGCACATCTATAGGGCGCCATGTTGTCTGCTGGTTCCTTGGTGTGTGAAATCATTTCACAAATGTTGCATTGGAGAAATATATACATATTAGCTTTGTCTAGGTCAACAAATAATCCTTTCAACATCCCTGTAAATTAGATCACTATGATTATCCCTAAATGCCAAACAGGGTGTGTGTGTACGAGGCTAAAAGAAAGAGAGAAAGCAAAGAGAGAAAAGGCCATCCATTTTCATGGAGGAGAATAGTGTTTAGCCAGGAATTTCCTGGGTTTTTAAACAACTCATTCTCTTAGCCACTACACTTCACAACTCATTTTACATATGGTTTTATATTGTGATGTTTAGGGGAGGACTGTTTATCACTGAGCAGGTTCAGGCTAACATTCACATTTAGCTTGGAGTCAGAGAAATGCAAGACTCTTAATAAATTGGCACGCACATGCTGCATTTGCTGAAAAGGTCAGGAAACTTTATCTTTTGTCTATTTTTTATTTCACAGGCTCTCCAAACATTTCACTTAGCACAATTTCTCTCTGGACAAAAGAGGGGAAGAAGTATAACCCTGCAGTCTGAATCTTCTAAGATGAAAAGTTTCAAAGACTTTGCAGAATCTTTTCACAACATCTATCGCAATCCTCCTTGCTTCTTTGCGCTTCGCAAAATTTCTAATGGGGGTTAAGAGGTTTTTTTTAATGAACCCACTTATACTCCTCACTGAGATTTCCCTTCATTATTCCAAGTTAAACAATATGACAATGATGCTATTCACACTCATGGGGTGGGGTAGGGAACCAACAACAACAACAATGCAAGAATAGTGTCACCATCAAAGCTGCATACTGAAAAGCTTTTGGAGCAGGTTGGATGCTGCAGCACTTTGGAAAAGCAGTCTCAGATATAAGCGCAGGCTGCTAAGCTTGAACATCACATTGCAAGAAGAAAGACAGTTAATGTGAACACATGAATTACTCCAGAAAGACAACTGCTTGTGCGCTGCTATATTTGCATGAGAGCTACAAAGAGATAAGCAAGACTCCACCTACAATAATGTGGTGTGCTGTATGTAATAATGAAATATTATTTGCTCTTGAGGATATAATTGCATCCCTACATTTCACTATTGGTCTGAAGCTGCTTTCAGACATACATCTGGGGTCAGCATCAGGGGCTGGCATCAACGGATACCTACAAAGAACCACAACCTGCTGGGTGCCCATCTCTAAGCCCTGGAGGTGCCAAATCCTGCCGCTCTTTTTCTTTGCTGTGTCTACCTGTTCACCTGCTGTCTCTAAGCATGGAAGCAATGACAAGGGTGATGCAAAGGTTGGATGGACCCTGGGGAAGAAGACAAATTGGCAGCAATGACAATGAGGAGGAGGAGAGCCCCATCAGAGAGGTGAGTCCCCTAAAGGAAGCTTCTTGCCCAAGGCCCACCCCAAAAAACTAGCAGTGTCCTCTTTTCACACAATTAACTCTGCAGATTCCTAGTATATGGAAGTGACAAGTGTATGGAGGACACAGCCTGGGGCTGTTTAAAAAAAGCATAGGGAGAGATTCATGTCACACCTTGTGTCACATCTCAAGTACCATCCAGCGAATGGCTTTGACACTACTGAGAAGACTTTCCCCACAGAGGAGGAGATGCTATAGTGTGAATTGCAGGGGGGAGGGCAATGGTCACAATTTGTCAGCAACAGGTGATCCTGGACTGAAGTGTGAGCACAATTTTCCCAACAACAAAAGCACCTGCACCCAGCAGCCCTCCTTTTCCAACCACCACCAAGGATCCCTAGCAAAAACACAGCACTGCTCAAGAGCGTTCAGATTTTGATCGTCAGCTTCAAACTGTACTGTGCCAGCGAGCATCACAAACAATCGGGAGCAAGGATCTGTGTGGCTTGATGCAACTTTTAAGAATTGGTTGTTGCTGGCGCTGTCTCGAAGGACAGTGGAGTGGGCCTCTGGGGGTGAAGTCAAACCACTGTTTTTGCAGTACTGAAGTGACGTCCCTGGGGGCGCAAGCCTGGGCAATGTGTTTAGAGGTCCTCGGCTGCCCAGGCAACAAGCCCCACCCCACCTCGGCCTCTCTGATTCGGTCCAAAAGGAAAGCAAAGCAATACGTTTGGCACCAGCTTGGCTTCAGGAGTTGCCAGAAGGAGGCGTACAAGATGCCATCCGTCTTGGGGACTCCAATCCGGATTTGTGCAGAGTTTACTCCTTTCCCTGTTCTTCTCCTGAAGATATCCCACAAGGCAGTGGAGATTTAGGATCAGAATTTTCCTTCTCCTAGAAGGGCTATCTTCCCAGGTTGATGAGCTCCATCTGCTCCTTGCTTCCCTCTACAGCGTGTACAGAAAATGCCTTCTTGACTGTTGTTCTAATACCAAGTCAAGTTATTTAACCATCCATCCCAGTGCTGTCTTCTCTGCCTGGGAGTGGCTCAGGAAGAGACCTCAAACAGAGATACTCCTGTTTGAAACCATCAGGAGCCATTCCCAGTCAGCGTAGGCAATAGTGAGATGGATCAATGATTTGACTTCAGATATGGCAGCTTCTTAATGTCTACTTATGCTCCTAACTGGAGATTCAGTAACTGAACATGGTCATTCTGCATGCAGAACATGTGCTCTGCCACTGAGCTATGGCCACTCTTCCTCAGATATTAATGCCTATGTCAGGATGGCATGTAATGCTGTAAGTTGCAAGACTGCCTGTATTGGTCATGTGTCACTGCCATTCCCACAGTACATGTTATGTTTTACATGTATTAAACATGCTAACCCAGACATTAATATCTGTGTCAGAACTACCCCAATATTAAAGATTATGAAATAAAATTCTTCGGCCTATTTCAATCAGACTGTTTCCTTAACCAATGCAGGATTTGGGTTTTCTTGTATTTTGTTTTTAGTGCTTTGGTATTTTATGGATTTGTAAGTTGCTTTGTGAAAAGTGATGAATAAATGTAAATAACAACTATGGCAACAGACTGTTTTCTTGGTCTGAAAAAGAGCTTAGAAAAAGCAGCATGTGTCGTAAAAGATCTGAGTAGGAAAGGAACTATGAGAGCAAATGAAGAGAATTGTCTAAGGTCAAGCCTTTCCAGGAGAGAGAATTGCAGCCTCAAGGAAGTGTCAAAGCAAAGTCGCTTTGCATGCCAATTATATTGCAGGCTGGGCTTTCACATGGCAGCCAGAATAAGTTCATTGTCCTTTCAGCACACTTGCAAGAGGTTTCATGGTGGGGGTTTAAAGCCGTGCAGGTGGAAGGAACGCACCACCTGAAGTAAAGGATTGTCCTCACCCCTCCACGGGAAATGTGTTGCATGATGATCTGGAGGGCTGAAAAAATGTGGTTCACTGGGCCAGTCATGTGAGGTGGCATATGGGTGGTCAGCTTCACATGTTGAGGAGAAGGCATAGCAGAAGTCAAAAGACCGAGACCCAGTAAAACAACATGGCAAATACCATCAAATACCTGTATGTGCAGGCATGGAGCTCTGGATCAGGAGAATTTTAGGCGTATCCCGTTATAGACCTTCACACTGAACACCAAGCGAACTACAGATTGCACATGAAAAGTCTTTTGCATGTAACTTATGCTTCCCTCCTAATCCAGAGGTGGAAGTGCTTACTTTCTGGGGAGAATCAGCAGATATTCATGGCTATTTTACCCTTTCTTTGCATACAGATTCTGTCCACCTAGTATTCTATCCCACCCCCAACAGTTTAAAATCATTTCCCCTATGTCAATTCCAAAAGCAGAGCCCTCTGGGAAAGCTGTTTCAGGGAAGAATTAGTGACCACAGGCCAGTAAACTCCGCATGTCTGTTATCTTAGCCAGCACACAAATGGATCCACAGGTTTGCCTCCTAGTTCTACTGTAAGATTTGTCGAGGTCCTGCTGATTCTTTGAACTGTGACTATTTCAGATTATTATTTCAAATGAAATGTAAGTGACCACTTATATGTCATAAAAAGAGGAAATGCGTCATCATCACCACCATAAAAAAGGAATGACACTATAAATAGAATGCAATAGAACGGTAAAGTTGGAAGGATCATCTAGTCTCAACCCCCCACAATGCAGAAATATGCAGCTGTCCCATGTGGGGATTGAACCTGCAACCTTGGCATTATCAGCACCATGCTCTATCCAACTGAGCTATCTCCCACAGTATTACTATAAATCAAGTAGAAATCCAATACGTCTCGTAGTGGGAAAGTCTGTTACCAGGTAACCTGTGTGCCTGCTTAGTCTATTCTCCAGGTGTGAATGGCTGGTGGGCAACTTCAAGGCCCCCACTCTCCCTTCTTCTGACCATCTTTAAGCCAGACATGGGCCAGTCAAATAGAGGGCTGTCATCTGCAAAGTAGGATACATGGCTACCATGCAAATGTGTTATGGCAAAAACAAATGTGAAAGTCACTGAAAAAGTACATGGTAGATTTTCTGTTTTCTACTCACTCAATTTACTGTACAATCCTCTGAGAACATCTATGCATATGGCCTCACTTCAGGTAAAGGTGTATAGGATTATAGCCTAAGGCAGCAGTTCTAATGCACACCCTCTACCCTTAGGACTTTACAGATCCACCACAGAATCACAACCCAGTTGCTCACAGCATCAGCTGCCAGAAGTGGGAAATTTTAATGTCTTCAGCTCAGCTAAGTTGGGGAAAGGAGAAGAATTTGGAAGTCATGTATGCAATCAATTAATTAATTAATGCAAGCATTTGATCACATAAACATCATTATTTCATTTCAAAGTTCTGTGTTTAGTGTGCAAGAAATGGAAATAAATGTTAAATGTCCTGCCTTACGAAAAGGAATTGTCTTCCACTTGTTAATGAGAAGACCCTTAAATGTGTTTAACACACAAACACTTGCACATTTATAGAACTCTGTTATAAAGGGAATGCACAGGAATTGTAGCCTTTTGGGATTATGACAATCATAAATGCAGTGAAAATAAATTGCCACAGACAACACCATCCGGTTGGAGCTGGACAACTCCATCTGATCTCATTTCCAGCAGGAGAACTTTTATTTGATGATGGTGCGATAATAATTTAGGGAGACATTTCCCATTCAGGAAAGGCCATTCATATTACAAAATGACATTGACCTATAATAGAGCCAGGCAGTGGATGCCAAAGAAAGCAACAATAATTACACCCATCCGGCCGCTTGACGTGTGATCTGCAGATCTGCCTCATAAGTACAGTTTGTTTAAAATATAGGCAACTCTTTGCAGCCAGGGCTAGAGGAGTGAACAGCTTAATCTGGTCAGGTAGGGTGTTGGGCCCTATTGCAAAGCTCTAATTGATTCCTGTTGAAATCAATGAGAGGAAGAGCATATCAAAGCCACTGGGCATAGAGGTAAATGTGTCTTTGTGTTCAACATGCAGGTTTTTAACAAATGCAGATAGTATCAGTACAAGCACAGTCCTCACCCCATATATCAGCTGATTCTATTCTATTCTATTCTATTCACCCCATACATCAGCTGATTCTAAAATCTCACAGGAAAGCTCCTCATTGAAATGAATTGGAGTCCTATGATTAAGTAGCAGATTTGTCAACAGGATGCTGTGTATAATCTAAAATCAGCATGAGCTTTCTTCTCTCTGTTGAGCTCATTTCACAACAGCTCCTCAGTTTTTGATATTTTAAATTGCTGCGGACCTACAGTATCTTTGTGGCGGGCACTTCTGAGAGCTGAAGTTCTAGAATAAAAGCAATACATAACATTTCTCCCCAAAGTAAAACAATATATATGGCAAAGTGCCTGTAAGATGGAGAAAAAGAAGGAAGCAGAGGAAATGAGGTCACAGGGAGGGTGGGCTTAGATTCCCCATGAATCCGTCAAGGAAGGATTAATATATCCAAACAAATGAGTTTTAAAAAGCGTTTAGAAATCATTATGCCATCAGAGGATTAGTAACTCTCAGGGAACACAGTTCTGTACAGCACCACCTTACTCAAATTGTCAGGTTTTCTAAAACACTCGTTTGCTTTTCTGTAATGAGCTTAGGAAAGCTTTATCAAGGCTAGCTGGAGAGAGTGGCTGTGACTTCCTTAAGTACCTGGCAGTGCTCAGCACTATATAAAATAATACTTTGGGGAGAAGTGAATAAAAATAGTGTAATATGTTGACAATAATGGCCATTTTAAACAACACTGTTCTTTTTCATTATAATATGATGGGGTCATTGTGGGTAGTTTGCTATTACAAAGTGAAACTGGAATTATTATTATTATTATTATTATTATTATTATACTTTAAATTAGCATGGGGACTTGCTTTCATAAAAGCAAGGTCCTTGTTACCTAAATCAAAACCAGCATTTTAAGTTTTAGGCCTTACAGCTGATCTTGGAAAGGAACCAATCTTGTACCTCTAACAACAAAAGCACTTTTTTTAATACTTTCATAAAATGGATTGTGCTGGGATGCAGTATTAGCAACTCCCAAGTGGGTGTCTTTGAGAAAGGTGGAAGCTCTAATTCAATTCAAGTAGGTGATTGGTGCTGTGATTTTCATGCAGGGAGACCTAGAAACTCCAGTTCATAAACTGCATATGGCAGGAAATGACCGCCATTGATATTTTTCCACCAGTTCTTCTTGGGCATCACCAATAGGGCTGCAAATATATGAACCAGCTTTCACCCTGCTAAATTCAGCAGTATGTCAGCTGACCCAAGGGCAGTTGAAACTTGAACTAGCTGCAGAACATTTAGTTCAAGTTTTAATTGCTCTTTTCAATACCTTGAAGCAACACCACATTCCTTAAAATAACATAAATCTTACCTTGATTGCATGTTTTCCCAGTGTATCCTGGATGACACTTGCACTTGTTTGGTCCAACGCATTCCCCATGTTTACATCCAGGCTGACATACAGCTGTGAATACACGTAAGCAGACTTGTCACTCTTCTTGTCGAACTGAGGTGCACAAACATTATTTGATTATAATGCATTTGACGCAGTGGTCTTATTCACATGAAATGCTACGCCAAACCATGGTTTAGTGAGACTTACTGAGCAAATATCATGGCTGGTTTTGCTCCTCCTCTGGGCCTGTTGCTGCCATGCTACCCTGAGCTAAGGCATTGTTTGAACCTGGGCTTGTGGTTTGTGTCACTCCCAACAATCCACAAGTTTGTCCTTTGTCTACAGGTTGTGGATTGTTTGGGGGATGTGCCATGAGCCCAAGTTTGCACATAATGTTCATAATGCATAGCTCCAGGTACTTGGGGAGCAGCAGCACAGGGTGATGATGGAAGCAGTTGGATTTCCTCACCCTTGCTAAACCATAGTTTAGGGCCGGTGAGGAGTAAAGGAGAGAGTTGGAGCACAGAAGTGATGGGAAGAAGCAGTGCTCAATCCTTCCCTGCTCACCACTTTTCTGCTACAACTCTCCCCTGCCGCCCAATATGCTTCCATTAAAATACACACAAACAAGGGGGGACATGGTTAGCCTCACTTTTAAGTAATTTAATTTAAAATGCAAAATATAACATGTGGGTTGCTGAGGGAATGTATTGTATGCCCACTACAACTTCCAATGACACTATGAAGAACCAGTAAAAAAGGATATAGCAAAATAATAGGCCTATGCATATCTACAACTAAGCTGCATTGAGTGCATTGGGATTTATGCCCAGATGTGGCTGGGGCAATGCAGCCAGATGGGTGGGGTATGGATAATAAATTATCATTATCATTATCAGATATGTATAGGCTTGCAGGCTAAGTGTGTATAGAGTTACAGCATAAGTCCATACATTCATACCATAATAAGGTGATAGTTATTTATTAAAAGGAATTTTAAAAATATATACTACAGATGCATGCATTGTGTATGTTTTATGCATACTTTGGAATGTCATGCTTGAACTTTTCCTGCTATTAAAACTTAACCAGTTGTGTCTGGACACATGTCGGGTCCCTCTTTCACCATACATACATAGCCTCATGAGCCAGTGTTGGTTCATAATTTGTAGGCAAGGAAGAAGCTTTCAATTAAATGAAGAGTAGCCCTTAAAAGCTTCTCTAGACAGGCACTGCAAATGCATTTTCTTGTCAAAAGTATCTCCATGTATCTAGTATGGATGACACTGAAAACATGGAACTTAATAGGTTGGCAGTGACATTTCCTGAATTTTCTATGAAAAGTTAGTGCATAAAATATCACATTTCTAGAGTACAGGATTGGTGGGGAAGCAACCTAAGGCAATGATTAAACTGCCCTTTCTGATTAAGGGACACATAACTATCCTAGTTGTACATTAATTTAAGTTTTCTTAATCCAAATAAAAAATAATATGTAAGTTTCTAAAACACATGCTTCATTCATGAAACGTATTTTACTATAAAGCCATTGTAATGGTTCGATGTGCACATTTACAACCTTTTAATGTGCTTTCCCAACACTTTATTGTGGGCAGCTGGCCTTTAATCTTTCTCTCTCTCTCTCATATTGGAATGACAGTGCCAAATGTTGGACAAATGCTTCCATATGCAATGGGGAGAAGCACTGGAGAACTAAACTTGTGGCCATCTTAAATAAAACAGGTATTGGAGTTCCAATCACCCACCATATTATGGCATTATTATTAGGCTTGTGTATGAGAAAACTAGTGCAAACAACATCCTGCTACTGTTTTTGAAAATGGCTTTCATACTGCACATACTTTACCAAAAAGTATGTTTTTTGCTTTACCAAAAAACAAAAATCAAGTCCCAGGTACCTAACCAGCTAAGCTACTTACATTTTATGTAGCAGTAAATCAATATTGCACATCAAGATAATATATGACAAGCATTCCTTTGTATGGTACATAATGTTGGAACACCTCCAGGAAAGTTCAGTGCAAATTACTCATACACCAAAGTCTGAAGCAGTATTTCCCAAATCTTATGCTGCAACAGAGGCTGAAATTGGCTTCAAAAAATTAAGCCACCATGTTGGATGAGTTCACCATTTTTTCCTCACAAGAGCTGGGAGGCTCTGGGGCAGATTTGATCCTCATTCTCTGCCAATATTTGGTCAAATGGCATCAGTCCAGGAGCCCTTGTTGTGCCTTGCATTAAAACTGACAGGTGTGAGGAAATCTCACATTTGTCAGCCTTGCTCAGAAAGCACAATCACATCCCTAAGCCTAGCTGACTAGGCAAAAGAGACACCAGAAAACCAGAAGGCAAGGCAGCCTCTGGTTCTGTGAGCTGGTTGATAAAATATGTGTGCTCACCAGAGTGTGTCTGAAAACTCAACATGGCAAGTGGAGTTGGGGTTCCCAGTTTTCGGAAAAAGTAGAAGGAATCAAACAATTGTTTTAAAATGTATACCATGCCAATCACGTGCCCCTTCCTCTGCTTGTTTACTGGGAAGCTCTGCTAAATTAAATTGAACTTTCTTTCAAGAAGTATGCATAATATTTTAGCTTTAGGCTGCAATCCTAAAAAAACCTTATTCAGAAGAAAGTCCAATTGAATCCAGTGGGACTTACTCCTGAGTACTCGGGCAGAGCAGCTCTAGGCATATTTACTCAGAAGAAATAAGTCTTGCTATACTTAATGGGTCTCACTCCCAGGTAAGTGTGTATGGGTGTGTGCTACTCACACCGATTTCAAGTCACAATGAGGTTAGACCTCTTTAATAAATTGTAAATATATTACAAAACATATTAATAGCATCCATAAAGGGATAAAACAAAGTATTTGGAGCTTAAAGCCTAATCATTTAAATATCAAGTCATATATATATATATATATATGTCTACATTAGTCATTAAATACATTCATGAAGTTCTGCTATCCCCCTAAAATAATAAGCAAAGTAATTACATGCATATTTCCTGTTGGGTTGTTATATCATTCTTGCGCTCCATGCATGACTTTAGAGATCATGCCTCCAAAACACCATCTTGCCAAAATTATTTTGAGAAATATGTTCAGCTAACCTTTGGGCTGGCACCTTATCCTGGCTATTCTCTGCCTTAAGATGTAGAAAGCTGCAAAACAAATGTCCATAAAAAGCAATTCCAGCTTTTTGTGTTTCCCTGCAAGGAGGATGGACTTGGCTTGGATTTTATCAACTTGCTACATTCCCGGTGACTTACACACATTCAACATTCAGAGCTTTTTTTCTGAAATAAAAAAAATAAACTGGGACACGTTTAAAAATAGAAATGTCTTATGTCACTATCTTGTTATGAGACGTCTGCAAACAGATGTTGCAATGCACTCTCTATGAAAGTTACAAAAAGGAATGATGTTATGCTATTCTTATTTCACCCATCAAAGAATTCCAAGTAAACAGTGAATAGGACAGTGTTTCCCCCCACTTCCAGCAGCAAAGGTATGCACCATTCCGCAGTCCAAATGTAAAGCATCTTACAGAACAGTGTTGGGTTGTGAGGTTTTTTTTGCCTTTAAAGAGACAGTATCCCTTCATATCCAACTATAATAACAGATTTCCCCCTAACTGTCTTCAGGGTGCTAACTCTGGTTAAACTGACATCCCTTGCAACTTGAGTAGATTTTTAACAGTTGGGGACCAATAAAGGAACCAGCCGTCTTTTCATTTTGGTTTTCATTAAACCTAAATAAAGCTTTCGGTCCACAAACCCTTTCGACTTCCATAATGACAGATCACGTGAAAGGCAGATCGCCGTACTGTAGAATCAAATGGAAATTAGATGAAATATGTTTGGCTTCAAATACTCTGCCATGCCTCAACAACTGATTATAGTACTGGATTATTTAAAAACATGCAAAATATCAAGTCCAGATTTTGTTTTATTGCATTAACAAGATGGGATTGCAACACATCTGGAGCCTAAGAGTTCAACTTCAGTATCACTTGTGTGAGTTTAAATTCAGATTTAAAGTGGAAGTTCTGACTCAAAGCCAGACCCTGATGAAGCTCAGGCCCAATTGCTCCCTTTTACCTTTTCAAGGAGTGTGGCCACCAGAGATTATCCTGCTCTGCATGCACCCCCTATATGTACACCATATTGTGTCAACCGTCTGTCCAACACTGATGGAACAGTTTGCCAACAAAAAAGCAGCAAGTGGTTTGGAGGGGAAGTTTAAAAAGACGCACGCCTGCATGGCTTTTTGCCCCCTAAAATATCTGCTACTGAAGGCCACTTTTGCTCCTGGGCACATGTCTCTCTGTGTTGGTGCTGAAGCAGCAGGATTGGATAGATATGAGAAGAAAAGGTAAGTCTCTTCAAAGGTAAATGAACCCCTGACCATTAGGTCCAGTCGTGGCCGACTCTGGGGTTGCGGCGCTCATCTCGCTTTATTGGCCGAGGGAGCCGGCGTACAGCTCCCGGGTCATGTGGCCAGCATGACTAAGCCGCTTCTGGCGAACCAGAGCAGCACACGGAAACGCCGTTTACCTTCCCGCCTATTTATCTACTTGTATTTTGACGTGCTTTCAAACTGCTAGGTTGGCAGGAGCAGGGACTGAGCAACGGGAGATCACCCCGTGGGGATTTGAACCACTGACCTTCTGATCGGCAAGTCCTAGGCTCTGTGGTTTAACCCACAGCACCACCCGCGTCCCAAGACCTCCTAAATGTAGCACAGTACAAAACAATACAGCCAAATTTCACATATATACCTTTTGCTACGAGTTTTGTTGGAAAGCAAATGGTGCCAGTTACTTGTGTATGGGGAAAATGGGTCTCAGTGTGCATGGGAAAGGATACTGTTTCCTTAATACACAATTCATTCCTCTGCGGTGTTTTGCTTAAAATACATTTTGATGTTTTAAAGCAACACGCTGGGGATGGGGGGGGGGGGAGCGGAACAGAATAGCAGAACCTCATTTTTGACATAAACACAACAATGCAGTTCTGTACTATAGGTACAGCATAGTTAAAGATTCACAAATTGAAGTATAAAGAGTTAAAATAAGAGTCCCAAATTAAAAGCTCTTTTAGTGAGAAAGTTCTATTCCAGGTCATCTTCAAGACCATCATTTAATTTCTGCTTAAGAGTTCAGACTAGGGCATATTTAGTTATTATACAGAATTGCATTTATGTTCAAGCACACAACACCCCCCCAAACAACTAATGGCTTCCCCACCCACCCCAATATCTGTAACTCACGAAGGAATTTCCTATGGGCAACACTCAAAAACAATCCCCACAATTAAGCATAAACATGCATGAAAAGGAATACAGTATCAGTAATTTGAGATGGCAGAATCTAGCATGTATTTTTATCCCCAAAGCATAAAGGAGGAACAGCAGTTTCTAGAGTGTTGTTTCTTTGCAGCTGTAGCAAGAAGGCAGAAGCATGCAGAGCTCTTGGTTATATAGCAGCATCTACAGCACCCTCCATAATTGTTTTCGCAAGCTCTGAACTTTCTTACATGCATTCTACTGCAAGTAGAATATCCTGCACAGATTAAGAGTCACACTCTTAATCTCAGGGAGGTGGGTTTGTCAGTGGCTGTTGTCAGTGGGTCCTTTCAACTCTACAATTCTATGATTCATTGAGTGTTTTGTTGAAGAAGGCTAAGCAATGCAGCCAGTTATTACACTATATTTTCATTACCAAGGATATTTTACTGGTGATGAATTTAAAAAACAAAACTTTGTGTTGTATCCAGTGTCATGTTTAGTCACTTAGCACTACGCATGCTCTGCTGGTGAAATGTTTGGCACCAGCAAAATGTTGCTACACAAGAGAATGCATAAGAAGATTGCCGAGAACTTTGTTGCACAACAGACAGTGCAACCTGATGCACAAGTTTCCACAAGTGCAACTGTTGCACTGGATTTATCTGTTGTGCAACATTAAAGCTCACCCATCCACTAGTGTAAGAGCCTGTTTGCTAGCAGACAGAGGCTAGTGGATGCAGCCCTGTCTTATTCTTTAACCGTTAGCTCAGTGGGTGTTAAAAGCTACATTCCGGTCCCTAAGGAGCTTTATCAGATATTGCTCAGTGTCATTAGTAGTAGAAAAGTGTCCCTGAAATACAGCTTGCTCAGTGCTGCTGAGCTTTCCCTGCAACGCATAGCCTCAGGGTCGTGTTAGGTCCTCCCTAAGTTCAATGGTGTAGTGGGCAGGCAGAGGAGAAGTACCAGAGTTTTTCCTCAGAGCTGAAGCAATAGTGCCCTCATAAATGGGTGTGGGGCATTCCACTTTTTCTAATAATGACAATCCTGTGAGGTAGGCTAGGGTCAGATAGTGATCAGGGATGTGAACCCAGGCTTCACCAGACCAAGTTCAACAGGAAACCAATGTACCACTCTTCTTCAGCTTCCTATCCTATGACTGTCAACTCATCCCAATAAATTAGGTATTTATGCTACGCATTGCTGCTGTATGTGTGTCTGTGTGCACTTATATGTGTGTTGGGCTCAACACTGTTGGGCTCTCCTTGGGGGTGTTAACAATGGACTCTCCTTAGGAGAGAATACTCAAGGTTTGAGAAACACTGAACTAAGCATAAGCAAGATTCTTCCAGAGATCCTTGCAGTCTATCATTAAGGGGTGACAATTATTTCCCCTGCCCATACTCTATAAGCATGACATATACCTGTGTAAAGGCATCTGGTAATCCTGAAATGACCAGAACAAAGCCAATCAAGTCCAAAAAGTTGAGATTACATTCTTTAAAAATCTGTGAACTGTCCTGCTTGCCATGCTTACATTTTTAGAAAGAAGTCCACTATTGCTCTGAAGATGTAGCAACTTTAAAGGCCACATGTGCAACATAGCTTGATTTGTTAAAGCTGCTGTGCAAACAACAAGCAACAATCAAGCATGCAGGTCAGCCCAGAATAGGTTCATCTTACCAAAATAACAGCAAAGGCATATAGTGGCATTTTAAAACTATGTTACAAAGAACCCTGAGGCTCCATGTAAGCTTCTCAGAGGTTTCTAAATGAGAAGATCAATAATGATAGGCAAGTTTCTCTGAAAGACAGTTTGAATGTCCATATATTGGTCCATATATTTAGGATTGTGCTAGCATGCTCTCTCATTTCTCATAGTGCTATTCTATAGCTCAGCAGGCCTGGCAGAATTCTGTGCAAGCTGACAAGACCCTAAGTTAGTGATGGCCATTAACTTCAATAGGTCTACTCTGAGAAATATTTGTTGAATACAATCCAAAAGCTAAGAAATAAAATAAGTTTAAAAAAATACAATTTAAAATCATATAGCACCTAGAATATCACTTTACAATTTGCTGCAACAGGCAAAAAAAATCCTTCACCTGTCCACCAAGACCTTCAGCAATTTTCAAGTGGTCCAGGTGCAAAAATTTGGGAATCACTTTATTTGCTGTTGAGTGGTACACATATTCTGTTAAACAAATAAATAAAATAAAAATGTGTGTATTTAAAAAGCAAAACACTAAAAGTAGATTGAGTAGGACTGTCACTCCCATTCAGGGGGGAGGAGGAAAGATGCTCAGAAATGATGTAACCCATATGCCTCATATTCAGCTATCTTTGCAAGTAGCCTTTCGTTCACCCAGCTCCTTAACTGCCTGGCATGCTAAGACCTTAATGTAATCGTACCCAGTATGCAATACTATCACATAAATACACCATATGTGTCATCTAGTCCCTTAACGTATTCCAGGCATTGCTGATTTCTAATTAAGGGGCAGCTTCTCAGCTGATGCAAAGCAACATTACTTTATAACCTTCATCATGTGGCCAAAGGGAGACGGAGACAGTTTTGCCTTCCTGCACAGGGCTGGGGAACTGGGACCAAAGGACAAGTGGATTCTGAATATACACTAGAGGTGTGGTCTTCCAGATGTTAGACTCCCAGCATGGCTAATGGTCAGGGGTGATGGTGGCTGAAGTCCGGCAACATCTGGAGGACCACAGGTTCCCCATTTCTCTCCGATATCCACAATGTTCTGGAAACCTTTGTCTTTGATGTTCAACCAAGTCATGTTTGCCTCCATCTGACAACACTATCAACTCTTCTCAAATTTATGTTGAGCCGAACCTACCTTTGCCCCATTTCAGTGCAGCACCAGTGTTTTGTGCAACACTAGCCCTGACCGGAGGGACGTGGGTAGCACTGTGGGTTAAACCATAGAGCCTAGGACTTGCCGACCAGAAGGTCGGCAGTTCGAATCCCCACGACAGGGTGAGCTCCCGTTGCTCGGTCCCTGCTCCTGCCAACCTAGCAGTTCGAAAGCATGTCAAAGTGCAAGTAGATAAATAGGTACTGCTCTGGCGGGAAGGTAAATGGTGTTTCCGTGCGCTGCTCTGGTTCGCCAGAAGTGGCTTAGTCATGCTGGCCACATGACCCGGAAGCTGTACGCCGGCTCCCTCGGCCAATAAAGCGAGATGAGCACTGCAACCACAGAATCAGTCACGACTGGACCTAATGGTCAGGAGTCCCTTTACCTTTACTTTTAGCCCTGACTGGCGAGCCAGAAGCAGATCACAGTCATACACAGTCAGGCACTGTCTCCCTTGCCAAGAGGCCAGGTCTGCACAGGAGATGGGCTTGAGGGTATGCATCCATGGCTTGCAGTGAAATTTTTTGTAGGGGAATAATTCAGGTCAGAGGTGCCAGCTTGTAAATGCAATTGGGGGCAGGCGATGTCATGCATGTGATGTCTTGACATCCTGACATGAGCGTTGTGCCTCTGTCCCTAAACCAATCAGAACCTTCCCGGACTTTAGGAAGGAGGCACCAGGGGAACATTTAGGCGACTAGCCTAGTCACCCTAGCCCACTGACCGCACCCAGTGGGATGCATCCATGTTGAGTCAGAGAGATAGAGTGGAGATTTTGCTACTAACCACCTTGCCCCTCAGCAGTCTCTCTATCCAAGCTGGCAGAGGTGGTCTTGAGTGTGATGCCAGAAACCCACCAGATGCTTGTCTTGGGAGATTTCAGCATCCATGTGGAGGCTACCTTGTCTGCCCCAGCTCAAGACGTAATGGCTGCCATAACAACCATGGGGCTGTCTCAGTACATCACTGACCCAACTCATTAGGCAGACATATCCTCAACCTGGTTTTCATGACTGGGCAGTGGGTTAATGTTTCAGTTGGAAGGGTAGATATTGAAACGATCTCATTGTCAAGGACCAACCATTTCCTGGATTCCATCTTGCCCCTAGAAGCCCAAATGACTTTGGCAGCATGGGATGTCTATTTCCAGCTACACCTGCTAGCTACAGCCTAGACAGGGATATCCTGGCTGCTGTGACCCACATTCTAGTGGATTCCCATTTAAATTACTGCAGGGTGTTCTGTACGGGCTGGCTTTGAACACAAGCCTGGTCTTATTTATGTGCATATTGGGATGGAAGGGAAATTCCTATTTTCTGTGCAACAACCCAAACTCTTCTTTGCAGTATATAGAAGTGGTGAAGAGTTGGCATGGCTACAGGAAAAACCTTGAGGCACATACCACTCTTCATCTGTATAGGAGCAAGGCCAAATTCTATTCCCTCAAAATATGAGTGGGAGCTTTGCATTTCAATGGAGTGGGGAAAGGCAGGCCATTTGCAGACCTGCATTTCTGGACACTTTTCAAAGATTTTCTTCTCTATAGTAAACATGCTGAAAGTTCTTACTGAGGTCAAATATGTCATTACCATACCAGCTTAGTTCCTCAGTGCAGGCCCATGCCACCAGAATGTTCTTGTGTAAAACTCCCATCTTCCTTGCACAGGAGGTGGTCTGGTGGATCATGCCCTGGTTTTAGATCACCTGTCCTCAAAGTAAACAGCAGAGGGGAAAGTCTTATCTGAGCATCTATAGATAAGAATTTGCTTTCATTTGGCTTAAAGTCCCTCTATGAGCCACACTTCTCTTTCTTGCCCAGATGGAGGACCAAGGGTTAAAACTCAGTGTGTTTTGCAAGTTTAGCATATACAATCAGAAGCACCACTGAGTTTAAGGGCGCTTACTTATCAAATCATAGAATTATAGAGTTGGAAAGGACCACCACCCACCGGCTCACTCCAATAGTTAAAAGAGAAGGTGCTTCAACACCTTCAACACCCAATTGCCTTATAATTTACAAAAGTGATTATTGCATAGCAAAAATCTAGTGCACCTGCAACATTTGTCCAAGATGGGGGGGAATACATGACCAAAAAAGGACAAGTTAATCCACATAGTTACATATGACTGGGTTTAGTGAAGTTCTCTATTACAGAAAAGAAAACCTGTGTTCGTGATAATTAACCAGATGCTCATAAACGGAGACATATAATTATTTGTGTCTGCCTTTTTTCGGTACACTGTGGCTGACTTAATCTGCTGAGTAAAATTTAATAATGTAACAATTCTGGAACTTTGCACACACTTTGCTGTTGAGGCAAGCATCAGCTTTGTTGGAAGCAGTAAGAGCAGGAATAGATTCCTATATATCTCACTGAAGCAGCCAAAACAGAATCCAAAACCAGACGTGAGCTGTAAATCACTGTTGCATCATACCCAAACCCTTACAAACAAGTAAAGGTAAGAGCATCCATTATTTATAGGTCCTTGTGTAAGAGGATTTAAAAAGAACTGTTGCCTTCGTCTTCAGCCGTGTACAGAAATTAAATACAGCTATAAACTGCATTATAAATCCTCATAAAAGACCAGGCACCTCAACAAAAGATTTCGCTGGTGTAGCACTCAATTGACTTTTTGATATTCCCTTCTCTTCATATTAACTGAAGTCTGGAAAACAGAATTAGCCACACCCAGGACCTTGTCTTCACTTGTTTCTGGGGGAAGCTAGTTGCTGGAAAACTAGATGCTATAGAACCTGGACCTTAACATAAGGGGTTGATAAGACTAAAATCTAAATGGATTTGTTGCAATGAAGTTTCAGTTACTTTATTCCAGTTACTGGCGTCCAAAGACTCTCAAGAGCTACACAAAATGAGTTTATTTGAGGGGGTTTTTAAATGCACTGTCGATTCTTATTTTCAAATCAAGATCTAAGTTCCCCAAGTTCAGTAATTTGGTTTGTGTCTTTAGAATTCTCTTCTGGCTCACACCTACACTGAAACCAGGCTTCCATGTTTGCTGCAAGGCTAATCAACTAGAAGAAGATGCTAAACAGCTGCAGCCAAAGTGATGCCCTCTAGCTGGTGTTGTGGTGTGACTCCTATTAGCCCCAGCCAGCATAGCCAATGGTTAGGCATTATGGGAGTTGTAGCCCACCGAAGATATTTGCTACTCCTGGGATAAGGATATGTCTGCATCTATTGCAGCTTTGTCCTCATTTCCCCTTTTATTGCTCCTCACTTGTTCAGAAAAGAGTAAGGGACAAGTAAACACACAACTATGTTGGTCCAAGTGGCCATGTTGGTCCAAGTAGGCATGGCAAGCTGGTAAAGATACTCTGAGATAAATGCAGCAGGACACCTTGAAACTTGGATGACAATGTTCTTAAGTGCATCCATACATTGCAATGGATGCTGAGGGGAAATTAGTACTGACCTTTCTGTGACAAATGTGGAAGTGAAGCTCTAGCCAGGGACATTAGCCAGGATGAGATGTTGACTGCACCAGTTGTTCACAGTATGTTTTGGGACACATGGCATGAAGAACAGCTGGTGCAAACTTAGTTTTCAACAGAGTAGGCTCTAAGCTATCAAAAAGCAGTATCTTGCTAAGTACCTGATACTGGAGACAAACAGCAAGGATTGCCTATCACCATTAGGCCCAGTTTGTGATATCTGCAGAGTCTTCCAGCTGGTTAACCACTGGGAGAAAGTATGCTAGTCTAGACGGATCTTTGATCTGACCAACCAGACTATTATTTTCTTGTTAAGAAGTCAATGGCCATGTTTGCATGTAACACCAAGCCCTGGTGGTTTGTGTTAGCCATGCTTTGGTTAACAAACAATGGCTTACAAAACCGTAACTTAGGGTTGCGTGCAAACTGAATCATTGTGTATGGCACCCATGTTTCTACAGTGCCTTGTACAAAACTGGTTTTAGTTGGTAGCAGCATTACCTAATCCAGGCATAGGCAAACTCCAGGCCCTCCAGATGTTTGGGACTACAGTTCCCATCATCCCTGACCACTGGTTCTGTTAGCTAGGGGTGATGGGAATTGTAGTCCCAAACATCTGGAGGGCCAGAGTTTGCTTATGCCTGACCTAATCTAACCCCCAGTCTGAGAACTTGCGAGGATTCTCAACACCTTTGTCAGACTACAGTGTTCTGCTGACACTGATTTAGAAAATCCAGCAAACACAGCAAGCTATGCCAGTCCCAATAGGGCCCTGCTCCAATCCCATTAAGAGTGTACACGGCTCATGAGCAATGTCAAGAAAAAACAGCAGCTACTTAGCTAAAATAATAATAATATATGACTGCATGCACACACGTGTACACCAGGCAGAGGGCCTTCTCGGTAGTGACACCCGCCCTGTGGAACGCCCTCCCACCAGATGTCAAAGAGAAAAACCACTACCAGACTTTTAGAAGACATCTGAAGGCAGCCCTGTTTAAGGAAGCTTTTAATGTTTAATAGGTTATTGTATTTTAATATTCTGTTGGAAGCCGCCCAGAGTGGCTGGGGAAGCCCAGCCAGATGGGCAGGGTATAAATAATTTATTATTATTATTATTATTATTATTATTATTATTATTATTAGTGTGTGTGAGCAGCGGCAGAGCAAGCTGATTGGGCACCTGGGGTGGCGAGTGTGTCCTGCGCCTGGGGGCAGCGCCAGGCAGGACACTCCGCAGGGCCTCCGAGGAGTCTGCCTGCCTCCTCCTACTCAGCCGCCCTACAGCTGAGGGGGAGGCAGACTGTTTGGGGCAGCACAGAGCCTGCAGGTGCCCAAGCCACCGTATCACTCCCAGGAGAGACGTGTGGCTCGGGCGCGCTGCAGGCCCCGCGGTGAGTGCCGCCCAGCATTTTGCCACCCCGCTCAGTTGTGACACGCAGGGCAAACTGACCCCACCGCCCTCTTCCTCCACGCCCCTCTCTATCTATCTATCAATCTATCTGTCTGTCTTTTGAAGTCTGTGTCTTTAATCCAAACATAGGATGCCATTGTTATAAAAGGAGCACACATGTTGAAACCAGGTACTGCCTGCAAGGGCTCATCACTAGATTCATCACATATTAGTTTATGTGATGAGTCCAGTGCTGCCACTTAAGAAACTGCAGAACTTTCCATTCCATAGCACAGTAGGTATTTCTCCTTTGGAGCCAAAGTTGCACATTAACTTTTAGAGGATGTGCCATGTTTTATGCCGACTGCACTCAACGGTGAAGCAATACTGCTAATCTACTTTGCTATACAACCCTGTCATACTTCCTGAGAACTGTCACCTGGAGCAGTCTGTACCACTTTGGATCCCAAATGAATCATTGGTATAAAGCTTTTAAGAAACCTGCCAATTTATCCTATAATTTTTTCAGGAGCTTTTGTATCAGGCACATTTCAAGTCAATGAAAGTGGTAACCAGTTGGTCTCAACTAAGTAGGTCGGGGGGAGGGGGGAATCAATGATCCAAAGCAGATCTGCCTTGTCTAAAACCAGCTTGCTCATGAAACGGAACACTTTCTACTTCTATCCAGTCATCTATAAATGTTTCATGTTATCATTTACTAATAATACTATGAATTATCCAACCAAATACAGGCCAGTAAGTCTTCTAACTTTTTGGCCTGTTTGGCTGGATTATTCACAGGCCTCCTCTTAAAACTGGCATCAGACTTGCCCTGCTCCAGTCTCTTGTCATTCATCATGGTTTGCCTATATGTAATTATAGAAAAAGCTGCTAAAATGGGAGCCCATTGCTTGATGCTGAAATTCCATCTTTAGCACAAGCATGAAAAATCTCTTTTCTATCTGACTAAAGCTGAAAATAACAATGACTTTAATACTATTGGCAAGCAGGTGTGTGTGGGGGGGGGACTATGTCTTAACAGCCCAATCCTGTGTTTATTGTTCTGCTATTGCTTCCCTGTTCCAAGTGTCCAATGTGTTTTAAAATTTCGATTTCCATGTGGTTGTCTAATGCAGCCTTTGCAAAGCTGATGCCCTGAAGATATTCTGAACTACATCACCCATCAGCCAGCACATACTAATGGGAGCTGTAGTTCAAAACCTTGGGAGGGCAGCAGTCTGGCAAAGGTTGCATCTAATATATCTATTTTTGATTCTGTTTATGAAGCCTGAGCTTAGGATGTGTAGCCTGCCTGCCTTGGTGTCATGTTAAGAAGCTCAGTCCCTGTGTCCATTCAGGTTCTTGGTTTTCTCTTGGTTTGTACTTTCTGCTTTGGTCTTGTCAAAAAGCTTGACGGCTAGAGCTGTGCTTAATGTTTGCCTACAAATATTTTCAGTGATTCTATGGGATCTGAAATATCCCACACCTTTTTCCACAGCCCACGCATAACTACTCCACTAGCAGATACTTTAGTGCTTCTCAAACTTCTTCCAGGGAACACTGATGCCATTGTATAGTAAATCCACTTGGACAAAGCTAATTCAGAAGGCACACAATGCTTAACATAACCAGTCAAATTTAGTTGCTTGATGGTGTCTCTGGGGGCAAAGGGAGCTATTTCAAAGTGAGGAGGCAATGTTTCCTGTGTTGTATTGTCAGGACTCTGAATGAGCAAACACTTCCACACCTTTTCAAAAACTCCTCTTAAAAAAAAGAAATCTGAAAGGAAGAAGGGATTTGCTGGTGAAGAAATGTTCACAAAGCACCCGCCCCCATTGTTTCAGATCAGCCCTGCTGGTGACCTTTTCAACACACCAAATGGTATTTGTCACTTTAGTGATGAACTTTTAGTTTCTAATAGGAAGGAATTCTATCTTGATGTATTTATTTCAGGCATTAGGTAGATATTTTTTTCCTACTGGTTCTTGCTCCTTTGCCTTCAACAGATACTTGTTCAGCAGACATTAATGCTTATCTACATGTTGTGTATAGGACGCGGGTGGCGCTGTGGGTTAAACCACAGAGCCTAGGACTTGCCGATCAGAAGGTCGGCGGTTCGAATCCCCGCAATGGGGTGAGCTCCCGTTGCTCGGTCCCTGCTCCTGCCAACCTAGCAGTTCGAAAGCATGTCAAAGTGCAAGTAGATAAATAGGCGGGAAGGTAAACAGCGTTTCCGTGAGCTGCTCCGCCAGGAGCAGCTTAGACATGCTGGCCACATGACCCGGAAGCTGTATGCCGGCTCCCTCGGCCAATAAAGCAAGATGAGCGCCGCAACCCCAGAGTCGTCCACGACTGGACCTAACGGTCAGGGGTCCCTTTACCTTTACATGTTGTGTAGATCAGGCATAGGCAAACTTGGCCCTCTGGATGTTTTGAGACTATAATTCCTATCATCCCTGACCACTGGTCCTGTTAGCTAGGGATGATGGGAGTTGTAATCCCAAAACATCTGGACGGCCGAGTTTACCTATGCCTGGTGTAGATCTTTATGCACTGATCTCTGTAAATCAAGCTCCTGCTAAATCCCAGGAATTTTTTTCTGAAAATGTATTTGAGCATGAAGTCATTGTGCAACCTCAAGCAAAGCATTTTCTCTTGCTGCAACTTTCAAATCTGACTTTGGCTCCATCCATGTACCAATAGCTGGGGTTAGGTAGAGGAGCACTAGGTGCCTCTTTCTTTTCCCCCAATAAATGAATGCATGTGGAAGAACAACCCATTTGTGTTCTGTACAAACTATATTGTAATAAGCATGCATGTTCAACTTTCAGTGCTGCCTGAGTACCTATATGTTAGGTAAGCACACACACACACACACACACACACACACACACACTTCATAAAGGAGCCCCCAAACAGATAATCAGCACTGCTACCTTAGGCTCAGAGAGCACCGTGGTCTGCTGCCCTCTACCCCAAGTCTCCCCTGTTCTTGGAGACAAAGGGCAGAAGGAACAGGTGCTGCTGCCGTAACCTGTCGAGTTTGCAAACTCCTAGGATGGAGGTTAGGTGAACTGTTGGCAGAACACATTGGCTCTCCCTCTGTGAATCTCTCTCATCAGATAGGGGCCTATTGCACCTGCAATAAGCAGCACCCAGTCAGTGTGGGATGCACAAGCTCCATCCTGGTTCTATCTTCCTGCTGCCTCCACCCACCATGACACCATGTGACTCCTCTTTCACCTACAGGCCTGCACAACTTTTGACCCATTAAGCTGAACCCAGCCCAGCAGTCATGCATGGGAGCATACTAGGGACTCGCTAAACCAGTTTTTGCTGCCCACCTGAGACTACAAAAATTGGGGGGTGGGGAGATATGTTGTCAAGCACATTGCAAGCCACCTTATAGTTTTAGTGGGCTGAATTCAACTTGGCAGGTCACTCATTTTTCAGACTTGCCCAGTAGTAAATGGTGATTTCCTTTGCAGGGTTACTGCAAGAGTAAATTAAATGGGATCTGCAAAGTGTTTTGTATATTAAGAGTGATAACAGCAGTTACAAAGATGGTGCGGATCATTCGCAGAACAATTACTACTCTTCTTATATGGCATCTTCCTTAAAACCCAGCTGAAATCTCAAGTAACTGTTAATCATTGCAATTTTGTTTGCTCTTCCTTAAGGGAATGGCTCCAGTGACCATTTTTAAATAATGTTTAAAAATAATTACACAAAACCACTGGCTATTATCTGCCCCTGGATCCAAAAATGGTATTCTTGAATTGTTTGAATAAAAACATGCCTTTTCCCCTCAAAAGAGATGAGATTGGTTTATTTTTTTTCTTTAAAGAAGCTAAATGGGTAACAAAGAATTTGTTATTTAATGTGGCTCAGAAAATAATAGCCTGGTAACCTATTTATTGTGGATAAGAAGAAATGATGCCAAATGAAAGTGATATAACTGGATCCTACTATTCCTGACAACTTCCTAATCATTTGACCAGCATTTATTACATTGATGTAAAGTAATGATTTTCATGCCTTATATCACTAACTAAATGTGAATCATTTTCACATTTATATGTGAAACTTCAGTGGAGTTTCTAGGAAATGTATCCAAAGCTGTTATTACACAAGCAGAATAAACTTCCACTTGCACAATGAAACTTCCTCCCCACCACAGATCCTCAGCACCATGGGTGGAGCCAGGATTTGGGGGGGGGGGAGAGACTTTGTCGGGGGAGCAGGACTTTTGTTAGGCAGGACAGAATCCATGTGATTGGTCAGTTATTGTTTTACTTGGGGGGGCAGCTGCTCCCCCACCTCTGCTTGGCTACACCCATGCTCAGCACCCTCAAAACCTGCTCCAGAGAATGGAAGGGGGGGGGACTTTCCCAAATACATTATGGAGGTGCAGAGGGTCTTAAGCAGAGGAAGAGGAAGTCACGTTGTATAAATGCATTGTTCTTTCCTTCAGTTCCTCCCTCGATACTTTATTTTGTTTTAAGATATTTGCGAATTGAGATGTTTTAGGTTTGCATTTAAATGGTTCGAAATGTTTTGAGATGCAAACTTATATAAATAGGGTTCTTTTTAAAAAAAAGAAAAATAAATATTGTTCATTGCCCAACTAAGTTAAGCATTTTTCACTTAGATTTATTTCAATGGGAGAATTAAGCTTAGGTGCAACTCTTTCCCATTAGAAACAGTGGGAGACTGAAATGTTCAACTCTGGTTGGACTGCATCCATTTGTGCTCGGAGTACAGAGGTAAAGTTCTAATTAGATTTGTCAACTGCAGAGCATCAATCAGCAGAACCAATAAAAACCTTAATTTGGGGCAGGAAAGAAGCACAAATGTCACACTGCAACCAACTGCATTCCATCACAACAATGAAGACAGATTGATGCTTGAAGAAATGTACTTTATCAATTGTGAAGAAAGCTTTGTGGTTGATTGTCTACAGCGTGCCAGATTTTGCATTTTTATTGTTGCCACAGGCTTCGTTTTGCGCAGGACTAGAACCAGCTGATAGAAATTGCAGAGAAGCAGATTTAGGATAAACACTAGGAGAAGCTTCCTAGTAGTAAGAGCTCTTAGATAGTGGAAACATGGCTGGTGCAAAAGGTTGCACTGCCAGGTCCTCCTCCTCCTCCCATCACCCTCTCCTCTGCCTCTTCCCCATCATTGTTGCTTCCTCACTACCCCTCCTCCTCCTATGCTCCATTCTCCCCCACGGCCACTCATCTTGCCGCCACATTATTGTGGTGGTGGCACTGGCAGTTTTCCTGCCTTCCCCTTTGCCTCCTCCCTACCCCACTCTGAGGAAGGACCATGGAGCTCCTTGAGAGCCAGTGTGGTGTAGTGGTTAAGAGCGGTAGACTCATAATCTGGGGAACCGGGTTCACGTCTCCGCTCCTCCACATGCAGCTGCTGGGTGACCTTGAGCTAGTCACACTTCTCTGAAGTCTCTCAGCCCCACTCACCTCACAGAGTGTTTGTTGTGGGGGAGGAAGGGAAGGGAGAATGCTAGCCGCTTTGAGACTCCTTAAAGGGAGTGAAAGGCGGGATATCAAATCCAAAACTCTTCTTCCTTCCTCAGAGCAAGGCATTCTGGGTGAGGTGTCTAGGAGAGTGCCTGCACTGCCACCGCTACTGCAACAAGCTGAGTAAATGCTGCTCAAACTTTTAAAAGTTTGAAGTGACTCATTGTAAACATCTTTTTCTAGCTGCAGCAAACTACAACAGTGGCACTTGCCAGGCCCAGAATGCCTCAATCAGAGAAACAACCCTCAGAATGAGGCAAGGAGAAAGAAAATGTGGAGAGCAATAAAATAATAATAATAATAATAATTTATTATTTATACCCCGCCCATCTGGCTGGGCTTCCCCAGCCACTCTGGGCAGCTTCCAACAAAATATTAAAATACTGTAATACATCAAACATTAAAAGCTTCCCTAAACAGGGCTGCCTTCAGATGTCTTCTAAAAGTCTGGTAGTTGTTGTTCTCTTTGACATCTGGTGGGAGGGTGTTCCACAGGGTGGGCGCCACTACCGAGAAGGCCCTCTGCCTGGTTCCCTGTAACTTGGCCTCTCGCAGTGAGGGAACCACCAGAAGGCCCTCGGCACTGGACCTCTGTCCGGTAGAACGATGAGGGTGGAGACGCTCCTTCAGATATACTGGGCCGAGGCCATTTAGGGCTTTAAAGGTCAGCACCAACACTTTGAATTGTGCTCGGGAACTGAATGGGGTGGCTGGGAGCACAAGCAGGGCCAGAAGGGTGACAAGGCAAGTAAGTGGAGAGGGGTTGCCAGATCACCATACTCTCCACCTGCTATACAAGACAAATGTCTTCTTAGCTTGCCTTGTTATGGCACTGGCCTTGAGTGAAGCGGACTGCCTCAGGAGGTGGCGGGCTCTTGTTCTCTGGAGGTATTCAAGCCAAGGGTAGCTAGGTGTCAAGTAGGCATCCTGAACTGTAATCTCTGGCTTGAGCAAGGAGTTGACCTCCATGGTCGCTTCCAACTCTAATTATTTTATGATTCTGTGATTGTGAGATTGTGTCTAATCTGGTGCAAACATAGAAAAATATGCAAGTAGGCAACAGAAAACATGGCAATCTATGTCTGGCTACTTTGGTCAGCTTTCCAATTCAACTGAAAGCCAGCATTTTGGTATTCCCATCGCTTCTATAGCTTCTAGCTGAATGCTTCTTTTTCAGAAATTGTAGTTGATAAAGTTGACAGGGCAATGAGAAAGTGAGAAATGTTATTAATATATGTACCACCGCAAGACACTGTCAGGTTAAATACTGGAGCATAATCTGGGAAGGATTTATTTTAATCTTTTTCCTTTAACTTCAGTAAGGATGTTTCTGAAAGGTTCTTGTTTAACCTTCTCTAAATGTTATTAAAGAACAAAGTATACAGCTAAAAACTGCTTATGATTGCAATAAGTTCCACCCTTTTTTCGGAAAATTGGGAACAGAAAATGTTAATCTACAAACAAAAATTATGTAGATAAACTTTTTCAAAAACAAAAACCACCCTGAATCAAATGTAATGCTGTAAAAAATAATAATAATGAAATGAAGATACATTTGGTTTAATGCTGTATTTAATTTCCATAACTTACAGTACTGTTCATATGGAAATCTGGAATTTAAAATGGGTAAGATTCTTAACCTGTCAGTGTCCCTCTAGGTGAAAGCAAAAGCCCCATGTACATTATAAGCCCTGCATCATGTGAGTGTCTGTGATTATATGAAAGCCATTATTAGAGAGGAACAAGCCCTGTTTTAAAAGGCTCAAAGCCCCAGCAGTGTTGATACTCACGTTGGCATTGGCCCCATGAGTGGCGAGCCCAGCCCCAGCAGCAGTCGACTCTGCTTCCAAAACGGCACAATCCAGTCGTGGAAAGTATTTGCCTGGGCCACCTGCACCAACGCCAAAAATAAATTTGGAAAAGAATGAACATGAGGACACATGGTTGCAAGGAGTCCAGCAGCTCATCTAGCCTAGTCCTGCTGCCCTGTGACACAATATTGACATTCTATACTTATAGGATTCTTGACAAAAGGCCTCTAAAACCTTTGGACTGAAAATTTCCACTGGAGACAATTACTGTCTTCCTTAACAACTCACTCCAGTACACTGAACTGCACCTGTTACTTTAAAGCAGGATTCGGGTGTATTCAGACACACAAGTTCGTGATGGTGCATCTGCAAGACATTACTTGATATCACAGCTATCACTTGATGATTATGCAAATATAGCATCATAACAGAACTTTCCATCTTTCCCATGTCAACTCAGAGGCAGTATTTTTCATTGCAGTATGTTCGTTCAGTTGCCAGCTGCCAGGTGGGCAGGGGGGGGAATCAGTGACGCGCACGCAGGTGTGAGACAGGCTACAGGAAAGTTTTGCAAAGGTTAAGATTAATGGACCTTCCTGCCAACTGAAATCTTTTTCAGAAGCCATTGTTCCTTGTCCTGTCCTCAAAAGGTAAAGTGCACCCTTGTTTTATCTCTTCATGCTTCTATGTAGATATTTTGGTTAACTAAAATACCCTCCTTTATCATCTCTTCTTCGCTTAACATAACCCATTTCCTAAGTGTTGCATCATAAGAAACATACCTTTATCATGCTTTTAGTTTTCCTTTTAGGTCAGATTCACACAATAACTACCTTGACAAGGAGGCTTCTCAAAATCCAAAGCATGGGGAAACTACCATATGGCCACATGCCCTAAAATCAAAGATATTGCAAAGCATTTCCTGGTGGTTGTAACGGTGCCATGAAATCTTCAGAGCCAATGGAACTCCTACAGACAGAACTGCTCACTTGTATGGGACAGCCTTTGCAAGGTCTGAATTGTAAACAACCACCCTCTTCCTCCATAATGTTTAGAAGGTTTTACTATCCCAAACCCTTGTATCCCACCATGAATAGCCATCCATCCCTCCGTTCTGTTTGTTCTATGCTTGTCTCTTCTGCTCCATGTTTTTTCATGAAACCATGGGTAGTCGCAGTGTGATGGGCCACAGTTCCAGCACCCCCTTAGCTTTGGGTGGAGGGATTCTGAAGGCTCTGTATAACCCACCACCAATGAGACTCAGGTCTTTGTTAGCTTGGACAACCGCTCTTACATTGCTCTCATACATTCTCATTTAGAAACACAGGAAGATTTCTTATACTGAGTCAGAACACGGATACAGCAGTTCTCCAGGGCTTCTTCTAGTCCTACCTGGAGATGCCATAGATTGAAACTGAGACCTTCTGCATGCAAAAGAGATGATCTACCACTAACCTATGGTCCTTCCCTTTCTTTCATGATACTGTGCTCAGTGGAACTTGTTATGCCCCACAGGGATATTACTAAAGTAATAAACTAGGTGTAGGGCAGTGTTTCCCAACCTTGGGCCTCTAGCTGTTTTCGAACTACAATTCCCATCATCCCTGACCACTGGTCTTGCTAGCTGAGGATTATGGGAGTTGTAGTCCAAAAACAGCTGGAGGCCCAAGGTTGGGAAATGCTGGTGTAGGGGACCTTTGGTCCTCCTGGTGCTGCTGAACTACAACTCCCATCAGCCCTAGCAATTATGGTCAATGGGCAAAGTTGATGGGAGTTGTAGTTCAGCAACATCTGGAGAGCTGATGACATCCCCACAGCTATGTACAAGTCCTGGCTATGATCTTAGGACCGACATCGATAAAACTTATACATATATACATGTAACTTTCCTATTCTCCTCCAAATCCATTTGAAGCACGTTCTAACTTCAGAAGATGATTTCCCCTGCTTCTTCCCCATCCTCAAAATATGGGAGGTGATTGAGCCTCTTGTGGGTTGCCCTGTACCTCTGGGGCTCTTGTGGCACCTTGGAATTACAACACAACTGTGACAATCTCCAGCTCTCCTCCCAAGTTTGAAGCAACTGAGGTGTGGAATTGTCCCCAACACTGTGCTGAATTTCAGAACAGCAGTGCAAGAACCCAATAAAAACACTACCCTAGGGGAATAGATGGAATCCTGGTGACCACAAATGTTGGGTTGACTATCATGAACAAGTGGAATTTGTGGACCCTGACACTACACTGCAATGCACAATGAGGTAGGAATAAAACATACTTTATTGGAGCAAAGTGTCCATATGAGATAAATGTCAACTGCTAAACAAATTGAGAAAAGCACAGTTAAAGGAAGGACCTTTTCATGCAAGATCCTGTTTAGTCTTTTCTACATTCTGCATGACCTACTCCCTAATTTGCATCAAAGTTTTTCATCACATTTTGACATATTATAGCTGTAGCAATTACACACACATTCCAGCTCTTCAGCGCTCATTTTCGCATTTCACTTATCTAGATTCATGTTTAAACTTGAGCTGCAGTCTTCTTGGTATACTGATTCACTGACTCTGTGCTCAAGACATCAATTTCTGACTTATTTAGCTTATAAAATAAGATTTGTATATTAAATGGGATTTTTTAAAATAAGCCATCCAGCAGATCCGTATGATCGTGAAGTAAAATGGATTATTGGGCACATAGCAAGAAGAAATTGAAGGAATTGCTGTTACTGCATTAGTTCTCATGCTACATTTACTAAATAGAGACTCAATGGCTGTGTTCAAACACAATGCAAAACCACAGTTTAGCACTACGTAAATGAGCCTAGCCTCATTCTGGGCTCTCACACTCCTCCCTCCCCTTTCTGTACTGCTGGGATAAGAAGTTCAGAAGCTTTTGCTTTCTGTTTTAATTAATCACAGTTTGTCATTTCATCTGAACCGAGGATAGTCATTCAACATTAACTATGGCTGGCTTCCGAACAAGCCAATTTAAAACCATGGGTAGTTGAGATAGCTTGTTAAACCACAGTGAGTGTTAAAAACCAGTTAGGATGTAACAACAAATCGCAGTTAATTAAAAGCAGAAATGAATGCTTCTGAACTTTTCCTCCCAGCTGTGCGGGAGGAGGAAAGAGAAGGGAATGTGCAAGCTTGAGAAAAGTTGAAGTCTTCTAGGCTCTTTCACACAACACTAAATCATGATATAACATTATATTCAAATACAGACAGTGCTGCATAAATATCCAGTCCAGGTAAAGAAATGCATGCATGCATGAAAATAAGTTTCTGAATGTGTATTATTAGGAACAGCGAGCATAAATAAGATGCACATCCAAATGTGTGTTAGGAACTGCCCCTAGGTACATATCCAGCTACAGATTTCATCCATGCACACTTCATCACTTTCAACTGGATGATTATTCAGTTGGGTATGCATCTCCACACCACTGCATCTAGTCACAAGTAACTACCATTTTTACATATAAAAAGAACTCAATCAAAACAACTGCATAAGGTGGATTCACACATGTGGCTTAAATAGTTGAACCTTAACTGTTGTTAGGTTCTGTGGTATTTCTTTTACAAAGAAAAAAAAAGGAAGAAGCATTTCCAGTCAATCATTCTACCACACAGATCTGCAACCTTTAGTAAAAACCCTCCATACTGCTTAAAAGGATGAAAGACAACTGAGCTACCCCTGGCAGTGAGCCAGTGTGGTGTAGTGGTTAAGAGCGGTAGACTCGTAATCTGGTGAACCGGGTTCGCATCTCCGCTCCTCCACATGCAGCTGCTGGGTGACCTTGGGCTAGTCATGCTTCTTTGAAGTCTCTCAGCCCCACTCACCTCACAGAGTTGGGGAGGAAGGGAAAGGAGAATGTTAGCCGCTTTGAGACTCCTTCAGGTAGTGATAAAGCGGGGTATCAAATCCAAACTCTTCTTCTAGCAGAGGCAGATTTAGGGCAGTGTGAGCATCTTATTGGTGCCCCCCATTTAGTTCAATGTCATTTTATTACATGCTATTTATATCATTGCTGTATTGCTATAAACATATTTATTGCTAGCCAGCTTACGATGGCTTGCTTCAAAATGCAGGGTAGAAATAATACAAAGTACCTCCACCTGTGCAAGCTTCTCCAAATTAGGTGCAGTTGCACATGCAAATTTCAGATACTGTGAAAGCCACAGGAGCTCATTACATTGACTGCAAACTATATACAAAAAGGGTTGGCTACACCTCACTATCCCCAGGTGTCTTCATAAATTCCTTAAGAAAAAGACACTGTGTCAGTTTGCAGACTTTCGTCATTTCCAGTCAATGAATGAGGCAAATTTCCAGGTGTGCCTTTTTTCCTTGGCTTGGGGGATACCAGAGAACATTAAACAGATTCCACTGGAAACTAACACCTCCCAGTCAATTTGCTTGCCACTGCCGTGTGCACCATGGCATCTAAAAAGGAAACTGTTTTGTAACAGTCATCAATTCACCACAAATTTCAAATTGAGATGGCTTTATATACAAAATACACAATAGCCATGATCTACCTGATAAATCACACAGAGATTATTGGCTATTTTGCATGGAAATAGCAACTGAGTAATAAAGTTATAAAGAACTCTGGGTTGCCCAAACCTGTCAAAGCTTGTCTATCTCACATCTCCACACAAGTGAAGTATGTACATTCCATGAGGGAATGCAAGCTAACCCTACATTTCACAGCTTTTCTATTTCCTACTTTAGATACCTGTTTTGCAGCTACACAAGTATGTCTGGAAAACACACACACACACACACGAGTACTTGGGGTATTATGAATATTTGCAGACTTGATGTTGGTTGTACAATTCACCTAAGGGATGTCCCTTCTCTGCACCATGTAAATATATATATACATAAATGAGTTTTGGAGGTTTCAGCTATTCAGTTTTGACAATCTGCACAATTCTGCATAAATAAAGGGGAAATGGTTGCCAATGCACACACAGCACAATAATCAATGTACTTTATTCTGAAGTTCTTGTTGATATGTTTCCCTTTTGTGAGATGTGTCAAAAGTATCATGGAAAAAGAAATCCATGGAATGCAGCCAACATCCATTGATATGACTGCCACACACCCTTGTCTTCTTCCTGTCAATTAATCCAGAGCAATTTTCCTTTGGTTTCATATGCAGTACAATTCCTCATCCAGATTAGAACCCCCAACTAAATCGTTGCCACCTGCTCTAAGAAAGTAACAGGAATCCACCCTTTTAGTTGACCTTACAGTTAAAAGCCCATAAGGAAGAATCAGTCTAGATTAGGAGTTGAATTGTGCACACACTTACTCAAAGGCAAGTTCCGGAGAACAAAAATGGAAGTTATTTTCAAATAAAACACACCTAGATTGTGTTTAACATAATCAATACTCCAGTATTATAAATAATATGCTCTGATAAATAAACAGGATTGAAAACAACCCATTCCTACAAATGCAGCCCCCCAGGCCAAGAAAACTGCTGTAGTGACACTGACAGTGAAATCCTAGCTATGTCTACTCAGAAGTAATTCAACGGCTCTTATTCCCAGGCAAGTGGGCTTCAGATTGCAGCCTAAATTGTGCACCAGAAGTCCCCGATTTGACTCATTCCTCCGTGAAACAAGCCATCTCTATGTGTGTCAATGTCCCGTATTTGCAACAAGGAGACACTGACCTGCCTCGTAGGATTGTTGTAGTCCTTGTTATTAGTTACTGCATGGGGAAAGGGGGAACAAACTAACCCTCCCCTTCCCTTATTTCTACGGATTATGCTCCTGTGCCCTCTGCAGTTGGGGTTTGCAGGTGCGTCTGCCGCGTGTGTTTTTTCCCGAGTGCCGAGCGCGCGCCAAGCGCCAGATCTGTCCCTTGCACACTCCGGAAAAAGCCCTGACCTCTCGGGCAAGCGTGGGGCGAATGTGTCACGACGACGAGTCTCCCCGGCTGGCAAGTTGGGACTCCCAGGTTCCCCAGAGGAGCCTGAGCCCGCCCGCCCCGCCCGCCCGCCGCCCTGGGTCTTTCTCGCCTCGCCTCCCCATCCGTCGGTCCAGTGTCCAAAGTGTCCAAAGTCTGCGCTTACCTTCCGTCGAAGTCCCCTAAAGCCTCCAGGTAGAGCCAGGACAGAATGATTAACCTCAGGGATAAATCCATGGTCGGGAAGGGAAGACAGAGAGAGAGAGAGAGAGAGAGAGAGAGAGAGAGAGAGAGAGAGAGAGGAGTAGCCTCGGCGCGTCTCTAGCAATAGAAACGACGGTAGCAGGTTGGGGAGGGATGCGAGGCGGCGAGGGCGAAGGCGCACGGATTCCTTCTCCTCTCGGAGGCGCTCCCAGCCAAGCGCGCGCTGTAAACTGAACTCCGGGTGCCCTCGGGGCTGTTGCTAATCCTGGCTGGCGGAGGGATGGGCGGAAGAAGAGAGAGAAGTCCACGAGCAGCAGCAGCAACAGGAGGAGGGAGCCCCCTTCTCTCTCTCTCTCTCTTGCGTCCCTGCCTTTCTCTCACTCGCTTCCTCCCTCCCTCTTCCTAAAACGAAGGAGACGCTGCGCTCTGAAGGCGGCGCTGCCGCTCACCAACGAAAGAGGCGCACGCGAGCGCAACCTCGCCACCTTCCCCCGCGGCTCTTTCTCCTTTGGCAGCGGGGAAGAGGAGCGCAGGCTGGGAGGCGGAACTTCTTATTTGTTTCTTTTTCTTATTCCTCCCCCCCCCCCACACCATTCATTAAATCTCTGTCCTTCCCTGCCTCTCACCAGACAGTGATAAAGCACCTACAAACATCCAGCAATTAAAACCATTCGAAACCATCTCCATCTATAAAAACAATTGCAGATGCAGACTTCTCAGCACCGCAATGGAGAACTTATTCTACCAAACAGGGACCATTTTGGAACCCTGTTATCGTTTCGTCAGCAGCAGCACCACCACTGTATGCTATGCAAGAACTCCATAAATATATTATAAAAGCAAAACAACACCTCAAAACACATTTTGAGTCATAGAATCATAGAATTGTGGAGCTGGAAGGGATCCTGAGGATCATCTAGCCCAACCCCCTGCCATGCAAGAATATGCAGCTGTCCTACAGGTCCTTCTTTGGTCCTCCAGAAGTGACTGAACTACAACTCCCATCAGCCCCAGCCAGCATGTTCAATGGTCAGGGTTGATGAGAGTTGTAGTATAGCAACACCTGGGGGGCTACAGGTTCCCCAATTCTGTTGGTATGGGAAAGAAATAAAGACATTATTTTATTCATTTAATGCAATAATAATAATAATAATAATAATAATAATAATAATAATAATAATTTTTATTTATACCCTGCCCTCCCCAGCCAAGGCGGCTTACAAGCAATAATAAAAACAAGTTGAATGATTACAACTTAAAAACAAAATTAAAATACATTAAAATATTGAAACATTAAAATATTAAAATGTAGCCTCATCGCAGGAGGAGAAGGAAAAGAAAAAAGAAAAAGAGGGAGGGAGGGAATCAAATTGGCTCCAAGCCAAAGGCCAGGCAGAACAACTCTGTCTTACAGGCCCTGCGGAAAGAAATCAGATCCTGCAGGGCCCTGGTCTCATGAGGCAGAGCGTTCCACCAGGCTGGGGGCAGAGTTGAAAAGGCCCTGGCTCTGGTTGAAGCTAATCTAACTTCCTTAGGGCCCGGGACCACTAGGGTGTTGCTATTTATGGACCTTGAGGCTCTCCGTGGGGCATACCGGGAGAGGCGGTCCCGTAGGTATGAGGGTTCTAGGCCGTGAAGGGCTTTAAAGGTCAAAAGAAGCACCTTAAATCTGACCCTGTACTCCACCGGGAGCCAGTGCAGCTTGAAAAACACTGGGTGAATATGCTCCCATGGCAGAAACCCTGTGAGGAGCCTCGCTACAGCATTCTGCACCCACTGGAGTTTCTGGGACAGCTTCAAGGGCAGCCCCGCATAGAGCGAATTACAGTAGTCAAGCCTGGAGGTGACCGTCGCATGGATCACTGTGGCCATAATTCTTAATGACATCTGATTGCAGCTGAAGAGTTGCAGCACCAGCTTCTATGTGTCTACTTGTAGAAAGTCTCACTGAGCTTTACTCCTACATAAGTGAAAGCAGGACTACAATCATTTATGTCGAAACAAAATAAAAAAAATTCTTCCAGACCAACTAAGTTAGTTATTGGTATGAACTTTCGTGTGCATGCACGCTTCTTCTTCTTAGACCAATTGCAGTCGTTAACAGTCGTCAACAGGTTTACCACACCTATCAGCCAATCACCCATTCCCACCACCCTTCTGAGTAATACCCCTCCCCACCCTCTCACTATATATAAGGATCTGGTGACTTCTGTTTCAGTGTATCTGAAGAAGTGTGCATGCACACGAAAGCTCATACCAAGAACAAACTTAGCTGGTCTCTAAGGTGCTACTGAAAGGATTTTTTAAATTTTGTTTCGACTACAGCAGACCAACACGGCTACCTACCTGCAACTAAATCTTTTATGTGTTTGACCTTATCAGGCACCCAATGAATCCCACCTGAAATTGGCTGGAAGGTGCCTGCAGCTAAGATGAGGTTCAAGACTGCAAGGAGGCCAGCTGTTAAAAAAAACCAAAACCAATAAGCCAACTCTGCTAGGACAAAGCCCCTTGCATTGAATCTAAGCAGCTTTTTGAATCCCAAACATTGTCTTTTGAACCCCAGACACTTGATACTGGTATCCTTGTCCTTTTGATATTGTATTGCTGCTTTATCTCTTGTAAAATAGGTTACAGAAATGGATGTTGTGGTATTGCAAGATACTTTTTAAGTAAGCATGGAACATGCAAACATGCAACATCCATGGGTTTTGCTGCTGTCGTTAGTAAAGGGGTTTAGAGCAGGAACCACCAACTTTTTGCATTTTGAATTTGAGAGAGTGCTGGGTGTGCCATTCACAAAATAACTGAAGGTGGTTATCGTTCACATAGCAGAACATTAGAGAGCCATCCCCTAAGAACCTTATGCTTACCATGGGAAGTCACCTGTGTCCTGATTCTGGAGATCACACACTGATGTCACACACACACACCACAAACACAATGGTGCTTTTGCTGTCCAATAGCAATGGGTACCTGCAGAAATATACTAGGTGGCTCACAACATCCAGTCTTATTTCACAGAAATCCTTTAAAAGCTACCCACACATTTTGCCCTGTAACTTCCTATCTAGGAATAGAGATTTGGTTTAAAAAATAAAATAAAATAAAACTCAAGTCTGGGGCACCTGCCCTGGGTCAGCAGTGAAAGCATTCACTGGAACAAGGTTGCTGACCCCTGGTTTAGAGAAAGAAGCATCTAAAGGGAAAAGAATGCAGAAATGAAGTGTTCAGCCAAATAGCAAAGGGCAGATAACTCCTTGAAAAAAATGTAACTGGCTAAATTCTAGTACAGCTTTTCCATGTGGGGAAGCACATGCGTATATGCACAAAGGACCATGCAGATGCTTTGTGAGTAATAGTGTCCTATCATAATCACCTACAACCCAGAGTTCTGCCCAATCTGTGCTTGGTTACCCTGCCATAAACAGGGCACAAATTTTCATGGGTGTGGTGGTGGCAGCAGTGGAGATTGTATGGCTCCATCAAGGTTGGCACATGCCAACTTATGAATTCATAATTCAGACTTATGCACTTTATGGTGTGTGTGTGTCAGATGCATTGTGTTTTACTACAGCTTCCACTGACCAAACCTTTTGGAGGTGGGACTGTGAAATCATGACTGCTCACACCTATGTAGTTGCAGACTGCATAACTTGGGAGAACCACTTTGTACACAACCTGCGTTGTTATGTATGTGGGTCTTCCCAATGACACAGCTGTAGTCTACTCCTCTGGAGCTATAGTTGGCAGCTTGCATCCCATCTACTTCTGGAATGACAAGAAATTCTCCCTGCTTTTGGAGATCATGATCCTATTAGTGTTTGGCCCAGCCTACATGCCTTGCCTTTGCGTGGACACTGCATGGGTCCTGTGAGATGGGTGGTTGAGCCTGTATATACATTCTAGTTAGAACTAATGGAAATGGGGTGAAGAGGCAGTCGGCATACAATGCTTGGAAGCAGTACACATCAAATTGCTAGATGTTGTGGGTCTATGTTTTGATGCCATGGCTGCTTTAGTTGGGATTCCTGCACTGCGGGGCATTGGTCTTGATGACCCACAGCGTCTCTTCCAAATCTACAATTTTATGATCACCTTCATGCCTTACCTGTGAACTTATATAGCAGGGATGCAGAATCTGCCACCTTCTGGATGTTGTTGGACTTCAGCTCTCATCATCACTGATAACTAGCTATGCTGGTTGGGGCTGGTGAGAGTTGGGAGTCCAACATTTGGAGGGCCACAGGTTCCCCATCCATTATGCAAGCAGCCAATCAGACAGCATTGATGAACTAGTTGTATGTCGTGTTGATTCAGCAAGGCAATTCATAATACTCTCATGAGTATCCCCTCTGTGTCTTGTGCCAGAGTGTGTGCTTTGCTTCATCAATGCAAGAGAACAGGATCAAAGACCCTCCCTTGTGGTTGACTTTTCACCCATTGATGCATTTTAGGAAAATAAGTTGAGAGCTCTGATCCTGGATCCCCCAGATATTGTGTAGCTTGAGCTTAAATAAATTTGGTGGGGTCATCTCATCCGTCTTCATAATGCATAGTTGTGGCACTGAACATGATACCAGAATGCAAGTTAGAAGCTAATAATAAAAATAAAGGGGGAAAATGCTTTGAAAGCCACTTACCAATCTGAAAATATATCCATGGAATGCTTTGCTAACACACCCTAAACCATGACCTTGGTTTGAACACGAGTATCATATGGAAAAAAATAAACAAACCACAAAGCACATAGTTGAGCAGATAAAATTACAAACTGTGTGGATTGGGAAACCATGCAAGAATTTAAACACAAGCTCTAGTTGTTGATGCATTATGGCAAACAAACATAGAAAATGCCAAATAAAGGGATTCTGAAATTATGTTGCACTGTGATTCCAGCAAGTTGGGTCAGAGTGAAGCGATTTAAAGCATCACAAACCTTGCATGTCTTGCATACTGTAAGATTTTCATCAGTTCGTTTTAGTAAATACACAACACAGAATGACTAATAAAACATGGCTTTTAGGAAAGGCTTGGGTTTTTCTAATCCCAGACAGAGAGAAATGAATCCAGGCAGAAATATGTAGGATCATGCATTCTTGGGAGGAAATACACATCGAAGGCATTGCAGCAAGCAAACAAATCAAATTCAGTGGTGACACTGGCAAATATTCCTCTTGGCTCCTTGTTCACATGCCAAGTTGGAATGAGTTAAAGCAGGCAAAGGAAACAAGCATACCAGAGACAAAAAGTGTGGCAAGATAAAGCAAGCTGATTTCTTGCCCAGAGACAAGGAGCTGTGTCCAGGGTCTTACTGGCTGTGTGTATACACATCAGGTGGTGTCCACAGCAAATCCTCTACTTAACATTCCAATGTTAAATTGCTCTTGCATAGCACGGGTCGACTGTGACCTATCTGTAAAATATTCTACCATGTCTAATTTACCAAAGGACTTCCACTGTGCACCCGGACCTGATTTTCTACAGCCATGTTGGTCACAGCTGCTGGCTGTTCTCCAAACTTGTCACTTTTGAAATGTCATTACCAGTGCATGTGAGCTATCTGTCAGTCTGTTTGCTTAGCCATCTGCTTCTCTCTCTCCCTTCCACTGAGTACCTGAGCTGTGACTGTGTTGACAGAGTTCAGAGTTCCCCCTACAGTTGATGCCAATCTCCCAACATTTTCCCTGTTTCTGCTAGGTGGCTGCTAGGTAGGATGAAGAGCCATTTGCCTTATCACATTTCTCTTTAGATGCTGGAAAGCTTTTGGACACACCTTTGTAATTTATACACTATTAACGGAGTAGACCTGCAGGAAAGAGGACAATACGATACATTGCTTGTTATCACCCTTGTACCAAACTTTAAATATGTTGTCGCTTTTTCAGTTCTGATAGTACCATGCCACTAGGTTTACACATGTCCCAGATCAAATTCCCAACTGAATTCTTCTCGGTTTGAATCTTTCTGACCATGCTACTTCTAACTTGGGAGTTGTGATCCATTAGTTTTAATATTTGGGAATCAGTTTTTTAAGCTGACGATACTAAATTGTTCAGGGTGGTTAAAAGAAAAAGGTGTTACAAAGAGCCCCCAAATGAGTTTTCCAAACTGAGCAGACAGTAAAATGACAAAAGAAATTCCATGTAAACAAGTGTAAAGTGATGCATTCTTGGGGACTGAATTATCTTTAATATCTTTCATTTCATTTCATATTACAAAGGCACATCCAAACATCTCCAGAAACAACAAAGTGTGTCTTCAGCCCTCAACTTCACTTTTTTAGCTTTGGCTGATAAAAACTGGGGCCTTCGTATTAAGCTCCTGCTGATTGGTTGAGAAATTAAACTGATAATGCTTGTAAATTCAATACACTCTTACCTAAGAGTAAGCTTCATTGAACACAGTGGGGCCTACTTCTGAGTGAATATGCATAGGATTGAGTTGCAAGGCTTCAGTTCTATGCAATTTGGAGTAAGCCCCATAAATACAGTGGAACTGTAGGAATGCCATATAAAACTTCTAGACTTGCAAACACCCAAACAAACAGATCTGGCTTAGGGCCAGGTGAAATGTTGCATGACAGATGCAGCTATCACAACTGTCTTCTGATATTTTTCTTCCTTTTTGCAGTGAAGCCACAAGAGGCTGCAGTCTTGAGCGAAATGGTTTGTGGGTATGGTGAGCTCAATGGGTCCTTTTCCAATTGTGTTGGGCTGTGTGTGTTGAACTGAAAACCAACTGAAGGGGAAGGTTTAAGCAGGCTCTCTTTCACCATTCCTCCACTTAAGGCTGTCGCTTCCTGTCCCCGCCTTTCATTTAATGATAATGAAAATAAGAAATAATTGGGAGATTGTTACTCACACCTGCCATGTGATGCCTAGTTTGGCTTTAAACCAATGACTATTTGCTCCATATTTTCACTGCCAGGTTAGTTTCCCCACTCTGTCACATTATATGCAACATACATCATAGTATGGCTTAAAACCATACTAAATAAGTGCTGCTGTGTTCCGCTCTGCCGTAGTCATCTATTAAATACAGAAACTCTTATCTCCACTTTTGCAGATAAGGGTTTGGTTATGATCAGAGTGCTATGAACATGGCTTGTTTACTATAGTTTTGATCCATTTCCTCTGATGAAACACCTCTGAGAGTGTGTAGGACCTTTGATTTTGCTTATATTTATTTTGTCAATTTTACTCTGGTATACTTGGTCCAAGCAAAGGCTCCTCCAGTGGCTTACTATGTTTTTCCTTCCTCTTAAATCATACACATGGCTGGGGGCATTAAAACATGCAACATCTAAACAAATGAAGTGGAGCAACATTGAGAATGCTAATATTTTATAACTGTAGACGGAACACTTTATCATCCAAGGATAATAGAAGCAAATTGCTTTCTTAAAAAGCAAATGTTTTGCTAATTTGCTGAAGATGCCCAGTGTGATGGGTAAGAGCACCTTCCTGGGAAAATAATTGCTAAGTGTGAGTGCCAGGACACAGGAGCTCCAAGATTTTACTGCTCACATTTGTGCCTCCACATATTAAGGAACTAGCAACAGGGCATTCTTTGATGTTCCTTGGCCATTTCCCATATCCCTTAAAAATCTGATATTCAAAGACCCCCTTCATATTTGCATAGTTTGCAAGATCTGGTATTCAAAGAACCCTTTGTACTTTACATCTTGCAATGCTTACAAACGATTGTGTGAAGAATTACTTGGAAAAGTAAGGTCAGACAATTAACTAGAAGTGAAGTAATTCAAATACTAAGAGGACTCCTCTGTCCAGAAACTGTGCTGCCCAAGGGGACAAACCAATTGTGCATTCTTTGCTCTGAAAACATCTACAGTGGTACCTCGGGTTAAGTACTTAATTCGTTCTGGAGGTCCATTCTTAACCTGAAACTGTTCTTAACCTGAAGCACCACTTTAGCTAATGGGGCCTCCTGCTGCCGTCGCACTGCTGGAGCACGATTTCTGTTCTCATCTTGAAGTTCTTAACCTGAGGTAATATTTCTGGGTTAGCGGAGTCTGTAACCTGAAGCGTATGTAACCTGAAGTGTATGTAACCCGAGGTACCACTACCAGATAACTTGATCATTAATATTTTTTTCATGGGTTGATCAGTCCTATATCCAGCAGGATAAAAATTTAAACACAACAATAATGTGCATTGGACATGCATTTATATCTCAGAAACACAACAGTGAATCGAAAATTGCTGAGATTAAAGACAGCAAGCACAACAGAAACCTGGTAGGAAATAACATGCTGAAATGTTATAGCAACAGCAGCCACCATCTTCTGTGCACTACTAAAAACTGTGCAAAAAGAAGGGGCAAAATATCAGATCTCATTAGATGGTGAGAAGTCCTTAAAATGAAGTGTGATTTCTATAGGCTTGTTTAATAAATTTAAGAAAATGCATACAGGTCTTGCCTTTATGTTCCTTGCCTATATACAAAAAAGCAACCGATGAATCATTCAAAAATAAATTCTTTTACTGCACAACCACAGCACTGCTTATTTATTAATTTATTTCATAAAATTTATGCTCCACTTGATTGTAAAAAACACACCTGAAAGTAGTTTACAAAAAAGTACAGCAATAAAAATCAAGAAAAATTTACAACCATACAAAAAGATACAAAAGTTAAAATACTAAAACAGATTAAAATTACCTTAACTTTCTAAACATCTGGGTAGGCTTGTCAAAACAAGAATGTTTTTAGCAGGCACCAAAGAGAGTACAGTGAAGCTGCCTACTTGATATCAATAGGCAGGGAGTTCCAAAGTGTAGGTGCTTCCAAATGCAGAATGGGCTTGGAAGGAGCTGTGGCAATGGAAATGGAAAATGAAAAGACAAAAGGAAACTATAAAGCTAAACCAAGGATTATGCTCCTTAATGAGTTCTACAGTTAATTAAGTCAGAGAAAGTCCTCTAAATTGCTGTTGTGGCAAGTCGGCATAAGATCATGAGAAGAACCTGTTGGCTCAGGCCCATCAAGTCCAGTATTCTGTTCTCAGAAGCATACTGTCTCTATGAGCAAAGCCTAATGGGCAGTAACCAATGACAAGACCTATCCTCCATGAATTTGTCTAATCTTCTTTTAAAACCATCCAAGTTGGTGGCCGTTACTGCCTCTTGTGGGAGTGAATTGTCCACACTTCTGCTTGTCCTGTGCCAAGAAAGCAGAGGTTTGAGTGGTCCAAGCATTCCGCCCCCCCTTGCCTCACTCATTTCCCAAGGAAAACCCACTCTTTAGCTCTAAATCAGAGCAAACATCAGTCCAGAGAAAACCTGAATTGCCGGTTTGCTCCAACTGAAAGCTAAAGAGTGGTTTTCTCCAGGTGAAAGCAGCGAGACTAGAGGAATTGTGGATAAGCCCCAAGTGCTGCATGAAAAAGTACTTTCTTTTGTCTGTTCTGAATCTTCCAACATTCTAACTCACTGAGTGTCTCCCAGTGTTATGGGAGAAGAAGAAAAACCTTTATTGTCCACATTCTTAGCATGGTTGCAGAATAAGCATGTTACTAGATTTTAATGATGAGAGTTGAGTTCTGTAGTTGGGTACCCTTGTTAGTATAGTCAAAGTCTGAGTACAAAAATACTTGCAAAATCTGTTTTCGAACATGCAAGATCTATCTTCATAGAAAAGGAAATGAAATCACCTTGCCAGTGATGAAGCTTTTTTTTAAAAAAAAACTTTATTGGTATTACTGTGGGGGCAGATGGACATTTTGGGATATTCCTGCTCTGAGAACCAGCTGTCATTTAATCACACATTTCAAGGAGGATTTAGGAAGCTTTGCAAGCAGCCCCACTGCCAACCCCTTTCCTCTCTGCTTCCTTATTTTGGAGACAATGGATTCAAGATGTGCACTGTCTGCTTCACAGCTGTAGTTTGTATCTCCAAAATGTTACTGGACTTTGATCACAAGGAGTGATTATTAATTCAAATTGATCAGAAAAGCCCTTTGAACTAAACTGGGACACCCACTATCAAGTTGTTCTTTGGGGAACATGTCTCTGGTTCCATTGATATCACTTGCGCAGAGTAGTTGCATTTTTCCACTCCCCAAGCCCGGTCCAGATCCACCAGTCCCATGCAGTGTTTACCTAAAAATAAGAACAAATAATATATACACTTTCACATAATTATTGTAATACTACAAATGCAAATGTATATTTCAGCATCAACACCCACTGATGAAAACGGGTATCCTAGCATCAATTGTAACAATAGTGAATATGATAATTTCGGTATCAATCATTAACAGCAGTGGTGCCAGTATATATTTTGCAGTGTCTCAGATTTTTGCTTATTAATGCAACTTGGGATAATTTCCTAATCTGGTTATTTCTAATACAGCTGAAATGTCTCTTTATAGCAGGTGTAGGGAACATCCTTATGTTGAGGAACATCACCTTGCCAACAAAGGTCCGTATAGTTAAAGCTATGGTTTTCCCAGTAGTGATGTATGGAAGTGAGAGCTGGACCATAAAGAAGGCTGATCGCCGAAGAATTGATGCTTTTGAATTATGGTGCTGGAGGAGACTCTTGAGAGTCCCATGGACTGCAAGAAGATCAAACCTATCCATTCTTAAGGAAATCAGCCCTGAGCGCTCACTGGAAGGACAGATCCTGAAGCTGAGTCTCCAATGTTTTGGCCACCTCATGAGAAGAGAAGACTCCTTGGAAAAGACCCTGATGTTGGGAAAGATGGCGGGCACAAGGAGAAGGGGACGGCAGAGGATGAGATGGTTGGACAGTGTTCTCGAAGCTACCAGCATGAGTTTGACCAAACTGCGGGAGGCAGTGGAAGACAGGAGTGCCTGGCGTGCTCTGGTCCATGGGGTCATGAAGAATCAGACATGACTAAACAACTAAACAACAACAAATGTTGAGGAACGACAACTCTCATCATTCATGGACATTGGCCATGCCTACTGGGGCTTATGGGAGTTGTAGTTCAGCCACTTCTAGAGGGCGAAAGGTTCCCCCCACCTGTTTTATAATATTTAGAGTAGAAAGATTAAGGGCTGATGTTTGCATACTAAGTTACGATAAATGAAAGATGTGTGGCTCAGTGTTAGAAGACATGCAGAAGTCAATGGATTCATCCCTGGCATTACCAGTTAAAAATGACTTCTGGCTGAAACACAACTGATGCTAGCCAGGGTGGACAATATTGACTAGAGCACTCATATTTAATTGCAAGAACGTTTTGTAATATTGTTGCTAATTAATATTCTTGCTGATAATCTGCACTGTTGCTGTTGTTGAACATTTGACTATTTTAAAACATTTTAAAATTTTATTTTTATATTTTAAAATAATACATTGTTAACATTTAACTCCAGAATGTTGAATACAATATGGGCAAAATATCCCATTATATTATGGATAAAATAAGCATGTCGAGTTACTGAAGAACTCTGAAATACGAAAGAAAAAATTAAATATGCCACCTCCCTTAAAATAATAGAATTGAATTTTTAAATGTCCTGATTCTGCATTTGTTTAAAGTGGACTTGTTACACATAACAGCATATATCTGCAACTTCTTATGTAGGTAGATTGTACTATCTTAACATCTAATACTGGAATCCTATACCCACTTGCTTGGGAGTAAGTCCCATTGAATTCAGCAAGCAGAAACACACTGGATTGTACTGCAAGTTATTTTTACATGATTACTGGTAAGGAATGAGTAGCAGTGCAGTGGTAGAAAAGATATTTTTGTTGTATTGTTTTGTATTGTTTCATTTTGGGTTGAATTTTATTATTTCAGTCACAGACCAGTTCCAGACCACATACAATATCAAGGAAGTCATAGAACATGATAGGGATACATTTGAATTTGCAATTAGGTATAACAGGGACAATACAGACACAGCAACAGTTAAAAATACATAAATTAAAACTTAGTCACTAACATATAAGCTAAAATTATTATTTAAAACCTTAATCATTACGATAGCACAGCTTGTTCCCTAAGTTTTATGGCAATCACACACAATTTGGCTACTCTTAATGTGATCTCAGGATCCTCATTTTGGGTTGGAACTTTAATTCAAAAACAATCATCTTTATAATAAACGAAGCAATGGTGGTGGTGACCATTTTAACTATGCAACCCTGTGTGTCTTTTTCAGAAAGAAGCACCATTGAATTCAATGAGGTTTACTCCCAAGTAAGCATGCTCAAAATTGCAAGCTAAATAGTACACCTTATGTAGAATCTCACTATCTGATTCTGCCTCTAACAGAGCATGTGGTTAGTGCTGATCTGATCTGACCTTTACCCTAGTCATTTGAAAACAAAACTTAATCCTCACCAACCACACGCCCATTAGCAAGTTTAAAAGGTGAAGAAAGATGACTGAAATGGAAGAGATTCTTTTAATGGAGCGAATAAGCCTGGTGTCAAGTATATCTTCAGAAGAAACAAGGAGAAGAACAAAAATGCCAGTGAGAGATCATTTTTGTGGTTCACAAATGTCTGCTCTACCTACTTTATCTTTGAAAGGGGGGGGTAGAAGTACTATAGTGTCACAACATCAAATTTACCTGAAATGCTGAGTTGACACTCTGTGATTCATTTACAGCCATCCACTCCACCCTTCATTAAGTGATACATTTCCTTCCCATATCACCAAAGGGCTGGAAGAAATGCCCACTCCCATTTGGTGGAGTGGCACCTCTTGAACTCACAGCTGTGACCTTGTCAGCATGTTTTCCTTTCCAGATACAGGAGTGGCTTTAAAGTTTTGCCAGTTTTTGTGAAAAAATAGGTAAGATTATCTCAAGTCCTCAATGCTTCCTGTTGTACTCTTAGCAGCCACAGAAATGTTTACATCAGGGGTCAGCAAACTTTTTCAGCAGGGTCCACTGTCCCTCAGACCTTGTGGGGGGGCAGGACTATATTTTTTTGGGGGGAAGAAAGAATTCCTATGCCCTACAAATAACCCAGAGATGCATTTTAAATAAAAGCACACATTCTACTCATGTGAAAACAACAGGCAGGTCCCACAAATAAGCCAGAGATGCAATTTAAATAAAAGGATACGTTCTACTCATGTAAAAACACGCTGATTCCCGGACTGTCTGCGGGCCGGATTTAGAAGGCGGTTGGGCCAGATCTGGCCCCCGGGCCTTAGTTTGCCTACCCATGGTTTAGATGCATAAACATTGTTTCTTTTTACTGCCTGTTATACATTGGGAGTGAATTTTGTATCCAAAACATGCAACAGTATCAAACCCTGTTTTGTCTATTTATCCCAAACACCTTGTCTTTATTTTTTGAAAATCAATGCCCCATTTACACGTCAACAAAATTCCCAGAGCAGCTTGCAAGAAAACATAACTCTAATATAAAAAAACACTAACAAATTAGTAGAACTGATTAAAAAGGCAGAGAAGCCATTGAGTCTAAGAAAATAGCATAAAAACAAAAGGATCTAAAGTGCCCAACCATGTTTTAAAAAGACCTTTATCTGGTGATGAAAATAAAAGAGCTTTGGCATCAAGTAAAACTCCCAAGGGAATCCCTAGAATATCAGCTCACCCTATGCAAACCAATCTTACATATTCTGAAGACATTTGAACAGCTGTAAAAGAGAAACACAAGCTCAAAGCTTCCTTGGGCATATGGAACTAGCTATGCAGTTGTGTGGATCCCAGCCAGCTACTCTTCCTGTTTTAAAAGGTTCCACTAGATCTATTGCCATCCTTTGCAAATGCGTCCTTGTTACTGTCCTTTTTTTGGCAAGAGGGACACTTTCATAAAAAGGGAGAAAACTTTCATAAAAGCCACCACCCTTTTCAGATTCTACTTATTTTGTTTCAAATACAGTGGTACCGGTTTACGAACTTAATCCGTTCTGGAAGTCCGTTCTTAAACCGAAACCGTTCTTAAACTGAGGCGCACTTTCCCTAATGAGGCCTCCCGCCGCTGGTGCCCTTCCACTGTTTGGATTCCATTCTTAGACCAAGGTAAAGTTCTCAAACCGGGAAACTATTTCCAGTTTTGCGGAGTTTGTAAACCAAATTGTTCTTCAACCGGACTGTTCTTAAACTGAAGTACCACTGTATTTCTATCATGCTTTTTAAAGTTCCCCAGACTAAGGCTGCTAGAGTACTGGGCTTGCCTAAGGCCATTTATTTAGTTCATGGCTGATGTGAGATTTGAACGGGTGATTTTCCAGCTCTTGCACTATAGTAGCTCCCTTGCACTGTTACTAACTCCCAATGGCATCAGAAAAAACATTAGCATGTTTCTCAAATTCTATCATCTCCTTTATTGGACTGTAACAGATGAATGTTCACTGTATCACTGTGTGATACTTTCAACCCCAGATTTAAACTGAGCTTCAACAAAGAAAACTATTTCACTGTATCTCTAAAGATACCTCCCTGTGTGTTCTGAGAAACCAGCACTTTCATTCCTTGTTGATAAGCATGCCACGGCAACCCATATATAGTAAGCTAAGCACATCACCAAGTAGAGTGTATGTAATCTACACAACAGCTGTTCTATGGAAAAGCGTACCTATTTGCCTGCGTTCAGGGGGAAGCTGGACAGCTGTCTGATCAGCAAATCGGCAAAGAATCATGTGCTCCTAGAATAGAAAAAACACACAGAGAGATAAATATTGCCAGCTTCTTCCATTACATTATTCCAAAGTAGCTACCATAGTAGCACATACTGGGAGACTGTGTACATATTGATTGGAGTTGCCTGTTTTGCTATGCAATATTATTCAGAACAGGTCCTTCTGGCATGACATCAGTTTTGGAAACCAATGAAAGGGATGCTAGTAGAGGGTATAAATTGAAGCATTCAAATTAGCCTAAGATGGCCCGGTATGACCTGTGTGGACTCTTTCAACACTGTAGTTAGATCCTTAAGCATCTATATCACGTCTGACCCGTGGAAGCTTTGTACCATGCAGCTTCACCAACACAGGCGAGATGGGAAACAGGCAAAGAAACTACTTCTTCATGCAGCACATACCGTATTTTTCGCTCTATAAGACACACTTTTCCCCTCCTCCCTTCTCCCTCCTCGGGGAAAAGCCCCCAAGAGCCGCAGACATGCTCTGCGTGCTCTTTAAAGGGAGCGCGGCTCTTGGGGGAGCCTTCATCCGGCTGCCCTGAAGAGGCTTCACCTGGCTATCCCAGAAGCCAGAACAGCAAGAGGCTATCCCAGAAGCCAGATCCCTCTTGCTGTTCTGGCTTCTGGGATTCAGAATATTTTTTTTTCTTGTTTTCCTCTTCCAAAAACTAGATGCGTCTTATGGTCTGGTGCGTCTTATAGAGCGAAAAATGCGGTGGTTAAACTATGAAATTCACTTCCATTAATTGTAGTGGTGGTCAACAACTTGGACAATCTTGTGGAGGATAAGGCTTTGAGCCATGATGGCTATGTTCTGTCTGTCTGTGCCTCTGAACACCAACAAGCGAGGAGAGACTTCTGTTCTGCTTGCAAGCTTCCCATAGGCATCTGGTCAGTCTCTATGAGATAAGAATGCTGGACTAGATGGGTCTTTAGCAAGGATCATATTATGTTCCCAGTGTTTTGCTACTGTGGCACAACACCAGACTCACAACATTGCAGTGCCCATTGTACCCAGGCTTTTTTGTTTTCCTTTGTACAGCAAATCATAGAATTAGGCTACAAAATCTATCAATCTCACCTGGTGAACCACAATTAGGTTACGTTGATCACATTTTATGACCCACAGCGACAAGGTTTATAATATACTTTTACACACACTAGACCTTGGAGGTGATTATGCTTTTGACCGGGGGGGGGGGGGATGCAAAAGGAAAGAAAAATGCCATAACAGTGCTTTGGCTGACAGCTGCACTAGCTTGGACAGCTGCAATTTCAAGTGCCAAGTCACAGCAATCAGAACCATTTCAGAGCTGTATATCTTGACAGAGCTGTTTGTAATGTTAGATGGAGATAAGTATGTGAGAACACAAAACACTTTTGGAAGGAATTTAGGTAATACCATTTACAAACGACATCCTCCCATTCTGCTTTTTTAAAACAACAGGGCTTTTAATTTTGCAGGATTTCTTGAATTTTTAGGTTTCCAAATTATGGTTGGATATTATACTCTTTGTTTTTGCTATTTATTTATTGCATTTTTAACCCCAACATTCTATAAGAAATGCCTAAGATGGCTAAAATCCAATTAAATAAATTAAGAAGGAAACAGGAATGTTGAAAATATGCCGAGTTATAGGGATTTAAAAATAAAATAGTCTTTTTGTTTAACAGAGAATATTTTTAGAAACTATGGGAAGGGTGCTATTCCTGTATCTTGACAAAACAACACCAACAAGGTATTTGGGATAGCTAACTTTTGGGGAGCTATAGAGCGCAGGATATGCAATATTCAGCTTCAGGAGAGGGAAAAGTGGAGAAATGGCAGGCAAGGTATGGGTTAAGCATCCTCTTATATGCGCCACTGCTTGTCCAATCAAAATCACTCTGGCCAAATTCTTTTTCCTTTAAAGGCTGTTTCCCATTATGTGTGTTCAGCCCTAATAGGTTTCAAACTGAATAGTCAGTTTCAAACTGAAATGTATGTATACTATTTCCCATGAGAAAAGAGAACTTGCTACAAATTGTTCTAAAAAGTCAGCAATGAGTTGAGTCTTCACTGTGGGATGCCACAGTTGCCATTTTGAATGGGGTGGGTGGGAATCATCAAGTCTCTATAATAACGCTTCGGTTTTACTTGACACTAATCCTTGAATTTCCCAGTGAAAGGAAACAGAAAATTAAGATGAACTATGGAGACAGTGACACAGTGTCTAGCCACCACATTCCAACTTTTGGCAACACATCAGTAACTGAAAATATATCAATCCAATATGCAAAGTTGTATATTATATAAAGCCTACAGAACCAAAAATATATAAATTTATACACTGAACTGAGATACCATCTGGTCTAGATCCATGTAAATAATACAATACTGATTTTAGAGGGGCTCCTTAGCACAAGTTTTTTTCTTTAAAAAAATCAACTGATACAAATTTATTAAAACAATATGCTTCTTAGAACCAGTGTAGATTTTTTATCTGTTATGTTCTACTTAAAAGGTTGCATTAATTTTTCTCATAAAATACTGCCTTTTCAAAATTTATGTGAAGGTTGGAAATGTAATGCAATGGAAAATGGGAAAATGTATCAACTATTATTTTCCAGTGAACTATGTGATGGTCTTAGACAAAGTTAAAGATGCATATACTCAATGCCAGATTCATGTATGAGCTAAGCAAGCTATAGCTTAGGGCCCCACTCTCTTGGGGCCCCCCAAAAAATGTAAAGAAAAAAATAACTGGATGTATATTTCCAAAATATAAGATAAAAAACAAATAAAATAAAACCTACATACAGCAATGGTGTTTTGTGTTGTGTAGGCTCCTATTTGTTATGTGCAAATGGCTCTAGATACCTATTAGGTTCATAAATTACACATAGCACATATTCAACACACAAAAAAGTGACAATTGGTTGTTGACAAAGGACAGCTGGACATATAACGGGCCCCATTACCTTCAGTAGCTTAGGGCCTCATCAAACTTAAATCCTGCCTGCATATACTATAAATAATATTTAAGTTATTTTTCAAATGAATATGTCATATTTTCTAGCCAAATAGGGCATTAAAGTAAAATACGGTTTTAAACAGGCCAGAAAGAAGGCAGAACACAGCTCTTTATGTATTCTTAGAAAGACCTCAAAGCATATCTGTGTGAGCTGAAACATACATGGTTATCTTCTACATTTTGGAGCAAGTTTCAATGGAAAGAAACATTCCACACATGAAGCGTTTGCTTCTGCTGAAATGAATGGAACATTCATTGTGGGTGATGAACTTCATCTATATGTCCATAACAAATTGGCAGGAATTATTATGAAAATTTATTTTTACTTATTTTATTTAAACTCTTTGTTTCTGTAACTATGTCACTAGGCTTACTTGTGCCAAAAGCAATTCAGCCGCCCATCTTATGAAAATGTGGTTATTAGTTCACATGCTGTTCACTACGAAAACTACATCTCAAATACAATTGGGAGAAAAATAAAGCAATTTCAAGCCATCACTGTCCAAATTGAATCTGGATAGAAGAAAATCAAATGAAAAGGGGAAATAGCAGCCATAAAGAAGGAAAACGGTTAAAAAAATGGGAAACTGGCATAAAGATGCACACAAAAGCCTTCAGGCCTATCCAAAATATTCAGTGGAGCAGACTAGGAAGAAAGTACTCCTAGAAGGCTCAACAGGTTCTTGACATCTATGTATACTTGATGGATGAATATGGTTCTTTTATAGTGAAACAATTCAGTTGTTTTATCATTGTTCTTTTCATGGTTTTATGTTTTAACTAATAAATAGTTGTTTTAATTTTTTTTAATGATCTTGTCATCTACTTTTAGAAATTATTGAAACTAAAAAATGAGATATAAACTAAACTACACACAGAAATGTATTCCATACTGTATTTACGAAATGTCTTTTTCCTGCACTAAAAGAAAAAAGAGGAAGGAACACATGGAATGCAATGGTGAAGTTTCAGTATTCTGATGTGTTTTTACCCCATCATTAAAAGAGAATTACTCATTCCACTCAAACCATACGGAAAGACACAGAAAAGGGCACAGAAAGAAATTCTAAACCACAGCTTCACCTTTTGCATACCTTATAGGATAACACTTCCTTGAACTGACGGCTGAAATAGAAAAGAAGATGGATTTGATCACCATGAGAAACGACGATTTTAAAATAGATGCAGTCTTTAAGGCATATGGCTGAATTTTAAACAAATACTTGGGTGGGTTGTTATCTGGAAGTTGAACAAGATCCAGAAGCAGACACTACTGAGAGTTTCTGTTCTTTTTTAGTAAATGTCTATAATGTGCCAAGTTTTATCACTTACAGACATTTATCATTTAAGATATTTTAAGTGCTAAACAAATGCATAGGGCTGTATCATGTCACTGCTACTGACTCACTGAAAGCAAGCATCTGACTTTTAATATATTTATCCTACATAGGGTTGATGATGGATTCGATGTTCAGTCTGCATTGGTTGGGATTATACACCCTTTTTAGAATCAGGTTTGCAACTCGGGAGTACTTTTGAACATAATAGCATTGCTCCTAAACTAGTCAGATGGTGGCTGTAGCCAGGTTTGCCACACATGTTGGTGGGCCCGGTGCACTTGTTCCTGGAGAAAGATGGTTGTGCCACAGCTACATCCACATGAACTGGTTCTACATAGGGCTATCTTTGAAACTGCACAGAGAAAAATGTAGCAGATAAAAGGTTTCTTTGCAGATTGTCTACCACTGGTGTTGTACCAACGACTGAGAATTGTTATAATAAAGAATGAAACAGAGACATGAAGTTTAATTTCCTTCTCTGCACAATATTGTGTACTCCAGTGAATCACAAAAGTCAAGAGATCACAACTGGAAAGTGAAAGGACTGTTTTCAATCCAATAAAAATAATATGACTGTATGAAAAGGTATACAATCAGGCAATCAGAATTCTTGCACCTGAAGAACTACTTGACTTCTACTATGTTCTGTGGTCCTTTCATAGGTGCATCACGGCTGCAATTCTCATTGAGACTTATTTCTGAGAAAGCATCATGGGATTTGCATTGCAGAAGTTTCTTATTTTATAGATCAATGACTTTATTTAAAAGAACCAAGGTTTACAACTGTGGGTGTGATAAATCTTAAAAATAATGTGTGCATGGATGATTAGGCGCGGCTAATTAAGCCTCTGAACAAAACGATAAACAATGTGACGCAAGCATACTGAGAGAGCTCTTTATTGCAGGCATGTATTATGTATTTTTTATAGCTGCTACTAACTTCCATTTCAGAAATGTCACTGGTAATTTGCAGAACAGTTAGAAATGTATCTTTACAGCTAGAATTATGAAGTCGTAGCTCTAGGTGACACATTCAGCCATTGTGACAATGAGCAGGAGGTAACTCACCTTTGGGATTACCTGTTCCCCTTAAACAGAGGCAACCCAACCAACCTATTATTCTCATGTCTTCTTCTAAATATCTGAGCCTGAGGTGGAGCTTCACATCACTGGACAGCTGTCTGTCTTCTAGCACTTTAAGTAAGGTGTTAAAAATAAAGGTATTGTTGGATTTGGGTATTTTTCTTGTTCTGTGGGACCAACACATTCACTACCTATGCAATCCTTTGTAAGTTTTCTCAAAAGTAAACTCCAGTGGGTGGTAGCCAACAAAGTAGTTTGCTAGCACAAGGACTTTGGGCTGCAATGAAGCTCCCTATCCCACTCTTCTGCCTGTGTGTTGCCTGCACCACATACATCTGTTTGGGGTTTTTTCCCAACCCCCGGAGCAGATCTGAGGAGGGCACAGGGGTGCATAGCGAGAGGAGAAGGAGGGGAAGTTTCATTGTGCAAGCAGATATATTTATTTTTTGCACTAGCAGAAGCACTTTTGGGGATACCACCCACTAAGCTCAACAGAGCTTACTCACTAGTAAGTAGTCAATGCCATACATGTCAACCCAGATTCCTCTCCACACATACACACTGATGTCAACAAACCACTGACCTTTGTGGAAATGCAAACTTGGCTGTGTTCTGAATGAAGCCATAACAACATGGAGAGATAACAAACGCTGCATGAGCTTTGACACAGCGTTCAATCACCATGTCTGTTGCCACGCCACAAGCATGCAGTGCTACCTGTGACAGTAAAACAATGGAATTTAATGATAACTGTACATTCAGTTACTATTCAGCCATTTCTGGATGGCTGAATTATTGCAACATCAAAGAAAGAGAGCAATCTGTTGCAAAATCAATCTCTTTTTAGCCAGATAATACAGTATCCATTATTTTCTTTGCTTACGTTGAGACAAAATGTAGCTAGCTCAATAAAATATATTCACATTTGGCAGTAGATATAAAATACAATCCAAAACGAACTAGTGCAACAGCATTATAAAGTTAAAATCTGGCATGATACATAAAGGTCTCAACCCAACGTTTTTTGACAGTTCTAATCACCATTTAGGGCCAGATGCCATTTCTTTTCCAGATAAGAACAAAAACTGCAGGCCTCAGATGGTAATCAAACAATGCGTTAAAATTGCCCAGAAAGGTTCATAGGTAACGGAATTTTCCAGTATTACTTATGCATTTCATTCATAGAGCTCCAAAATGAATCATGGCTGATTATGCTGAACATGGAGATAGCTGAAATTTGACAGTGTTCTGGCATAGGTTTCAAAACAAACTGAAATGCTTCCTGCCAGGTCTACTCTCAGTCACCTGAGATGACAGCTTCAGTCACAGATAGTTCTATAAGCATGATAACTACATAGAGCTTAAAAAATGTTTGGGTTTGGTTGATGAACTGAAGATACTGTGGTTGTTGTTTTTTAAAGACTAGTTGAGAGTCTAGACTCTGCAGCACTGCTATGACAGATTACAGATTACATTGCAAGAAAATATTTAAGTAAATATTTCATCCTTGGCAATATTCAAATTATGCATACAGCAGCAATAATTATTTCAACGCCCCACGCCCAAAGTCATTTCCGGCTCAAATATGACTGTATAATGAAGGTGTTCAGCTGATATGGGCCATGCACCTTTTTATCACCATCTGCTGATAAGAACAACTAAATTTATAAACATCCCCTCTCTGATTCTACAATTGGCACCTCATCCAATCCAGATTTGTGTTTTTAATTCCCATCTTTTATGTCACAGTTCTCTCTGTCCTAACTGTATTATCATTTTGTTTTCTCTTAGGCTTTTCAGTAGAGCTTACTTGTGAGCTTACTTCTGAGTAGACATATATAGGATTGCAGTGATAGCTCTTTTTCACATCGGCTAATTCTTTGGGCCAGAGGATGCTTAATGCAGCCCAGCCCTTAAGTATGTGATTTCCTCTCCTTTTAGCTCCTCCCTTCTGGAGTACAAATCGTCTAGTCTTTCCCCGACAGTCTTGTCTGTGGGCTAATATTTAACAGCTTGAACTTAGCCAAGATCTGAAACCAAACGGACCATGAATGGGGAAGAAACCATGGGCCTTCAAATGTTGCTGGAGTACAACTCCCATCATCCCTGAACATTGGTCATGCTGTCTGGGACTGATGGTCATTGGAGTTCAACAACATCTGGAGGCTTAAGGGATCCCCATCTCTGCCATAGATGTTCTCAATGTAACAGGACTAACTCAGAAGGAAGTCCTACTGAGTTCAATAGGGAGGGGAAACTCAGGCCTGAGGGCCAAATGTGGCATTCTAGGCCTCTGTTTGGTTCTTGGGACTCTCCCTAGCCGCTCTCTCTCTAGGCCACCCCCTTCACTGGCTTTGCTTCATATGCCCCTTGAGTGTTTTTGCCTAGCTGGAATTTGCCCTTGAACTCTGACCATGACTCTTGCTTGCCTGGATAGAGGCTAGAGCAGGCATAGGCAAACTCGGTCCTCCAGATGTTCTGGCACTACAACTCCCATGATCCCTAGCTAACAGGACCAGTGGTCAGGGATGATGGGAACTGTAGTCCCAAAACATCTGGAGGGCCGAGTTTGCCTATGCCTGGGCTAGAGAGTGGTGTGTGTGTGTTGAAAGGTAACATTTACAGTAGTACCTCTGGTTGCGAACGGGATCCATTCCGGAGGCCCGTTCGCAATGTGAAAAGCCCGCAACCTGAAGCACAGTACCTGTTCAGGTGTGCGGCGCAATTTGGTGCTTGTGTGCATGCGCAAAGCATGATTTAGCACTATTGTGCATGTATGAGTGGCAAAAGCCAGAAGTAACCCTTTCCAGTACTTCAGGGTCGCCACGGGACGCAACCTGTAAAAACGTAACATGAAGCAAATGTAACATGAGGTATGACTGTACATTCATTGTTCTATCCACTTTTGCTTCAGGCCCTGCCCATCTTTGGCATGTGACCCTAGGAGGCTCCCAAGAAGGAAACACCACCCTTGCACAGGAAAAAGTTTCTTTCCACTATATTACAGCCCTAAGCATGTTCAAGGACCAGACTGCCTTATGTCTGCATCATCTCTTAGTATCTTCTTGCCTCCTTGTGTATCAACTGAACTTGTATCAACTATTCCTGTCACTATACTATTAAGAAATCATCTCTACTGACATTTCATACTTCTTTGTGTTGAATAATGTAATAATTATTGGAAGCTGACATTTCACAGAGCTAATTATGTTCTGGTTTTAAACGCACTCTTCCAAGAGCTAACTTCAATGCTCCATTATTACTATTTGCTTGCAATAATATAAAATAAAATCCTCCTGCCTCCTCTTTGCCATGCCACCATTTCAGTACTGCACTAATTAACTTCAGTTGTTTTCTGAACTTGTATGTTCATTTGGCCTTATAAGGTAGCATGGAGGACACTTGAATTCCTTATTTTGTGCACAGCACAACCGTTGGGAATCAACAAATTAGCAATAGCTCAAAACTAACTTCTGATTTCCCGTTAACACAAGTTTATACAATAGCAGGGTTTATAGAAAAATAAGTTGAGGTTACATAATATTAAGTGATATGTTATAAGCGATAAGACAATATATGAAGACAGTATTTTCTTTTTAACATTACATAACAGCAAAGTCTGAATATTTTCAAAATCACTTACCCCTATATTAAAATTTCCTTTAAAATAGTCCATATTTGCTTGGATGAACCAAATGTTGTCCAATCCTAGCACACTGCTTCTTTCTTCAGCACGTGTCAGTGACAACTCTTTATTTTCTACCAATATGATCTATATTTTACACAAAATAACAGTTAGTTATGGTAAACTTTTTGGTGGAATAAAAATTGTTGCAAGAGCATGTTGAAGCACTTGCCGGGGCAGGGGCAGGTGAGAGAGTTGTATTCTGAAACAGAAATGTATCTGTCCAGTCATTAATAACAGCAGACTTCACTTGACTCTATCCTTTAATCAAACCAGACTATGCAGGATTTTGTGCATGCCAAGCAAACTTCACTGCTTTCTTAGTGAAAGATTGTACGGCCTGCTTTCAAAGCATAATGCAAAGTACCTCCATGTTGCTAACCTATCAGAGGGGCTTCCAAGCCTGACATTGATACAGCAACATATCTATGACTGCTGCTGCCCCAGTGAAAGGGACAGTCTGGTTCTGCCAATAGAGATTCAGCTGGCAACTTGTGTGCCAACTTTTAAATGCATGCCGGAAACTTTTATATTGTGCTACACCTATGCAGCAATTAAGAATAAATCCTTCCACAATGGTTAGTTGATGTCTGTTTTTAACTTGTTATGGTTTTATGTTTTGTTGCTGTAAACTCCTTTGGGAGTTTTTTTAGGACACAGTGGTATACAAATAGCTTTATAAATAAATTAATCAAGGCAGAAAGAAGAGGTATCTTTTTCTAGTACTACCCAGAATCTAGTATCCCATCTTGTGAGTAAAGTGGTACCTCGGGTTAAGTCTTAATTCGTTCCGGAGGTCTGTACTTAACCTGAAACTGTTTTTAACCTGAAGCACCACTTTAGCTAATGGGGCCTCCTGCTGCTGCCGCGCCGCCGCACAATTTCTGTTCTCATCCTGAAGCAAAGTTCTTAACCTGAAGCACTATTTCTGGGTTAGCGGAGTCTGTAACCTGAAGCGTATGTAACCTGAAACGTATGTAACCTGAGGTACCACAGTAAGTGCTACTCTGCAGAAGACCACAGGCTGGGAGCATTTAGTTATATTGCATATGGCAACTATCCTATACGTAGCCAGACTTTGCTCCTACAAAGGAAAAAATTACAAAAATTACATTTTTTTCTAATTAAAACACATGGTGCCTGTCACATCTAGTTTCTTCAAACACATTTGTGGCAATTGGACCCAGTTAACACAATTTTGGAGAACTGTGGAAGTAGCAGTTCCCAAAGGTATCTGTGAACAGACCTCTCTGGTTCATTTTTCAAGCATTTGGAAGAGGGCCAACTTTTTCAGGTTCACTTGTAGGCCTGAACATGATAGACTCAAATTTCCCAGAGAAAATCTCCTTGAGACTTAATATGGAGATGTGTTGCTCCTTAGGGAAGCATACAAATCCCGCTTCTATAGTTTATCAGCCAGTAACTGCATCTGGGCATTTCTCTATCAGCCAGTAAATGCATCTGGGCATTTCTCATATAAAATCCTTCTAGAAGAATGGGGAAAAAACACAGATTGCCAATCTGGGCTTTTGATTGTAATTTCCAATTGAGTTTTTGTTTTGTTTTGTTTAAACTGTGATAGGATTGCTCACTCTTTTGGGGGGGGGGTGTTGATGGTTTTCTCTGTTACTAAGCCCAGAAAGGAGTAATGTTGTCTGTAAAACAACTTAGCCAAAATGAAAAACTACCCCAAATTAGCCACAGTTTGAGATTAGTTCACGCAAGGTTTTATACTGGACCTAAAATAAGGAAGGGGCTGTCAGACAATGAAAGCCACAAACCCCACCTCCTGCTTGTCCACCAGGAGCCTCTCCTCATAAGCCACACCCCAGCTCATAGGATCTTGCTTAACTGCACTGAAATGGAAGAATTAAGTTCATGTTCTCAAACAATGGCTTTAGCTTAGTTACAGAATAAATGTTTTGCATGCAAAAGGGTTTTAGAGTGTCTATATATTTGAGAGTTTGGAGAGCTGATGTGAGGATGTCCCTGTGCTACTTTTATTCTTACTTTTTAAAAGTTGCCTTCAGTCATACTAATTTTATTGCTGGGAGTGAAAAACAGTGCTTTATCTTACTCAGAATATGAGAACGGGTAAATTAAGTACTTTATTCTACCATACAAAAAAACGTGAGTGGGTGTTTGATTTAGATAATTCTATCACTTTCACATATTTTACAAACAGCCTGCATTTAATTGTGTATCTGAAATTCCAGGTTATTAAAGTCTGAATTTACATTTTACTGAAACCTTACCTGACATGATGGAAGTACGTGAGCAAGGACAATTCCAACATGGCCCTGTTCAAAGCAGAAGAAAGTGCACAAATAAACCTTAATCCCAAAGAGCTGATCCATTTGACAACAAAATATTCCAATAAAATATTGACAGAGACTTTGAAAGCAGATCAAATTCCAGAATTTTGGACTCTTGAGCTGTTGGACTTATAAACATACAAAAACAACTGCTACCGAACTTACAAACAAACAAACAAATAAAATACCTTACCCCACCACTGCAAAAATCCACAATTTTATCTCCAGGTTTAGCCAGCTTTTTCACTAAGGCCACCATATTGTTGAGCTGTTGCTGTTTCCTAAAAGCGCGATCACTGGACATTTTTCCTAAGGATGACAACAAGGAATATACATTTGCTATTGCTTATGGCAAAAATGTGGCTTTTACAGTATTTCCTTTTAAATGTAAGTGATTAGATACAGACTTGCAGCTCCACATATTGAATGGCTTTTTCCATTCACAGAAAGGGCCAAGATCCAATGGAGGTTGCCGGATACAGGAATCAACTGACACTGATTCCCTCCTGCCTGCAGTTTCTGCACCACTTCTCATGCTGCTCCAGAGTGTTCCCCAAACCCTCCAGAGCAGATTTTCAGGGGGCACAGGGGGCTGCAAGAGGAAGGTGGAATAAAAAAAAGGCATCTTCCTTTCTTCCGATTTATAGTTTGTCCTAATGCCAAGGATTTTATGTTGTGGGTGCCAATGAAAAGGAGGAGGAGCCTGTTCCCAAAGAGCTTGTGATACATTTTTATCATTTATTATTACTTGTGTTATTAGTCACTTGTTACCCTGAGGTCTCCAAGTGACTTACAAGACATTTAAGAACATAAATACGAATGCATTGATTATACCATATCAATAGAACAAAACAACCACCATAACAGCCCCAGGAATATTGTTATATGGAAGGTTTAGAGACCAGCAATGAAGTGCTAACAAGGTGAAGAAGAAGACCACCAGAGGAACTACAACACATTTAATACTACAACACACAAGTGCATTCGTATATAACAATAATAATTTATTATTTATACCCCACCCATCTGGCTGGGTTTCCCCAGCTACTCTGGGCGGCTCCCAATCAAATATTAGAAAAACAATACAATATAGAAGGATTTGATCTCTAAGGGGGTTTTCACGTATATGAGCCATCAATTGACAATGCAGCCATCTAGAGATATATGCATTTGTGTCCATAGGTAACAAGAGAAACAGAAGCTACTTCCCCTCCTATGGGGGAATCTTTCATATGTCTATGCTCTCATCCAATATTCATTTTCCAGATAACTGTATGGTGTGAAAAGGGTTTCCACATGTCCTTGATTATGAGGGAATAAGTCTTCTACCAAAAATTGTCCCTGTTCCATAGCACTCTGCTGCATGTGCTCTGGCACAGCAAATGATGGCTTGGATCCAGAGATGCTTGGGCTGGGTTCCTCTCATACAAGAGTTTTTCTAGCTCCTTTCTGACAATGCCCTTTGCATTCCTTGAAAAGCTGCTCTAGGGAGTTAGAAGGCCCTCTGGAAGAAGGTATTGTTGGAAATCAGTGACACCACCTGTTAATTGCAAGCTTAAAAGCTTGGGGAGCAAGGCCCACTCAGTATGTGGAATTTGGGATACTCAAGAGAGCTTGCAGGGCTGTCCCAGTTCCTGCAAGATCTCGCATGAGCAATCCTAGCCACGCTGAGCAGGCCTAGCCCAGGAAGCAAGGCATGCCGGGTCTGCTTATAACAGTAGCTCTCCATGGTCTCAGGCAAAGAGGTCTTCTTACTTATCTTATCCTTTTAACTAGAGGATTCAACCTGAGGTGCTCTACTTGTCAAGCATATGGTCTATCTCCCAAATGAACTACTGAACAGGTATGATTTGTGTAATAGCTCCCCATCATATATAGAATGGATATCTCTTTTGGATTTAAAAAGATAAAGCAAAACAATATTTTAGTAATAAAGTATACTACTTATTTGTCATAGGCAATGACATTTGTTTTTAAACTGCATTCCCTTTCTCGCAGCAGCTGAGCTGACATACCGTATCTTAAAACAATCAAATTGAAATTGTACTATATTGGATTGGTACAAGCTAAAAACAATGGCAGTACCCGTAGTAAACAATAATACTTCTAGAAAGTAGTTTTTTTCTCCTTTCCACATCTAGGCTTGTGGAAATCTGATACTGATACCATGTTTGGTGGTGTTCAGCAAGTGGCTATGATTTCTTGCAAAGCACTGGTCTCATTAAAAGTTTAAGTATTTGTTGAAATGCCACATTTTCCTTCACAGTCTCAGAGCAATTTATACAATAGCCATAAACAGGAGCTGAAACTTATAACATGGGAATTAGAGCCAGCCGTGCATTTTTTAGGAATAATTTATGCACCAAGATCAAAATATTTCTTCTTCTGTAATTACTTTTGGTCCAAACACATTTAACTTGACGTAGAGGAACAGCAACAAATGTCTCCGAGTTATTAATGTCACTGTGGCTTTAAAGTATATCCCAGCTGGCTTTGTTCTTCAAAATTATGCACACAACCAGGTAAAACACAGGAAGTGATTCTATTGCCTTATTATAGGAGGATCAGAAATGAAATATTATGACCAAGCAAATGAAGCATCTCATTGCCTCCGTGTAAATACCACTGCCATTTTTAGAACGTTGGACAATAAATTGCAGTGAGGGAGCTGCTTAAAAACTCACTACAGAGGGAACTTCAACTTCAGAGAAATGGACACCTGCAGTTTTCACTCACAAAACATGGCAAGTGCTACTATTACTGTTTGGTGTGGCTGGGGTCAGCCAGATGTTACAGGAAACCAATTCTCTGCATTGTCGTAGTCATGTCATCTCATGAGCAAAGCTTTAGCACTCCCATAGCTCAGTGGCACAGCATCTATTCTGCAGGTAAAAGGTTTCAGGTTCAACCCCCAACATCTCTTGAGATGCTTGAGGTAAATGCTCTCCTACTTCTGGCTATTTCAGGGCTTTTGTATTTGGTAGCAGACTTGCCCCTGCACGGCAACATGCTAATTCCATGGGAAATGCTAATGAACTTTGCTGCATTCACTTTATTTGGGAACCCTATGACCTCATGAGAACAGAAGACTCCCTGGAAAAGACCCTGATGTTGGGAAAGATGGAGGGCACAAGGAGAAGGGGATGACAGAGGATGAGATGGTTGGATAGTGTTCTCGAAGTTACCAGCATGAGTTTGACTAAACTGTGGGGTCACGAAGAGTCGGACACGACTAAACGACTAAACAACAACAATGACCTAAGTTGCTATAGCTCATTGAGGGCACTTCAGGAGCTGTGGCTGAGGCACAGAAGGATGAGGCCAAGGGAAGCCAAACTGAATGAATGCCTGAACAGGGTTTGTGGAAAATTCCAAGCATAAAACACAAGGCTTTCAGATACTTTACCCTTTTGTGTTCTGCGAAGTACAAAGGCCCTTCTCCATCTCTCTCATTTACAGACAACAAGATTCTACTTTTAGACACACACTACAGTTGAAAAGTTGGTTTAAAAGGTTGTTGAAGACAGAACAACACAATAATGGTGTTTTTTTTTAAAAAACTAAATAGTACCTCCTCCCCCCCCAATATAGCTAACTAATTTGTTCTGCATTAAGGTAAGCTCTGAAAAATGGTTTTTATCATATAAGGTATCAGAAAATAAAGCCAATTTCTTCTTGGACTTTTAAGATAAAATCAAGCATTTCAAATTAACATTAGCAGCTTGCTTTACTTGTATTTATTTTATCAGATGTCAGCAAAAGTTTAATAAAATTTTGTACTGAAGGGAAAAGCACACCTAGTTTTAATTATTGCCAAGCCTCTTGTTAATCTGTCCTTTTATTGAAGTTCCCACTGGTTGTGGTTTTTGTATAGCCTGCTTTGTTTTGCTGTCCAAATAGACTTCTTAACTGCAAGCAAAGTAGGGCTTAAAAAGAGAAATCTGATTCACATTGTATAAATCATCAAGGGAAGTTTTCATAGTCATTTGACCTTTCCAGGAAATAATGGAAAAGGCATGTGTAAGACAATACATATGTGTGTGACTACTTTTGTTATGTTTGTAGTTTTTATATGTTGTAAGCTGCCTTGAGCATGGTTTTAAATTTGGAAAGGCGACATACAAATAAAATGATTGATCAACAAAGTTATTCTCATATGCAAAAATGTGCAGGTTTCCAAATCTCTGAAGATAAAAATAATTTAGCCTTCCTTTCCCACTATTTTCTCTCTTCTATTATTATAACAAATTTATGAATCATCTTTTACATAGATGATTTACAGCCATATCATAAAACAGCTAAAAATCATGGTTAAAATTACAAAAACAAATTGCCATAGATTTAAAAAGTAAGCAGGGACCTTTCCATTATTCTGGAAAAGCTTGGTGAAACAAAAAAATTATTTGTTTGCAGAAAATACAGATAGCGCTAGACAGCATGTGACATCTCAGCAGTAAAACTATTCCAAGGAACAGGGGCAGCCACATTGAAAGCCCTGCTGCATTTTAGGGACTTCAAGGAGAAACTCTCCTGTGGAATCCAGTAACCTACAAGCAACTTGGTCCTAAGCGCTATAGGGCCTTATATTTTAGTACCCAGTCCCTGAACTTGGCCCAAGAGCAGATTGGCAGCCAATGCAAATCCCACAAACATGGTATTCTAGGCTGTTAGTAGTGTGCCTCCACAAGCAACCTACTGTAGTCACTGTGTTCTACCTTAGTTGAAGCCTCCAGACCTCCTTTTTTTTACAGTGTTGGCATGCTTGTTTCTTCTTTGTAAATATATTTTAGTGATTTTCGATGTACAAACTGAAAACAACCACCACCATGCAAGATAACAGGCTATTAATGCTTCGATCCAGAGATAAAGGGTGCTTCCAGGCAGGTGAGATTATTGTGGGATTGATACTCCTCAGGCATGCAAGTTTCTCACACTGTCCACGTGACATTGTCTTCATTTAAATGCTAGATCTTAACTCCCTTAATCCTAATTTACCCTTTCCATGAAAAATCCAATGGTTAAAAAACCCCCAACTGTTGCCAAGAGGCTGTTTGCAATCTCTGAAACCCATCTGCAATATTAAGACCCATCTAGAAGTACCCAAAGGCACCCTGTATAACCAATGGGTAGGAGAGCTTCAGATACTTCAATTCCCCAATTTGGCAGGAGGTAGTTTTGAAGTTCCACATTATTACAATTGTATGCTAATTTATTCTGAAAACATGAAATGGATATTTATTCAAAGTGTGCTCAGTCTATTCACCATACCATAATGCCACTGCTTTTCTTCTGGTTTTGATTAGTAAAAAGAGGAAAGCGTCACTGAGAAATCCACCACATGTTTTTAATTTAACATGCAAAGATGGTTTGGTTACTAAGTACATGCAATGTTTAATTTCCCCTGTCTTGGGTGGGGGATGGGGGGAAGGATATCTGAATTAAACTACAGTGGTACCTCGGGTTAAGTACTTAATTCATTCCGGAGGCCCATACTTCACCTGAAACTGTTCTTAACCGGAAGCACCACTTTAGCTAATGGGGCCTCCTGCTGCTGCCGGGCCGCCGGAGCACAATTTCTGTTCTCATCCTGAAGCAAAGTTCTTAACTTGAAGCACTATTTCTGGGTTAGCGGAGTCTGTAACCTGAACCGTATGTAACCTGAAGCGTATGTAACCCGGGGTACCACTGTATAGGGTTTTTTACAAAGTGAATATTAAAACTTGGAAAATCCTATTAACTAAAGATTTCTTGTTCTACTGTTTATCACTAGTTTAAGTAATTCAAGAAGTAAATCGCCTATTATGGATGGAATGATGGGAAAGTCCCTTTGGTTTGATTCAGAAAGGGCTCAGCTAATAAGCGTTATTTCCCCTACTGAAAATAAAATCAGAATACAACCTGTTTCACCATCACCACACACACAAAAATTCTACATTGCAAATTCACTGCATCCTCAATGGCATCAACTGGGTAGCAATAAATCCAAAGTCCCACTGTTGATCCCATGAGCCCCCTTGTTTGTCTCTTCCCTGAAAATGTACTTAACTGGTGTTGGTGGTGATGGCAACAACTGGGAATATCTCACACAGGCCTCTGTGAGGTTTCTCAGTTCACCCCAGATAACTGGCATACTGAAATGGCAGCATTTCAGACAGCAAGGACTCTGGTAAACAGTTTTCCAGGATGACTAAATATTTAGTAGGGACATTAGCTGCCTGGACGGTGGCGCTGTGGGTTAAACCACAGAGCCTAGGACTTGCCGATCAGAAGGTCGGTGGTTCGAATCCATGTGACGGGGTGAGATCCCGTTGCTCGGTCCCTGCTCCTGACAACCTAGCAGTTCGAAAGCACGTCAAAGTGCAAGTAGATAAATAGATACCGCTCCGGTGGAAAGGTAAACGGCGTTTCCGTGCGCTGCTCTGGTTTGCCAGTAGCGGCTTAGTCATACTGGCCACATGACCCGGAAGCTGTACGCTGGCTCCCTCGGCCAATAAAGCGAGATGAGCGCCGCAACCCCAGAGTCGGCCACTACTGGACCTAATGGTCAGGGGTCCCTTTACCTTTACCTTAGCTGCCTAGGAATCTGAAAGTCCCAGGGCTCTTTGCACCTTTGTGCTTCATGACAGTATCCCAGGGTTTAAGAAGCCCAGAGACATATGGTTTCCAGGCCACCTAATAGCAATATGAAATGCAGTGCTCAGACACCCAAGGAAACTATAATTCCAAAGGATTCTGTAGATATTCCAGACACGAGGGAGCAATGAAGAATTTGGAGAGGTCTCCTTGTAGCATCTACCACTGCTAGATACATTTTCAGGGAAAGGTCTGGAATGAAGACACCAAGACAATCTTATCATGTGATAGACACTGTGAAGTTTGGGTGGAACTCATATTGCATTGGAGGGGAGGCCTCCATTAAAAAGCGTTCCCCTTCAGTACTTTACTAACTCCAGGCAATCTTCATTTTTGTGCAGAGGTTACGTTCTGGACACCCCCATATGTTGGCAGACTGCACGTAAGTCTGCTCTGCCCCTTCCCCGTCCACTTTGCCCATTCATGACATCTTTATGACATTTTGGGGCTGTTTCTGGGTTCAGTGCTGTGTATGCAGGCATGTGCAACTGCATGTCATTAGGACACATCTAAATTGGTCATTGCCTGTATAGCTCTTTGCAGCAGCTATCAAACTAGCCCATGAATAACAAGAATAAAGTTTCTTCACAACCAGAATGGTTAAATCTTTATAGCTACGAATTAAAATAACAACCATTTTTATGTTATCTTTACTAACATAAATTCTCATACTGCCTCCTAACATGAAGTCATGTACAATGTGCAAAGAAACGTAAATTAGGAATAATTACCTCATTTGCTTTTGTAATAAATCATATTAAAAGTTCAGCTTCAGGATAAAGCTATTTGCCCTTCAGTTGCCTAAAAAGGGGCAGGGAAATGGCAGCAACATTTCTGAATTGCTGTTACATGGAATTAATAGAAATTAAAACATTTTTGGAGAAGTTAATTGCCTCCTCGGTTCCTGAATGTCTGATTTCTTGGCGTAAAAGAAAAGCAGTCTTCTTTTCTGAAACAAATGTACCCCTCAACCCCAAACTTTTCCCAAAGACGGTAACTCACTGTCACACAAACATCAAGCTCAGCTAATCCTGTTAAAATAAAGACAAAAATCAGAACATGTCCTAGAGATTCCAAGTTTAGAATATTGTGATTTATAGGTATTCCCAGCCTAGCTATCTGTTAATCCAACTTCAAAAAACCAACTAGCACTCTTGCACTCAGCAGTCTTTTCAGGGTGGGCTTTAGCACTACTCATTCTGTTTATGAAGATAAAATGCCAAAGCAGCCCTAAATCCCTTTATTGGCTTTTGAAAGAGAGACCAAGATGTGGGTGGAAAATTAAAGGGGGGAAAAGTTTTTCATCACTACTGAGAGATTGGACACCAGCCCAAATCCTCTGAGCCTTAAAGCTCTGTGGTGGAAAAAAATTAGTAAGTGTTCACGAAAATATTAAATGGTTAAATATATTTATGCCTTTATATCTGTTTTGCTGGTTAAAATACTAGCCATGTTGCAAATGAATATATGTCATCAGGCATCCATCATGTGGCTGAGTGCAAATATAAATAATAAAAGAGGCATGAGATATTTCAAGTATGCTCCATTACATATAATATATAGGGCTGCTCTGGGCAAAAGCAATTTTTCACCAGTGGTACATCCTGCCCCAGCTGCCAAAAAGTCCACCTGCCCATTTTTCCTCCTGCTGTATAGCAGGGTATCAGCACAGAGGAGAGGAAGGAAGGATCAATGTACTATATGAGCACTGGGGCATTGTCTCTGCAGGAAATTATCTTACCACCATAGCTTTTATTGCTATAACACAATGTCTACATCTTCATTACCTTAAATTCCTTCCATCTTCCAAGGTCAAGGTGGCATCAAGCTTCTTCCTCTCTCCCTCATGCCTCATATTTTCACAACATCACCATGAGTTACCTCTATCAAAGATAGTGACTAGCCCTAGACCAGATATGTCCAAGTAGGCTGTGATCTATAGTCCAATATCAAAAATTGGCAGTGATGTACCACCCAGGACTGGGTGCAGGGTGGGCAGCAGGGATGGATGCAGGGTGGGTGGGCAGGCAGGCGCTGGCTGCTTCCCCCGAGGGGGAAGGGATGAGTGCAGGGTGGGCGGGATTATTGGTGCAGGGTGGGCCACGCTTCTCCTCTTCCCCCACCCCCCAACCAGCGTGCGATCTCTAGATCTCTTCCCTGAAACCAGCTGGGCTGGGGATCTCTGGGTGACACTTCTCTCCCCACCCCCAAACAGCACATGATCATCTCCCCTGAAACCAGCTGGGCTAAAGATCTCTGGGTGATGCTTCTCCTCTCCCCCAACCAGTGCACAATCTCTCTCTTTCTCTCTTACACACACACAAACGAACACATGGCATGCCTTCCCATCTGCATACGCCTATGTGCTCTTCCTCCTCCCTGCTCCCACCTCACACGGGCTTCTCTTTCTGCCTCTGTTGTGCATGTGCTCGGCCCGCGATCGAACCCCGCGATCGACCAGTTGATCACGGTTGACAGGTTGGACATGTCTGCCCTAGGCTATTCAGTAAGCTTCATGGCCAAGTGGTATTTGAACATCCCCATATCTAACAATCTAACCATGATGCCACACAGTATGGAGCTGGTAACTCTAGGAAACCAGTAAGATACCCTATTATGCATGAAACTCTTAATTATGTTAGTAGAGCCAGAAATCTTTCGGCTCGGTTGTGACCCTATCTGCTCCACACCTATGTGGGGCAGGTGGGCATGGTTTGATCAAAATAAGACAGGCAGGCTAAATGGGGAGGCCTGATGCACCTTACCTGGCTCCCAGGCCAGAGGTTCTGCTTTACATAACACATAGCTCCTTCAGCCATAGCAAATGCGATCTTACATTTTTGAGCCAAAACAAGAGATTGTGGAACACACAGCTTCTGAAGTTCCATATTAATCATTGAAAAATGAGAGTACTTCTTACTTGAGTGCTAACACCACAAAATAAAAATAGCATTATCGTAACTGCTAATAAACTTCATAAAGAACCCATAAGGCCAGCAAGTTCAGGCATACAAAATCCATCTGTCATGGGGAATGACTGTGCTTCGGGATGATCTTACTCTTTATATAAACAGCTGATTCTTGCATAAAGCTTAGCAGAAACCCAAATATTAACTTGATTTCATGTCAAGTTATTTAATACTTTCTGAGAAGACTGACTTGTCTTCTCAAAAGCTCATTCAGTTATATCTAAAATTGTTTTTTATCATGAGCTATGTAGGGAGACCCATGTTGTTGGCAGAAGGAAGAGGGGAGCTGCCTGTCAGTCTCCATTCTAACTCCTGAGAATGAGGTTTCCATGGTAGCTATGGAGATGGGTTGGACTTGGTTTTTGTCACTTTCAGTAGCACTGGGGTGGGCAGATCCAGCACCCCCCACTCCTTAGGAATGCAAGATCGTGCAAACCCAATCTTCTCGCTTGGGACAGGAATAACTGGTCCTGCCCTGCTCTTTAAAAGTGAAGCAGGAGGAGTGTGCCAGGTGTTGGGACAATGTCTTCAATACTTCTTAGTCATGTATTTTAGAGCTCTGTCACAGACATATGAATTGTGTGCTCTGCACTATGGGCTAATGTTTAGACTGTGTGCTGACTTCTTGAACAAAGTTTTCAGCTCTCCTCGACCAGAAAATCTGACTACTGTGTCCAAGGATAGGAAAGAATTCAGTGTAAGTTCCTGAGGCATAATATCAGAATGACTACCTTATCTCCAGGACCATTTTTTTTCCAACACTTGAGCAGCATGTTTCACTGGAATTCCTTTTTAGCAGCTGAACACCTCTGTTTCCCAGTAGGAATTCCACAGTTAGGGCTTAACTTGCAGTAAACTATATGGCATTGCTCCTGACACCCTCTTGAGTTTTAAAGAAGTTCATCTATATGTGTGCTGTAATAATGGAGCTGCTTCCTATTAAATCCAGATATTTTTTAGAACCATTGTAAAAGAGCTATATATTCAGGTTGGCTCTAAGCATTTGTTTTTGCCATGTTTTTTCCTCACCTTAGTTGCAAGTGAATATTACCGTATTTTTCGCCCTATAGGACGCACCGTCCCATAAGGCGCACCTAGTTTTTTGGGGGGGAAATAAAGGGGGAAAAAATTATTTCCTCCCCAGCTCCCTGAACAGGCAACTCTCCACAAGCCGCGGGAGCCCAGCACCGGGCTCCCGCACCTTGCGGAGAGCCGCGCAAAGCCTGGGCATGCTGAGCTCAGCACACCCAGCCTTCGACATTCAAGCAACTCTCCGCAAGCCGGCGCGGGCTCCCACGGCTTGCGGAGATCAGCGCGAAGCCTGGAGAGCCAGAGGGGTCGGTGCGCACCGACCCCTCTCGCTCTCCAGGCTTCAGCGAAAGCCTGCATTCGCCCCATAGGACGCACACACATTTCCCTTTCATTTTTGGAGGGGGAAAAAATGTGTCCTATGGGGCGAAAAATACGGTATGTTTTAGGTTTTGGGGGTTTTTTGCTTTAAATTTCCTATCTTAAATCTTTGGGATGTAGTGGATTACTTAAATAACTGCTCTTAATTTTGCCTGTTCCTAATCTCTACTTGTTAACTATACATGGAAAACTGAGTTGCTATATCAATGGCAAACTATTTAATAATTGTATCTCCTGACTTGATATCTAAAAATCAAAGTGAGCAATTAGCTGGTAAGCACCAAACCAAAAAGCCTTTGGGGTGGGGGGAGGAACATATGAAATATGCTTTTAATTATATGCATGCAGTATCAACTTTGTGTGTTATGGCTGGACCATGAAATCTTTTGAGATAGGTTTAATCTGTTTCTAGTTAATTTTCAAAACACTGTAATCTCCTAGTCAGTAACAAACACTACTGCTAAATTTAACCGACAGAATTTAAAATGAACGGTACATTCTGTTCTTTTAGATACTTGGATAAGATGAACTACAGAAGGAAATGAATATTTTTGGAGCTTTTTGGTATGTGGCCTATTTTATTAAGTATTCACAATATACTAGGAGAAAATCAAGACTTTTATTATTATTCCTACAGCCTTTTTATATGCTGCACTGAAAGCCAGACTGAGAGAGAGACTGGTGATCCACTGAGTAAATCTCCAGTCTTTTAAAATTTCTGTAAAAACCTGTGGGGTGTTTCAATTCAGATCAAGGCCATTGCACTAGAGGGAAAGGGGTGCATCCTTTCCTTCAACACCATTTTCCAAATGAAAATCCCCTCCACCAAGCACTTTATCCCATTAGGGAAATGTATGGGCATTTGTAGGGGAAAACGCTGGCAGACTTGTTTGAGCATTAAGCATTATGGCACAAACCTCTAATAAAGCAAAGGACATGATAAGGCTGACCCTCAAATTATAACACAGTGTTGTTCAAATACTTGCTGCTGTGCTTCACTTATAACACCAGTGATCCCTAAGTTTGGGCATGTACAATTCATACACATGCCAGTTCATCTGAAAACAGTGTCTCTCTTCTCACTGGCTCATAAAGCTACATACCACTTTTAAACCCCTCACCGAGGTTTGCTGCAAGATGTGGAAATGAAAGAGACATTACTGTGCTAAAAGCAAAACATTGCAGTTTTTCTTTTTTCTTTGTTTAAAACCTTAATAAAAAATTATTTAAAAAAAATAAAATAAAAGCAAAACATTGCAGAACACACTAAATCCCTTTCGATTACACAAATTGCTTTTCTGGACAATGACCAACAGATTCACATCTGAAAACACTTGGTCGCAAGCAATACTACCACCTTCAGTAGGACTAGTATCAGTAAGGTGTTCTCAGGGTTTCTGCCAAATTAAGTGTGAATGAGCACATCCATAAAGCTAAGCACATACATAACTATATTTGCCAACTTGAAGATTTGGCTTGAAACTAATTGTGCATAATGTAACTTTACATTTTTGTTTTTAAACAAAATAAAGGCTCTGATAAAATTTTTCCAATGAAAATATTGTTTCTGCAATTGCCTGTTGCAATTTAATGTGTCTGCAAATGAGTCCTAGTCCCTCTGCAGGGACTTTAATTGTGCTTAACAGAAACAAAAAAAGTAAACAAGAACGCAAAGTATGGGAAGACCATTTTTCAGTAGGGTTTCTGTATTATTAGCATCTATATATGGATGTGTTAGAAAGTCACAGCTTTAAAGAAAAGTTAACGTTATCCTCGTAAACACTCTCAAAACACAAAGTTAACATTATCCTTGTAAACATTCTCAAAATACATTTACAAAGGACAAACGCTAAGTTTATGATACACAGAGAGATACTTTTATTTGTATCAAGTCACAGAATGGCTGGTTTCTGACAAGGGTTGACTTGGTGAGCATGCAAACACAAATATCTACTGAGCTAGGCCAAATTCTCGCTTAACACATCATCTAAACTGGGATTCATAGTCAAGCTCTCTCCTTACTAACCATAAGCTGTAGCCAAGGTTAGCAAAATAAATAGCTTAACCAACAGCCAGGGCTTGGACAGCAGAGTCAGCCAAACTTTAGCTTAAGTCAGCATAGCACAGCAATAAAAAATGATCAGAGAGCAAAGCAGCTGGGAGCTCCTCCTCACTAAGTCTGTGTTTGACTTAGTATGTTGTGTGAACCAGCTGGTTAAGTGGTAGCTTACAATGGCATACATATGACCCAGAGATAAGCAGATGGTCAGTAATGCCCTACCAAAGAAAATCTTAGCAATCCCCTGCTTCCCTGGATTTTGAATCAGGTGCATGAGTGTAGTAAGATTTTCTTCAGCTGTCACTTAGCAGGAAAATACAGACCACCCAGTTTGCTGAACAGTTACATGCACATTATGGTTAGCCATTGCTTGGTCATCTGTATTCATTCTTCATATCTTTTCTAGGTTTATTTCACATGACAAAAGGCAGTAGCCTGCTTCCCCAAGCGTCGGGCGCCTTGAAAGCAGAGTGCCCGGTGCTTCGGGAACACCTCCGCAGCCTAGGCAGCCCTGCGGGAGTTCCCCGCAGGGCTCCCCACGCTGCAGATAGCAGCCTGCTGCCCAGCGGGCGGGGCGCCCTGAAGCAGAGCGCCCCGTGCGCTGGACAGACATCCGCAGCGTGGGGAGCCCTGCAGGAGTTCCACGCAGGGTTCCCCACGCTGCGGATAGCAGCCTGCCGCCCGGTGGGCGGGACGCCCTGATGCAGAGCGCCCCGCCCGCCGGACAGACATCGGCCAGCCCCACAAGCTTGGGGGACAGCAGGGAGGCGCAGCACCACCATCCCGCTGTTCCTCGACCTGGTTCGGTTTCCCCGACCTGCTTTTGGGGGGGAAATAAAGGAAAAATTTTTTTCCTTTATTTCCCCCCCCAAAAAAAAAAACTAGGTGCGTCCTATGGGACGGAGCGTCCTATGGGACGAAAAATATGATATATATATATATATATATATATATATATATATACACACACACATATATATATAATTTAATAAAATTTTAATAATAAACGGTGGGGAAAGAAATGTTGTTCAATGACACATAAGACCCATATTTCATTGTTGAACTTTGCCACTGACATAGGGATGGAGAAGAAATTCAGTGGTTCTTGTTTTAATACAAATCTATCCAACTTGCAGTTACTGAAACAATGCAAAAACCAAAACACAGGCATAACTTGAAATTCATACTTCTTCAAATTTTGCAACGCAAAATGTGTACAAACAAAAAATGTGTACAAAACTGTAAATTAGGGGGCAAGTTGGTATAATATTGCATGTATTAGTGAATATAGCACACAGAATGCATTATGTCAGAGGAAACTGCTTGCAAAAAGGTGTAAGGATAAATTGCATACAAAAATGTACATATTAGGAGAAATATGCACCAAAATGTAGACCAATTCTTGAGAGGTTTTCTTTTAAAAAAAATAAATCACAAATGTGGCGAGGTGTATTTAAGATAGGAAAAAGGAGGAACTGAGGGAAATAGAAACTGACAGATTTGTCTATCCCTACTATGTCATTGCTGTTGCACAACACAGTTGTAACATTCAGAATTTGCTACCACAAGACTTGGATGGTTATCTCCACCATGGCAGCCTGATGGTACAAGTTTCTTAAATGTATATATCACTTCTGATATCAGTCCTAAAGAGATGGGTCTGGGGCTTCATTTCTTTCCATCAAGCTAATACATGAAATTTCACCTCATCTCTCCTTTAAAAATAGAACAACAATCTGGACTAAGAACAGCTAAGTACATCTTGACAATTTCACATTCACAAAGAAAACATAATTGCCCTAAATACAGATTTTACCTTGATCTTTATCTCATTTTTGTATGTATCAAACACATCACAGCTGAGGCAGAGCCCAAACAAGCATGAAAAAAATGTACAGCAGATAAGATGTACCAGTAACTTAAAACCTCTAATGCAGATGGTATTAGATGTCATAAATGATGGCATGAAATTGGTCCATGTCGAATCAAGTATGCAATGGATGAACTCTTTCAAGGAAATAGGATTTCTAATGAATCATTCCCAAATGTTCCAAAACAGAGTACCAGAATGAATATTTTGGGTACTGGTGTATGTCTGTTGTCACACAAAATCACTATTATGCCTTTTGTTGTTGTTGTTTAGTCGTTTCCGACTCTTTGTGACCCCATGGACCAGAGCATGCCAGGCACTCCTGTCTTCCACTGCCTCCCGCAGTTTGGTCAAACTCATGTTAGTAGTTTCGAGAACACTGTCCAACCATCTCATCCTCTGTTGTCCCCTTCTCCTTGTGCCCTCAATCCTTCCCAAAATCAGGGTCTTCTCCAAGGAGTCTTCTCTTCTCATGAGGTGGCCCAAGTATTGGAGCCTCAGCTTCAGGATCTGTCCTTCCAGTGAGCACTCAGGGCTGTAAGAATGGATAGGTTTGATCTTCTTGCAGTCCATGGGACTCTCAAGAGTCTCCTCCAGCACCATAATTCAAAAGCCTACACTACTGTAATTCATGGCTTTTCAATAGGACTCATTCATATATAGTGGTGTCTTAAGGTATAATTGCCCTTTCCTAGAGTGAAATTACTGTTTTGTCTTGTTGGAAAAACAGACAATTTCTTAGAAACCTGTAGTCAATCAAGTGTTGCTTGATTTGGTTTGGCTACGCAGGATTGTACCTTTAAAGCTAGGGGTGCTTCACACTGCACAACAGGGATGCAAGGGCCATTCAATTTTTATGGTTCTTTTTAAAGAGGGTACATCAATTTGCTATAGGGCCTTTTTTATTTTTAGTTGTAAAGGTAAAGGGACCCCTGACCATTAGGTCCAGTCGTGACTGACTCTGGGGTTGGGGCGCTCATCTCGCTTTATTGGCTGAGGAAGCCGGCGTACAGCTTCTGGGTCATGTGGCCAGCATACTAAGCCGCTTCTGGTGAACCAGAGCAGCGCACGGAAACGCCGTTTACCTTCCCGCCGGAGCGATAACTATTTATCTACTTGCATTTTGACGTGCTTTCGAACTGATAGGTTGGCAGGAGATTTTAGTTGTACCTGAAGTTAAAACAACAGCCAACTCTTATTTCACTCATAGAGGGAAGGTGTGAGGCTAGGGAGCAGATAAGGGAGTAACACCCACCCAGGAATCTCCAGCTGAGATCCCACCACCTTTCTGTGTAGTGTCAGTAAGCCTAGATGTTGTGTTATCATGTGTTGCTTTTCTGTCCCATAGACTGAGGACAGGTTTATACTACAGCACACTTCACTGTACAATGGCCACAGTTGCCCTAGTCTCAGTAACATAAAAGGAATAATGAAATAGTATTAAGTTAAATTATACAGTAATCAAATCATATCTGTCACAATCCCTAAGTCCTCAGCCAATGACTGAAACAAAGCCAAAGTTTAAGTAACTTTATTTACCTATATTCATGCTTTGTTGCCCTCTTATCTATCTCCCAGTCTCTTCTCTACTGTTACAACTACAGGTTGTAAGGTCCTCAGGGCAGAGAATAGTTGTTTTGCTTACATTTTGGTACTTAGAACAGGGGTTACCAACCTAGCCTCCATGGGCACCATGGCACTCACAAAGACTTCAAACAGTGCCTCTGGGCCAGTTGCTCCAGACTCTGAGCTTTCACTTTAAAAAATAAACTAAAATTCTAACCTACCAAGAAAGAAAATTATGGGGCAAAATGTAAAGGTACCTTCTTAAGGGGTTCTGTTAAATCAGAGTGGCAGAGCTACCTTGTTTATTTTTCCTGGTCCCAAGTGTGCACATGCTCTTCATAAACAGAACCAGCAAGACATGATTGACTTTCTCATAGGGTTGTTAGAGGTGGTTGCTTCTCTAATTTTGTGTTATTCCATGTTTCCATGTCAGCCATTTTGTGTTATGCCATGTCTCCTCCATGGAAGCCATTTAGTGATTGGTACCCCCAGTACTCTCTCAAAATGCAAGTCCAAAAATTGGCAACCCCTGAAGTCAAAATATGAAAGAAGAGGAGGAGGAGGAGGAAGAAAAAGAAGAAGAAGAAATCCACGAAGGAATTGCAAAAATTCAAAATCTAAAGGCATAGTTAGGACAATCTAGAGTTTGTGGAATCCAACACGGTTGGTCAGAGATTATTTGCAAAATAACCTATGTTATTGTCTTCTAAACCTCCTAGGCAGAAATAAATTGAAAGCTTGCTGCCACAAACGGACCTGCTTTTTGCTGGATAGACCTGGATGTGACCTTGTGTTTGATGTCCTGCCAGTTAAAACAAGGAGAAAGAACCAGCCTCTACAACAACATTCTATTTAAAATAATCAAACCTGTTGAAATGGTGTCAAAAGAAGTAACAACAACAAAAAAGAAAACCCGCCCTGGATGTACTTTTTAAGCGATTTAGGCCACAATGCTGATTAAAATTTAAAAATAGTAATACAGGGAGTTTGCCAAACTCTTTGGCTGCTGTGGGAACAGTGATGTGGAATGAAGGCAGATAATTCAAATAGTGGGTTCTAGAAAATGAGTAGAATGTCTGATGGCCTCTTCATCAAGAGTGACAACCTGGGACCATGTGAGTGGCCCAGAAGTAGTCTAAAAGTATATGGCGTGGTTCTAGAGCAGAAGTAAAAAAAAAGTCTAGATTTGTAAGCCAGGTCAATGAGATACTGCTGGAAAACTAAGTGCAAGCTTCCCTGACAAACAGCCTGGTATAACATAATGTAGAAATAGAATCTCATTTTATCATTCATGCCAAACTCCTTTGCATAGAAAAAACCACTTACATTACCACAACAGCCTAAAACTATCACTGAAGCACTGTTAGATCAGGAAGGTACCACAAGTTCACACACTTTCCCACACCTCTCGTCTGCAAGCTAGCCATTAAGAGGAGTTAGTGCAGTATCCATGCTGTGTCAGAGTCATAGCTAAAAATGTGCCTTTGAAAAAGGATTTTTTCTTAAAACATGTTCGACTCTAAATGAACACTGCTCAATCTCCAGACTCTTGATCATCTTGGTCGCCTTTCCCTGCACATGTTCCAGCTTGTCAATATCCTTCTTAAATTGTGGTGCCTAGAACTGGATGCAGTATTCGAGATGTGGTCTGACCAAGGCAGAACAGAGCAGTTCTATTACTTTCCTTGATGGGAACACTATACTTCTGTTGATGCAGCCTAGAATAGAATTAGCTTTTTTTGCTGTCCATACTAAATAATGCAGCATTTTCTAACACAACAGGATTTTGGGGCCATGCCAGGTTCCAACCCTGGTTGCACACTCTGAAAACCTTGCATGAATAACGCAGAGGTAATGCAGTTAGCTTCAAAAATTGAAAGTGTAGATAATTCTCCTGAGAGTGAATGAGCCCAGAACACGGCCTTGGTTTCCTAACCATGGTTAGAAGTCTGAGAAAGTCACAACCAATAGTCTTGACTGAGGAATTCTCTAACCTCTCTTTTCAAGTGATGTACATTTTTAATTGTTTTGAGTATAAAACTCAGCAAGTCTTAAATGTATCTTGATCTAGAATCACCATATCAATAGGATTAAGTATTTTAGTAGGGAAATAGGTAGGAAAAACCTCCTTTAAGATTATTAATTTATATGTCACTTCTTTTTTAAAAAAAACACACAGGGTAGCCGTGATGGGCTATTTTTTTTTTAGATTCAGGCTGGATTTTTTTTCCAATGGAAAAAATAAGTTATGTTAGGTCTGCACAGTTTTATAAATAGAGTGTCATTTAATGACAGAAGGCCAAAAGGTTTCATTTTCCCTTCCTGTCATTTCCTATCTAAAAATTTCTCCTGCCAATGAGAGATGACAGATTTACAGTAAGTTCTTTGTTTTGGTTATCTCTCAGGTATTGAGCCATGAAACTCTGCCTCATATCAAAGTCATGTCATCATCTGTTGCTACAGGCTTTAAAAACCTTGCACTGGATGGTCTTTGTCTATATATGCACATACTCTAGTAACAACTTTAGTCATAAATATATCTGAGAAACTAATCACTTGGCATCAGAACAAACTCTGCCTCACCTTAACTCTTTATGCGGCACTTAACTTGCTTATAAGTTAATGCAAGGCAGATTTTGGTCTAGGCAGACCTAGGACAGAGGCATCTGCTATCTAGAAAAAGGTCTTTCTTGCATGTCCAAGTTTGTTCATGTAAAGGGTCATGGCTGTAATTGTTCCTGCTAGTTCAGATATAATTAAATAATAATAATAATAGGAATGTAATGAAAGATAGGAAAGACAAAACAGGAAAGGTATTTTGTTCTTTTTAAAATTACCCAATTACATACTTTTATCTTCAAACAGAAATATACTGACATCTATAAGGTTAGCAAAGCAATCATCAATAATTTCTCTTGACTTTGACCTAGAGTTCTATTTTGATTCTGCCTGCAACATTATTCCACTTATGACACCTGTCTCTTGAGTCCTTGACCTCTGAACTCCTGAACACGATTCATTTTGATCGTACCTTCCATTTGTTGCTTGATGTCCCAGACATTAATCATAGCAACTCTTCCTTGAGCAACTTGAGGAAGCACTACCTGACTAGGAGGTCTCATGGTTCCTGAATTTGTTGGGATTAGAGTCTGAGGGGGAAACCCCTGAAGACGTCTTGGAGGAAGACTCAAGACCTATCAATGGTATTTGAGGTAAAGAATAGGAATCTACTAGGCAAAGACTCCCAGTTGAAGAAGTCAGAAGACACAATCAGAGGTGCCACAGCCCTTGGGCACAAGCCATTGTCCCACCCCGATCAGAAGGTCGGCGGTTCGAATCCCCGCGACGGGGTGAGCTCCCATTGCTTGGTCCCTGCTCCTGTCAACCTAGCAATTTGAAAGCACGTCAAAGTGCAAGTAGATAAATAGGTATCGCTCTGGCGGGAAGGTAAACGGTGTTTCCGTGCGCTGCTCTGGTTTGCCAGAAGCAGCTTAGTCATGCTGGCCACATGACTCGGAAGCTGTACGCCGGCTCCCTCGGCCAATAAAGCAAGATGAGCACCGCAACCCCAGAGTCGGCCATGACTGGACCTAATGGTCAGGGGTCCCTTTACCTTTATGGTCAATTGAGGACCAAGGGGTTTAGAAGTCATCAGGTCTTTCTAGGGGAAGCTGATCTCTGAACCTTGCTGGAACAATGCCTGCCTTCTGAAATAATTATACATATTAAATCACTGGGCTGCATTCAATGCTGTCCACTCACGAGAGGAATGGACTTCAGTCTGGGCAATGGGATTTCCCCCTCCCCTTTCCCATTCTGCTCTGGAGATTTTGGGGGAAGTCCCATTTTGCAAGCAGAAGTCCTCTTGCACAGTGTTGGATTCTATCCAATACACACAGAGCAGTCTGGCCTTTAATTGGGATAATGAAAATCTTTTTGTGTATCTGAACCAATGATGAACTGAGCATAATGAAATACTTAAGATTCATTTGGTATTTTGTCAGAACAATGCTCCTGGCCCAAAATCTGCCAATATAAATTTTAAATCTGTAAACATGTACAGTATAACTTTACTTTTAAACTTGAAGGAAGAAACAAGATAAAAGTCTGACCCTGCTAAATATAGGACTGGATCCAGTTTATGAAATTCATCTGCAGTTCTTAATTTGGAGATCTGAAACTACTACAAAGGCAGATGGAAACAATAAGCAGATTCGGCAGATGAGATTTCCTTTATCTCTGAATTTTGTAGCAATTTGTGTTACCAAAAAAGTCAGCGTCAAATAAAAAGCTTAAACTGCTTAGGATGTTTTTTCTCCTTCAGTTATTTAACCTAATCCTAGCTTTAATTAATTTAAATCAGCTGCTTCTTTTCATACCCTTGCTAGCTAAGTTGAACACATTGCTTTCACTTCATCTTGATGACATCTGTCCAAATCTGCTCCTCCATTCTTGATCCAATTGATCCAATTTTAGACATACTGAGCAAAGAAATCAAACTGTGGCCAGGGAAGATTGGAGTGACAGAGTCACCACATCCAAAGCCTTGCCAGCTCATGACAGTCAGGAGTACTTCTTTTTAACAATCCAGTAATTTTCTTTAAGGTCACTAATGCCTTGCTAAACATAATACCAAGAATCACAGCAAGCCATATGCATGCAGCATATCCTTTGCCAATGTTGAGTGTTATTTTCTACCAAATAGGCCACTGGTCATACAAACAGATTTTGCTGCCCTCTAGTGGGAAACAAAGGTTTCCAGCCTACCAGAAATTTCCTGTGGAAATTTATTAAAAAACAGGTACAACACAGATAATCTGTCTGCATCCTATAACCTTTGTACTGATTGCCAAGCTGATATAGCATTGTGGATACTTACAGCCAAGATGAATACAGTTTCGTTTAAACAATACAAGTCAAATTGTTTTTGTATCTAATAAAATATCTTTTTTAAAAGTGTTATATTCTTGTTTAAAACACACTAAAATTTGTTATTTGCTAAAGAAATATTCTAAAATTTGAATTTTCTTCTAACAATGAATACACTGATATAATATTATAAACAACTACAGTATTGATATGATTAACATTTGTTCCAGTATCAAACACAGAACTGGACTGTATATTTGAGATGTGATTAAAAACGGATTCTCTCAAGAACACGATTTTGTTTACAAAGAAATCTGTACTACTACTACTAATTAAATTTGTATACCGCCTTTTCACCAAAGATCCCAGAGTGATTCAAAATGGAAAAATACAAAATGAGAATACAAAATACATAATAAAACTTAATGCATCTATTAGAAGAGTCATGTCTGTGCCATATGTGAACAATGATACAAAAGGCCTTTATAATGATATTTGGGTGGGGGCCTGGATTATTTGCATGGGGGGGATGGTATTCTATGCAACATGAAAGTACCTTTAACATTCTAAACCACTGCAGACATTAATTGCAAATAAACATTACGTGCAGCAATGAAACTGCAAATGATCTAAACCTGCTGCAGACTGGGGACAAAGACAACAAACTATATAACTCAAAATTCAATAAAACTGTTTGCTTTTCCCAGAAAATGCCAGAGAAGAATGTCAAAGGCATTTTTTCAGCTTCTTTATTTTTAAGAATAGGCTGCCAAATGGCATATCAGCCATGTTCACAAGACACATTATGTCACACTTTAGGTGCAGGGGTGAAGAACTGGATTCAGCCTGAGGGCAGGTTTTCCTGCTGCGGGCCAGCATGGACAAGTGAGTAAAGCCACCCATTTGTCAATCACCTGGTATCACAATGACATCAGCTGACCAATTTTCCTCTGCCCCTGCAGTTTGGAACTGAACTATGTGACAAAGGCACAGAGCTTTGCAGGCATCAACAATCAGCTGATTATTGTCAGGCAGTGCTTGCAGAAGCAGTTTTGCAAGCACCGATGATCAGCTGATTATCAGTGCCTGCAGAGCACTGTGCTTTGTGAGTGGTGCCAATCAGCAGCATGGATTGGCCAAAAACGACCTGGTTTAGAATGATGTGCATAAGTCACAGCTTGCATGCTTTACTCTTCCCTCTCCGCCTCCTGCAGAGTTTGGAGGAAGAGTTTAGGAATTTCTGCTTCCACATTTGCTTAGCCAGTTTGTCACTTCGTTTGAATAATAATTAATAATAATAATTTAGTTATACCCGCCCATTTGGCTGGGTTTCCTTAACTAAGGTTTGTTTAAAACAAGTCAACTAAAACAGAGCCACTGCACTCTCAATGTGCTGAAACAAAATTTAAAATCTTATATACTTGATTAGTGTTACTTAACTTTTTAAAAAAGAAATAGGAACTTCCCGTTTCCTTAAGGTAATGTGATGGAATTGTGCAGAGCCATTCCATCTGCTGTTGGGATCATAGGATCACCATTACTCTGGTACCATTGTGCAATGAAATTTTCAAAAATGTATGAAGATTTTAAATGTAGGACACAGCAGAAGAGATTAATTAGAAATATTTGTTGATTCACTTGAGCTTCACTTGCATTACATTGCTATCCTTGCAGATTAACAGGCAAAGAACCGTCTGTTGTGAGAAACAAGCAGCAGCAAAGGAAGCTTAAGAGGAAGGAAAGCTACCCAAAAAAAGATGAGGTACTTCTCAAAGCCATTCAAAATGTTCTGACAGACTCAGAAAGAAAATAAAGGACTTTCAAGTACAGTTTTTAAAACCTTATTTTAAAGGGTAAATAGCTATTTGAATCCTACTTAAGGGGGGGCTGTTGTGTTTATTATTGAAAGAAAAGCAACGTTTACAGCAGTGATCCTATCACTTTAAACTGGCAATAAATTTTAATACCATATCTTTTCACAAGAGCTTTTGCTTTCAAGCTTTCTGTGCTAAATACAGCACTGAAAGAAAATTCAGCTATATTACTTACTGTTATTTATTGTGACATGTTTTGAGAACTCCTGTGAATTATTTTATTCTTCCAGTGAGGATGCAACTGGTAGATTTGCCTAGATTCTCTTCCCCACCTCCACTCCCATGCTTATTTTAAACAGATATTTGGAATGAGTGATGACATGTGTGCATGGGGAGTCCAGGAACTGGAAAAGGTGAAATCTTCCCACTTCAGGCCTCAAAAGACGTACATTTCAATCCAGCCCCAATGCATTGTTGGTTTTCAGAACAATGGAGTCTTCTCTAACATATATTAAGCAAACAGATCTGTGCTGTGAATTATGCAGGTAATTGTTTTATGGTTGAGAGCAAGGTCAAATCTGAAAGATCAGGGAACTGCATCACAGTTGTGGAATGTCTTCAGTTATTTTCTTTTATTCAATCATTTCCACAAGTGAACTAACCCAATACATAAGGCTTGGTGTTCCTTTACCATACACATCTCAGCACCACACATTTGGTGGCCTCATACATCAAACTCTTAAGCCCACACAAGAATACTTTTAACTGACATCCCCTTCCCTTAAGGAACTTCTGCTGAGACTAGATAATAGGGTTATCAAAAGGCAAATGCCTTAAGATCTATTCCTGCATTCAGACACTATTCTGCACCGACATGCAATTTATGTAGTGATTAAGCCCTTTAAAAATAAAACCAAATTGCAGCTGTTTTGCATGAGTGTCAACCAAAAGCCACCAGAGGTAGCAGTTCTGGGGAAGTTTAAATAGATGGCATCTGCCTGTGCAAAGGACATATCATGCCTGTGAAGAAAGTTGTATTTACAGCTGGGACACATGGTGCAAAATGAAAACAGGCAGCAGTGATGTTAAAGGAATATCACCAACAAAAGCATTCCTGTTAAAAATTGATCTGAGGAGCTGAAGAAACTGCTTGCATTATGTGTTTGTGAGATCTTAAAAGAATGGCAATACATCTGGGCTGTCTATTCACCTTACGTTTGAAACTAGATATTCAATAATCTAAGTGAACAGAGACAAAAAGATATGGATAAACACAGGATTAAGTTTCAGAAGTGTACAGATTTTTAATAATGTTAGTTTGTACAATAAGCTGAAGTGTAGAACAATCATAGAATTCAAGGGAGAAATTGATCTAATGCACCTTTTACGGAAGGGATGGAGAACCTGTAGCCCTCCTAATGTTATGGACTCCAATTTCCATCTTCTCTGACTCTTTGCCATGCTCTCTAGAGGTGATGGGAGTTGAAGTCCAACAATATCAGGAGGGTTGTGGATGCTTCATCCATTTTACAGCCCAATATTTTGTCTATTCAGAATTACACCCCTCTGTGTTTAATAATTCCAGGTAACTATGCCTAGGACTTAAATCTTAATCCCTTCTTAACCTTGAATATTTTAGTATTGATTCACAAGTATATGCCAGAGCTAGGGTTGCCACCTTTGAACTGGCAAAAGACAGGACAGGAAAGGGTGGTGCGGTTGGGGGCGGGGGTTTATCTAGTGCTGAAGTGATTTCAAAACAATCCATTACACTCTACTGCAGCCTAACAGGATGGCCTCTCTGGAATTTTTTTTCTCTCTCTCTCTCTCTCTCTCTCTCTCTCTCACACACACACACACACACACACGTGTGCATGTGCGCGCACATACACGTATTTGTAAATCTGTCTGTGCTTGGCTTAAATACATGAATTTACACACACCCTTTCAAACACATACATTTGGAGATGATCCCTAACTCGGCAGAGGTGGGGGGGGGCTGAAATACGATACTGAACTGTATCAATACAGAACGTAGCATTTGAAATATTAAAAGTTGGTCCATTAGAAGAAGAAAAAAAACCCTCCAAAATCCACAGTTGGACATATACTTTATTAGGACCTGTTAAAGTGTTGTCAAAACATCCTTTTGCAAACAAATGAATTTCAACAGGAAAAGCATAAGGCAAATAAAACAAACCTACCTTCTCCTGGATTAACCGCTGCTGGCAGACTGTCCCAATCTAGTGCCCAACTAGGACAAGGATGAGGGGAAAATGTTGCTTCAATACCACTTTTCTGCATTTAAGAGGAGGGGGAGAAATCTTAAATCAGCTAAACAGAAATGTGAACTTTCCAAGTACTGTAATGATGTCCAAATGTTATGGGAAATTATGTTTGTTAAACAGCACATGTAAAATACAGAGCCACTATGTTTGTCAACAAAACATGCTCACTGGGACTAAGGGGAGTTGCAGTCTGAAACATTTGGAGTGTATCAGGTTGGGGAAAGCTGGCGAACATGAACCAGGAAATCTCTAGTTCAAATCTCAGCTGAGCCATGAATTCAATATTTGGGTAGGCACCTGCTCTTTCAACCTCAGTCTCCACCTGCAGTATGGTTATAATGTTGATCATTTTTGCAGAGCTGTTATAAGTGTTACTTGGGAGTTTTGTCTACTTCAAATGAGCTGTATCAGTATTATAGGGTCCTCCCCCTCCCTGGTAGGATTATACCATCAAACAAAATACAACCTATTTTTAGTGACAGAGACCTTTGATAGAGAAATATGCTTGATATTGCGAGAAGCCAGATAAAAAGTATCTATTATGGATGAATGCATTGAAAAGTGCCTATTTTGTTAAATATGTGTACAATTTAAATGCTGACTTTTTGTGCATTCTTTCAAAATATCTGCACAATCCATTCTATGACTCAGTGCCAGTGAGTGAGTGAGTGAGTGAGTGTGTTGTGTGTGAAACTATTAAGTTACCATTAATTTTGTCATGGTTGGCCTTGGTCCACCTATAAATGAAGTGTCTTCATGCTCTTCCTCTGGCTCATCAGAAGCCGTGCAGATAAACTGCATGTGTTCATCTGATAAAGAGACTGAGCCTTGATGGGGTAAAAATTGCATATTGCATTTGGCAGCAGCTCTTTTTATTCCAGGTACTTCCTGAACTCTCTGGAACCAACTAGATATCAAAGGCAATCTGAACAAGTTCTCTTGGTGTTTCTTGCTGAAACCCTGCAAGGAAGAAAACAAAGCTCTGGTTATCAGAAAAAAATTATGAACCTACCTGATGTACAAGCATGAATCAAGCGTGTCTCTGTTATCTTAAGACATTCACTACCTTGTGGGCTTACCCAGGAATATATTGGCTTTCTGCCTCACTCAGATTCAAACTGTGGAGTGGTAGTGGTGGGGTTGTACACAAAGAGAGATTCTCATGCCTAACTTAACCACTATGACTACAAAGAGTGACATAATAGATTAATGGATTTAAAGCTTAAAAATAAATAAATCAGAGCCATTACAGGAATAGAGCTTTTAGTGGAGCCAGCATTGTGGTTCTACCAGTCTGCAGGGGCTGCAGTCCTAAGCACACTTACTAGGGAGTAAGTTGCATAGAACTCAGTGAGATATACTTCTGAGAAAATATGCTGAGAATACATAAGCCCCAAGCGATTCGTCTCTTCCCAACATCTACTAGATAATGTTGACAGTTTACTGGGAAGCAACATACATAAATGTGTAAATCCTTACCAAAAAATGATGGATGCATGGAAAGAGGACTACATCAGCCAAAGTGAAGTATAGTCCTTCAGCAAAAACGTGTTCCAAGAGTGGCAATTCGGATGTTTTCATCTTCCTAATATGAGAGGGCTCCCTTTTGGCAGCAACTGGTGTTTTCTGCACAGTTAATTTAGATAAAGCTAAACTCAGTTCCAGTTCTGCAGGAGAGGACTCCAGATTTTCTGCTAATCTTCCCTCTTGTGAAGAAACAGCTTTACATGCTTCCTTGACGAAGGTCTTTTGCTGTTGAACTTTCTGTCTTCGAATTTTGTCATCGTTATGTACTCTTACAGGCTCTCCCAGCTTCTTTTCAAACTGTAATACTTCCTCCGGAATACTCTGAACCTTATCCAAAGACACGCTCAGAAAGTTTTGAACTGCCTGAGGGATGCTGATTTCACAAAGTCTGGTCCATTCACTAACCTGCAAATAAATAGGATTAATCAGTTGACTGTTTTCCAGGCCTTTCATAATAAAGTGGTGACTCAAAACACTCATTAGCTCCATCCAGCACGACCAATGGTCAGGGATGATGGGAGTTGTACTGCAGACATATATTAAACTTTGTTCAGTGAATAGCCTAACTGGTCACTTCTGCATTAGGGTCATGCACTGAACAAGGTTTAATATATGTGAAATCTATTACGAAATAGATTTACGAAAAACTAGAAATACTCACTTCAGCACAAGCCTTCAAGCAGGTCTTTTTAAATCCCAAGAGTTCCAAAATGTCCTCCTTTGATGGATCTGCTTCATATGTTTTTTGTACTATGTGCCTCAATACCACAGCAAGTCCTGCTCGACAAAATCTTCCATTCTTCTCGACAACAGCAGGTAAACAGCAGCTCTGGACCACCAAAGGAAGTTGACATCTTTTGATGAAGCAAATATCCAGGTCCTTGGGAAATACTTTGTCTTTAGGCTGGGCATCTGAAGCTGTTTCACCTGGCAGTACTAAAAATACTCTGAATGTCTTGCAGTCACAGTATGACAACAAAAACAAGGATATGGAGGTGTGGAGAGGAAAGACACAATCTGCATTCTGATTAAAGTAGTCCAGGTACAGGTGATCTTCAGTCAATCCTTTCATTTTTTTCTTAAAGGAAGAAATGTGATTAATAAAATTATAAAAGGTTAAATATACAGCTATGCAAAGCAATAATGAAGATGATCCAGAACACAACCCCTGCACAAATTGGGGGTTGCCTGTATATATAAATAAACAGAAACAGTGATCCCTAAAATCCATCAATTTTTCCCTTTCTCAATACAAATATTAATTAATCTTTGTTGTTACGGTTTCTAAATGGATTTTAATATTCTGCATTTTGAGTATATTTCTTCTTGTGTTTTGAAAGGCAGGACAGTTAAAATAAAAATAAAAATAATAAATATTACCAAGATTGTTTCAAGGTCACATAAGAGAAGGGTCTTCTGAAGCAAACATTTGATTATTATTAATGAAATGCACTTTTTGGAGGGCCATTATAGGGAGGTCACAAAAATTAGTAATGTATATGCAGTTCTTTCAAGTATAAAATGTATTTGGTTCTATCTAAATCTTACTCAGAGCAGACATAGACTTAACTATTTTTAAAACTCAATATATCGTGGTTATTCTTTTTGTTTATATATATAAAAAAACAACCAAAAGAAAATCAAACTAAACTAAAACAAGACTGGAGGGAAGCAATAAGATGAGAAGAGGAATGGGTCAGCATGCATAGGTTTTGCTCACTTTCAATGTAGAGGCATCATAAAAAAACCTGTACATTCAACTAGAGCCAGAGTTCAGTACAGAATTGCCACAGAGCATGATAAGTACCAAATTTACGTAATCTGTAGCTAGTTCATGTATGGAAAGCAAGAATAGATCTTTTGTCCATTGTTGGATTGTTTGTCCGTTTACTTTTCCAATGTTGTAAAATGATATGTTTGGCAATCAACAGAGCACAACTAATACATTTCCGTTCCCCAGGATAAGCTTCCACACAATAAGGAGGTGTTCTATCAAGGCCCTTTTGTCCATAAATTTTAGTTGTTTCCAGAACCAAGTTGATATGATCAGTGACCTCTGTCCAGAATTGGAAAATAACAGGATAGTACGACATCATGTGAAATAAGGAGAGTATTGACTAAATTAAATCTAGATAGCTCAGTGGATCTATTCTAACTTTGTCCACATGCAATCCACTGTCATTTTCTACCCACAACCAAGACCATTAATATCCCTATCATTGGCTTGGATCAAAATATACAGTTCTGCTAGCAGAAAGCCTCTTCTGCTCGGGGAAGACTCATTTATGTCCTAGAGAAAGAGAATTGTATGAGGTAATTTATGATAAATCCAGAGATGTTCTTCCATTTTAATGAAGCCCTTTTTCATAGACGTATGCTAGAGGCATCCTTATTCCCAGTTTCTCATACTGTAACACAAGCCCTATATACTATGGTAAAGGTAAAGGGACCCCTGACCATTAGGTCCAGTTGCGGACGACTCTGGGGTTGCGGCACTCATCTCGCTTTACTGGCTGAGGGAGCTGGTGTACAGCTTCCGGGTCATGTGGCCAGCATGACTAAGCCGCTTCTGGCAAACCAGAGCAGCGCACGGAAACGCTGTTTAGCTTCCCGCCAGAGCAGTACCTATTTATCTACTTGCACTTGCTTTCGAACTGCTAGGTTGGCAGGAGCTGGGACAGAGCAACGGGAGCTCACCCCGTCACGGGGATTCAAACCGCCGACCTTCTGATAGGGAAGCCCTAGGCTCTGTGGTTTAGACATATACTATGGTGCTACTCTGCAAAACACTTTTCACTACATAGCCCAAGAATTCACAAAAGCCTAAGACTTCAATCCTGTTTGCTATAAGTAAATCTAACAAACATTCTTAGGATTGCAGCATTAGGCTGTATACTTAAGCACTTTATAGGGTATAAGCACTAATGTACCTGGTGAGACTTATTTCTGACTAAACTGGAAACTTGTACTGGGTTGCATTTTAAGACATTTTCTCCATCTGATCAAAGTTATTCAGATCAAAATCATTATTTTTCTTAGACTACAGTATTCCTGAATTGCAGGGGGTTGAACTATAAGACCCTTGGGGCGCCTTCCAACTCTACAATTCTATGATTTCAATTAAAATTACCTTAGTTCTTGACTGAAAACTCAACTTCCGCTCCCTTTACATTATTTTGAAAATAGTTGAACACACAGAGCTTAAGGGAATAAATTATATGCACAATTAGTTATGATTCTGCACCAATTATATCTGATTTATGGAGACTATATGCTTAGGATCCTAGACTTGAACAATAGTACGTATTTAATAAATCCCATTGACTGTCTTTTCAATTACAAATCAGGCTGCAACTCTTGGACGCTAGATGGCACACTTTCAAAACAATTGCAGCTGAAGAACATAATACCATATTAAAAAAAAACCTTCACTATACCAAGAACTGTGATTATTTATTCATAATTTTTTTTTCATCTTTAAGTAGAGCTGAAGTGTGTTATCAGCCAATACAGCTACAACAGATCTGTGCACTGATTTTCCTTTGTATTAATTGTCATTGTTTGTCCAGATGCTTCGCACTGAGGGATGTTTGTCTTATCAAATGCTAATGTTCTGTGTAAACTGTGTCTGGAACTACATAAAACTTGCTAAAGCCTCAGGAATATCACACCTTGGCCTGCCTGAGCCACAGTAACCCCACCTTATGTGTGATGTAATTTCTGGTTGTTTGTCCTTCTCCACGCCAAAATACAAACCCTTAAAAGAGATGTTTCTTCTTGCTTCTGGGTCTCTCTTGCCTCCTTGATAGGAGGGGAGAGAACTCTGTTGCAACAGAAAAATAAAGATCTGCCTTGCTTTCACTGCATCCTGCCTCCATCCATTCACCTCTGACCGATCATACTTAGGGGACTCAGTCCCTTGTGTAGGAGCCATCCTACTCTTGTGTAGGACCCTTGTCTTCGGCACACTTAGGGATCCGCAGAGTGTTCGCAGTTTGCATAACAGAACTCAATAGCTCAGCATCTGGCTAATCTACATTTATTTACATATATTACACTTGGAGCATTCTGACTTAGCTCCTTCCTCTTTCTCATCAGACAGCAATGAGAAAGAACAAAGGACAATAGTCCCACTTCATGGAACACAGTAACACAAACATCCTGTCTCTGTCACTTCCCACTCTGTGGAGTCAAAACATACACCATCATGTGATAGACAACAATCCCATGACTGCAATCACAGAGCAGGAATCTTAACACCTTGGGGAGTTGGGCAGTAAAAGACAACCATCCCTATTTTTCTATATCAACCCCAAATCTCTAAATATTGGAAACAAATATCTTTCAGAAAAACACTCACCAATTAAAGAGCTAAATGTTCCAGGTGATGGTATTTAATGTTCCACTGTTCCCCTTTTCAACATCTGTAGTTCAATTACAAAGTTTTAATGGCAGTTGTCTATGAAGGATTTAATCTCCACCTCCACCCTGTTTGCACACTGATCCCTGTAGAGAAAGTCAATCCATTGTAAAGTTGAAATAGAATTACCATATTTTTCGCCCCATAGGGCGCACTGACCCATAGGGTGCACCTAGTTTTTTTTGGGGGGGGGGGAAATAAAGGGGGGGGAATTTATTTTTCCCCCCCAGGCGCGGGGCTCAGGCGGGGGAAGCCCGAGCTTCCCCCGACCCCAGCCCCCAGAACAGGCTGCTATCTGCAAGCCTAGGGCGGGAAGTCGCGCCAGTCTCCCCAGGCTTGTGGATATCTGCCCAAAGCCTTCGGGATGCAGGCAGCTCTCTGCAAGCCGTGGGAGAGCTGTGTGACTTCGCACCGGGCTCCCACGGCTTGCGGAGAGCTGCCCGAAGCCTTGAGAGCGAGAGGGGTTGGTGCACACCGACCCCTCTCGCTCTCCAGGCTTCAGCGAAAGCCTGCATTCGCCCCATAGGATGCACACACATTTCCCCTTCATTTTTCGCCCCTATTGGGCAAAAAATACGGTAAATTGTTGCCTTTCCTAGTTTTTTAAGTCAGTAAAAATACAGCCTCTTCCATAAGGATACTATATCTTTTCACAAATATATTTCATATAAAGAAGAAGTCATACTCATCCAGAGCAGGCTAACTGAATGTTGCCCAGGGCTAGATTTATATGATTTCTAATGGCACCTATTTCTGAGTAAAAATGCATAGTTAATGCTAAGTCTCTTAACTTGAAAATAACTCACAAACTTACTGCTAAATAGAAATATTTTTTTTTTAAAAAAATCAAAATATCTAGAGGGATTTAATAAGAATTGTTGGTGTAGTCAAATCTGGAAAATTAACTTGAAAATTAAGGTGGAGAACAAAAAAATTGTTTTTAACTATGTGGCAGAAAATAAATTATATAAAAAATGATAACCATGTTTGAATGCCTCCTGTGAAATATGCTACTACTTGAAAATCTTTGTAACGTTTCAACTTCAAGTTAGAATATCATGACTTCAAGGACAATATACCAATATTTATAAATAAAGGAAATGTTTACCACCCTCAAAGATAAGTAACAATAATTATTATTCCCAGGAATTGTGAATGAAATCACCAAAAGTTATATTTAAAAAAATATTATTATTTGTGCGGCGTATGTTTATTTTTAATTCAATTGTATTGCTTCTTAACTTTTTGTATGTCATTGAAATATATGCTCTTGGTTAAAGAAATATAGAAAAAGAAATATAGAAAATATTTTTACTTCTGAGTAAACATATTTAGGAAGTGACAGTACTGATAAACGTTATGGAGAAGCTGGTGCATAAAGGGTGTGAGCAGTCCAATGATTTTATCCGGAGTTATTCAACGCATTACTGAAATGGAGTATACAGCCATGTTTTGCAGAACAGGAAGATCTTTTAACTGCTAGTTCTTCCTCTCTGCTGTTTAATACTGCATGAACTGAGCAATTACGGACCCCTCTCAGCAAACCCTAGGGACGTGATTGTCTCACGTGCATGTCTGCAGCCTCCGCTTTCTAGTTGGTACTTGTGAGCAAATGCACCATTTATCCTTTTCTTTCACATTAGCAGTGCACTAGAGTTTGCAGAAGAGGGACACAGCTTTCTACTCCACTTTTAAACTCATTCTGTGGAGAGCAACAAGGTGACATTCTCAATTAAGAGTGTGCCTAAGGCAACAACATTGTTCCTTATTCACAGAGGGCTTCCGAGCAATGAGTAGAGTTCCATTCAGTGGAAACAAAAATAATAAATTCTGTGAAAATACAGAAGAACCACCAGGCAGATAGTTCTTCATTCTAGCTTCCTCTGTTGTTTGTTATTACTGTATTTACTCGGATCTTATGCTCACCATTTTTGGCCAAACTACGTTGCAAAAATTGAGGTGTGCATTAGATTCGATAGCACATTAGACTCGAGTAAATACAGTACTTTAGCTTTTACCTACAGGTCCAATTGTTAAGTTTCACAACGGGTTAAACGTCATCATTCCCATTTGTTTATTTGATTTCTGTGTCACCTTTCCTCCAAAGAGTTCAGGGCAGGACATATAGTTTCACAGGAAATGTACAGATCTTCCACTTTCTGGCCCTCCACTTTGGTACCTGAGCTCCAGACTTAAACTTCCTCATGGCAATCACAGAATTATCAATAATGGTGTTATTGGCAATTAACACAATTTATTCAAGAGCTGTTCTTGCTAGATCAAAGCAAAAACATTCTGGAGCATCTCAGCCTTGTTTTGGAAGCTTAATGAACAACCCTATGCAAAGGAGCTGAAATCTGCTGCAAACACTGTAGTACGTGATTTAAAAGTACAGTTTGGCCTAAATCTCTAATGTAATAATACTACATTCAAAAAGTCACTGGTTATACACAAACCGGTGCACCTCAAGACAGGTGCTACCATTATTTTCACCTGTGTCTTCCACAGAATATACCAGCTGCAATATAACATGCTCAACTCAGTCTCACCGATATATATTCTGTTGATATTTAAAGAAATCAATCATAGATTAATCCTGCAGGCTTTCTTTCATTGTCATTCCCCAACCCATCAAAAGCCTTTTTGTCATAAAACAGATAGTTCAATGGCATTATCTCAAATATTTATCTAGGGAAAAAGGTCTTTTTCAATCTAAGGCAGATGGCAGTGATCAATACAAGCCAGCCTGCTATGTTCAAAGGCCTCCTGCCTTTTATTCCAGCTTAGCTGGTCTCTCAAACAATTGGTTCTCCTTTTAAAACCAAGCACTGCCAGTTTCCTGAGTGAACAAGTCTGTTATTACTATTAAAAAGAAATGCCACAAACGATTTTAAAAAAGAATGTTATTTACCTAAAGCAGACCAACATGAGAAAGACAGTCTACCCATCACTAAGAAAAGGTATTTTTTTAACAACCATTCTACAAAAATAAGAGGTATGGATGGCTAAACAATTTCAGTATTTTCACGCCCTGAATAGAATGAAACAACAAACTATTCTTTTACAAACTGATTTGCGTAAATTATCCCCAGTTTACATTTGCATATAGAATACAAAGCCTGCTCTAGAGGTGATCCAATGCATGTGCCACATTCTCATGTAGTTTCCTGGGAAATTAACCAAATATGTATGTGTGTATACATACATGGACAGACATACACACTTGAGCTTCTAAGCAGGAGATGGAAATTTTCCAGGAAGGTACTTTCTATAATTACAGGGTTGTATCCAACATTAGTCATACTCAAAGTAGACCCACTGAACTCAATAGGCATAATTAAGTCCATTAATTTTAATGGGTCTAATCCGAGTGTAACTTAGTCGGAAAGAACCCAGTTTTTAGGCTATTTGTAGTACAATAACCCCTCCTTAATGAGTTAATGACAGTAACAAATGCATGTGATACGGAAGGGGGGGGGCATGTCTTCTTCACCTTCTTCTTCGCTACAATATATCCATTTATTTTCAATTGTCAATGTCAAAAGGGACTAAAATCTATAAAATTCATAGAAAATCAACGTGCCAATTTGCTCAATTTCTCTAGGACTCCATGACACCTCCCCTGTACTCCATAATCCCTCAAGCAAGGTGTCAAGACCCTAATCCTGTCAAATCGCTCTGCCAAGCCCTTCCTCCGGGCGATGCCAGGTGACAGACTATGCATACATGGACCATTGTCTTCTCAGGATGTGCTTATCTGCGCATATCTCCAGCTCTGCATATTCCCCCCTCCCTCCTCCATATGTTAATCCGGTGTAACCCAACCTCTTCCTAATGTATTCGTGATGTAATCTGTGTAACCCAACCTCTTCTTAATGTATTCATGATGTAACTGGGATGTATTTTGCACTGTATTCTGGGACATGGAGGGAAATTTCAAAAGTTCATGTCACCCCTTTCTCGCTGTTCAATCTCGCCTTGAACCTGTTGCGCAATAAACTTGGATCTTCTGCAGTTTGCTCCTGTCTCCGGCTGAGCTCATTTTTCTTCCGCAGGGACCCGCGGACTTAGTCCGACGAGCTGGGTGGCAGAGTAGCCCCGCACCCAGATTTTACCGTAACAGCATGGTTTACCAATCTGTCACCAAAGGTACCATAGTCAGGATTTTTGTTTTCTGTTATCCTACACAGGAGCAAGAGGGCCTGGAGACCAAACTACAACCTATGTCTGCACTCTTGCCTTGCGCTGTGTTGCAGCTGTTTACTCCCAGTTCAGTGGACTAGATGAAAACCAAACTACGGTTTGTAGTGAGAATGACAACTGCATCTCCAAACAGCAAGAGCAGTTATTACCACAACAGAAAACCACTTGCTGAGCAGGACAGTAACTCTCATCTACTTTACCACAGACAACCTTCTAATTAAGTTGTGACTATACAAGTAAGACGTATAGAATATAAATAGTAACTCTAACTGCTGGGAGTGAGATAGGATGAGAAATGGAAAACATAGAGAATTGGATCATGGAGTGCCCTCATACATTGAACAGTTAACTGATAAAATTCACAGCCACAAGATCTGATAGTTTAGATGATTGTCAGAGGGGATTAGATGAATTTAAGAAGCATAAATCTGTTAATGGATATATGTCATGATGGCTATATGCTTCTTCCAGGTTCAGGGAGCACCATGCCTCTCCATATTAGTTGCTGGAGAACAATGGGAGAGAGCACCATTGTCTTCTTGTCCTGCTTATGGGCTTCTTGTAGGTATCTGGTTAATCACTGTGAGAAACAAGATGTTAAGCTAGGCAAGTCTTTGTCTGATAAAGCAGAGGTCCTTATGGAAACAGCTCCAAATTAACCATATTGCATTATTTTATATAGGACCCTTTGGGGAGCCTTTTAATTAGAAAGTGGGTAAGGGAAAAAATAACATACAGCTGCGCTACATCTAGTTAACAGTAGTGATTAACTTAAAAGCTGCATATGGACAATCTCACTTTAGGAGACTGGGAGAACTATTTAAGCACTCACAATCCTTGCATTAAGTTTTGAGTGATTGTGCATGCCCGTACAAATACATGAGTACAAATGAGTATGTTTGTATGTCTCCTATATAAAATAATAATAATAATAATAATAATTAATAATAATTAAATTTATTTATGCCCTGCCCATCTGGCTGGGTTTCCCCAGCCACTCTGGGCAGCTTTCAACAGAGTAGTTAAAATACAGTAGTCTGTTAAACATTAAAAGCTTCCCTAAAGAGGGCTGCCTTCAGATGTCTTCTAAAAGTCTTCTATGCCCATCCTAGTTTGCCTATTGTCAGTCCGTATGGAGAACAGAGACTAGCACATGAGCAGCATGTGCGTTGCTATCTACACAACTGACTCCCCACCTACTTCCCATGCTAGTTGCAAATTTCAAACTGGATTCACACTCCACCCTGGTCATGGATTTACTGAGTGCTACATAGTCTCCACCCTACTTCCAATAAATGGGAAAAAATAGTAGACTACTTAATTGAAAACAAGCAGTCCTGCACCATGAGGCTGAATTATTCAAGAAGTTGGAATCAACTTAAGCCTTACTTTTATATCCTTGTAATGTGCTTACAATTGGATCTTAAAATTTCAAGCACTCCAAACTCTGTTAACGTGCAGGGATTCTAATCCACAAATAACCAAAATTCAGTAGCTTTGCAGATAATCCTTGTGTGTTGCCCTTTAAGATTTATCACTGTTTTGTTGCTCCACACTAGCATGCAGCGTAAACAAACAATCTCTGTTTTAGCATGATGTTTGAACCTGGGATAGTGGAATTGTTTCACTCCAACAAACTACTGTACAATCTGTAACCAAGGTTTATTGTTGGCTGTCTAGCTGTACTTAAAGCAAAATAAACCATGTTCTCCTGCCCACTAATGCAGAGGGGCAAAGTAGCCCAGATCACATGTTCATGGTAAACCATTAATGTGTGAACAGTGTAATTGTCTTCCTCTCACTGGTACACATGCTATATTTCAGGAGCTATGCGCTATCCTGCACCATGAACCTTTTATTAAGCCTTTGAGAAACCTTCATTGTGGTGGTATATGCTTTTGTGCTTGTGTAAATGAGGCAAGCTCTTCCTTACTCATAGCAGAACATAAACATTTAGGAATTTAGGAATACAGTATAGGAAGCTCATACACATACACCATCTACAGTGCCTGCCAGCAGCTTTCTAATATTTCAAACAGGGTTTTCCAACCCTACCTGGAAATGCCAGGGATGAAACCAGGTAACTTTTTGCATACAAAGCATTTGTTTTATCACTGTTCTAGCCCTTCCTTACATTTTCCATCAGTTACACTGTGCAGAGTGTTGCCACGTGTTTAAAAACCGAAACATGTGCATCTTTCAAAAGTTGCCTGATGTGCAGACATTCAACAGATGCAGCCTCCTATCCAGCTCCACATGCTGGTGGAAAACCCCACCTGTTGAATTTCGGCTGTGCCCGTGAAATCATCTACTTAAGTTCACCAGCAGCCAGTATTCAACAGGTGGAGTTTTGCTCCCCCCCCCAAAAAAGGGGAGGGTGTGCTTTGTAAGAAAGAAGCTGGCAATCTTATGCTCGGCCCTGCAGTGAAGCTCAACCCTGTCTGGAAACCACCCACCTCCCTAAATGAATAGGTAGAAACTAAGTGGAGCCCACTGTGCCCAATTCCTTTGGATCACCATCTCACCTCCAGCAGCAAGAGGAGACCTGTAGAGGCAGCAATGGGTCGCTGGCACTAAGCAGCTACAGATTTCTGGGAATCGGGTGGGGAGGGAGGACTAGATCACAACCCTCCACCTACCCACCCCCCTCTTTAAAACAAAACCTAGTCCAGGCATAGGCAAACTCGGCCCTCCAGATGTTTTGGGACTACAACTCCCATCATCCCTAGCTAACAGGACCAGTGGTCAGGGATGATGGGAGTTGTAGTCCCAAAACATCTGGAGGGCCGAGTTTGCCTATGCCTGAGCTAGTCAGAACCGGCCCTGGCTGGGTCTGATCCGAGGGGGAAACGGTGATGCACTCTGCACGCGCTCAGGAGGCTGGATTGCCCAGAGCACCATCGCCCCCCCATGAATTTCAGCCAAGGGGTGGCGCCCAGCTCCCTCTTCGGTCCTCCTCCTCCGTCGCCCCTCTCCTGCTCCCCCGGGGACCCTCCGCCAGGCACTTACCCTCAGAAGCTGCTCCCTTATTAGCAGGCAGCCGCCTCCCGGCTTGAAGTCTCAAGCTCCGCCTTTTCCTGCCTTCCGTCATGGCTGCCGCCCGCCGCTTCCGGTGCCTGCCTCCGCGAAGGAGCAAGCGCGGCAGGGCCGGCGGCACCTCAGGGGAGAAAAGCCGGGAGCTTCGCGAGGTGGAGGTCGGGGAAGAGGAGGAGGTTGCGCCGGCCCGACGGGGGCGTCTGCGTCGTCTGCGTGGTTCTCCCGGGCCCTACGAGCGCTCGGCGGGGGAAGAAGGGGCGAGTTTTATCTACGGGGTTTCCCGGGCGGAGACGCAGCTGAGGTAAAAAGAGCAGGGGCGCTGGCGGGAAGCGCCTTTATCTGTCTGAGGAGCGGCAGAGGGACCTAGTCCCGCCTCTCCCGTTAAAGCTCTTCTTCTCCGCCGCATTCAAACACCTCGCTCCCCTAATCTGACAGTTTATAAAATCCCCGTCTCTCCCGTTAATATTGCAGCTAAACCGCTTTCAGGTGTTGAGGCTTCCCCCTCCCCGCCCCCCTCACAATCAAGCGGTGTATAAAATTTTAGGAAACGAAACAAGCGGTTGTTTGTAACCCGGATGTTGATGCTTGTATATAGAGAATGAATCGAGGCGTTCCTTGCCCTGACTTTGGGTCCGCCTTGTTTCGTTTTCAGACGACATTACAGCTCTTTATATTGTGTGTTGGAAAAAATGTTAAGGTTAAATTTATATACCGCCCTTTATCCGAAGAGCACGGGCGTTTTGCAGCAGAAAAACATAATACATAACAACGAAGCAAATACACTTCCCACTCCTGCCTATTACAGTATTTCAATCATCATCTCCTAGTTTCCACCCCAGTTTTGGTTTGGTTATTTATGTTTTTTGTCGGTTTGTGCTATTAAGATAGGCTTGTATTATAACATTGCAAAACCCAGTGCTTCCCCCCCCCCTTTTTTAAAAAGGTATGGGGGCTCTCCTTTTGACTCAAGAAAATCACCATCAGGAAAAATAAATACAGTAAATGGACCAAAGTACAAAGATTCACAAAGTGTTTAGGGGTATGCGTACCCCTGCGTCCCTCCAGAAAAAAGCACTGGCAAAACCTAATAAAAAATACTTTTAAAAAAACACATGACACAGATCAACGCATAGTGTGAAGAGCTTTGTACAAATTAAACGTGTAATCATCATCGTCATAATTTTATTATTTATACCCCCGCCTATCTGGCCGTTTCCCCCCAGCCACCTTGTTAGGTAGCCACACACATGCGCCTGATGTCATGGGTTGCAAACACATAAGAACACAACACCAAAAAAAGTCTTGTTGGATCAAACCGAAAGGCTCATCTAGTCCAGCATCCTGTTCTTACAGTGGCCAGCCCAATGCCTCTCATTCTGGAGGTAGCCTTATGCTTGGTAGCTCCTGGTAGCCTTATCCTCCATGAATTTGTCTAAAAACTTTCGAAGCCGTCTAAGAGGATGTCATTATTGCATCTTTTGGCATTACTTGGAGTTCCTGGACCAAGGTCAGGGTGTTAAACGTTGGTATATACCATAGTTTTCTGTGTATAAGACACTTTATACACAGAAACCCCCAACAATTGGGGGTTGTCTTATACACAGATAGTGCAGGGGGCGGGGACGGGCGATTGGTTGCAGCCGCGAGCAGGAAATTGTCAGTGGCGATTGGGCGCATGATTGGTGGCTGCTGGCGTTGAGCAGGGAGACGATTGGTGACTTTGGCAACACCTGCGATTGGCAGTGCAGTGTCAGTCAGGTGGGTGTGCGATTTTCGGCAATCCCCCCTCCCAAAAAAAGCTCAACAACTCATGGCAATCCCCCCAACAATAGCTCAACAACTCTGGGCAATCTCCCCCCATTTTCTTTATTTGGAGTCCCCAAAAATAGGTGTTGTCTTATACACGGGGGCGTGTTATACACGGAAAAATACGGTAGTATAGCTTGAGACCAGAACAGTGTGGGGCTTGAGAAATAACCTTGCCCCAGATATGACTTTAGTCTATGGAACTTGCACTGTTAGAGATGCTAAATAACCCTAGCCGCGCACTTAGTGCGGTGGCATCTACACTTTGAAACTGCTCACCTATAAACACCAGACAGGCGCCTTCACTGCAATCTTGTTTTATTTTCTGTAAATTGGTTAGAGGTTTTATTTACAATCAAGAAGTAAATACATTGTTTTAAAGAAAATAATTATAAGCTGCAACTTTCTTGAGTAACTTGAGTTAGTTACTGGGACTGTGTCAGATTCAAAAGTCTTGCAACCTATATTCTAAATGCACAGTATTATTTCCAGAAACTGTTTTATTTTTGCTAAGAATAAGGTGACAGATTTCCTCTTAAGAAACTTGTACTTTTCAAGGGGGGCATATATTTGTTTAAAGTTCTGCTCTTTCATTATTTATTTTCATTTAAAGATACTGCTATGGCTGCTACTCTGAACTTGGAGCTAGACCCCATATTCCTGAAAGCCCTGGGCTTTCTGCATTCAAAGAGCAAGGATTCAGCTGAAAAGCTAAAAGCTCTACTGGATGAATCTTTGTCTAGGGGGATTGACTATCGCCCATCACAGAAGGTACTGGAGTGAATGAATGAAATGTGTTCGATATATTTGTGCTATATATAACTTCTGAAATGGGAGGCTCTTTCCTATTACTTGAGGAAGCCAGTAAGAATTGAAAAGAACTTCAAAAATAATCAGTATCTACTTTTATTTGTCCATACATTTGCATTCTGATCCAGTACATGTATATTCAGAGGTGAGCCCCACTGGGTTCAACGGGCTTATTTCTTGTTAAGACTGCTTGGGACTTAGAATCCTATTCCGAATATTAGAAATCAATGAAAAATAGAATTTGTAGCCGGAGAGCAGAATGTGGCTCAAGTAAGTAAGGAGCGGTGGTGGTGCTATGAGTCATGTTTCAGGTTCTTTAAAGCACAGGAACAAGAACTGTTATAACAGACCTACCAGATTTCTTTCATCTGGGCTCCAGAAGGCCATTTTAATGGTTCTGATGTTTTGCTACTGCCATCAGCATTGTTACTTGTTCCTTCACTAGTAAAGGGTTGGCCAGTGGGTAAGTTCTGCTTAGCCTTTGTAGTACCACGAGTGATAGATTGACCTGGTAGCTGATCTCATTGTTGATTTGGGATGTAAAGATAAAACCTGATAGCAGGGGAGAGAGAAGTTCTGTCTTGCATAGTAGAAGTGCTGGCATTACTATCAAAATGACCCAGATCCTTAGCATACACAGGCTGCTGCCATCTTAAATAATTTTGTGTAGGATTGGTGTGTAAGTGACTGAACCGAAAAACCCCTGCTGCTTTTAAAATGCTTATACTATCTGTATTAAAGAATCTCAATTTCCTCTGCTTGCTTTGGCACTTTAGGGCAGGGGTAGCCAACATGGTGCCCCCTGGATGTTATGTATGGGAGTTCCCATCCTCCTTGACAACTGGCTGTGCTGGCAGGGGAAAATGGTATTTGGGGTTGGGGTAACATTTTAAGCTTTGTCACCTCTCAAAGTGAAAACATCATTGTTTTGATCTCAGCATAGAGACTATATCTAATATTACCATTAATACGTTATTGTTATGCTTTATACAGGAGGTAGATCAGCCCAAAGTATCTATTACAAAACCAGTTTCTGTTAAGCAAGAGCCTAAGGCTTCCTCAAACCTTCCTTCAGGTAGCAATAATGGCAAGCCCATTGCGGCTGAAAAGGTGAAAAAAGAAGCGGAGAAGAGGTCTGCTGATAAAGTAAGTTCTACTGCTACATGTAAAGCATTATTTGGATAGGAATTTAAAGGGTTACATATTTGTATTTGCAAAAACTGACTCTTTATTATTTCTTGCTTTGGGGGGGGTATTAATCCTTGTGTATGAATGTGTTCTGCTTTGCTAGCTGTGTCCTCTCCATAGTTAATTGCTCACTTCTTTCAAGAGTAGGAGCTGTGTGCTTTCTCTTCTATGCAGATTGTTTAGTTTTCAAAGGGTGCCCTTTTCCTTGTCTACAAATTCCTTAGCAGCTTTCCAGTGCTGCAGGCTGACAAGCAAGCATGTTAATTTTGCTTGGGCTTTGTTTATTTTGCCTCGCTTGCAATCTCACTTTACCCACCACTGTTTTTGACTGCATGACAGCAGGGCTTCTATTTAATGCAAGGCTGTAATTAAATCTAGCTGGTGCTAGCATGGAAATTAAGAGTAAGAATGATGGGCCTGGGAGCATCTTAGTTCAGCCATGAAGTTGCTTGGGTAGCCTTAGATTAACCACTACCTCTCAGCCTCAACAAACTTGCCCCATTTATAATATGAGGTAAGAATACTGGTGTTCCATGCATACCACGGTAACAAACAGGTATAGAGGGTTCTTGTTGGAATGAAGTGCTCTTAATAAATCAGGAAAATCACTTTTAGTATTCATAAGTAAGAATTCATTTCATTTTAAGGGATCTACAAACTTGGTAAGGCATTTAATCCAGAAGATTAAGTTATGAATAATACACCTGATCTTCAGATGATCCATTCTGCTTCACATTATTGGTAATGGAGTAAGATCAGAGTAATACTAAACTATGAATCTGCTGGAAGAAAAAGCCTGAGGCACTTTTTCCAAATGCTTTAAGCAACAACAGCAAATTACTTTGATTTCAATGTGCCAGTACACTTTGGTTCCTTTCATAGTGGCGATAAATACGTTTATCAGTATTACTGGACTTCTTTAATTTTCAGAGCACCTCACATTCTACATAATTTGGAGATATGGGGGGAAAGGTTATGTTAATGAATGTAATGCATTCTGTAAATTTTGTGTTATGCAATGAACATGCTTTCTTTCAATTATAAACTGATTTCCTATTTACTTGCTCGAAGCTTTCATGTTTTCACCATCGCTGTGTGTATATATCATTCAGCAGATAAAGCTGGAAAGCAGTGAAGGAGTTGACATGCCAAAGAAACCAAGACTAGAAAAGCCAGAGGCTCGTTCATCTCCAATCACAGTACAGACTAGCAAGGATTTGGCCATGGCAGACCTTTCAAGTTTCGAAGAAACTAGTGCTGATGATTTTGCCATGGAGATGGGTTTGGCTTGTGTTGTTTGCCGGTGAGTATGAGAAAATTTGGCAATTGCAGCAGATTTATAGGATGTAATTGACCATTTTGTTGTCAATTCTAAATAGTCACTTTTCTTTATAAGCCAAGCGGTAATTTCTAATAGGATTTTCCCATGGTTCATGAGACCTAAAATTTAAACAATAAATTATGTCTGTAGTTTTCAGACTAGCAGCCCAAGCTTGTGCATGCTCACTTGTAGGTAAATATCACTGAGTAAAAAAGGATTTACTCCCAGGTAAGCAGGTATAAGAATGTAGCCTTAATTCACTTTGTTGTTGTTGTGTTCGTGGTTGGTGAGTGTTTTGTGGGCATGCATAGGTTTTGTCTTTAAGCATATGGGTATTCGGGTCTAACTGAATGTTCATGCTGCTGTTTTAATGCGGTATGAGAAACAGGTTCACATTGCACAGCAGTATATTGCAGACTTATTAAGTTAATGGGGGGAAAAGAAATATTTGGGTCAAAATCTGTCCCCTACTGCAGCTACTAATATCGTAGTCGCTTGGGGTTTGCAGAAGATGCCTTTGTGTAATGCACTGCATATCTATGCAACTTGAAAATCTTAAAATCTCAGTTCTCAGGTATCTTTCAGATATTAAAGACTTTTGACTTCACCAAGCAAAGGAATAGGGCTGTGTTCAGTCTTCAAATTGCTCGCTTCAGAAGTTCACCCTAAGTAATCTCATTGAATTCTAGGTTACTTCTCTTGAGTAAATACGACTGAAGGGGGGGGTGGCAACCTGGGCTTAGACAATTGTTGAATTTAACTTTATGTATGCATATATGCTAACCAGTGGCATGAAACTGTCAGTAGTAGAATAAGTATAAGTATAAAAACCATGGTAGTCTGTAGGGAGACCTTAAATAGCTGTTCTGCTTAACAAATATTGTTAAGCCACTGTCTGGTTTCCAAGTGTAACTAAATATTCAAAAGCAAAATGTTCTGTGTGATTTGCAAGTGACACTTCAATCCTGTCAAAATAGAGGATTTATTAGGGAGAAACCTATATACCTTTTCAAGAACTCTTCTACATCATACCATATATATTAATGTTACTGTGTTTTATTTAAGGCATCAAACTCTTTCAACTGTTTCCATTTCAAACCAGCTTGAAATGAAATTTGGTTTTGACCATTTTTGTCACACAAAGTTTTTATGTTTCATTTGGCGTGGAATTTTTAAAATCTCACCACAGTTATTATTTTATAGATTTAAAATATGAAAGTATGTGTCATATAGTTGGAAGATCTTAAAATTTTGTGATCCAGTTTATTTTTTTATTTTTTTAAGAAACTGTAGCTGCTCTATTTAGCAGTCAAGGCTGTAAATCCTTAGCACATTTCCTAGGAAGTAAGCTCAGCCTGCTTAGAATCGCGCTGCACATACTCCAGAACTGGCACAAGATTTTTCTGATTTGTTTTCAAATTAGCCCACCTTTTAAAAAAAGCTGTTTCTGAAGCCATCTGAATATTATCTTCTGTCTTCATTTTCCTGTTAAATAAAGGAATAGCGTATTTCTCTTACCACATGCACCTGCAAATAGAGTTTCCATGGTTACCTATGTACCTGTACCATGGGGATATGTGCCAGAGCAGCTTAGAAGTAACCTGATTTGTCATCTAAAAGTAGTAACGGTTTGGGAAATTGTGTTTGGCTGACTCCAAGCCATATTTCCCTTAACATATAGTCTCTAAATTGTCATTTATATATTTTTCCAAGAGAAGAACCACCTCCCCTGACATAGTAGTAACGTTTTAACTGTTAAAAACATAGCACCTTGACTACTTTGATCAAAGCTGCTGCTAGAATTATCCCATTTTGCATAACAATACATTAGGATAATGCCTTTTAATTCTGTATGCCTTCTTTCCCCCTTTACATCCTGTGCAAACTTCCTGGGTGCCATCTAGCAGCGGGCAGACTTCCACTCACAGAGAGGGACTTCTTTTCCTCTTTGTCACATTTTAGGTCCCTGTATGTCCCCAAAATCTGCTCCAGCCGGTTGGGGGTGACCCAGGAGCAGATTTGGGGGCCTGCAGGAGGCAACAAAGGGAAGAAGAGAAAGGGGAAGTACTGTTGTGCAAGATGGAGTCTGTTGCACAGTCTTGCTCACATTGTAGTCTCTCACTGTTTCTTTTTGGAGGTCTTCTTTTTTAATCTGTCATTATTCTAAGATTTGGCTCTTCTTCCACAACTAAATCAGTTTTTTGTTGTAATTGGGCTCTCCTTGCTCTAATGTCTTCCATTATCTAAATGGACTGGATCCAGTCTTCAAACTGTATAACTTGTGTTGACAGTTTGGACAATTTTCTTCCCAGTTAGATTTACATAACTCAGATAGTAGCAGTCAGCACTGAATACAAGAGTAATAAAATAAGAATTAGTCATGATAGTAATAGTTCAGTTTCTATCTTACTTTGCCGCTTTGGAAACAGCTGACCTTGGTACAGATACTTCAATGACTGCTTGATATGACTCTGGGCTCAAGGCCAAACCTGCTTTGGGGAAAGAATATATTTCTCTCCCCCTCCCCCTTTTTTATTATGAGGAAATCAAAATAGCTATACTTTTTATATAAATGATTTGGTAGCATAATAGCACATCTAGAGTGGATAAAGTCTGCCACATAGATCTGGAGATTTTTGTGAAGGGCATCTTCCAAAAAATTTTTTTTTAAGGAACCCTTTGTAACTTCCTTATTTTTTGGCAGAATTGGATGAAATTTGCAGACATCCTGAGGACTTTTATGGAAGACTCAATCTATCCTAGTATTTTATGGGCAATTTGTATGAAACCATCTTAAATGAGAGAGGTACCCATTGGTAATAAACCAAGTATATCTAGTGCTTTTCATACTACACAGCTTTTTAAACTTGATTTTTTGGGGGGAGGTGAAAAGTAAAGAGAATAATTTTCTTCCCGGTGGCTTTGTGGTCAGCAATTCATTATTAGTGTATCTAGGTACACAGAGCAAGCAAAATGTTTTGAGTTAGGGAGCAGGCTGGCACTGGCAAGTTTCCTCCTTTTGTACAGAAACAGGCTTGCCAGGGCATATCCTGTTCTCTGAGGAAAGATCCTATAATCCTTAGCTTCTTTTTCGCTTCTTTTTCGCCTCATACCCACTTTTAGATGGTTTAGGTTCCTCAGAGTTGGGGCCATCTTCTGAATGTAGGCTTCATTGTAATGCACATGGATGTTGTTCTGCTGAGAAGTATTAAGAATAGCCCTTTGGAGGCAGCTTTGCAAACACCCAGACTCTGTTTTGAGAGGAAATGTTAGCTGTTTGACAGTGGAACGGACTCTCCTCCCCCCACTCGTGAGGTGGTGGACTCTGCTTCCTTGGAGGTTTGGATGGCCATTTGTCATGTATGATTTAGTTGAGATTCCTGCATCGCAGGGGGTTGAACTAGATCAGGAGTCAGCAAACTTTTTCAGCAGGGGGCTGGTCCACTGTCCCTCAGACCTTGTGGGGGACTGGACTATATTTTGAAGGGAAAAAATGAACGAATTCCTATGCCCAACAAATAATCCAGAGATGCATCTTAAATAAAAGGACACATTCTACTCATGTAAAAACACGCCGACTCCGGGACCGTCCGCGGGCCGGATTGAGAAGGCGATTGGGCCAGATCCGGCCCCCAGGCCTTAGTTTGGCTACCCATGGACTAGATGAACCTCAGGGTCCCTTCCAACTCTACAATTCTCTGACTCTTGGGCCGTACATTTTGTGCTTTGCAGACAAATGACGGTTACTTCAGGAAATCCATTAGTAGAGTGCCAGGAATGTCATAATCTCTACCATCAAGATTGCCATAAACCTCAAGTGACAGACAAAGAAGTGAATGATCCTCGCCTAGTGTGGTATTGTGCTCGATGTACCAGACAAATGAAAAAAATGGTAAGATGTTTCCCCCCTTAGAATAATTGATAGCATGCACTGAGCCACTAATTGGGTTCTTTAAGTAAGGAATTTCTTGACTAAATATAAAAAGGGGAATTAGAAGGGAGGAGGGTTGATGGAATACATTTTCCCCCTATATTGATTTATTGTCAAGTAAGAAATGCCTTAATAAATAGTTATATATGCTTTTTGAAGTCTGCTGGTGTATTTTTAGCTGCTGCTGTATTGATTTTTATATCTTAATATTTCCCATGCCAAAGGTAGGTGTTTGGATTACAAAAAATGTAAAAGTCAGGCAAGGTCATTGGAGCACGGGAAGAAGGAATCAGCTAAATGAATCAATAACCCCCTACTCTGTGCACTTATGTCCTGAATGGATTGCTCTCTGCAAATTATCTTTTAAGTAAGAGAAAGTAACAAATATTGGGCTACATTAACCATCTTTAGCTCCTGTAGAATCTTTATCTTTCATAGAAGATGAAAGGCTTCTGTTTCATTGCTTCTCTCTGGGGACATACCATTTTGTATGTTAATTGAAGATATGGGAAGAATATACAATTCCTGCAATTTTAAAAGTTGGTTAATAGAAGGAACATTTCAGTGTTAGAAAAAAATGCACTTCTCGTAACTTTAATTTAAAAAAAAAAAACAACCATGAAAGAATCACTCAAATTACAGATAAACTCCTGTATCTTACTTTTGAAATCATATAATACTTAGCTTAGATGCTAATGTCCACTTCAGCAATTGTTTGAGGCTTCATTAATTGCTGTTTATGAAGCCATGAATGAGCTTTGGAGCTAAGAACTCATCCCCTTGCCCATTTTCTCCCTTCCATCACATACTAACTTTAGTGCAAAGATCCTGGCTTGCATTAGGACAGAGGTGCCAGTTACATCTGAACCAGCTTAGCATTAGGTTAACAAACCAGGAAACCATAATCTGAACTGGGCCATTGACTGATAAAACAGCAATATGACCTAGTCTGTTTAAAAAACAAGCAAACTTTGTAATGTTAAAAAATTTAAATGTTGACTTATTTCTTCCTAGATTGCACCAGCCAACAAATGTACTATTTGAAGGACCTCATCCTTTAATATGTTGGGATGGGGTGTTGACATTTGAATGGGAATTGCACTGCTCATTGCATTTGCTATTCTGCAATTAGGAATACATTCATATAACCCTGTCTTTCTTATGACTTGTTTGACTTTTGTGATTGATGCCAAAAGAGCAAAACCAGACCTATTATTAGAATCCACCCCATACTAGTTTTCCAGTTCTGTTTCCTTTGACTAAATGCTTCCACCTTACCCACTTGTACTTTTTCCATTTTCCTTGCCATTCTTGCTGCTCTTTTCCCAAAGTTGAGTTCTTGATTTATGTGCCCATTCTCAAACCTTTTATTTCCATGCAGCTTAAAATTCCACACTCATTTTTGTTTCAACTGTTTCTCATGTCCAGTGATGAATATTTCCATTGACATTGCTAAGGCATTTCATTTTGTTTTTAATTCCATATAAAGAATGATAACATGTGTAATTTATACAGGCTCAGAAAACGCAGAAGCCTTCTCAGAAGCCAGCCCCTGCTGTAGTTTCAGTGGCTCCAGCTGTGAAAGACCCGCTGATAAAAAAACCAGAAATTAAACTAAAGATGGAGACAACGTCAACTTTCCTAGCTTTTAAGAGGACAGAAGTCAAGGTACAGTACATTTGTTTTGTGGAAAAAATAAGTTATTTTATTGTGTTTAGCACAGGTCTCTCTCCCCCCCCCCCCCCCAATATCACACAAACCTCTTTAGAATCCAAAACTGAAGCACTTTTATTTTACACTACTAGTTTGTCCATAATTCTGAATGGGTGATAAAATATCTCTTCCATTTGGATAGCAGCCCTCAATAAAATACTGAATTCATCCTTTCTAATTTATAAGAATCATTTTGTGTTTGATTTGGTAGACTGAAGGGGTAATCTGCGTTTCTTCTGAGGCTTAGATAAGATGTAAGAATAATTTTGGCTGTTCTTTTCATCCCACTTGTGGGGAATGCAGATAGGTTGGAAGGGCCTAATTGATTTATACTGGAATTTATAAATCACTTTTCCACTTCAGACTGATATATAATAAAATAATTAAAATTCAGTTTTGAACAGTTGAAATAATAATTAAAACTAAAACTAGTCTTATCTCACTATCAGCTGAAGAAGTGATGAAAACAAGCCAGGGGGATAGCTCACAGAGACTGTAATAAAAGCCTTGGCTTCTGCTATTGGCTTTCTGGATTAGGAAGCTTTCCAAGGCTTAAGCTGACAAGCTCCAAGGCTGCACAGCTTCATTTTTTCCAAAGCTTAAGGGCATCGCTGGGCTTGCCCACCAGTAACTGAAACCTTACAGAATCCCTGTTTTGTTTAAGCTGAAATTAGTATGTAGGATTTTTGAACGAATGGAAAAGAGGACTTTTTAAGCCAATCTAATATTGTAGTGTAGCATAGTCAAAATTGCAAATCAATTCAGACCTGGAGGCAGGGGGGAAAGATTTAATTTTCAAAGAGTTCTCTAATAACACGTGTAATTATTGACCCATTTCCGAATCAATCTGTTGGGAGTTTTAAGAAATGATCTTTAGAAACAAAGATCAAGAAGTTCAACATTGCCATGTTCTTATACAGCATCCATTCATTTCCATGGGAAATTGTGCGGCAGAATTCCTAGCTGATTGTGCCCAAAGTTTGTGCAAGTGTGATCTATGTTGAGCCAAAGTGTAGATGAGTTCTTTAGTAGGTTTTTCATGGTGATTGCCTTCCAAACAACTTGTTAGAAGCCTGGGCAAATATTTGCAAGGCATTGCAGACAGCCAACTTTACTGTCTATTAAAGCTAAATGGAAGCAATTCCCTTTTTCAAAACATGCAAAACAGATGAAGTCTGTATCTGGGAATTCACATTTGTTGTCCTGATAACAGCAATTTCAGGTAACAGAAGAATAGCCATGGATTATGTTTATCTTTTTAATTCCCAAGTGCTGAAGTTTCTTAGGTCCTTTAGATTGTTTTGTCATTTTTACATCCGAGTGAAGGATCATTGTGCTTATTTAATTCTTAGGTAAAAATGTTGGTGTTGTCTTAAGCTGGAGAATTAAGATATTCCTGCCGCTTTGTGCCCTCTGGTTTTTTGATCAAGGTGATTTGGGATAATACACTACTTCCTAGATTCTGCTGTTTCAGTGTATCTGAAGAAGCGTGCATGCACACAAAAGCTTATACCAAGAACAAACTTAACTAGTCTTTAAGGTGCTACTGGACATTTTTTTAATATATTACACTACTTCCTTGTTGATTTATTTTCTAATACCAAGAATGTGAAAAATATTATTCATGCTGGTCTGTGTTCTGCAAGGATCAGCTTTAACTAATGTGGAGTTTGTATTGGTCTTTATTTTAGACTTCGGCAGCTATTTCTGGTAACTCCAACAGTGCCAACGTTTCCTCCTCGTCAACCAGTGGCCTTACAGGATGGGCAGCTTTTGCAGCAAAAACATCCTCCGCAGGTCCATCAACAGCCAAGTTGGGATCCACAACCCAGAGTACTAGCAGCAAGCCAGCTACTGCCTCAAATAATCAAAAACCTGTGGGTTTGTCAGGGTTGGCGACAGCCAAAGCAGGGCTAGGCTCAAAAATAGCAACGCCTAACAGTGGCACAACCCCTGTTCCGTTTAAGCCCCTGCCCCCTCTCACGTTGGGAAAAACAGGTCTCTGTCGTTCAGTTAGCAGTGACAATGTAAGCAAAATAGGGCTCCCAAGTCCAAGCAGTTCAGCTCCAAGTATCAGCCAGGCTGCTGGTGGAAACGGAAGTGGTGGAACAGCAGGCAGCAGTGGGAGCAGCACCAGCAAAGCAAATGCAGAATCTGGCAATCAATCCCCTTCTCTGAAGGGTCCTACTTCTCAAGAATCACAACTCAACGCTATGAAAAGGTTACAGATGGTAAAGAAGAAAGCTGCTCAAAAGAAGCTAAAGAAATAATAGAAGTATCTGATGAAGTGCAAGCATGTCTCTGGGATCAGTTGAACAAGAGAGTAATAAAGTCCTATAATAAAAGCTACAATCAGATGTCTTTATTTGGTGGCAGCAGTTGTGCTTACAAGTCGAAGCAGAATTGGATTTTCAGGTAATGCCATATTCTGAACCTGCTTTAGACCCGAAGCCTAAGAGTATGAACTATTTCTTTAAAATATTTCAATAAAAATATTGTTTGAAATATATGTGACTTAGCACTTTTCTCTATAATTCCTCTAAGAGGAGTTCATATAGGAGGGGAGGAGCTGTCTTAATGCCAGCTTTCCACACATTTTTGTGATTTTCACCATGCAACAACAAGCCTTTCATTTTTGTGAACATCTCAGATTGCATGGGTAGTTATGTACCGATTGAGATTTATTTAAATGGTGGGCTACACTCACACCCAATGATGTGGCTTTCACATTAGGACTTGCCTTCCCTCCTCACCCATACAGCCCCCTCCTGTGAGCATCCTTTACCTCTACTTAAGTGTGGAGGCATCTTATGGAGTACGAAGGGGGTTGAGATTGAGAGAGCATAACCATTGGGAGGGCAGGCAGATATCATCGCCTGATAAATAACTTTATTTGAAGGTAAGGAAAATAAAAGTTTTTTTCAGATTTGTAGAGAAAGTGGAATAGGATGCTTGACAAGTGCAAGTCAACAGCTGTGTAAGAGGAGCAAGCACAAGAATGAAAAAGGTGTACTTTGTTTTTTAAAGGTCCTGTCCTTTAATAGCAGCAATAAAAATGCATGCAAATGACTGCTGTCATAAAGTATTGAAACCTGTTTTTTGTTTTATGACACATGTCAAGATCCATGATTTGCAACAAAATGATCACCTAAGATAATCACAACACAGCAAGCATTTAGACAACAAATATTTGTAAAAATACATTTTATTAAAAGCAAATACCGTATTACTCTGAGTCACGGACATTGCTGTAGTTTAAATTCACAGTAATAAATCTCTAGTCATACAGGCTTTGTCCCAATAATATTTGCTGTAGAAGGAGCTAAGCTTTTCATTTGTGTTTTGATGAACACTTTTGAATGCAAAGGCATTCTTTAGGATTATAATTGAGATCACAAAAAGATGGTAATATAAACATTCGTGAAAGGAATAAGTAAAGATAGTGTTTGGCCTAGATTCTTTGTGTGCCGTCAGAATAAGAAGGTGTATATGCAGACATTGGTTTACCAAAGACAGGCGTGAATATCCATAACAATATTTTGATGGCAATCAGCTCTGATTGAAATGAATAGTGCTTCACACAATGCATTCCATGAGCAATTGCTGCACAAGCACCTTTCAACTGCAGGGTTATTATTTTTTATTATTTTTGCTTTAGCTTTGCTCCTATTCAGCTGAATGAGGCTCCCAATTGTTCAGTTAATTTGATTCTTGATCCTCAAGAATAAACTAAAATACAGTTACATTTCAGACATGACCACAGTTCAGATTGACCAACTGTGTTCCTACCATGATCCCAGTTATTTAGGCTGTTGATGCTATTAGGGTTGCCAGATCCAGACTCAGACAGCTCCTCTGCATTCAAATTACATAGAAAGGCAAACTTTGTTTTTCCGTATGTAATTTGCTGTGGTGATGAAACAACGTGTAACAGAATTTGTATTTCTTTACTACTGCTTAGCAGGGGTGGGCAACCTAAGGCCCATGGGCCACAAGCAGCCCACAGGAGTTGTTTTACAGGCCCACAAGCCACCCCAGAAACGAGCTACCCGCTCAGCAAGTTCCCGCACGCTGCGCTAAACCAGTGTGGTGCGGGGACTCATTTCCGCGGCGCCAGAAACTGTGTGCGCAGACAACGGAAATTGCGTGCCCATTATCTGGCCCACGGAGGGGGCTCCACAGCAGTGAACCGGCCCAGGCAAGGTAAACCTTGCTGACCCCTGGCCTATAGCACAGTAATCCCCAAAGAGTCTACACGCTGAATCTGGAGTTATTTGCTGAATTCATCTGCTTTTATAAGAAAATAAATACGTTCAACTAGGTATACTATATGGTATGTTTCATGCAAGCCCATCATAAGAGTGAATTCTTGAAACATAAACACATTCTAGACTCCATTGTCTGTGGTTGGCAACCAACTCCTTACGATTCTCCTTGAATGAAATAGAGTTAAAATAGAATTCCTTATGCATCTTTAACAAATCTAGCTGAAACAACTGTCCTTCATTCCTCCTTAATCTGACACCCAGTAGGTAAAGGCACATTCAATGACTTGTGGATCTTTATTTCTGGCTTGAGCTAAACATTTTTAACATGACAAGTGCCTGGAAACTAGAGACTTTAAATATCATATTTCAACACCTCAAAAAATGAAATCCTGAAAATAACTCTCTGTCACAGATAACATTTATACCCTTTCAGGGTCTCAAAAACCCCCGCCGATAAATGCAATAAAAACAATATCAAATTGTCGGCCCAACTGTTTCTTCTTGGCCTCCAGAGCTTCATCAGTGTGTGAGTTCAGTCCTTTGCACACCGTTCAGCGGCTGCTGGAGGAAGGGAAAACTGCTTCATCCCATTTTGAAATGTAAAACATACCATAAGCAGTGCGGGGAGCCTTTCAGCAAAGGAATGCTTTCTTCATTACGAACCATTTGGTATATAAACAAAAGACAGTGCAACAGATAAGGGTAGTCAACTCAACCACATAGGGCTTTTAAGCTTCATAATCCCCATTAAGATTCAGAAAAGCGGGACAGCATCAAGCAGATACTTCATTCCACCCCCATTTCTCAATTTGAAAGACAGGTAGCATTATTTACAAAGCCATGTTTGTTTTCTAGTCTGCTGAATTTCACTGTCACTGCAAAAACATTGGTGTGAGCATTCTGTTTATTACAGAAACTGCAAATGCTTAAATGCATGATAGACTTTCCCCTGGGCAGCCTTCCGTGTGTGTTAAGAGACAACAGACACACTTAGTAAAAAATAATAATTTTTAAAAGCCCAAATTTAAAACTCTTTTAGGGGCCCAATGTATTCCTTCTTATCACAAGGCAATCAAATTGGTGCCATGCACTAAATGTCTGGAATACTTATCCTCTGCCCTGTTGCAGGCACATTAAATAGGGCACTAGGGATGTTTATAGCCCAATCCTGAGCACATTTACTTAGAAGCACGTCTACATTCAATGGCGCTTACTCCCGCCATTAAGGGTGTTTAGATTTCCAGCTGTACAGAAAATCCTAGGCATGTCTACTCAAAGGTAAGTCCCACGGTGTTCAATGGGTCTTTCTCCCAGCTAAATTCACATAGGAACGTGGCACTGAATACTTCTCCAGCAAAAATAACAGGTATAGGTGAGGAAACTTCATAATTTTATTTTGTACATTTTACTTTTATTTCAGAGATAAAAAGGGCACGTGCTACTTCTGCACTACCCCTGGCTAATTTTTTGAAATGTCTACTTGGAATGCAGTAAGCAACTTGTTGCAAACCATCAGAATCAAGCTAGTGTGGAAGACATAATTTTTTTGTGGGATTCCCCTCCGCCCCACACCAAGCTGCATCTCCTTAGATTTTAACCATTTCTTGGAGATTGCAAGACAACTCTGGGGGAAGAGCTAGGCCAGGGGTTGGGGACCTGCAGCCCTTCAGATATTTTTGGAGTTAAACTCCTATTAGCCCCAACCATTACAGCCAATTGTCATGGATCTTGGGAGTTGTAGATCAGCTACACCTGGAGTGCAACAAGTTCCCCTTATCCAGGTTAGGCTGAGAAATACTATTGGCCAAGGACCCCTGGTGAACCTCATACATGAGTTAATGCAATCTTCATCAGCCTAGTGCCCACCCACTAGCCCTAGCTAGGATGAGAGCAGGCTGGGGAAGACAGAGTTGTTGACCTCAAATCACGGTGCTTGCTCTTATGTGGATGTGACATAGATGATTATTTACTTAGTAATTTATTGCATTTATATCCCACCTTTTTCTCCAAGGAGCACAAGGTGGCATGTGTTAGGTTCTTTCCCACCTAATTTAATCCCCACAACCTCAAGGACTAGCTGGGTGATGAGAAATGGAGAGAGGTACCAGCTTGCATACCCCTTCTAGAGAGGAAGGGTCAGAGCACGGGACGACGACACTAAGGACAGGTCAGAAGATGAAGGTGGGGGGAGAATGGTGGGCCACTGAAGAAGCAACAGGCTTGAGCGAGAGGGAAGAGCCAAGGGCAGAAAGCAGTTCAGACTCAGCACTTGAAGTTCCCCAGGAGATTGCCTGCCCTACTGTGTTCAGTTGCCATCCCTGCTTATCTCCAAGGGCACAAAGAATTATGGCTGAACAAGGAGCAAGAATTCCCTCTCACCGTGGTTTACATCTACGTGGGCAGCCTCCAGAGGAGGAGGGGTCTTGGGGGGAAGACGGAAGCAGGAACCGTCTGTCCTGGCCAGAGGCGTAGGAAGGGAGCAAGGGGGGCAGATCGCCCTGGGTGTCATCACTGAGGGGGGTAACATTTGGTGCGCTGCCTGCCCGCAACTCCCAAGTCTACCCTGAGCCATTTGGGGGAAGCGGGGAGCTGTGCCGCTTTGCCTTCATTTTGACAGCTTGGGAGAGGCTTGGGAGTCGTAGGCGGGCGGTACGCCCAGGGGTGACATTCAGTGCACTGCCCACCTGCGACTCCCAAGACTACCCCAAGCCATTGATTGGGGGGGGTTGCCAAAAGAAATTCCACGCTGGGTACCTCCTGACCTTGCTACGCCTCTGGTCCTGGCAACTGTGCTATGGAAGCTGGCCCTGCCTTGAAGCTTCTCTGCCTTGTTTGCTGTTTTCTTGTTTGAAGAATTAAACTCATCTCTGTGCTTGAGTGCTGACCTGTGTCTGAGCCAGCCTGTTCACGGGTGATCGAAGTCCTTGCAGGGGACATCAGGACCAGGGGCAAGATGGCGGGGTGGGAGCAGGAACAGGGGTCCAGAAGCCAGGAAGCCAAGAGTCCAAGGGTCAGAGAACCGGGAATCAAGAAGCCAAGGGTCCGAGGGTCAGGAAGCAAGGAGTCAAGAAGCCGAGGTTCAAGGATCAGGAAGCAAGAAGCCAAACACAGCAAGGCAGGGAGTGTGTTGCTGTGGCAAAGAGCCGAAGGGAAATGCTGACCTTATATCCCTTCCCAGCTCTTGCCATCAGGTGCTGTGAGTCACCAATTGGCCTCACCTGTGAGGCCATGCCTCGCCTCTTCAGAACAAACTTAGGAAGGCCCCAGTCCTGCAAAGTCCTATCAGTCACAGGGCCTGGCTCCTGCATGCACACCTGACACAGCCCTGATGCACAACAACCCTTTGAGGTAGATTTGGCTGAAAGGCAGTGACTGGCCCAAGGACGCTCAATGAGCGACTGGGGATTTGAACCCTGGTCTCTCCAGGTCCTAGTCAGACATTCTAACCACGTTGCCACACTGGCTCTCCATACACCAGGGGAGATTCCAACAAAAGCAGTGTGGCAAAGAGAAAGGATGCAAGCAATTCAGGACAATGACCGGAAACAGTTTTTTCTTTGTTTTAAATACCTCCTTCATAAGTTCTTCAGCTCTTGATTTACAAACGAACTTTTGAGCAGACCAGAGCAAAACGGAAGACTTTTGCCTCTGACGTTTCAGAGAATTAGGTGTTGTAAGTATTTCCGATGTTTACGCGTAAGTCATCTTCCCAAGGTAATTTGCTGGCACGTATCCCTTTTGTCCTTTCGCTTCTGCTAACCACCATTCCTTGTTGCCGCTCAGGTCAGAAAAACGAAGGATCCGAACTCGCTGGTACTCTTGAAGGCTGAGCTCCTGGTGGCTCCTTGCTTGAAATGCATGAACCGCATAAAATGTCTGAGAGGGAGAAACAAAAGAGAAAATGTCTTTTCGGTCCTAGCTGCTCTTTCAACATACAATGGCTACATACACACATCAAAAGCACATAGCTCCCCCCAAAGAATCTCAGGGACTGTCATTTATCAGGGACTGTGCTGTGAGGGCTGGACTGCAGTTCTCAGGATCCTTTGAGGAAAGCCATGTGCTTTAAATGTATGGTATGTATACACCACCAATGGGAAAGGTGGCAGGTCAGTGGGAGAGCATCTGCTAGTCATGCAGAAGGTCACAGGTATGGCTGGTAATGTCTCCTGTCAGAAACCTGGGATATAAGCAACTCTTACGTGCTATGGTGACATGCAGCACTCCTTCTATAAACACAAGCGAGTTTGCAAACCAGAGGCAGCCAATGTGATGTCATCCAGATGTTGCCAAATTACAAATATTGGATGTCCCATCAACCCCAGGCAGAATGGCCAACATCTGGAGGGCACCCCACTGGCTACCCTTGATGCAGAAAGGCAAACAGCAGGCAAGAGGGAACTTCTTATTTTTCTTATTTGCTGATTACATTTCTAGCCTGTCTGTCCTCCCAAAGGTGGCACCTGTGCTAGGCTATCATCTGGATAGCTCAGTTGGCTAGAGCCTGGTGCCAAAGTTGTAGGTTTGATCCCCCATATGGGACAGCTGCATATTCCTGCAGTGCAGTGGGTTGTACTAGATGATCCTCAGTCCCATGATTCTCAAATCCAGGTGGGCAGCCTCAGAGTTCCTAGTTCAGAAACTGGGCAGCATGATAGGGCCTCACAGTTTCCAGAAGCACCACTTCACAACTTTAGAATATTTCCTATGGGCTGCTGCTAAGTTTGACATAGGTAAAGGTAAAGGGACCCACGACCATTAGGTCCAGTCATGACCGACTCTGGGGTTGCGGTGCTCATCTCTCTTTATTGGCCGAGGGAGCCGGTGTACAGCTTCCGGGTCATGTGGCCAGCATGACTAAGCCGCTTCTGGCGAACCAGAGCAGTGCACAGAAACGCCGTTTACCTTCCCGCCAGAGCAGTACCTATTTATCTACTTGCACTTTGTGCTTTCAAACTGCTAGGTTGGCAGGAGCAGGGACCGAGCAACAGGAGCTCACCCCATCACGGGGATTCGAACCGCCAACCTTCTGATCGGCAAGCCCTAGGCACTGTGGTTTAACCCACAGTGCCACCCGCATCCCTCTAAGTTTGACATAGTCTTCTTCAAATCTAAAGCTTCCTTTGACATGCTCTTCCTCTCATCACAGCAAGGGACAACAGAAAAAAAAACTTTCTGACAGTAAGAGCTGTTCGACAGTGGAATGGTCTCCCTCAGGAGGTTGGGGACTTTCCTTCTTTGGAGGCTTTTAAGCAGAGCTTGGGTGGCCATCTGTCATGGATGCTTTAGCTGACATTGCTGCATTGCAGGTGGTTGGACTCTATGCATTCTATGATGCTATAATACTATGACCTTTGGACAGGTCTTTGGGCAAAGTAGGACCAACTGACTTACACTGTCTAGCTTAGCATTATTCACACTGACTGGCAGCTGCTGTCTCTGGTTTTAGACGGGGCTCTCTCCAGTCTGAACTGGCAATGCCAGTGACTGAACCTCAGACCTTCTGCATATGAGATGGATGCTCTTCCACCAAGCCACACCCCTTCTGAAGATTCTCTGAGGGGGCCACCTCCTTGCCACTACTCATTTGTGTGTCTTCTCCTTGCTGCTCACACGCCTGGAGAGAACAGGTGAGAAAGCAGCTACAAGGAGGAGGGGAATGAAGGTGAACTCATGATGCTTACATCTTGGTCGTCCACTCCATAGAAGCAATCCACCTCTGTCCCATTAATAGTTGCCTTTTCACACAGGCTATTGTAGGAAGAGCTGCTTCCGCTTCTCTTGTGCTGCCCTGCGGGTTTTGTGCTGCCGTCATCCACTTGCCTCACGGAGACAAAAAGGCTGATGTTATCAAAGTCGCCGTCGCAGAAACTGGCATCTGAAGCCTCCTTTTGTGCCTTCGCTGGATTGTAGGGCTTCAGGAAGGAGGAGTAAACGTATCCTTTTGAAACTAGGGAGGGAGGAGGAAAATTTAAAGAAATTAGGATGTGCTTCCCTGCTCCCCAGTCCTTCTGCCCTTCATAAAAAGCAAAGAAAGGCTTGCCACCAATAAGGAGTATGGAAACAGTGGGGAGACCACTTGGTTCCTCTTGTCCACCATGTTCTCTCATATACCTAGTCTGGGCCATAATCCCCCCAGTGAGGCTGGGCAGAAGTCACTGGCGGTCCCTAGTCTTACAACTAGTGTTGTTGTGGTGTGGCAGGCCACTCTGGGTTGGGTGACACAGAAGGGGTAACAAAAAAGGGGTTTGGCCCTTTGGGGTCATGAAGAGGGCAAGAGTGACACCTCCTTTTTTTGTTGCTTTAGCCTTTGGAGGTGAAGGAGGAAATATTGTGGGTGATGCCTTATTCCATGTAAGTAGGAGAGATAGCTGCCAAGGTGGGAATGTAGCTGCTACCTATAAATACATGTTTGCCTACTTGGTGGGTGACGCTGGTTGCGTCTGTTGTATTTTAGTATTTTGGATCTGCTAATAGTTGTTATGGCGCCCAATACGTCAGTTGTTTTAGCTTATATTGATGTTTAAGAGGTTATCTTAGATAACTTATTTAGTTATGTTATCTGTGCTACTGTAAAATGTGCATTTTAATTTTCTTTCTTCTTTTGTATTTGACTTCAGTCTGGGATATTTTTAGGGTGTTGTAAAGATTTTATTTAAAACATGAAGCGTTTCACACACCCCTAAAATATATACTGCCAGTTAAAGACCAGAATTCTGCAATTCAGAAACCCAGTACAAGCAGGATAGAATATAAATTAAGAACAGCTTATGTGTTTTCGTAAACTCCATCATGTTGGAAGTTGCTCTGTTTTGCACCAGCAGCGCCAAATCCTTACTCAGGATAATGCCACTCATGCTAGGTTAGGTACTTGTGATGTGAGCCATGACCAGCTCACAGGGCAGGCTAGAATACTACTCGCAACCTCTGTGAGAAGTCACAACGTGGCACAACAGGGCTGTTGCATCCATATTTAATAACCATCACAGCCAAAGGAGATCCAATATTGTGATGAATGTGCCTGAGGACTTACTTCCAGTGTCAACAAGCCATCTGCCAGTACTTCCGAAAGGATCCTTTCGTTCCACGACAGCCACCAATTCTCCTTCGTAGAGATCAATATCAAACTCCTGAGTGGCGTTGCATTTGCGCTTGGCTTGGTACAGCAAGTCTGAGTTGTATGTGGAGAGTATCACGGATCTGTGGCTTTCAGTCTGCCGTGGAAATTCAGGCTGGAAACAAAACAAAACCCAGCTTGAGACATACTTTCAATTGCAATGCCATAGGAAAGCATATTCAGGGTAAATCAACATTCCTGCTCCTCTTTCCTCCACCATATATGACAATCTCTGTCTCATTCACTTTCCCAATCAATCCCCATCACACTCCCTTGGCAAGTCGGTATTATTCAGTATCTCTTCTTCTTCTTTGGCGATCACTCGTAGCCCAGTAAGACTGTCTTCCAAAAACACAGTTTTAACAGTGAATCTGTAAGTATCTAGGGACGCGGGTGGAGCTGTGGGTTAAACCACAGAGCCTAGGACTTGCCGATCAGAAGGTTGGTGGTTCGAATTCCCGCGAGGGGGTGAGCTCCCGTTGCTCAGTCCCTGCTCCTGCCAACCTAGCAGTTTGAAAGCACCTCAAAGTGGGTGCTTCCGGTGGGAAGGTAAATGGCGTTTCCGTGCACTGCTCTGGTTCGCCAGAAGCGGCTTAGTCATGCTGGCCACATGACCTGGAAGCTGTACACCGGCTCCCTCAGCCAATAAAGCAAGATGAGTGCCGCAACCCCAGAGTCGGCCACGACTGGACCTAATGGTCAGGGGTCCCTTTACCTTTACCGTAAGTATCTAAATTCAGTAGCTGAATAGGTATTTGAATCCTGGTAACCCATGTCTAAATCTAGCATGTTGCTTATTGGAATACTCTTGCTTATTTCAACACAGAGCCATGGCCAAACCACTTACAGCATTCAATGCCCCTTTGTATTTAATGCTTCTTTAAAAAATGAGATAGTGGCCACTGGGTGTGTTGATAATTAAAAAAAAGGATACAGCACATGTGGAAGATGGTTTGGCTCTTTCTTAAAGTCCTGACAAAAAACACTCATTTGAAGCTATTTTCACAGGGCTGAAACCCTCCATTGGTAGCACGGGAAGAAAGGGTTAAACTTCCCTTCCTCACCTGCTCTAACCCCCGCTAGTTATCAGCTCCCTCCAAAGAATGCTATTCAATATATATTTTTTAAGTACACTTTAACACCATGCCTAGCTTCACGCTCATTTCCACTGACCTGGGAAAATAACAGCTCGCACACAGTGATTTGTCATTTCGTAGAAGACGGGCCCGATCTAACAATGCCTATGTGAGTAAACTGCTCGTGTAAGTAGGGTTTTTGTGGAAATTGGCTGCTGGGCTCATTGTTAACCATGAACTATTGGGCAGACTGCAGTGCCATGGCATTAAATTCACAGGTTAAAGCTGTGTACAAATTGCTGCAGCGAACAGAGGCTTATTGTACATGGCAGATAGTCTGAGGTACCTGTGCGCTTTACTTTGACGGCTGTAAGATTAGTCCTCTATGAATAGTCATGTAGAGGAAATTTGCCTTCGCCTCCCGTCTTAATGCACTTATCAGTGTCGGTGTCAATTAGCGGGAAGCATTTTGAAGTCACCCCGCACAAAAGTGACAGGGACGTGTAACATCACAAGGCTTGAGAAACCCGTAATCCACGGATTATGCTGTTTTAGATATGGAATGGGAAGTTACCGATAGAGGACAAGCAGGACTTCTACACAGCTCTTGGTGACATTGTGCACTAGACACGTCTAAATCCCAGCACTCCTTTTTTAAAAAATAATAATAATAATAAAATCACCTGCCATCACTATGAAAGGCATTTAAAGTTTTCCTGTGTAATAAAAAAAAAAATACATCGGAAGATTAGAATTGCTATACAGATGTTTAGTGGGAAATGTGTCTGCGGACTGAATATGCACAAATCGAAGAGGAGCTTACGACAATGGCATTGCCAAGGGCTGTGGAATGAAATGTCAAGCGTGTTTCGGAGAGGAATGGCACAGGGTGGCGTTTGCTTTCAGAGGAATGCATTGCTGGGCACACTTTTTGGAGTTCTGGACCAGGCTAGGTGCAATAAGAGAGATCCCATGCATTTCTGTTCCCTGCCCAATGTTAATAACAGAGCGATACCCAATTCAGATTGGGAGCATGATCCTTTGGAAAAGAGGGATTAACTCCTGATCCTTGTGCCTTTCCCCTGATTAATGCCAGCTACTCCCCCAAGCTGAATTTCTCTGCTTTCCTTTGGACCACATCAGCGAGGCTGAGAGAGGGGTCTTGTTGTCTGGGCAGCCCAGGACCTGCTTACTCCCCAGGGAGGTCACTTTGGTGCTGCTAACACAGCAATTTGACTTCCCCCTGAAGGCACACTCCATTGTCTCTTGAGACCGATGGGTGCCAACAACAGCAACACAACAACAATTCCCACAAGTTGTTATTTGTTGTGCAAGCAGAATACACTGTGCAGGGCTTTGTTAGCCCTTTGTTAGTCCTGCCCTTTACTTCTATGCATACCTCCTGGAAGTTATGACCTGTTAAAACTCAACGAAACTTTGGAGCCAGACTAAGATGAACTTACACCACATTTAAATTAATGGGACATGTTAGTCATGACCCATGGATTTCAAGTCCCACGGATTTCAATGAGCACTAGGTGCAAATCCTTAACCACAAGCCAGGTCCTTTTGAGCTCTTGACTTTATACATCAGGGATGGGGAATCCATGCCCTTGCCCATATCTTTGGACTACAACTCCCATCACCTGTTGCCATTGGACATGTTGGCTGGCACTGATGGAAACAGGAGTCCAACATTGTCTGAAGGACCACAACTTTCCCATTCCTGCCGTGCATAATCCAAGACTCATATCTCAAGTTTATAAGCAAGATTAGTCTTTTCTTTCCAAAGCAAATGACTGCTCATTTAACAAATAAAGTGTACATATTCATGCATTGAAAGTAGACAGTAGAACAACCCACAGAAAGTTAAGACAGCTGAAACTGAAATGCAGCCCAGTCAACTACTGTTGTTGACACAGCAGTAGTTTGTAACAACTCAAACGGGACTTACTCCCAGGTAAAAATGCATAGTAGGATTGGGGCCTTAACAGTGCATGGGTGAAGGAATAGGGTTGGAAGGGAAGCTAAAGACATTTAGCTTTCAGTAGATTCAATTGGCAATAAAAATGTGGTTTCTATATATTTACTTCTCTGCCCGGCATTTTGCTTTTCCTACAGGAGTTCCCAAACTTCCAGCGGGGACTCCTGTCAAATGTATGCTACAAACCTGGAGAGGGGTTGGCTTCTTTTTTTCAAAGCTCAGCTTTCTCTCAATGAAATTTATGCTGTTGTTTTCTTTGACAAAATTCAGACTGTGTATGTCTTCGAGCACCTGGTGCTGAACTTCGCTGATGCTTGGAGACGACAGCTGTAAGTTCAAAAGAGGTTCAAGTTTACATGATTAGTCACAAGCTGTGATGGATCGGGGAGTATATCTACATAATGCTGGTTCTGATTTGTCAGGCTTAGAACAGCATCACTGCTTTTTCCTGTGGTGGGGCTTCTGGCAGAAGCTCATCAGGGAAAGCCTGATGTTGTACCCCTTGATTTTCTGCAGACACAATGCTGAATTTTTGATGTGAACAACACATAGAATCATAGAATTGCAGAGTTGGAAGGGACCAAGAAGACCCATCTAGTCCAACACCCTGCAATGAAGGATTTTTTTGCCCAACATGGGGCTTGAACCCATCACCCTGAAATTACCAGCTGAGCTATCTTCTCCCATGGGTAAAAAAAGACTACCCTAGTCTAGATGGTAACCTTTATTATATATCTAGCTATCCCTTGAACCATTGGCCTTCAATTACCATTGGCCTTGGCCCAGCATGGGAACGACAAGGAGTTGGATTCCAATTACATCTAGAGGGCCAGAGGTTCCCCATCCCTAGCCCAGCAAGATATGAATAAGCCCACCTCAAAAGCTTCCATGCTTCCCTCTCCCCTATGGCTAATTGGGGTTTGGCAGCTTTCGTTTCTGCTTTTAACCATAGCCTGATACATTACACAAACCCAGAACTGTGAAGCTGGCTTTTTGGAAACTTGTAGATGTTAAAATTAACCGGAGTTTCCCAAGACTGACTGACACAACAAACTGTGGTTAATCACAAGTGGAAGCATGTCATCCACTTGCCCTCATTATCTTGTATGCATGTGTTTGAGGAGTAGTAGTATACACTAGGACACTCTCTCTCACCCAAATAAATATTTCCTTTGATGTTTTCATTTTCTTTCCAACACGCCACTGCACATGAGAGCAGAACTACGCTTCCCACCGCTGCTCAGTTGCATATATTAAACTCATTTTAATACATACACATTGAAAAACACTTATTACCTAGCAACAATGCTGAGTCAATTAAAGGGAAACAACATCCAACCAGGTGGCACAAAACCTGGTTGAACCAAAGGACGCTAGAGGGCACCCTTCACACGCTGGCAGAATCACACTACAGAAAACCAAATAATATGCTAAGAAGCATGTCATTTTCTGGGACAGCGGGGAAGGCAAAACTGTCCAAGCACACAATCATTTAATAACCCAGGCAGCCCAGCCCCATATCTGTTTAATTGAGTTCAACAGGGCTTAATTCCAAATCAATGAGCATCGGACTGCAGCTGTACTATATCCAGGATTAATTCTGGATAGAGATACCCTAACCACGGTGATTTTTTGCTCTGGTATCATCCAGATCAGAGAACTTCAAATCCCGAGTGCCAAGTCATGGAAGAAACCAAGCTGGTTATTTATCTGGAGAAAGATAAACCACACGCCTGGGTTTGGGCATCGCACTAAACCAAACTGTCCCTTGGTTCGCAGCAGCAGCAGCAGGACCAGAGGAGCAAAGCAGTCACAATATTCTCTCCAGGAACCCACACATCTGCACGTTCACACTAAACCATGGCTTGGCTTAGTGTGACTGGCTCATAAAATAGGGCTGCCATACAGTATGTCCAGACATAGCTGAGATTCGTCCGTCAAAAATGTTCAAAAAGCAGCAAAAATGTCTGGGGAACCCAGGCGTATGACAGCCCATATCTGAAGCGTTGATTTTTTGATGCTTTTCCTTAAAAAAAAATAAAAATCAACAACTTTGGCCCCCCAAAAAGCTCAAAACTTTTGTGTCCAGATTTTCACTTTTGGAAATATGCCAACCCCATCTTAAAACCACAGAATTGGAGGTGGTCTTGCCCTAATTTCATGCAGCCTGTTAAGAGTGTTGGGAAATGTAGCTCTGTCAGGGATGAACTACAGTTTCCAGGATTCTTTGAGGGAAGCCAAGTGCTTTAAATGTGCATTAAGTGTATGGTGTATGGGGTGTGTGTGTGTGTGTGTGTGTGTGTGTGTGTGTGTGACCCAAGTTCATATTACAGTGGCACCTCGGGTTAAGAACTTAATTTGTTCTGGAGGTCCATACTTAACCTAAAACTGTTCTTAACCTGAGGTACCACATTAGCTAATGGGGCCTCCCGCTGCTGCCCTGCCACTGCCATGCAATTTCTGTTCTCATCCTGAGGTAAAGTTCTTAACCTGAGGTACTATTTCTGGGTTAGCGGAGTCTATAACCTGAAGCCTGTAACCCGAGGTGTCTGTAACCCGAAGGACCACTGTATTTGTCAAATATAATTCTCCTAGGCTTTTGGTTTTTAAATAAGATTTCAAAGGTGCATAGCAGACAGGCAACCTTAATTGTAATCATCTCAATATGAGTATATCTACAGCCGACTTACTGATGTGAGGGATTCCCCCGTGGAATAGGACTGCAGTGCTGATGACATCATCCCTCGCAGGAGAGTGACGAGGCAACACAGGCAGTTGGTCACGATTTGCTTTGCTGCCCGGTTGAACGTCTGGAGTTCCTCCACCAGCTGGGCATTGAGAGCCTTGTATTCTTTCCTGGCCAAATCCATCTCCTCTCCCGCCGCCTTTTGGTGGTAGCTATTATAATCCAGCAGTTTGTCATAGCGCTTCTGGATGAGCTTCTGAGGGCCTGGGAAGAGGGCCTGCAACGCTGACAGGGGGGCCAAAACCATCTTCTCTACTTGCTCTGCCTAGATGTGCACAGGTAGGGAAAGAGAGACAACAAATAAATCTTCACCACCCACCTCTCCTCCTTTAAAGCTAACATTTCTCCTTCTCTACCAGTTACATATCCACAGAATGGTCTTCCCTCTGAAGTACGTCTCACCTCAACCTGGTAACATTCCTTTGGTTTGATTAGAGGGTCAGACTTGTACCTGGGAGGGCAGGGTTCAAATCCCCACTCGGCCATGAAGCTCGCTGGGCAACCTTGGGCTTCTCAGGCTAACCTACCTCAGAGTTTTCATTGTGGGGATTAAATGAGGATGAGGAGAACCATGTACAGTGGTACCTCGGGTTAAGTACTTAATTTGTTCCGGAGGTCCATACTTAACCTGAAACTGTTCTTAACCTGAAGCACCACTTTAGCTAATGGGGCCTCCTGCTGCTGCCGCGCCACCGGAGCACGATTTCTGTTCTCATCCTGAAGCAAAGTTCTTAACCTGAAGCACTATTTCTGGGTTAGCGGAGCCTGTAACCTGAAGCGTATGTAACCTGAAGCGTATGTAACCTGAGGTACCACTGTACCTGGAGCTCCTCGCAGGAAAAGGTGGGATATAAGGGCAATAAGACAAATAAATGCATTTTAGGAACTGATGGGTTAAGTCGCTTTTTAATGATGATGCTAATTATGTAACGTGCAATAATGATTTTAATGTTTCCGTTGGCTATGTATTATGTTTTCAAATTGCCGTATTTTTGTAAACCTCCCAATTTTGGAGTTAAAGGTGGGGCAGAGAAATCTATAAATAAATATGTGTCTGGGGATTAAGGACGGAATTAATCACAGGGTATAGCCCTGATCCAGCACAAGAACTACTCACGCCACATCTGTTTGTGAGGCAACGTGATTCCAGAAAAACTGTTGTAAGGCTATCAACACATTTACCCTGAATTTAGAACCCTTGGCCCAGGATTTGTGTTGCTTGCCTACACAAGTACAGAGGCCTTTCTGCTGCAGACATTTCCCCTGAATATGTGGAAAGCTGGAAGGAACCATGTGGCAGCACTTTTTTACTCATTTTGCCCCTTCATACCAGTAATGACTGACAAGGGCTGAAATCTTCCTTCCTCCTCATTGTGGAAGGCTAGAATTTTTATTTGCAAGAAATCAGGGCTTCAGGAAGCTGGGTAAAAAAACCACACCTTCTGCTGGCTTTGTTGCAGAAGCAACAAACTTCCTTAAACTCCCTATCCCTTATCTTTTGTTTGAAACCAATATCTTTCAAGAACATACATATCGTTCGCTGGGCTTTTCAGCATTAATCAAGGTGTTTGAAGAGCCACTTTCCTCATCTTCTTTCTCTTGCAGAAAATCTTGAAGTTCGGTTACATTCTGTGCAGCTAGAAGCGTAGACTCCTGGAAATGATGGAAACGATGAAATGGGCAAAAGATGCGCATGCTCAGGTGTACACGCAAATGGAAGAGGATGCACATGAAGGAAATGAAACGGCTAGGTCAAGGTTGGGCCATTTGTGGCCCATCCAGATGTTAATGGACTGCAACTCCCATCTGACCAGTGTGGCCAATGGTCAAAGATGATGGGAATTGTAGTCCAGCAAGATCTGGAGGTTCCCCACCCATGTGCAAAGCAGTCTGCATTCCCCTCCAATCCTAGCATGTGTTTCAGTGGATGACACCCCCACTAAGGAAGCTAGAAGTCTGCTTGACTTGATATTAACTTAAAACAGAATGAGGTGCACCAATGGATAGTTCGTTTCAGAGGATCTTGTGTGAAAAGTTCTACCCAAGCAGGAAATTATCTCTGCAAAGACCGGACTCGGCTACAATCTCTCTCGTTTAGATTTGTCATATTTCCTACTTGATCCAGGAAGTGTTTTAGTTTTTTCTCATGCTTACACCAGCCTGCAAACCACCATCTTCTTCTGCACCAGGCCTTTGACCAAGGATGAGGAACCTGTAGCCCCCGCAGATGTCCACTTCTCATCCTCCCCAAACAGCATGACCAACAGTCAGTGATAATGGGAGCTGTTGTCAAGCAGCATACAGAGTGACATGGAGCCACCCATGCCTTGGACTAATATAGCCCTAAAAGCTTTTGCCAGGAGCCACACTAATTGAGGTCTAACCTTCATATCATTATGCAACTTGAGAATTCATCCTGGTCTTTTGATTTAAAACGTCTCATCCAGTGGATTCAAGTTTCACACTCATTCAGAAGCAGCTAATATTCGCTTGCAACATGCAAGTAGCAAATGGATTCTTTTTTTAGTTGTGCTGCTTTAACACTCACCTTCAGATGCTGTAGAGACACTGAAATATTCTTCACGCAGAGTTTGACTGTCTTTTCCAAACTTCTAAATAACTTCTCCTCTTTATTAAAAGTTTCATCTTTCACCTAAAACACAGGGCAACACCGAGATCAGGAGCAGAGGCCACTCATTAGTAACTGGTGGAGTAGCCCTAACACTAGCAGAGATATTGCATAAAGTATTTCTGCATTCCTTCCACTGAAGCTACAAGAATAGCTTTAAGTGCTCTTAGACTGTGGTCTCATTAAGACATAGTGATAAATTATGGCTTATCATTATTGGAATGAATGAGCTGAGCCAACCTCAAGCCAAGAGGAGGAGAGGAGGTTGGAAGATTCTGTTGTCATTTTTATCTACGGTTTGTTGTTTCTTCTGGAGGCAGACAAACCATGGTTAGTCTTAGCTAGAAAGACACCTTCAGGCTTTGGTTTATGTAACTGACTTGTTTCAGTTCAAATGAAATGCTAAAACATGGCTAACTGGAAGCTTTTGTGTCAATTTTCAATCTCCTCCTCACAGCTGCATCAGAGAGGGGAGGAATGCATAAGTCCAAGGCTCACACAAGCTCATTCACAGAACGCTAAACCATAGTTTAGAATTGTGCCCAAACCAGGGCTATATCTTGTCACATTTCATTTCAGTCCCTTTGCCCGTGTTCCCAGATATACCCTTCATCCTCTCAGAATTACAAGTTCCATTTCATTCTTTTAAAAGTAATGCTGAATTTATGCAATTGTTATCATAAGGCAAGAGTGACACAAATTTGATCAAATTTGATGGCAGTGGGGGAGAGATGTAGTGTGGGAACCTGAGAAGGGAACAGTAAGCAACCAGTAAGTTGTATCGTCTGCAGAAAGTGGAGAATTGAAGAAGTACTGTGTGTTTTTATGAATGGATAGATACCCAAAGAGACATCCTCCACATTGATGAGTCTGCCTTCTGTATAATCAATAAACGTCCACAAAAAATGCACATGAATTAAGGGAGTGTGTGTTTGTGTGGATAGATGGATAGATAGATGTTCTCCACCCTTATGAGTCTGCCTGCTGCCTGGGGTCATGCTCCATATCCCCCCCACCATTTGAAGCACAAAGAGTGAATATGAGGGACAGGGACTTTTCTGTGTGGGACCTTTTGATGAACAGCTCAGCCATGACGTTTTCATTGGAGTTTTTCTGGTGTTGCTTTTTAAACTGTTCCATTGATGCTATTGCTTTAATTCTGTTTGATTGCTATTCCCGTGTCCGCTTTAAATTTTTGAATTTTTATGATTTTGCTCTATTCCATTAATTTTATTGCTAGTGAGTTCCACCTTTTCTAGCTAGCAATTTCTAATTTTCATTGCTAGTGATTCTACCTTTACAGAAAGGTATATATATATATGTAACAATTGCTGAGATGGCTAGAGTGCCGGTGGCGGATAACTCATTCTGAAGCTGACCAGACACGGGTTAGAGCTCAATGTCAAACCTACTAAGTGGTGGCCTTGACAGTGAGGAAGACTTTCTTCACCACCTCTATTGCATCTGCAGAAAACAGCAGCAGGAGACTCTTTCAGGTGGTTCGCAATTTAGTGGAACCACCTGTTCCATCGGGGCCCAGTACGGGCCACATGATCTCCTGAGTCATTTTGGACTCAGCTGTCCATGGAGGCACAGGTCAATTCTGTGTCCAGGGCAGCTGTTTATCAGCTCCATCTGGTACACAGGCTGAGGCCCTACCTACCCACAGACTGTCTCGCCAGAGTGGTGCATGCTCTGTTATCTCTCGCTTGGACTACTGCAATGCACTCAACGTGGGGCTACCTTTGAAGGTGACCTGGAAGCTACAACTAATCCAGAATGCGGCAGCTAGACTGGTAACTGGAAGTGGCCGCCAAGACCACATAACACCGGTCTTGAAAAACCTACATTGGCTCCCAGTACGTTTCTGAGCACAATTCAAAGTGTTGGTGCTGACCTTTAAAGCGCTAAACGGCCTCGGTCCAGTATATCTGAAGGAGCATCTCCACCCCCATCTTTCTGCCCGGACACTGAGGTCCAGTGCCGAGGGCCTTTTGGCGGTTCCCTTGCTGTGAGAAGCCAAGTTACAGGGAACCAGGCAGAGGGCCTTCTCAGTGGTGGCACCCACCCTGTGGAACACCCTCCCACCAGATGTCAAAGAGAAAAACCACTGCCAGACTTTTAGAAGACATCTGAAGGCAGCCCTGTTTAGGGAAGCTTTTAATGTTTAATAGACTATTGTATTTTAATATTCTGTTGGAAGCCGCCCAGATTATTAAATAATACAAATTCTCATGCATGCATACATACATATGCAAATATCTACGACTGTGACAATGAAGCAGATATGAAGTAGGGGAACAGCATTGCCCTAGAATGAGGGCAGTGCAAAACATCTGTCTGGACCACTCATGCAGAAATGTGAACCTCATGAGATAGAAGTTGTCACACCTGACCTCCTGATAGCTGTGTTTCTGCTACTTATTTAGGAGGTACAGGGAGAGGGATTGAGGCAGCAGGGAGGTTGACACAGTGCAAATGTATCAGCAGCAGCATTGGATTGGCTCTGCCAGTACATTTGCACCGCGCCAACCTACCTACCCTCTCTCTCTCCTGGTATGCAGCAGTGACTCGGCTTTCAGGAGATCGGGTAAGCACGACAACCCCAACAGGATAAAAGATTTTGAACATAGTGTGTATTGCAAAGCCATCCCACTGCAGTTCATAAACACCTGCTAACCTCCTGCGTGCTTGGAACACACATGCAACTGTTAAAAGTTTTAACAGCAAAAAGAAAAGGAGGAGTGGTAAGCTTAAGAGAAGTGACAGAAATTTCCCTTTGCTTGTTAAGTAGGGTCAGCAAGATATCAGAGAAGCACGGGGTTGATTTTATGACACTTGCCTAGACTTTCATCTTTATGATGCTCTCTTAGCTTGCATAAAAATGTATACGAGCAATGCATCATTTTATATCATGCATTTGTCTGTCCCTCTGCTCATTACTGTACTTCTGCAGAATTAATACTTGCGCAAAGTTTGAGAGAGACTCTATTATTTCAGAGGCTGACCAATACTTGCCCCGATTTGTAAAAGAGGGTTGGCGTTTTTATTTGCTTCAGTTTTCTTTCTTTGTATAGAAGAGAGAGAGAGAGAAGATGACGGCAACAACCTTGGAAGTGTCAAATCTGGTCTTCTCTTCTAATGCAGTAGGAGTTGCTGCAGATGTCAGAGATGTGAAATGTGAGTGCTCTGAACCTCTAATTAAAGGGGGGGAAGGATGCTCAGTCATTCATAAAAGCATCATCTCATCCCCCCACTCAAAGTGTTTCTCCAGTATTTGAGTTTGAAAAGTGTTTGCAAAAAGAACACCAAACCAGAGAGAATTTACTGTCTGAATAAAAATAGCTTCTCTTCGCAATTAAGGATATTTCACGGTGGCTGGCATTGGAAGGCTGCGAGTGCTGCTAGCAGATAGTTATAACTTGTGTGTATGTGTGTGTGTGTTGTGTAGTTTGGAAGATGTGGGAGAGTCACATGGCTCATCTAAACAGGCCTCACTCTGGGGACTGGGAGAACTACATTAGCAGTCTTAGTCAGTGCTATTTTTCTAGAAAAAGAGGTGCCGGAATTCACATGAACGTCTCCCCTGTTCTCTTATAATGCAACGGTGGCCACCTGAGAGATGCTGGAAGAGAGTTCTGCTGAGTTCTGGCTGAAAAAAAACCCTGGTCCTAGTCTCCATAGTCCAGATGTAACATAGGATATACCGTATTTTTCGCTCTATAAGACGCACCTAGTTTTTGGAGGAGGAAAACAAGAAAAAAAATATTCTGAATCCCAGAAGCCAGAACAGCAAGAGGGATTGCTGCTTTCATTGCGCAGCGATCCCTCTTGCTATTTTGGCTTCTGGGATAGCTGCGTAGCGTGCATTCGCTCCATAAGACGCACACAAATTTCCCCTTACTTTTTAGGAGGGGAAAAGTGAGTCTTATAGAGCAAAAAATACGGTAATTCACAATGGCCACCATCAGTTTTCACAGCTGATAAGGCCACATTCATTGCCCACACTCTTCGCAAGAGCTATCATAATGCCTTTTACTTGCCAGGATGGAGAGATTTTTGTCCAAACCTTTGGCCTTTGTGTGGCTTAGCATATCAATGTAATCATTCCATCCATTGCCCATTTTTTACTCATTTTTTACTCTAGCATCACATACTATGACTTCCAGCCCTGCCCACTCCTGACACGTGGCCCCACAGAAGGTTGCCAGTGGGGGAATGCACCCTCGTTTGGGAAACATGAATACAATATCCATTTAGATTCCTGAATTCCTTTGCAAAACAGGGAGCCATGCTGCGCTGCAGAGCCAGAATGAATGTTGCCTGCTGTGCTCTCCAGTCCTCTTCCTGCCACAATAAATCTATTAATGATGGACAGTCCCATCATATGAGCAGCTGCAGAGACTGTGTGATTGCAGCTCCCTGGCTCCAAGGGGGTGACAGTGATGGTTGGACACTCCTGAACCTCTGTGCTGCATCAACAAGCCCATTCCAGAGCAGAAGATGCAATATAAGCATTGCCCCTTCTTATCCCACTGGAAAAGCAGCCCCATCAGAAACACAGGACTTCTTATGAAAATGCCAAGCACAGAGCCTTGTGCTGCAGTGCCCAGTGGGCAGTCCTGTCTGCCTGTCGAATTTGATCTGCAAGACCGACCCTGATTAGGGGTCTGGCCAATGGAGCAAAAAAGCTTCTCCACTCCTAGTTTATGCCCTTTAAAACACTCTGTAAAGAAAAATGCCAGACACCTAAATACCTGAGGTTCTCCTCCAGTCAGAATTTTCAGGTGGCCAGTTACTCTCTTCGATTTTTTACTAATCGAGTGAATGTTTAGTCTTGCAAATTTCTCTTTTAAAGATTCATCTTCGTCATTTTTCTTATACTTCAGCACTGCAATTAGAAAAAAACACATCAATACATCAAATCTGCATTTATATGGGGCTTATCCTACTGTCCTTCAAAGTCATGAAGAGACCAACAAAAGACAGAAAGAGATGAAGGTTACTACCTATGGAAATAACAAGGATAATGAAAATCATTGTGGCCATATAAGCTTTTAAAAATCCATCTCTCTAATTGTTCCTGTTGTTTGTAGTAGCTCCTTTGATGCTATTTACTGCAGAACATATAATTCCGTGTGCTATAATAATTTCCATGCCTTCACGATTTAAATCCCTAGTGAATTTGCTTGACAGAAGCTGAAACATAACAAGAAAAAAATGCCCCAACTTTCTTATACACCTTATGCAAATGCAAGAATCCAATGGTGGACCTGAAACAAATATAATATTTCATTTTCTCCCTCACTAGTTAAGACCAGTAGGCTGGAAGTCAAATACTGTATGCTGTTTTTCTCATAAACATCTGAGGTCACCTAGCTGGTAACTTGAAAAACAGAATGTTGAACAAGACGGACTTTGGTTTAATTCTGCAAGGCACACATTAACATTTTTAAAGGATGTTGTCAGTGGCTGTGTTCAGATAAATTATGGTTTATCACAACATGAATAAGACTTACATCCTGCCCCTCTCTTAGCTAATCCTGACCTTCTCCTCTGCCACCACGCAATGGAGTTCAGAGGCTTTCACGTTAGGAAGTTTCTTTTCATTAAATATAGCAGGCATAGCCAACAGGTAGATCACTGGACGTTTGTGGTAGATCACTGGCAGATCACTGGCTCCCCCCAAAGAAGAACAAGAACTTTGGCTCCCCTAAAAAAAGCTAAAAATTTTAGCCCTGCAGCCCATAAAAAGAAGCTCAACAACTTTGACCTGAACCCCAAAAAAGGGGGTAGAGCACTGCTAGTTTTTAACTCTGCGAGTAGATCGCAGTCTCTTGGGAGTTGGCCACCCCTGAAATATAGTTTGCACTGTTGTCCAAACCCAGAAAAACCAGACAACTTCAAACCATGGTTTATGAAGCTGCCTTGTTTCTACTAACCATAGTTGAGTTTAGCCAGTTTAGTGTTTAGACACACCCTAAACTGTGGCTAAACTAAAATGTAAGCTTCCAAACTCCTTCTCACAGAGCATGCACCCAAACTGACATGGGAACATAAACAATACTTGGAAAGGCAGTTGAAACATAGGTTGAAGCCAAGACTTATTGCATTTTTGAGAGCACAAGCCAAAAATTACAAGAACCCCACTGGATAAGGCCAAGGGTCCATGTGTCCAGCATCCTGTATTCTCCAGTAGCCAATGAGATGCTTCTGAAAAGCCCTCAAGCCGGGTTTGAAGGAAATAGCCTTTCCCTGCAATTACCCCACATTGTTGACACTGTCTTACCTAAATCCTTTCTTCTTTTAAGTTCATTTATATTTGTATTCATGCCTTTCACAGCAACCAAGGCATCCTGCAGTGCTGTGTGGTCCGGGTGGGACCTGGGAGTTGCATTCAAGAGCTCACATAGCAACAAGGGATACTTCATCACACGTTGGATGGGTTTGATCATCAGAGATCCCATGTCCAGCAAGTTTGGTTTCCCCCTGAAATTTAAACAAAGCCCTGTTAAGTCAACAAATGAGTTCCTGAAGCTGGGGGAGAGGATGGTCTTAGTTCTTTGTAGTGGCTCCTTTCACAACAAATCCATAACTGGCGAAGCTATTCTCTTGACTGTAAAATATCTAGTGGATGAAAGAATATATGAACTTTGGAAAAACAAACAACTGTTATCATGAGTCATTCTAATTGCAGGTATACCTGCTGCTAGCTAATGCTAATATTCTTTATTGATGTGGCTAATGCTTCCAGCTGTTTGATGCTAGGAACATTTTCACCCCTGTAAAAATTACGATTAGTTGTCACAATCAACCATTTAGCTTTGTTCCACTTGCCATTTAAGCTTTCTTGCTATCTTAAAAAAAGGTATACACAGATGTTTCAAGAAACAGGAGCCTAGGGTGCTGAAACAGTGTTTAGGGTGCTGCATGTGAGATCATATGATTGCTTCCCCCTAAAGCGAACAGCAAGCAATGGCGGCTATCGTCTGTCACCACTACATAGGTACCATATTTTTTGCCCTATAGGACGCACCAGCCCATAGGACGCACTTATTTTTTGGGGGGGGGAATAAAGAAAAAAAAATTATTTCCCCCCCGAGCCCCAAAGAGCAAAGAAGCCATAACAGCGAGCGGGATGGATCCCGCTCGCTGTCCTGGCTTCGTTTTTAGCCTCGGGGCTGCGGGTCCAGGAGCGAAGGCGAGGTTGCGCAACCTCACCATCGCTCCCAGAGCTTGCGGGGCTGGGGGCGGGGGAAGCCCGAGCTTCCCCAATCCCCAGCCCCCAGAATGGGTCCGGGAGTGATGGCGAGGTTTTGCAACCTCGCCATCGCTCCCGGAGCTTGCTTGCGGGGCTGGGGAAGCCGGAGCTTCCCCTGTCCCCAGCCCCCAGAACGGGTCCGGGAGCAATGGCGAGATTGTGCAACCTCGCCATCGCTCCCGGAGCTTGCTTGCGGGGCTGGGGGCGGGGGAAGCCGGAGCTGCCCCCGTCCCCAGCCCCCAGAAGGGGTCCGGGAGCGATGGCGAGGTTTTGCAACCTCGCCATCGCTCCCGGAGCTTGCTTGCGTTGCTGGGAGCTGGGGGCCCGAGCTTCCCCCGACCCCAGCCCCCAGAACAGGCTGTTGCCCCCCGAGCGCGCCGTGCTTTGAGCTGCAGGCTGCCGCCCGCAAGCCTTGCGAGCCCGTGGGAACTCCCCCCGGGCGCACAAGGCTTGCGGACACCTGCGCGAAGCACGGGGCGTCCTCCGGAGGGCGCCCCGTGCTTTGAGCTGCAGGCTGCCACCCGCAAGCCTGCATTTGCCCCATAGGACGCACACACATTTTCCCTTCATTTTTGAAGGGGAAAAAGTGCGTCCTATAGGGTGAAAAATACGGTGCTCAGTATGACTTTCCCAAACAGACAACATCTTTAAGCGTACCTCTTTATTACATTTTCGCATCAAAGCCAGTAGCAGACAGGGGACAGAGGGCAAGGAGGGAGGCAATAGTGTCAAGATTAAATGCACCTTGTGTTATTAGAAAGTTGGCAACCTTAATATAGAAGCATCATCATGGTCAGCTTGTGTATTTGGCAACCCAGTAAGTCAATGCTTGCTTGCAGCATATATGCTTCTGATATATTCATTCTTTATTAGTACACAGTTGTACCTTGGAAGTCAAACAGAATCCGTTCCGGAAGTCCATTCAACTTCCAAAACGTTTGGAAACCAAAACGCACCTTCTGATTGGCTTAAGGAAGCTCTTGCAGCCAATCAGAAGCCCCGCTAGATGTTCGGCTTCCCAAAATAGTTCGCCAACTGGAACAGTCACTTCCAGGTTTGCAGCGTTCGGGAGCCAAAACATTTGGGAACTAGGCTGTTCCAAAACCAAGGTATGACTGTATAATATTTTTGAGGCATACATCAAAGCCTTTCATTCTGTCCTATCTTTTCATTTTAAACAGTTTCATTCTTTCCTTTCCTTCATCTAAAACATCTTAAAAGCAATTCCAGCAAAGATGCAAGCTGGGGAAGATTTAGGCTTGTTGGGAAAAGGTCTTCAGAAGGTGCTGGAAAAACAGCAGAGACAGCACATGTCTAATATTGAACAGGAGTGAATTCCAAAGGGCTGATGTCACAACACCAATGGCATGATTCCTACATTGTTTGGAATGGACCTCTTGATAAGATGGCATAGGGTGAGATGATCTTCAAAAAATAAAAATAAAATCCAGCATTAGCAACCTTACTCTTCCTTGCTTGATGCTGCACCAAATATAGAGTTCTGCTTCTGCAGCACAATTGATTTTAAAACAGCAGCAGCAGCAACTTGAAATTACTGTTGTTTTCCTCAGAAAACCCATACGAATGCAAATATTTAAAAGCAGCTTCAGGAATGGCGTGAGATAGATTTCAAGTGTGCCTTTGCTTCCACAGTTAGTCTTTGGATGGCTTCCCGAGTGATAAACAGCTCTCTGCTTGCATTTGTGCATGCCAAAATCTAGCAATATGTGTTGGAAAGATAGGAAGTTTGCGAAAAGATGTTTCCCTGGGGCATGAATTGCTACCCAGTCCAGCCCATCTAATTTGACTGAGTCAGATTACCCAGCGATAACTCTCCTTAGATTAGTTGTGTTTTTAACATGCATGTTTTCGCATTACACCGCAACCCTGGAGAGGGAAGGAAGGAGAGATAGAGAGGGAACACAGTCTCCCTGCATAAGTTAAAACAGACCTGTAGCATCTTGTGACATACATTGTGCAGAAAATTAAGCCAATAATTCATTTGTGATGCTTCTTCAGCCATACACCGTCTTCGTGCGGATTTAGTAAAAAAATTCTAGCACCATAGGTAGCTACACTGATCTCATCGCAAATCGCTGCTACTCCTTTACACTCATATTAACGCAGCTGGCTTAATTCTGACAGAATCCACTTCCTCTGCAGATGGCAAGCAATGAAATGAAGTCATATGCTGAATAATAACATGTAGCTTCTCCCCTCCCCCCTTCAAAAAACCCTTGAAGTTGATGCAATTGTAAAATGGAATAACCTCATGTTCTGTCGCCCTGAGCAACTTGGAAGGAGGACAGGGGGCGCAAAATGGAATAATGATCACAGATATTCTTGATTCGTGAAAAACCCAGGTAATCAGGCCATCGTTTGAAATCCTCTTTTCCTAAAGCCCTATCTGCACCATACGCTGAAAGCACTTTTGTGCCACTTTAAACAGCGAAGCCTTCCTCCAAAAGAATCCTGTTTTAGAAACTGGTGAGCTCAAAGACAGTGACTGGAACTGATCTTGAGCATTGACTTGGGGCAGGGAAGCAACAACGTTATGAATTTGGTAGACTAAGCCTCTTTAGCTCTCCAATGCTAGAATGGGGATTCTTAGCAGAAGTCGGCAAACGATGGGTTAAACTCAACAGGATGAATCGTTTTTTTCAGAGGCTCAAGCAGGAGGTTGGGGAGAGAGCTGCTTGAAAGCCATTTTCCAAGCAGCAAAAAGGCTTTCAAATAGTGCTGTGCTGTGCTTTGAAGTCTCAACAACTGGTCCTTCAAGGCACAGCATCATCTGGTATTGTAAGTGGGTGGCCTGCCTAATAAAATGCCATTTTACAGTTTAGTATTGTTTTTATCTTGAATTACATCTTGGAAGCGCACCATGATCATTTCCTTGCTTCGTCCCTCTAAATATGATCCGGCCCTGCTGTAAGTATTTTGCGGGAATGAGTCAAGCACATACTGAGAACTTTACATCTGTGCAATTAAAGTGGACTAAAGGACACGGGTGGCGCTGTGGGTTAAACCACAGAGCCTAGGAATTGCCGATCAGCAGGTCAGCGGTTCGAATCCCCACGACGGGGTGTGCTCGCGTTGCTCAGTCCCTGCTCCTGCCAACCTAGCAGCTCGAAAGCACGTCAAAGTGCAAGTAGATAAATAGGTACAGCTCCGGCGAGAAGGTAAACGGCGTTTTCGTGCTCTGTTCTGGTTTGCCAGAAATGGCTTAGTCATGCTGGCCACATGACCCGGAAGCTGTACACCGGCTCCCTCGGCCAATAAAGCGAGATGAGCGCCGCAACCCCAGAGTCGGTCACGACTCAACCTAATGGTCAGGGGTCCCTTTACCTTTACCTTAAAGGAGTCTTGTTGATGTAATGCAGAGTTTCCCAAACTTGGGTCTCCAGCTCTTTTTGGACTACAACTCGCATCATCCCTAGTTAGCAGGACTAGTGGTCAAAAATGATGGGAAACCCCTGTTCTAATGCAACAAATCTAGTTGTTGTTGTTGGTTTTAATTTTGACTTTCTGCAGTTTGGAAAGCAACTGAAATATGTGAGATAAACAAATCATTAATGGGAAAATGTATAAATACTCTGCAAGCAAATCAGGAGGAATTTAGGAGGAACGCTCATTGTCATACAATCACTCCATAAAAAATGTGAAATGAATGCTCAATAAAGACTGGGCATAATCTAACCACTACATAAGCTTTATACAAACAAATCATGATGAATGATGAATAATTGATTTATCTATACAGCAGTGTGCATTCTCAGATGTTGTTGGACTACAAATCCCATCATCCTCAGCCATGCTAGCCCTTGGTTTCGAATGATGGACGTTGTAGTCCAACAACACTGGGGACCTGATGTTGAAGAACACTAATCTAGAGGGACTCTTAGTCTCTGCTTGGGGATGTTTCCTCTATTCTATATATGAAGGGCATTTTGTAAATTAAAAAAAAAAACTAAGGCAGGAGCAACATTCAGTCGTGAATCTCCTTACCTATAGCGTCCTGCTTCTCATTCCAAATAGGCTACCAATATTTTAAACTTTTCACAACTGGGGAAGTTGCTCCCTTGTTAAGTGATAAGTGATGAACCAATATGTTCTAAGCTGCAAATAGTTTTAGAGGAGTCCAGCAAATGGGACAGCACAGTGACTTTCTCTTCATAGAGAAGTTATCTGGTATATTATCCCAGTTTAGGGAACAACACTAGCTGTGATCTCGCACTACAGCACACTTAGCCTAAAGGCTAATTCAGCTCTGCATTGAACTCAGCGACGGTTATATGGGCAGAGAAAGAACCAGGCAATTTAGCTTGACAGCTTGGGGGAGCTGCTACCACGCAAGAAAGTACAATATTTCTCCCTGCTTAAACTGAGCGGCAAACATCTATCCTCAGAAGAATTCTGATTTCATCGTGGCCGCATATTATTTCTGTGTGCGACTGTCAAAAAATTATTCACAGATCTCACAGAGGTATTTATTCTGCTATAATCGCCAATCTGCTGCCTTTGCTGTGAGTTATGGGGCTCGGCACAGAGGCAAGAGAAAGGGTTACTGTGAAGCTGAAATGTCTTGGAGGCAGGTGTTTCCAGGGCAGGAATCCACAAGCTAAAATGCTCATTAGGGTTTCCAAGAACAGGGACTGTTATTGTGCCTGGATTGTGAAAGCCAGAAGGTTTCATGGGTCCCCCTTATTCAGCCACCACAGGGTCATCCATAAACTGGCCTCTGAAAGGTAATTGCTGATGAATTATTGACCAATTTACATCCTATGTGCAACTCACAGTTTATGGCATCTGTTTTTGAAGGTGATAAGTGCACATTAATTTGTGGAAGTGCGGCACAAGCAATTTGTGGCAAGTCTGTGCTCTTCTTACACACACACACACACACACACACACACACAGGCTTTCCTCTTTCTTTTATATGGCTTGTCTTTTGTTAAAAGCTCCACAATCTTCACTCAGAATCTCTTGATCTTTATCTGGAGAGGAAACTTTAATTTCTGCCTCATCCCATCCAAGAGGAATCTATTGGATGGACCCATTCATGCAACACAGACATTTAGTTTCCTGTAGATCCCCAGAAAACTCATCCACTTGGTGCATGGGAAGGGATTATTTTCAGTCCGATGCAAAAAAAGTGGGCAGGACAACAGGTGTGACACATACCTCCATACAGTGGCCAATGAAAAGTAGCAAGAAAGAGGCATTATCACAGTTCAAGGCACTTGAGGTGTGCATGTGGATAGGACCAGAATACATCCATAAATAAAAAAAAATATTATTGCCTCTTAAGAAAAGGTTTTTAATAGAGGATGAATTGAATTGGGGGGCCGGGGGTTGGAGGAGAGGCGGAGAGAAGAGCTAATTTGTCAGTGGCTAGGGGGCGCAATCTGGACGGTTCTGCCAGGAGCACAATATCACCTCTGATTTTGGAACCCCTGGCCTCAAGTTCCCAACCTCTGGCCCAGTGTATTCTTTCCATGAATCAGTCAGATATTAATCTGGCACCATAACATATTTCCCCCCCTGAGATGACAGCCTGATGAAGACTGCACAAAAGCCATTTCCATTGCTTTAAATTCAGCTAAAAATAACCCCGTCAACTGCCCCCTTGCTCCTTTGCATCTTGCTCAATGGCTCAAATAGCAGAGCTAAGAGGAAGAGAACAGTAGTCTCTGCTTTCGTAGAATTCCAGCTGGAAAACTGGAATTTCAGGGGGAAATGACTGAGACACGTGAAGCAGCAAAGCCACAGCTCAAGTCCTCTTGTCCCAAGGCTCTTCAGCAGAAGAATATCGTGCCCCTCCCAACCAGTGGTTTGTGGAACTGCAGATTTATTTATGTATTTGAATTTTTATTCTCTGCAGTTTCATAAAATATATCAGAGTGGTTTACAGCATAAAATACAATAAAATCCACCTATAAATATCTCCTTTTTTAAAAAAACCAGTCAAATTATTTTGAAGGTAATTCTTGCTTTTATGCTTTGTTCTGATCACTACTTAGGCTCACCTTCATTTTGAAGGGGGAAAGTGGGATGTAATTTATGAATGAATGAATGAATCATACCAATTTCCCATACATGTTGCAAGTGCTGTTGGATTCCCACTCACATTAGCCCCAGTCGGCATCTCCAGATGTGTACCTCAACAAAATCTGAAGGGCCATAGGTTCCTCACCCCTGCTGTCCCTCACCCACCCCCCTTCAGATATTTTGAACTACAGCTCCCATCAGCCCTGGCTAGCAAGGTAAAAATGTAATAATAATAACAAAAAAGAAATATGGTACATACCCTTCTTCATATATCTTTCTGCCGAGAGAGAGAGAGAGAAACAGAGGGATCTGTTAACAGTCTGATCCTCATTATATTGAATTAAATGGCCAAGTCCACACGTAATGCTAAAACATTGTCTTTACAAGGATACAGTGCAGTAAGCCTTGATTCCTGAGCTCCCCCTTCCAGCTCAAAGAGGAGACTGAAAGCTTTCATTTCTTTTATAGATTAATCATAGTTTAGGGTAACATCCATACCCTAAACTGTGGTTAATGTTAACTATGGATTTTTTTTAACAAGCCAGATTCTTAAACCATACTTTAAAAAGCTAAACTGATTCAACCAATCATAGTTAACATTAAACACAGTTAGAGTTCAGGTGATATGGCGAACGGTATAAGCTAAAATTAAAAGCTTTCAAACTCTTCCTTGTAGCCATGCAGCAGGAGGAGGGAGACGCAAGCGAACCAGATGCTTGCCTAGGCCTATTTTTGCAACACTAAACTATGGCTAGCTGATATGTCCAAACCACACCAGTGGGAGTTACTGCTGAGTAGACAAGTTTAGGATTTGGGAGCAAACAGTATTAACTTCAAGGAATACTTAAATCAACTGCATTATTGGACTTCAATCACTACCAAAATAATAAGGCAACCTGCTAATAAGGCTTTTTTGTTTTTTTACATATGTCCTAAATTAATCTTAAAAAGCAGAGACATCACCTTGCCAACAAAGGTCTGTATAGTTAAAGCCATGGTTTTCCCAGTAGTGATGTATGGAAGTGAGAGCGGGACCATAAAGAAGGCTGATCACCGAAGAATTGATGCTTTTGAATTATGGTGCTGGAGGAGACTCTTGAGAGTCCCATGGACTGCAAGAAGATCAAACCTATCCATTCTTAAGGAAATCAGCCCTGAGTGCTCACTGGAAGGGCAGATCGTGAAGCTGAGGCTCCAATACTTTGGCCACCTCATGAGAAGAGAAGACTCCCTGGAAAAGACCCTGATATTGGGAAAGATGGAGGGCACAAGGAGAAGAGGACGACAGAGGATGAGATGGTTGGACAGTGTTCTCGAAGCTACCAGCATGAGTTTGACCAAACTGCGAGAGGCAATGGAAGACAGGAGTGCCTGGCGTGCTCTGGTCCATGGGGTCATGAAGAGTCAGACACGACTAAACGACTAAACAACAACAACAAATTAATCTTCCCCAATCTGGTGCAGCTCTGATGTTTTGGACTGCCTGGTCAGGTATTACGGGAGTTGTAGTCTAAAGCATCTGGGAAGGCTTTTCTAGATTCTCTGGGAAGAAACCAAAAAGTTCCAATAAATCTGATCCTACAGCTTCCTGAAAAAGCAGTTTGTAACGGGAAGGGCCATAATGAAAAGGCTTGCGGGGGGGGGGGGGCAGCAAAGACAAGCCCCAATATACTTATGCACAATTTTACAAAATGAGGGTTAAGGATTTTATTATGTTGATAATTTAATTTAGACACAGATGTGCTCAGTGCATTAAAAGGATGGAAGGCTTCAGTTTAAGATGGTGCTTCCCTGAAGCAACCTATTTTTTTAAAAAAAAGCCTGTTTTGGTGGCATCTTGGATATTCTTTCCATTTGGGATCCCTCTAATAACAGTGAAATATATTCATATTTCCAGGAAAGGAGCATAAGTGTATGTTCCTAGTAAATGCCATAAAACTCTGGATTTATAGGAGATATTTTGTTTTATATCCATTTAAGCTCTCCCATGACAAGCAGTGAGCAAGAGATGGAAGCAACCATTTGAAAAGTTCTTACTTTAAGGACAGTAGGCAGTCACGTATATGCTGCTTCAGTTCTTCGTCTTTTTCGTAGGATTCCAGCAGGACGTGTGCATCATCGTGCTGGTAACAGTAGATTTTATATGTGTCTTCTAGTAGGTCTTTCATCTGCAAAAACACTTGCCCTGTTAAAGTGCAAACAAAAAAGCCAAGAAGATGAAAAAAAGCACAACATCAGACAATTTAAGGTCTGCTTCAAATATGTGAACCTGCCATGCCTTGATGGAAGACTGCTCTCTGTCCCATATACTCACGAGATCTTATATTCCAGTACAAGAGACAGGGACTTCTTGGTGATGTCACCAAGAATGTTGCATATGAATACCTTCCTGGGTAAGTTCTGCTGGTTTTCTCTTTTTTGCTCTGTTATCTAAACATTTTAAAACCCAAAGCAGCTTCCGATGTGCATTTTAACTCTTCTAATGTTATCTGCTATATGCTGGGACCTGTAGGATGGACCAGTGGTCTGACCCAACATTCTTACGTTGCTAAGAATGGTGGAAGTTGTAGTCTCTCTCTCTCTCTCTCTCTCTCTCTCTCTCTCTCTCTCTCTGTGTGTGTGTGTATACATGCACTGATGATAGTCATTGTTTGGATGGGGGGCTTTTATCTACTTCTGCAGTCACACAATCAATCAATCAGTAGCTGAACTGAGTTCCGCAAAGTCACAAAAACAAGTCACGAAAACAAAGTCACAAGCCACGGTCACAAGTCAGTCCCATAAAATGAAGAACAAGTCACAGTCAAAAAAATGAAAAAGCCACACAAACAAAAACACAAAAAAATAGCAAAAACAAAAGCTCCTCTGTGTTGTGTGGATGCTCAGGACTCAATATCCAATAGACTCAACAGGAAGCCTGTGATTAGCAGAGGAGGACTCAATTTACAAATGGAACACACTCAACAGGAAGCGGAACATGTTCTGCATCCAAGGCAAAGTTCACAAACTGGAACACCTACTTCCGGGTTTGAAGCATTCCATTTCCAAGTTGTTCATAAACTAAGCTGTTCTAAAACCAAGGTACCACTGTATTTTGTTTCCCACAGTGGCCAATCAGTTGCCCACGGGAAGCCCAAAAGCAGGGCGTGAGGGCAATAGCCCCAAAATGGCATTCAGAGATATCCTGTCCCCCATTCTGGAGGTAGCAAATGCAGCCATCACGACTAGCAGCCCTTGGCTATATTTGCGCTCAAAAATATTTGTTTTATTTTTATTGTCTTTGTTTAAGACATTAATATCCTGCTTAATCATTATCAATTCTAAGCTCTAAAAGCAAAAACAAAAGGAAACCACACAGAAAATAAAGCAATAAAAACTCATCATAAAACTGAAGTCTACCTTAAAATGCCTGCTGGAACAAATGAAGTATTGGTCATGCATCTGAGGTTCAGCAAGTATGGCGCCTGTCAAATTTCAGCTGGCAGGGAGTTCCACAGGCTTGAGTCGGCCTGCGCCAAATGCACAGCTTCTAGTATTTATGAGCCATACAGCTCGGCCATTGGGGGAACCACCAACAGACTCTTAAAGATTTATATCTCTTCCCTTCCCCACAACAACCAAACATTTGGAAACTTTTCATACTGCATTTCCATCTTTTCGTATTACAGGGAAGTACAAAAGAGGAAGCGTAAGGGAATCGTGCTTCCTTTTTGCACTGCTGAGATAATGTGTGCTTTTTATCCTGCCCTTCAACACCTGACACGCAGAACACACCTGCTGAACTTCTGCAGGCAAGACTGCTCTTAAAGTCATAGAAGCAAGACGGAAGAAAGGAAGGAAAGAAGAAAGGGGGAGAACAAGGCAGCCCTGTTCTTCGGCTGTAAGAGAAAAGAGCAAACAGAATGAAACTATTTCCCATTTAAGTATATGACATAATTAAGAGTAAAAGTAAGGTGAGGTAAAGGTAAAGGACCCCTGGTTGGTTAAGCCCAGTAAAAGGTGACTATAGGGTGCGGCGCTCATCTCACTTTTCAGGCCGAGGGAGCCGACGTTTGTCCACAGACAGCTTTCCAGGTCACACGGCCAGCAGGACTAAACCGCTTCTGGCAGAACGGAACACCGTGACAGAAGCCAGAGCGCACGGAAATGAAGTTTACTCTCCCGCCGCAGCGGTACCTTCTTATCTACTTGCACTGGTGTGCTTTCAAACTGCTAGGTTGGCAGGAGCTGGGACAGAGCAAAGGGAGCTCACTCCGTCGTGGGGATTCGAACCACCAACCTTCTAATCAGCAAGCCCAAGAGGCTCAATGGCATGGACCACAGCCCCAACCTTATCCTATTAAGAGTAAGGCCCATTAGATATATAATGCAGATGCCAGCTGGTTTCTACAGTGGGTATGAAATTGTTATAACTGTTTTTTTTATATCCAAATGTTTATATCTTATTATGAATTAAATTGTTGCATGCATGTTTCATTGTGGACGTTCTTGTTGTCCTTATTCTTTATTGTGGAAACATCTCAAGATCTGTCATAGAAAGTGATTCATAAATGAGAGAGAGAGAGAGAGAGAGAGAGAGAGAGAGAGAGAGAGAGAGAGAGATGCTGAACTATAACAGAACAAAACACGGCCTCATCTGGTATGTCAGCTGCTTAAAGGCTTGCAAATAACATTACTTTCGTCTAAGAAGGAGTGCATCCCTATTGTACATTTCTTTAGGCTTCTGGCTAATTCCAGCCATCCTCTGACTTTCTTTTGTGCCTAATGACTGCGATGAATGGCAGATACCAGGGAGGGGGGGAGGGGGTGAATTCAACCGACAAGAGGTTAAATGTGCAGCTTTCATTAAAGACAGTGTGCGTCCACAATCTGGCTAAATGGGGCCATGTCCTTTATATTTCAGATATACAAAGAGAGAGCTCTCTACCACTCACATCATTTGCTTTCCTCTTTTAAGCAACAACAACATACCAGGCTCACCTAGTCAGATCACGCTTGGATGTTGCAGAAACCTGAAGGTTGCTTCAAACAGCAATTCTTTAAAGCGCCTCCAGACTGTATGTATTTTGGAGGAGGGATTCAAGAACGTTAGGTTTGTGCATTTATTTATTTTATTGACTGCCTTTGTGCCTCACCTTTCCAGCCTAGTCTACCTCACAGGGCTGTTGTGAGGATAAAATGAGGGAGGGGGAGCTCATTTGAAGTGGATTAAGGGGCTCTTTTGCTCTAGTGAAACAAATCTACTTAACAAAACACACAGAGAGAAAAACTTTTCATGGTTTGGAAAGTGATGGGGAAATAAACTGAAAAGTATGGGATGAAGATTCCTTCATGGGTTAATGGGAAAAGGTGTAAACACTCTGCAACAAATCAGGGTGACTGCAGGATGAGTGTTCATAAACAAACTAAACTGGACAGTTAGGTCCAGTCGAATTTGACAATGGGGTGCAGCTCTCATCTCCGCTCTCAGGCCAAGGGAGCCGGCGTTTGTCCACAGGCAGCTTTCCAGGTTATGTGGCCAGCATGACTAAACCACTTCTGGCGCAACAGGCCGCCGTGACAGAAACCAGAGCACACGAAAGCGCCGTTTACCTTCCCACCTCAGTGGTACCTATTTATCTACTTGCACTGGCGTGCTTTCAAACTGCTAGGTTGGCAGGAGCTGGGACACAGCAACGGGAGCTCACCCCATTCGAACCACCAACCTTACAATCGGCAAGCTCAAGAGGCTCAGTGGTTTAGACCACAGCGCCACCCACATCCCTAAACATACGGGAAGGAATGCTCAGTAAAGACTGGACATCATCTAATCACCATTTAAGCTTTGCGCAAGGAATATCAAAATGAATGTTCAATACACAGGTCATCTGTAGGAGCATTTACTGTCTAATGGCATATTGCTGGGCATGGATTTCCCCTCCATTGCTGTCCAAACTACAGTTAACCCCAGCCAGACTGATCAATGGTCTGGGATAATGGGAGTTGTAGTCCAGCAACATCTGGATGACCTCAAGGTTCCCCATTCCTGCAGCAGGGGAAAGAATGCAAGATTTAACAATCCTGCATTAAAAACAACAGCACCTCCTTGCCCTTGGAAAGTTAACCTGCTTCTAGCTAACTCACTGCCATGCTGGTTTCCTATGTACAAGAAACTTTTAAACATGGGGAATTCCCCACTTGCATTCTGGAGTTAAACCAGGATGGATGGCTGTAGCAATTGTGGGAGAGAAATGAGCACTCCTCCCTGCCCCCCAAATCTCCACTTAGCACAACCCACACTGGGAGGTGGAGGGGGGTGGACAGCTGGAAAGGGAAAGGCCCTCATTTCTCCCCTCTTCATAGCCACTTTCCCGGAAAAACTTCCAAGGTAGGGTATTCAACTTGATGAAACTACACAAATAAAAAAAGAAGGGTGTAGGAAGCATTTGAAAATAAGCAAAAAAAATAATAATTTAGGTAGCCAGCATGTTCTGTTAAAACAAAAACAATCTAAAAGTAATATCTTTCTTAGGAACCACTTCAAAGATCACTTCAAAGAAGTTAACAGACTTTCAAGTCCATCGAAACTCTGAATCAGGCTGGAGGTTAAGCTGAAAAAACAAAAGGGGGAGCAAGGAGGAGAGAAAGCAGTTGTTGGGCAAGGTGAAAATGGCCTGGTCTTTAAATAGAAGGCAGGTGGATGGCAGGGAGATGTTACTCATTAACCTTAGGGTGCCCTTGGTATAAATCAGGGGTGGAGGACCTTTCTCAGCCCAAGGGCTGCTTTCCCTTCTAGGGAATCTTGCACCAGTTGGAAGACTTGGCTGGAAGCAACTGGAATTTATTCACACATCCCCCTAACCTCCATCTCTAGGCAAGAAGCAAGCATGTCTGAGTTCAAAGACACAGTCAAGGCAAAAGCAGTCAAGGAGGGTGCAAAGTAGGGCAAGAGAGGGGTCTGGATGGGGAAGGGGAGCAGCCTAGGGTGAGGAAGGGAGGCCTGGAGGGAGGGATGCAGTCAGCGCCCAAGCAGAAGGTTCCCCATCCATGCTGAAAACAGAAGACTAAGTAAGGCACAGCTGCTTCGGATCCATTTGACTCTAGCACTATTTGGACACATGTGGGTTAAAAACTTGCATTATATCAGGTGGGGAGAACCTGTAGCCCTCCAAGTGTTGTTGGACCACAGGTCTCATCATCCCTGATCACTGGCTAAATGGCCTCGGTCCAGTATACCTGAAGGAGCATCTCCACCCCCATCATTTAGCCCGGAAACTGAGGTCCAGCGCCCAGGGCCTTCTGGCGGTTCCCTCACTGAGAGAAGTGAAGCTACAAGGAACCAAGCAGAGGACCTTCTTGGTAGTGGTGATCCCCCTGTGGAACATCCTGCCTTCAGATATCAAGGAGAGAAAAAACTGCACAACTTTTAGAAGACATCTGAAGGCAGCCCTGTTTGGGGAAGATTTTAATGTTTGATGTTTCATCGTGTTTATAATATTCTGTTGTGGTTTTCCCAGCCAGATGGGCGGAGTATACATTTAGTATTTCTTCTTCTTCATCATCATCATTATCATGAGAGATGGCACCTAACAACATCTAGAGCAAAGCTTTCCAAACCGTGTGTCACAACATGCAAACGTGTTACCTGCAGTGTGTACGTGTGTTGTGCGAACGCTTCCTGCTCTCCTCCCAGGGCTGGAAAGGGGTTAGTGTAACCTCTGGTTTGCTAGCAAAACCGAATTACTGAGTCACAAAATGATGCATGTCTAAAAAGCATGTCACCAACATGAAAAGTTTGGAAAGCTCTGACCTACAGACTTGCAGGTTCCCCATCTCTGCTTTATGTTTGTCAGTAAAGAGACATCCCAGTTAAGAGAGGACCAACAAACGTCGTCTTTTATTCCCCATGTCTTTAGCATGTAGGATCGTTACTTTCCACGCCGCATGAATCCACAGCTGGCCTCATGATTATGGGCCTGCTTTTGCTGAACGCTAATTGTTTCTTTTTTTATCCTCCAGTTATTTATTGAAAGAAATGGCAGCTTGGGAAAAAGCACGGGCTGGAGAAATGCGCGTTTTATTGCATTATCATTATTCTGTGCAGCTTCGAAGAGCTCACAGAAGACAGCAAACATACCGATTACTTGCTTGGCCGGCTCCACGTCCGCCGTTGCTTCTTCCAGTGATGACAGCAGCCTGGTTGAGATCTGATGGACGGATTCAATGTTGCTAAATAAGCCGTCCACATCGAGCCTAGCAATCTGGTGAAACACAAATGTTGGACAGAAACAGTCAGGGGGGGGGGAATAGTATGGGGATGCTGTTTATTGCCGACCCTCCCCTGCTATACCGTTTTTGCCATTAGATGCAGTTTCAGCAAAGCCTTCTTATGAAACCTCTCATGTGGAACAATGGCTTGCATGGGCAACATTGGTTGTTTTTCTTCAATTAATACATTTCGGGCTGACACAGTTCATTGATTAAATACACAGTTATTTGAGATATTCCTTTGGGGATGCCTTGCGAAAGGAAATATTGGAATATATGGTGGATCCAGAGCAGACCTACTGAAATCAATGATACTGAAGTCCATCATAGAATTGTAGAATTGGAAGGATCATCTAGTCCAACCCCCGGCAATACAGGAATCCTGCCCACAGCTGTTCCTGGGTTGGCTCGAACCACCAACCTTCTGGCTAATAGCCAGACATGTTCAGTGGCGTAGTGTGGGTTGTCAGCACCTGGGGCAAGGCAAGTAATTTGCGCCCCCTAACCCGTGGATTTGCGCCCCCTAACCCTAACCCCCAGATGTTGCGCCCGGTGCGGCCGGCCCCCCCTGCACCCCCCACGCTACGCCACTGGACATGTTAACCCATCACACCACAGGATATGGAATGATCATTGTTCAAATGTTTGCCAAAGACATAAAGATGGTAAAATCCAACTTGGTGACAACTGGGGAGGAGGAGGAGGAATTATACACTTGATTTATTCTATTGCTTAAAGGCAATCTCCCTTAAAAAGGTAAAGGTAAAGGACCCCTGAAAGTTAAGTCCAGTCGCGAACGACTCTGGGGTTGCGTCGCTCATCTCGCTTTACAGGCTGAGGGAGCTGGCATTTGTCTGCAGACAGTTTTTCCTGGTCATGTGGCCAGCATGACTAAGCCGCTTCTGGCGCAACGGAACACCAAAACCAGAGGAGCACACAGAAATGTCGTTTACCTTCCTGCCGGACCTGTACCTATTTATCTACTTGCACTTTTTGGCATGCTTTCGAACTGCTAGGTTGGCAGGAGCAGGGACCGAGCAACGGGAGCTCACCCCGTCACAGGGATTTGAACTGCCGACCTTCTGATCAGCAAGCCCAAGAGGCTCAGTGGTTTAGACCACAGTGCTACTCGCATCCCTAGAATCTCCCTTGGAAACACACAAAACAAAGCAATGGTGTAAGGGCAAAATTAAAGACATGTAATGAGAAAAATCACAAAAATCTATAAAGAGATTGCCAATGTGGTGCCCTCCAGCTGTTGTCGGACTCCAAGTCCTATCAGCCTCAGCAGCATGGTCAATGGTCAGGGATGACGGGAGCTGTAACATCTGGAGAGCATCCCACTTTGCTGGCCCTGCTGCAAGTTAAATCAGAAATCTAATGAAGCTAAACCTAAATAGGTACAAATTTGACAGGTGTTGGAATATTCAGGACAGAAAGCCCCTCTGCACACAGCACATGTTAAACTATGGAACTTGTTCCCACATGAGGCAGTGATGGCTGCCAACCTAGATGGCTTTAAAAGAGGACTGGACAACCAAAAATAATTATTATTATTGAGATTTCGAGGAATAAAAGAAAATCACGATGAGAGTATCAAAGAAGTAATAATAAAAGCCCTAGCATCCTGGTTGGAAATTCAGGAAGAGGACATCTCTGTCTTCATGGACAGAAATATCCAAATCCATATGGCAGTATAAAAAACCAAGAATTAAACACAAACTTCTAATAGATAAAAAAACATAGAGGTGGACTAGCGCTACCTGACCTAAATTTATATTACGACGCTGTCTGTCTAAATTGGCTAAAAGAGTGGATTGTATTAAAGATGGTGAATTGTTAGATCTAGAAGGATTTAGTAATCGTTATAGTTGGCATGCGTATTTAGCTTATGAAAAAGGGAAAGTACACAGGGGATTTATGAATCATGTCATAAGGAAATCATTATATAAAACATGGACAAAATATAAGGATCTCCTAGAACAGAAAACACCATGGTGGGCATCACCTCTAGAAGCAATTACAATAAAAAAAGAAAAATATGGAATTAGAATGGGCCACATATAACGATCTGATTAAGGAAAAAGACAATAAATTGGTAATTAAAGATTATGAGGAAATTAAACAACACCTTACGGGTTGGATCCAATACCATCAATTGCATGAAGTGTTCAGGACAGATAAGAAAAATGGTTTCTCAAACGAACCTTCATTATTAGAAAAAGCGTTATTACAAAACAAAACCAAGGTTATTACAAAACAAAGCCAACAAAACCAATATCAAAAATGTATGATACATTATTGGAGTGGGAGATCAAAGACGAACAGGTCAAGGAGGTAATGATCAAGTGGGCTTTAGATATTGGGAAAACCATTAACTTAACAGCATGGGAAGAACTATGGAGTAAGAACTAGCAATTTACAGCCTGTGAAGTATTGAGGGGAACCTAATCAAGATGTTTTATAGATGGTACTTAACACCTACCATAATAGCTAAAATGTTTAAGACAAAAACAAATCTGTGCTGGAGGTGTGGAAAAACAGAGGGGACACTTATACATGTTTGGTGGAGCTGTGAAAAAAATCAAAAGCTTCTGGAACACAGTATATGACGAGCTTAAAAAAATGTTTTAAGTATAACTTTATGAAAAATACAGAAGCTTTTCTACTAGGGATAACGGACACGGGTATAGCAAGAGAAGATCAGAAAATATTCCTCTATGCAACAGGAACAAAAAAGGAGAGAACTAGACTCCCTAGAAATTAACAAAACAATGATCAACATTCTATACTCTAAACAACGTTTCTACGAATATGGAGGGAAAAACTCCAGATTACTAGCAAATAGATGCAGTATAAAAGCACTCAAAACAAGAATACACTGCATCAACAAAAAGACGGCAACATAACATTCTCCCCGAAGAAATAAACTCAGAATTTGCAGAATTCTACTCCAACCTATACACCTCCCATAACCCACCAGAGAAGGAAATCAAAAATTTCTAGCAGGACTGTCCATGCCTACCCTAACTGATGAGGAACAGGAATTCATGGACAGCCCTATCACCCCAGAGGAAATAGATGCGGTCCTCAAAAACCTGAAACCACACAAAGCCCCAGGCCCAGACGGCTTCACAGCAGAATTCTATAGGAAATTCAAAGAACCCTTGATGCCCTACATGACCCGCCTATTCAACGACATCATAAAAGGGGGCCCCATCCCCAAAACCTGGACCCACTCCAAAATAGTCTCCATCCCAAAACCACTAAAAGACAGCCTCAAAGTAGAATCATACCGCCCAATCTCATTAATAAACCAAGACTACAAGATATTCACATCAATCTTGGCCAACCGCCTAAAAACCTTCCTACACAAGTTAGTAGCCCCAGACCAGACTGGCTTTGTCCCTGGCCGCAATATAACAGACCCCATCAGGAAACTACTGAACCTGATCGAACACAGCAAGGCAACCAAACTCCCATTGACAATTATGTCCCTAGACATCCTCAAAGCCTTTGATTGCTTAGAGTGGAAATACATATTAGCAGTACTAACTAACATGAAATTTGGCCCCAACTTCCTACAAATTCTCAAACAAATATACTCCCAAGCCTCAGCAAAATGCAGAACTAACAATATGGATTCTAATACTATAGCTATCCAAAGAGGCACGAAACAAGGATGCCCACTGTCTCCCTTCTTATTTATCCTGGCTCTGGAACCCTTAGCAATCAGCATCCGAGCAGCCACAGACATCAAGGGAGTGGAAATAAAAGGCAGAACCTATAAATTAGGGCTCTTTGCAGATGACCTAATGGTCACAACACCAGACCCCATAAGCACAGCAACCTCCCTAATCAGAGAACTCAACACATTTGCAATGGTGTCGGGCCTACAGGTAAATTTTACAAAGTCAGAAGCTATGTGCTTCAACACCCCTCCTCACACCCAAAAAGAACTCACGAAGGTCACCAAAATAAAACTTTGCCACACCAAGTTCAGATACCTAGGGGTACAAATAACCAGAAACCTCAATAAATTGTACCTCCACAACTACAAGCCCCTGTGGCGACAAATTAACAAAGACCTAAAGAGATGGAATAACATGAATTTCACTCTCTCAGACAAAATAGCCATGATCAAAATGATCACACTCCCAAAACTAACCTACCTATTCCAAACCCTCCCAATCTGGATCCCCTCAACCCAACTTCGCAGTTGGCAGAGAAAACTACACTCTTTCATCTTCTCACATAAAAACCAAGAATAAGCCTCAAATACCTGCACCTCCCCACCTCAGAAGGAGGATGGGGAATCCCCACATAGAAGCATATTACAATGCCAACCAAATACGCCATATAATCCCATATATACTAGAAGATGAGACAAAACAATGGGTACACCTAGAGAGGGACACAATTGAAAATACCTGCACCACAACATACCCATTCCTCCCAAACAAACTAAAGAAAATTCCCACAACACTTAACAGGTACACACAGACCATGCTCAAAGCATGGAAAACACAAATAGGCAAACTATCCCCAACCCCATCCCCACTAATCCCCCTGGCGTACCACCCATTATTCCACCATGCAGCACAAAACCTCCAGATAAAAACCTGGCAAACCAAAGGCTTATATCGCCTAATAGACTCTATGCAACAGGAGCGGCAAGGATCCTAATTGCTAAAAACTGGAAAAAAGAAACTGTGCCAACAAAAAAAGGAATGACAAGACAACTGTTAAGAGTATATTGAACTGGCTAGAGATTACACTAGACAAGAGTTTCAAAAAACATGGGGGAAATGCAGAGAACACTTCACAAAACAGTGCCCTAAAATACATACCTGGACTTGTTTCGATTAATGTCTGCAGGAGACTTTGTGGATATTTAACTTATAATTAGACTTCAAAATTATTCATGAAGGAAACAGTTTATAAGAAGTAAATAAGGAGGCCAGATACAGGATAAAGGAAGTCTTTTATTTGGTTGTTTGTATTGTTGTATGTTATGCTCACTGTACATCATGTTCACATTTAATGAGGGTGGATTTGTGTACTGGGGGGTGGGGGGTTGTGTTATGTTGTAAAAAAAATTCCAATAAAAATTAAAAATAAATAAAAGAGAACTGGACAAATTCATGGCAGAAGAGAGGAGCTATTGATGGCTGCCATCCATGATGGCCATTCTCTGCCTCTATGGCTAGAGGCATCAAAACTTCTGAATACCAGTTGCTAGAAACCACAGGAGCATGGAGTGTGCATTGTGCTGAAATCCTGCTTGTAGGTTTCTCACAGGCCTCTGGTGGGCCCCTGTAAGACCAGGCCTGATCCAGCATGCTTCTCTTACGCTCTCAGCTGCTGCCCATCAAAAACAGTTCCTTTGGAATCATTCAAAAACAAGAATCCAGCTCTCCTTTGCCCACATCTGTTTTTGCCTTTTAAGATGAAGGCAGAATGACTCAGCCTGCAAAAATCATGGAACATACAGCAAGGAGCAACGCATGACGTGAACAATAGTGTTGATTTTGGCAGATAGGTGAGCACCTTCAAACATGCGTGCCCATTAGTATTCATTAGTAACAGAACTGTGTATTTACCCAGCCGCTTTCAGAATACAGCCCTAAAGAATCAAATTGCACGTTGTAGTAATGGGAACAATCATACACCGCAGTAATTGCCAGTGGGAGTAATGTTTGATTACAGAGCCCAGTAACATTTTCAGTGCATAAGAAACTTCAAAGCAGTCTCAGCTAAATTCTGTTCTTCATTCAAGAATAGCAGATTTCCTGAGATTTGTCCTGAGAAGAATAAGTTGGTAGCCACTTTATTAAAAAGAAATGAACAGAGGGTACAGCTGTCAAATTGTAGGTTTGGCCGTAGTCCCTCTAACAGCACAATCCCATGCAGTGTGTAGGAAGTTAATTCAGAAATAAATACCACAGAATTCAATGGGTCTTACTCCCATTGGGATGTCAGTTCCAATGTTATGATTATTTTAAAGCCATCCACGGGAATTCCATAGTTTAACTAAGGGCTGGATGAAGAAGGACTTTCTTTTACGTGTTCTGTTGGGTGCACAAGATCTCTTAATTTCAGTTAAGGGCCAACATGTTACTTCTGCACTGACCCAGAGACAGAAAGAAAAGTCAGCATGTTGGGTGTCGGCGTTTTAAATAGAGCTTTCTCTGATCAGCAAAAATATGTTTCAAAGTTATACTGGACCGACACCCCCTCCCCAAAAAAGTTGTGTCAAGGAAGAGGTATTCTTGTAACGTGACACAGTTGTGGATACTCTGTGCCAAGGCTTCAAGGTGGGCTATGATATAAGAGTGAAATTGTGGTGCAGATCATTGACAAGTTGCAATTTGTCCATCTCTCCTGCTGTATTCCAGCAGGTGAAAACAGCTCCTGCCCGCAGAGCATGCTGGGATTCCCAACAGGGCTTTGCCTTGATAGCTCTGGGAAAACAACAGCATGTTGCTGTCTAAATGGTAGCTAGACAGCTTTGAAGCCCCTGCTGAACAACAGAACGGCGGAGTAAAATCTGCATGGAGAGATATAATTGTAGTAAGCACTTCCATTAGCTTCGCTGTCTAAACCACAGTCCCTCGGGACTTGTTCTGCTTCTCGGCAAAGTATTTTCCCACAGTTGCTGTCCACAGAGCCGTGGTGACTTTATCTGAACGGTGCAGTGCTTTAGAAAGAATGTTGCTGAAGGATCGCATTGTCCGCAAAACTGGTAGGACCAGCTAGGGCTTGAAGAAGGAACTTGATGGTTGGTGGGCTTTCAGGGATCTGCTCAAGACTGCAGAGACATGGGGAAAGCATAACAGTGATAGTCCATTGCCTCCCCTCGCCTCTGGCCTAGAAATGTTTGCAGGCTGGGCCTGGGATGGGGTCTGGGATAGAGCCAGTGTGGTGTAGTGGTTAAGAGCAGTAGTCCCCGCTCCTCCACCTGCAGCTGCTGGGTGACCTTGGGCTAGTCACACTTCTCTGAAGTCTCTCAGCCCCACTCACCTCACAGAGTGTTTGTTGTGGGGGAGGAAGGGAAAGGAGAATGTTAGCCCCTTTGAGACTCCTTCGCGTAGTGATAAAGTGGGGTATCAAATCCAAACTCCTCCTCCTCCTCCTCTTCTTCTTCTAGTTTAGGTCTTCCTTGGCCTTCCCTTCAAGTCCAGAGGTGGGAGATCAGGACTCTTTCCACATCACATCCTCTCCTCAGCCCTTCACGAGCCCTGCTTCTTACTCTCCTTGAGTGCTCTTGCCTGGCAATGACGTGTCCTTGGACTCTGGGTCATGCCCCTTGCTTGCTTGGATTGATGGCAGAAAGGGGTCTGTCTGTGTGTATGTAGAAACTAACTAGCCTACTGTACAACCATATAATGTACATGTTCTTCTCCTTCTCCTTTTGCTTCTGGCCCATGGGGGCCTGGAAGGGAATGCTTTCCTTTGGCTGAAAATGGCCTCCCACTTCTGCTTTCCTACCTGTCTGTCATGACACTATCCGTCATGAGCCAGAAGTAAGCTTCGCCTACTGAACAGCAGCCTGAAGGGGATGAAGTCGGAGCGACTCCACCTGCAGCTGATGAGCCTTCACAGAAGAAGAGGCACTGATGAGAACCGCTGGTCCTGGGCTTCTTAAACTGAACTCTCAGCAGTAGTCAGATGCCGGAAACAACGCCTTTGGTTCCCAGCTCTACCTTGGTCTCCATCTCGACCCTTGGCTCTGTGATCATCTGGACGCCTGACCTCTGGGCTGTCAGGCTTTGTATGTGGATTCTGCTCTCAGGCAAGTGTTCCTCAGAGGCTCCTAACCCGTGCTTGCTCAGCAATGGAACTCAGTCAAGGCTGCGGCACTACCTTTGAGGACATACAGTGGTTTTCACTCCAGACAGTGAATGACTACCCCTTTCTAGATACCACCACCCCTAACTCACCTGTCCACCACCCATTCAAACTCGACTCTGCCTTGGCTGCTCATAGCCAAGAGAAGGAAGTATCCTAACCCTCAGAAGGTGTCGAATCCAGAAAAAGCTAGAGCAATCCTAAGGTAGGATGTTCAGGTAGGATGCGTCTATGATATGGCAGATCTGCCAACACATCTGAAGCTTGGCAGATCAGAAGACAGCAGATTCACCAAACATTACAGCCCAGCAGATCTTTTACAAATGTCCCCCTTTGAAAGAAAAGTGATGGGAAGATTAGCTACAGCAACTCTGATTCTGGTCCCTCTCAGGGGAATGCATTTAGGAGGTCCACAGCTGACATCAGAGCCCAGCAATGGCTAGAGCCAACAGAAGCATCACTGGCAAGAGCTTTCTACCCATCAAGGTATCCACAATGGTGGAGCGTCCCCCCCCCCATAGCAAAAACAAAAAACAAAACAATGGGGAACAGGTCCACCATATCCTGACTCAGAGGTGGAGAACCTGTGGTCCCCCAGATGTTGCTGGACTACAACTCCCATCATCGCTGATGGGATGCTGGCTGGGGCTGATGGGAGCTGGAGTCCCACACCATCTGGAGGGCCAAGCATCTTATGACAGTAGGGTGAGATTTCTCTCTTGATTCATCTCTCCTGGAGTACGCTAGATCAGGGTTTCCCAAACATGGGTCTCCAGCTGTTTTTGGACTACAGCTCCCATCATCCCTAGCTAGCAGAACCGGTGGTCAGGGTGATGGGAATTGTAGTCCAAAAACAGCTGGAGACCCAAGTTTGGGAAACCCTGCGCTAGATGATGAATACATTTGTTTATCATTTATGTATTAAACATATTTGTTACCCACCGTCCACAAAAAAACCCTGGGGAATAAAATTGCAAAATTCAGTACCTGTATAGCAAACAGTTAAAACTACAATCAACCAATAAAAACATTTATATAAATAAATAACCATTGCACTGTCCCAAAAGCCTGGTATTAAGCATATTTCAGGTAACATAAAATTTAAAAAATACAAAGAAGTCAGAGGAACATGGAAAAAAGCAAAGGAAATTCTTAATGGGAATTCAGTTGCTATTCATTGTTGTTGAGCAGAGTAATACTGAATCAATATCTTTATCAGAAACCTGTCCCTGCCAAAACACAGCTGTGATAACCCAGGACTTTCTTACCTGCCTTCCTCTCAAGGGTTCGACCACTATTCTGATACACAGTTCCAGATCATTGAGATAGTCTTTTTCGGTCTGAACCATTTCTGTAATTATCTTGTGCCTTCTAGCCATCAGACGCCTGTTCAGCTGTTCTTCACTTTCCAGGGGTGAGCCAACCGGCCCCAAGGACCCTGCTTGTGGTGCCATTTTTTCTGTAAGAAACAAACACCGCTTCTGTTTTTTTCTTTATTTTTTAAAAATATCAGTAAGGGCTAGCAACTTTTGCTGCTTTCAAACCAACCAAGGTGAAGTTCAGTCATAGTTTGTCATAAGCAAAAGCTTATGAACTTCTCACAGCCGTGCCAAAGGAAAGTATGAGGAAGCATAAGAGCCTGAGGATCACCTCGGCCTGTTTCCAACACAGTAAACCATGGCTTGGCTTGCCTTTCAAATGCAGTGACTCACATCATTTTGATATACAGTGGTACCTCGGGTTACATATGCTTCAGGTTATATACGCTTCAGGTTACACACTCCGCTAACCCAGAAAGAATGCTTCAGGTTAAGAACTTTGCTTCAGGATAAGAACAGAAATCTTGCTCTGGTGGTGCAGCGGCAGCAGGAGGCCCCATTAGCTAAAGTGGTGCTTCAGGTTAAGAACAGTTTCAGGTTAAGAATGGACCTCCGGAACAAATTAAGTACTTAACCCGAGGTACCACTGCTTTTGAGAGTGGTAGGAAGGATGCCCATCTTTTCTATAGGGTTTTGTTTTCCTAAGAAAAACACACACAACCACACCAATGCAGAACAGCATAAAAACCCACTAGGACAACTCTGAGTTTGCTATCAGCTCATATATGCTGCATTATAAAACAATCCTAACCTTTGATTTGAGTTGATGGAGGGGATTAAAGGTAAAAGGACCCCTGACCATTAGGTCCAGTCGTGTCCGGCTATGGGGTTGCGGCGCTCATCTCGCTTTATTGGCCAAGGGAGCCGGCGTACAGCTTCCGGGTCATGTGGCCAGCATGACTAAGCCGCTTCTGGCAAACCAGAGCAGCGCACGGAAACGCCGTTTACCTTCCCGCCAGAGCGGTGCCTATTCATCTACTTGCACTTTGATGTGCTTTTGAACTGCTAGGTTGGCAGGAGCAGGGACCGAGCAACGGGAGCTCACCCCGTCGCGGGGATTCAAACCACCGACTTTCCCATCGGCAAGTGCTAGGCTCTGTGGTTCAACCACAGAGCCACCCGCGTCCCGCATTATAGAACAACCCAACCTTTGATTTGAGTTGATGGAGGGGATTAGGATGCAGCAATTTCCTTCCACCTGGCTGTGCCAGCATCTCTGTACACACTCCAGCTGGGTCTGCCAATGGCGTAGGCTATGAATGGGCTACCACTGCTGCATTCCCATTGGTGGCGGCCAATGTAAGCCCCCCAAATAGGGCAGGACTGGAGAAGGGGTCGGCCACGGTTGGTTTGGGTTTTTAAGGAGGTCCAGCAGCACAAGAGGAGACTGCTTTAATCTCTCTGCCCTGCCAGAGCAACAAAAGTATTTTAAAAAACACCAGGCCCTCTCTATCTTTTGGTGAATGCATTGCAGGAGGTTGAACTAGATGATCCTCTACAACTCTACAATTCTATGATTCATCCTCCAAATGAAATGAATCCTAAGCAGGTGCACATTTTCATCTCCTTGCTTCTTCCCTCCCTTCACAATCTGAGTTTAGATTGTAAGCTTCTCGGAGCAGGGACCTGCCTTGTATATTTATAAAGCACCATACACGTCTTTTGTACTACAGAAATAAATGATACAAGGACTGTTTGCACAAGTAACGTTCCCAATGTTATACTGCATGAATTAAAAATATGAAATTAAACCAGTTCCCTCTTCTTTGGATGCAGTGTGCTGCCATTGACACTGAAAGGGGGTTAGTGTGGCCTTGGAAATCAGATCTCTGTCTAATTGCATTGTTTTATAATATTACTAACTTTTGAGGGCGGTGTTGAAAAATCCATAGAATTTGATTCACCTTCTATGAATAAAAAAAATTTTCAGAGGTAACGTAAAATCAGTGTGACAGATGCAGGCACTAAGTATTTCTTATTTATTTGTTTATGTACGCATTAGTCACATTTCTAGATCATCCTTCCTCCCTAGGCAGCCCACAACAAAATATAAACATGTATACAACAATAACTTTTAAAAATACCTTTGTAAAACTCAGAACAATAAAAACACACCAATCAGCAGTCATTTTTGTCCCCTATAAGAGACCATCCTTCCTTTCGATCCCCTGTGTTTTACAGATAATGTGATTTGTTTTCTAACTAGCTCAGTCAAGGGCTTCTGTGTTCCAAGTCAAGAGCTTGTGCATCCTACTCTTGATTTGATAGTAATGGCATGGAAGTTGGAGTAATGTACCCAAAAGCACGTATTCCAAGCACCAGACACCCACCTCTCTCAATTAGATATTTGCATCCACAGCAGGGTGGATGTGGGGGAAGGGAAGCCTTGCTTTTGGCTCCTTGCCATTACGCAATACAATAGGAGCTCGGTGGTTTGCTTGTCCTTGGTGGTGTCGGGTTACATGCCTGCAAGGCTCTCCCCGAGGGGATGACATTGCCAAATAAGCTACCTGTGTCCTTTGCAAACAAAAAAAAGTATATTGGAAAAATTAGAATAATAAAAACAATAGTAAAAAGCAAACCATTTCCCATGTCATGCAAGGTAAATCTCTGCACTTACCTCCACAGGTGTAATGGGGTGTGTGTGAGAGATTCTCTGAGTGAGAGAGTGGCAGGAGAATGTGTGTGTGTGTTTGCAAAGCCCTTGGCAAGCTGTGCAGCTCTAAACTCTGCAGCAACTCTCTATGCATCAGCTTGCAAGAGGTGTGTTGGGGGCTGTGTAGGGACAGGGAGGGTCTGCCGCCAGGAGTGTGGATATTCCAGTCTTTCCACTGCATGGATTCTTCCATTCAAGGATTTAAATAAGCCCTTTTAAGTGCGCAAACTTTCAGAAAGCGCACCCAGCTATGCGACATGCCACTTAAAAAGACACAGACACACATGGCCATTATTTGAATATTTCCTTTGTGGGGGGAAAGGCATGGAACCACCTGGTTTGCCGAAGCTTACTGGCTTATGTGCTTGCCAGCTGAAAGATTGCCATTTGGTGCCTTGGAGCCATGCCACATTTAGTCTTCTGTAGCCACACAGCCAACCCCCATGTTGCCCCACCCCACGGCTACTTGGAATTCTGGGAGGGCAGAGGAGCAATGATGCTGGACATGAGAACATAAGAAGATGTGCCAGTCCAATGGCCCATTTAGTCCAGCATCCAGGCCAGCAGGCCAAACATGACCCACCAGGGATAAAATTTGGCCCACAAAGCTGTTCCCCCCCCCAAAAAAATTATGCCATCAGGTGTGTGGCAGATAGGGTTGTGGTTGCCAGTGCCACAGTGGGGCTGGCAGCAGGGTCAGGGAGGGGTCAGGGGTCAGATCTGCCACAATGACCTTGGTAGCATGGTAGGTAAGGGTGCTGAGAGTTGCTAGCAGACCCCTATTCCCCTTAGGTAAAGGTAAAGGGATCCCTGACCATTAGGTCCAGTCATGGACAACTCTGGGGTTGCGGCGCTCATCTCGCTTTATTGGCTGAGGGAGCCGGCGTACAGCTTCCGGGTCATGTGGCCAGCACGACTAAGCCGCTTCTGGCGAACCAGAGCAGCGCACGGAAACGCCGTTTACCTTCCCGCTGGTGTGGTACCTATTTATCTACTTGCACTTCATGCTTTTGAACTGCTAGGTTGGCAGGAGCAGGGACCGAGCAATGGGTGCTCACCCCGTCGCGGGGATTCGAACTGCCGACCTTCTGATCAGCAAGTCCTAGGCTCTGTGGTTTAACCCACAGCACCACCCGCGTCCCCCTATTCCCCTTACAGAGCCACAATTCTCAGAGTAGTTTAACTGTCGATTTGCTATTCCCACTGAACTCTGGGAATTCTGGCTCGGTGAGTGGAATAGGAGTATCCTTAACAACTCTCAGTACTCTTATCAAACTACATTTCCCATGAAGCTTTGGGAGAAGCATTTACAGCGGTATGATACTGATTCATAGCGTAGATGGCGCCTGAGCGTGTTTTGCTCGGCATAAAGAAGTTCTAAAAATACGTGTGTATCTAGATTTCCAGAGTATTTGAACAGAGGAAACATTATAGTCTCTGTGACCTTGCATGAACTGCCACCAAATTTGAAAGTGCTCTGATACTATCAGGTCCAGTGACAGATTATTGATTAGGTAATCCAAACTCCAGACACCAGGTTTTGTTTTCCAATGAATTATTTTTTTGGCAATAGATATGAAAGAGGCATCCCTTCCAGGAAATATCTGGTTTCAATTTCCTGACCATAGAGTCTTTTAATTGCTAACCGAGTGCTCTCTGGAGTGTTGAAAGAGCTCAATGAAAGAAAGAAAAATTGCACATATGAAATAATATCCTCACTGTGATTTTTTTTTCTGGTGGATTCAGATGACCATTTTCTCTTCTCAGTGGGTGATAATTTCTGAAGTCAATGCATAAAAGGATCCCTGTATGGATTCTGCAATAGTCATTTCTGAAAGTTACAGGGTTGGAATTTGGGGTGAGATGGGTTTGCAGCATCTCCAAAGAATAGTGGTCACAGAATTTATTTATTACATTGACACTGAGGTCCAGCACCGAGGGCCTTCTGGCGGTTCCCTCACTGCAAGAAGCCAAGTTACAGGGAACCAGGCAGAGGGCCTTCTCGGTAGTGGCGCCCACCCTGTGGAATGCCCTCCCACCAGGTGTCAAAGAGAACAACAACTACCAGACTTTTAGAAGACATCTGAAGGCAGCCCTGTTTAGGGAAGCTTTTAAAGTTTGATGTATTGCAGTGTTTTAATATTATTATTTTTGACAGCCGCCCAGAGTGGCTGGGGAAGCCCAGCCAGATGGGCAGGGTATAAATAAATTATTATTATTATTATATCCTGCCTTTCATCCAAGGAGCTCTTCTCACCTGTGTCGAAAGAATTCTATTGGCTAGCTCAGTCGGTAGAGCATATGACTCTTAATCTCAAGGTTGTGGATTCGAGCCCCATGTTGGGCAAAAAGTTGGGTTGGACTGTATGACCCTTGTGTTCCTTTCCAACAATGCTATGATTCATAGCTGTCAACGTTTCCCTTTTTTTTAAGGGAAATTCCCTTATACCAAATGCTATGCTATGATTCCACCAGTTTGTTTCTGAGCCTGCTTGGAAATTCTGCTTCCTCTTTCAGGGGGCAAGAGATCAGTAGTCACTGCAACCTCAGTTAAATTTACCTTCTTCTTTTTTTACCCAAAAGAACCATGCCGTGTCATGTTAATAAAGAGTTCAGTATTAAAAGGGAAGAAATAAAGGCCCTTAGAAAATATTTTTTACCTACCTGCTGGTCCGTCCCCCCCCCCCATGTAATTATAGCCTCAACCTTATAGGCTGTTGTATTCCTATTTGTAACTTGATTCTATTGAGGAAAAAGGGCTATATATACACATGCAGCAGGACATCAATAATGGAAACAAATCCATTGAAGAGAAAGTGCGACTGACCTGCATGGACAACATCCAGAGTTAAAGGAAATTTGGCAGCCAGTAAGAAAGAATCAGCATCCCTAAGGGCTGAGAGATGGGGGGGGGGGGGAGGCCCTGCCCTATATAAACTTTAGCTTAGGAAAGAAAGTTGCTGCCTTGATGGGTTGCATATACCCCACTCCCCACAGACCAATGGTATTTTTTTTTCTAACCTCTGTAGTGCACTGCCTGCTTAAAGATGGTGATTGTCCACTTAAATTACACTAACCTGTCAAAGTAAGTAGAAAAGGGGGGAAGTTTGAGATGTGTCCAACAGCAGCATTGGTAAACCACTGAAAGAGATTTCAGAAACATACTTGGAGGACAAACTTTCTAAATTTTAATAAGGAATGTTTCACAGATAACTACACCACTTTTCAGAGATGCATGGATGGAGGAGGAGATGCAGTACAAAGAATTGTGGGGATCCAGAGCAAGTTTCTATCATTTGTAGAACCTGAGATATGAGGCAAAATATACAAGCACTGTTTGTCTTATTTTTCTGGTGAGAAACTAGCCTGTTTCCCCCCATCCCTCAGTGTTTTACTTATCTGCCAGTCCACCCCTTCCTTCTGGGGAAAAAATCCTACAGCCACCTATGCAAAGAAGTTAGTATTGCAATGGCCAGCATTGTGGGTTTTTTTGTTTTTTTGTTTGTTTTTGAGACCTCATGTAAAAACATGCAAATTTCCATTTAATTCTACTGGATCTGACTTTTATCCAGGTATGAGTGTGTGTTTCTGTCTATGTCTTGGTGAGATGACCCAGGCAACAAAGTATATTATAACATACATAATAGAACTGACAAACCTAGACAGCATCTTAAAAAGCAGAGACATCACCTTGCCAACAAAGGTCCGTATAGTTAAAGCTTTGGTTTTCCCAGTAGTGATGTATGGAAGTGCGAGCTGGACCATAAAGAAAGCTGATCGCCGAAGAATTGATGCTTTTGAATGATGGTGCTGGAGGAGACTCTTGAGAGTCCCATGGATTGCAAGAAGATCAAACCTATCCATTCTTAAGGAAATCAGCCCTGAGTGCTCACTGGAAGGACAGATCGTGAAGCTGAGGCTCCAATACTTTGGCCACCTCATGAGAAGAGATGACTCCCTGGAAAAGACCCTGATGTTGTGAAAGTTTGAGGGCGCAAGAAGAAGGGGACAACAGAGGACAAGATGGTTGGACAGTGTTCTCGAAGCTACCAGCATGAGTCTGACCAAACTGCGGGAGGCAGTGGAAGACAGGAGTGCCTGGTGTGTTCTGGTCCATGGGGTCACGAAGAGTCAGACACAACTAAACAACAACAACAGAATTGCAACTTCCTATATACTAACAGCCAGGTCATTCTGCAGGTGCCAATCCTTATATCACCAAAATGGTTCTTCCCCCATCCCAAACAAGAGGGAGATATCAGCTGACTTGGAGAGGGGAATCCCAAAGCTTCGCAGCAACACACACACACACACACACACACACACACACACACACACCCCAAGTACCATCTAAAGAGGCAGGGACCCAGCAACAAATCTGAGCATGCTCAGTGGGCACTGAGGGCTAAGTGTCTGATGGAGGGAAGGGATGGAATGAAGTTTCCTTGAAGAGGGCATTGCTGGCTGGCTCAGACACTGAACAAGACATTGCAGCATTTTGCTGAAAGTCCCACTTGTTCACTGGATTTGCAGTGCAATCTTACCCAGGTATATACTACAGAAACTCAAAAGGTTGCCCTTATTGAGTTACTTAACTGAAGGGGAAGCATGTAGCCTGAAAACATCTTGAATGACTAAAGAAGGCACCCAGGTTAATCAAGCCACAGGTTTAAAAATGTTGTTTTGCATTATTTTTAAAATGCAAGTATTTAAAGCACCATTGGACACAATGGGATGTGCATGGCAGAGCAGTATACAGCAGCAGACTCCGCCCCTTGACCTATATGCATATTCATGGAGCTCTTATATGTTTGAAACTTCAAGTCGGCCATTGGGTTTTGGCATCATTGGGCTGATGCTCACATCCCAGTAGGGGGACCGATACCAATCCATGGGGTCTCCTGGCCCTGCTATTCCCCCTCCTGGCTTGTCTGTGCAGGCCCTCTTTAGGCGAGCAGTGAGAGGAGCACAGAGAAGGAGCAAAAACATCCACATTCCTTGTCCTCTCCTGGTATCCAGCAACTGAAGCCAGAAGTGAGGGAAGCAAGGAAGGCTTCCTTTCCCAGAGAACTATCCACTGGGAGCATCTTGATCAAGGGAACCCACACTATGGGGCTATTTGATTTTTCATGTGATCAAATGAATGACTGGACTCTCTTCTATGGAATGACAGCCCTGATAGGAAATGCTCTTTGAACAATAAAACAAGCTTACTGTGAATCATAGAACCATAGCGTTGCAGTGTAAAGTCGAATGTTTCAATGGCAAGGTCAACCGTATTCAGCACCCGACATCAAACGAGAGAAAATTACAAAATGCCACTAACAGGCTAGGCAAAGTTGTGAAATCTAGTTCCCATGCAAATTGGGCCAGGTCCAACGGGCACGTAAGCTCTGGGGCATATTTACTGCTCACCAGGAACTAGATCATATGACATGAAAGTACGTCCTGGAATTACTGAACAGGTATTGCGGAAGGTGGGGTGGGCAGAACACTGCCGGCACTGGGTCTGTATATATAGCAGAGCAACATAGCCTTCCCTTGACACACCAAGCAAATGCACACATGCTGTTTCCTTGTGTGTTAAGAAGAATGTTCCGTGCAGCTGAAGTGTTCTGCCAGGTAGCCTTTGCATATAAGGAAATGCCGTGTCTGCAGTAACCTTTAAAAGGGCTGGAGGGAGGGAGGGGGGACTAAGAACAACATGGACTATTGTTCATCACAGAGATCTAGTTCTCCCTGGAAAGGGGTGTGTGTGAAAGCCTATAGGGACATGGCCTTAGGGCAGCATAACCAAACCTGTTCCGTATTACCAGTGTAGTTTTACAGACTGCATTCCTCCAGTGAAGCAAAAAGAAATTTCACTGTAGTTATTTAAACCATTTTGCTGATAATCCTATGCACACTTACAGGTAAACATACGTAGAACTGGCATGTTGATCGTATAGCCTAGCCCTCTTTTAGAGGATAGTTCTCTAGGAAGTCGTTTTAATGGTGCACAGATGGTTCTGCATTTTTATTTTCCCTGCTCAGAAATGGCACTTTATTTTCATTATTTCAAATCTGCTACAAGTCCTAGGAACCATGTTTTTTCTCCCTGCACTCTGGGAGATCAGAGTTCTGCTGAATTCACGGAGACAGCTGTGCAATAAATAGCACTGGGGATTGCAGTTTGCAGGAGAGAAAACACACCCTTCTGCCCAAAGGGAATATATATGTGTAAAATAAAATGTCATTGTACTTATGTGTGGCCTCAGGGGTGTGCAGGGGTGGAAAATGTATGTTGTCTCAGATCACCTGTTCCTAATCCAAACAAGAAAATAACCAAATCAAAGCATCTCCCCCCGCCCCACAAGACAAACTTCCTACTATTTAAGGCTGCCTACAAAATATCTCACCCTGTCTGTATATTTCAATGCGTGGCTTCAATGCATTAAAATTGCCCCTTGTGTTACTTACAAAGTGTTACAGCAGGAGCAATATGACAGTTATAATGCCGCAAAATTGCATTTAATCACGCACTTCCCCTCAATGTGAGAGGAACTAGGTTCCCTTCAAAGTATTTCCTAGCTTAGTGGTGCTACAGTGAAGAACCTATTTCTTACAACAGCAACAACAATAATACCGGCAAGTGCTTAATAAGATCTATTTCATAAAAATGTTTTCCACCAGCTCTCACCACATCTAACCTGCTCACCACCTTCCATCACAGCTAACACCATCATGCAAGCTTCTCTGGTATGGAATTGTTTTCCAATAGTTAGACCAGTACTTCAGAAATGTGGGTCACAATGCAGTCCTAGCCTGGTCTACTCAGAAGTAAAGATTCACTGAATTCCATGAGGCTGGCTCCCAGGTTAGTAGGGTTAGGATTGCAGCCTCAAGCCCTTCCTCTCCTCATTTTTATTACCTTGTAATTTCTGGTTGTATTCACTCCTGTCGGACTGACTCCTCCTCAAAGTCCCAGAGCTGTTGTGGTCTCCAGAAATATGACTCTCCACCACCGTGTCTGTCTTCCTCCTCTCCAGCATGTACAGCCTGTGCCTTATGAAGGTCAAGTTTTTTTTCCTGGCCCCCACACTTTCTTTCCCAGGTGGCTCTTTGGCGTCCATTTCCAGACCAGAGCAGGAAAAGAAAGGAGATGGAAAAGGAGAAGGAAAAGAAAGAAACCTGATTGAGTAGAAAAGCTAAGCTGGTTCTCCCTTGCAGGAGGTGTGTTTGCCAGCTTGTTGCTTGGGTGAATGGAGCAGCTTCTCCAATGGATCAGCTGTCTTGCTCAAAGTTCCACTTCTTACCTGGCTCACCTGACTGCCACCTCTGCAGCCTAGCAGGGCTCCACCCCTATGAGGTCATCCTTTAGTTACACTGACTGGGGAACCAGACACCTGTTACCTGAGAGACTTGCAGCACAGGGCATGGCATAGCAGCAGGGACTGATCAGCTGGCAAGGCCCTTTCGGAGCAAGCAGGCTCACTTGCATATCTTTCCCTCATTTTTACATCTCTTTCTTTTTATCACCTTTTTATCTATGTGAAAACAAACTAATGCATGGTTTCAATTCTGCTTCTCCACCCTCGGCATGTCCTGTCCTTTAGGTGAAGACTTTGCATATCTTTACACTTGACAGGCAGTGGACACCTGAGTCATTGTCATGCAAGGCAAGGTGAGAACATCTCTATTCTCATGCTTCAGGGCATGATTAACTAACCCAGATAGAGGTCAATGTTTTTTATAGCTCAATCCAATGCTCAGTTGCAAGGCCTTTTTATGATTACAAGGTTGCATTTATTTATTTTATGGTTGGAACAAAATTATACATATATTCCCTTCACTCAATTGAAACACTTTGTATTCTGTTAAGCAGCAACTGTAACATCTAAGTTCTGTGCACTGCAAGGAGCAAAATAAGTTTTTTTCTTTTTTAAAAAAATGCTTTTTAAAAACCAAAACTTGACCTTCCTCCAAATCGCTGAGAGTAGCATACAAGGTTACCCTGCCCGATTATCCTCACAATTACTGTTTATTTATTTTTTTAAAAAAATAAAACCTGCCTTTCTGTTTATACAGATAGTAGCTTGGAGTGCAATCTATATATATTTTTTTAAAACCCACACAATACAATTCTAAATAAACAACAGAGAGGACAACAGTGGCAGAGCAGGTCAAACAGTAAAACCCTTAAATTGCCCAGGTGGATAAACTTAAGTCTTGACATGGTTCCAAAATGTTAACAAGGCTGGCACCGGGGGGGGGGGGCATTCTGCAGAAGGGGCACCACCACAGAGAGGCTCCTCTCCAAGCATCACCACAAAAGGCAAGTGTCCTCAGGATGGGATGCAGGGAAGAGCCATCTATGAGGATCTTAAGGCACAAGAACCCCGTGAGATAAGATTCAGGTAGGTAGCCGTGTTGGTCTGATGCAGTCGAAATAAATAAATAAAATTTAAAAATTGTCCAGTAGCACCTTAGAGACCAACTAAGTTTGTTCTGGGTATAAGCTTTCATGGGCATGCACACTTCTTCAGATGGCTGTGAGGTAAGTGAGGTTGAGAGATGGCAACTGGTGGCCCAAAGCCTACCAGCGAGCTAGCTTAGTGGAATTTGAACTCTTGATATGCTAGCACACCTGGACAGTTCTGGAGTCTTGGGTGCAGAAGAAGGTGAATAAAGTGGCAGGGAAGAGAAGTGAAATGTGGGTGGGGAAGTCATCTTCCCACCCATGTTTTGCCACCCTGACACAACAAAAGCTGTTGCTTCAGCTGCTGCTAGAAGTACTTCTTCTTCAGTAACCATTTCCTCCTTGAAAGAATGGCCTTAGGAAAGAGGACCTCAGGGAGGAGAAAATATGGCCCGTGTAGTATCATAGAAACACAGTCTATTCAGTCAGTTCGTAACAGGAACATTGCAGGCAGAGGTTTCTCATGGATCTCTCTGGCTCACATAACAAGCCTCTACGGAAGCACCACAGGGACAAACTAGGTCTGGCAATAACAGAGAGCAAGTGGAAGTCACTCTTTTAATAACATTGCCCATATGCAAAGTGCCTAAAACACGAATGTTCCTGCCCAGAATATTAAATCTTTCATTTGCAGAGAGAATGAGCGTTTGGGTGGATGCAAATGGAGAATTTACTGGTAGGATGTTAAAAATAATCTGATCAATGATAGTAAATTGGCCGTTACTGTTTAGCTAATCAGGTTTCAGATGGAAGATGCATACTAAGATACACTGAAATATGTAGCAACTAGCTTCAACAAAAAGCACTTATATGTACAAGGAAGAACATAAACCATGTGTTTCCCCACTCACAATGGAAGCACGCACTGTCCTCGTGTTAGCTGCAGCCTTGCCAATGTTAATGTTCATATGAATTTCCTTTTTATAAGATAGCTTTTTCTTAAGTGGGGAAACAGGTGCTGGTCTCCGAGCGGAAAACATTGGTGCTGTGTTCCCAGGCAACATCATTACAAGTGTATCAGTAGTTATTGTTCTATGCTCACTGCTAATCCTTGTCTGCATCTCCAGTGGTGAATGTGCCTTTATCATGCCTCTGATAGCTGCTAGGTAAACCAAATGTTCCTTTTCCTTTGCAGCCAACTCCTTCTCATTGGTATAGGGCATTTCTTTGTAATCTAGTGAAAATAACATATGGGGCATTTTTAACAATGATTGCAATTTGTTTGCAATTTTGCAAACTGAGGCTCAGTTATGATGCAAATGTGACTTTTAAAAAATACAACAGCAGAGCCATAAACTTGGAAGAGCTTCAAGGTCATCTTGCCCAATTCCCTGCCAGTGCAGGAAATTCACTGATAACCTTATCCTTCATAGGTGTCCATCCAGCTGCTGCTCAAAGACCTCTAACCAGGCAGTCCATTTCAATGTCAAAGAACCATAGCAAGACTTCAGTGGGCTCTCAGCATAGTGCTTCTGATAGGCTCCAATATGAAGTGGCAGTGCAACAGTTGACCTTGGCTCCCAATAAAAGTGGAACCATCAGCTACACTGAACCTGGCCCAACTGCACTGGTGGCCAATTAGTTTCTGAGCCCAATTCAGATTGCTGGTTTTGACCTAGGTAAAGGTAAAGGGACCCCTGACCATCAGGTCCAGTCGTGACCGACTCTGGGGTTGCAGCGCTCATCTCGCTTTATTGGCCGAGGGAGCCGGTGTACAGTTTCTGAGTCATGTGGCCAGCATGACTAAGCCGCTTCTGGTGAACCAGAGCTGCGCTCGGAAACGCCGTTTACCTTTCCGCCAGAGCTGTACCTATTTATCTACTTGCAGGTGTTGAGCTACAAAGCCTTAAATGGCTCAGGACCTGAAGGACCACCTCTCTCCATATGCAACCATCATCTGAGGCTCTTCTTCGTATGCCACAAGAGGTCCAACGGGCCTTTTCTGCAGTGGCTTCCCGTTTCTGGAATTCTCTCCCCGAGGAAGCTCTCTTGGTGCCTTTATTATAACATGTTTTTAAATGTCAGACGAAAATGTTTCTCTTTAATGAGTCCTTTGGTTGATTAACATTCTATGTGGGCGGTTTTGTGGAGGGTGTTGTTTTTGTTTTTATTATGTAATTTGTGTTTTCATTTTGCATGTTGTGAACTGCCCAGTGAACTTCAGATGGAGGGTGGTATAATAAAACTGAAATAAAACTATCCATGGGTACAAAGGCTATCCTGGGGGAGAAAGTGGGGAGTGGTGGCGCTTCCACATTAGGAGAGGGCTACTGAACTCATGTTCCTATTTGTGAGCTTCTCAGAGGGATTGGGTTGATCTGCTGTGAGAAACAGGATGCTTTTACTAGATAGGTGGCCTTTGAGCGATCCAGGAAGGCTCAAGCTCCGGGCCCCATAGGTCCCTTATACAGTCATACCTTGGGTTACAGATGCTTCGGCTTGCGTGTTTTCGGGTTGTGCACTATGCTGAACCTGGAAGCACCGGAACAGGTTACTTCCGGGTTTCAGCGCATGAGTGCCAAATCGCAACCCGCAGACATGACGCTGCGGGTTGCGAACGTGCCTCCCGCACAGATCACATTCGCGACCCGAGCGTCCGCTGTATGATAAACACACAAGGACACGGATAGTGAGTGGTTTGGCTTAGACATTGGATGAAACCAGACTATATCCTGGCTCCTGCTCTCTTAAGTCTCTTAAGGGTCAACCACCGGTAGGGAGAGCACCCCCAATTAAGAGCACCCCCAGGGTCCCCAATGGGGTTGTGGCATGGCCCTAGCTCACGCACAGGCTTCGGACAGAATCCACACCCCCAGACCCCTTCAACGGGATACCCTTATCGAGGAGGGCAGGCAGAGGCAACAACCTCCCCTCCCATCACAAAGGCTTACCCAATGCCTAATCACACAAAGTTGTGACGATACACGGCCTCATCAATATGGCAGCTGACATATGTCCATAGCAAGGTCATGTCATACCAAAGCTTAAGAAGAGGGCGGGTGGGCTGGGGAATCTGGTGAGGAGGCGAAAGGAAGCAGTCCCCCTGGCCGCACCGCTGTTTAAATGTCTTGTGGCCACGCCCCCTGGCCGCACAGATTGGTCGGCCAGCAGCTGGGAGTCTTGGTGACGTGGGTGGCATCCCTCCGCCCCCAATCCGAGTCACTGGGGGTCCTGTATGCCAGTCTGCAACACTGCCCCGCCCCCAAGGAAGGGAAGCAGGCTTCTCATGTTCTTATCGCCAGAGTCTCAGGAGGAAAATCTCTCTCAGCCAGGCTACTTGAGATCCTCTGATGAGAGATGCAAGAGATTGAATCTGGAATCCTAACACATAGAAAGGCTGTGCTCTCTGCCCGCCATCACTGTGAAATGAGCCCTTTTTGTGTCCCACAATTTAATTACATGGCCATTCAGGCTTTTACAAGAAGACCGAAGTCACTGCAAATGGAAGACCATTGTCAATGGAAGTAATCTATGGGTAAAAAAGTAAACATTTCAACTGCTTTTTTTCAAACTTTTAGAGCTCTGCAGAAAGCACACATTTGAGATACCATTTATCAGTGAACCCCTTCTAAAGAGCCCTTGGCTGCAGGAAAGCTCCCATGGAAGAAATCACAGAGGTGGAAATGAGTGATTAAAAAAAACCAACCACCACCAAACCTATACATGGCTGTGTTTCAGAGGACTTTGAACATTGCACCTATGAACTTTTATGTAATTTCTCCTCAGTTAACAGTGGCAAGATAAGAACAGACCCATGATGAAAGCAACAACAAGAAATGCAGGTAGTCAAAGGAATAAATATGGCACCTATTGACTGCTTATTAATGATAAATCAAAGCTCCAGTGTTAAGAGTAGTTTCTCATGGTGGGGTAGTAAACTGATGAGTTAGCAGCCTTTATACAGTTTCTGTGCTTGCCATGCCTATTTAGAGAACATTGGATATTTATTTGATTGATTGATTGATTGATTGATATACCGCCCTTCATCATAAGATCTCAGGGCGGTTCACAGAATAAAATACAGGATAAAAACAAGTAAATAAGTGAAACAAAACAAGACAAACACTCCCCTCCCCAGATACGTTTAAAAGGATGTAGACTCTTAATCAGCCCAAGGCCTGGTTGAAGAGGAACATTTTTGCCTGGCACCTAAAGTATATATAATGAAGGCACCAGGCTCAACTCACTTGGGAGACCGTTCCATAAACAGGGCGCCACTACAGAGAAGGCCTGCTCTTGTGTTGCCACCCTGTGGACCTCACATCTGCTCAGTATGTACAGAGAGTATGCCAAACCACAGGCTCAGTAAATGCACTGGGAATGTAACTTGCAGTGTGGCACTCAAGATTCCAGCTGCTCCTATCAATTCATCTTCACCACCCCATTACCCACCCCTACCTAGAGAGCATTTCATGGTCACTGAGCATGCTCAGTCCTCCCTGGCCGTCTTTGGGAGGCCCTTCCTCTTTAGGTCTCCCCCCCCCCCCATCTTCTACAAACCCTGGGATTCCTTCTAACCAGCTAACATCTCCCTCCAGTTTATGGGTTTGGGCTACATGAGTCTTGGCACATCGTTGGCAAAAAAAAAGGGGGGGGGTAAAGAAAGGGCATGAAAATCAGTAATTCTTTGGCTTTCGTGTGGTTTGTATCATTTGACACAATGCCCTTGATCTGATGCTATGGCATGTTGCGTAAAGAAAGAGCAAGGAATTTAAAATGCAAATCTACTAGGGGGCCTGATCTCTCGAAGCCACTGCGATTGCATTTTATGGCTGAAAGGTTTATGCAAAATCTTGGTTTAACAAAGTTTTATTCCCTTTAATGATCTTTGTAAGACTTTGAAGAGGAGATAATCCAAATGAGGATCCACAATAGGGAAAAGGAACGCACATTGTTCTTGCTTCAGAACCCCCCCCCCCGCTCCAAGGAGTCTAAAGTTTATACATATACAAAAAGCAAGTGTATTGCTACAACACTATATACACAGGTGAGCATATTTCCAAAATAAGCAGTCAGAAAAGGAAAGGGACAGATTTCTATGTTTCGCGGAGCCAAATGACCTCAATAAATTAATGGGGCATTTCATCAGCAGAGCTTGCAGACACACATTTTTGAAATTTGATTTAATGCTGGGGGAGGAGGGGGGTCACAGAGAAGCCAAGTCAGTAACTAGGAAATATCATACATGCAACTTTATGTTTCAGAAATACTGTGTAACTGCACCTGGAAGAATATGTACATGCAATCTTCTGGGCTAGGATAGGGCTTCTGTGTGAATTAAATGGCACTTATTGTTTTTAAACCATGGACACAGGTGGTGCTGTGGGTTAAACCACAGAGCCTAGGACTTGCCGATCGGAAGGTCGGCAGTTCGAATCCCTGCGACAGGGTGAGCTCCCATTGCTTGGTCCCTGCTCCTGACAACCTAGCAGTTCGAAAGCACATCAAAGTGCAAGTACATAAATAGGTACCCCTCCGGCGGGAAGGTAAACGGCGTTTCCGTGCGCTGCTGTGGTTCACCAGAAGCAGCTTAGTCATGCTGGCTCCCTCGGCCAATAAAGTGAGATGAGCGCCGCAACCCCCGAGTCGGCCACAACTGGACCTAACGGTCAGGGGTCCCTTTACCTTTAATGGCCAGCCACAAAATAAAAACATCCAGACTTAAATCCTAGCATGCAACCTGAAAGCTCACACTTTCAGTCCGCGCAGGGAATTGATGGATTGAGCTTGATGGATTAAACCACTGGCCCACCTGGTCTAGTATCTCCGCACCTTTGCTTCCCAGCAATTTTTTGCTTCATTTATTTGTTATAGGGTCTATGTTTGAATTTAAAATGCTGTGTGGGTTATTTTCTCTGTAAGCAGGCCTATCTCTCTCACACATATTAGAGCAGATATATAGGCCAAAGGGAGGAGTTGCTGTACTTTTACAAGCTTTTTTGGAAGATGTGAATCCTGATTTGAGGTCAATGGGCTAGATTTGAACTGGCACAACCAGTTCTCTTTTAGCCTTCTGGCTACTCTCCCTTGGCTTTTAAGTTAACAGGATTAAATATTTGTGAATATCAGCTAATTAACATGCACAAATAGACAAAAGGAATTTCCTCCTCTTCCCCTGGAAAGACATTAAGCCCATTTGTAATCGGCACAATTGCATGCTTTCTGTCAGATATTACGCTGTCCATTTTTCAGCTGCCCCTCTGCACACTGATCTATGTGTTTAGCCTGCAGTAATTAGGAGGTGGCAACATTTTTCTCTGAAAAGCTTCATTTGCAATTTCTGCAGATCAAGGCTGCTATTAAAGAGACAACCAGAGAAGCCAGTTGGAAAGCTGCCATTTCTATTGAGTTCAGAACCAGACTTGATTTCCTGCAACTATTATTGCTTATACCATTGTTGGAAGTTGACGGTGCATTTGTGGCATCCCACAGCTCATTTCAGGATCTGACCTTAGATGTTGACGTGTTTTAATCTTTCTTTTAAAACTTGCTAACCTTTTAATTATCTTTAAATGTTGTTTCTAACTGTTTTTGTTGACAACTGTAATATTTCTTGTAAACTGCCTAGAGGTTTTACCAGTGCTTTTTTTCTTTTTCTTTTTTTAAAAAAGTTTAGGGGTACTCTCATTTTGGCTCAATAAAATCACCATTTTATAGTTCAAATCGGGAAAAATAAATACAGCAAATGGACAAAATTACAAAGATTCACAAAATGTTTAGGGGTATGAATACCCCTGCGTCTCCCCAGAAAAAAACCACTGGGTTTTACTACAGTCAAGCAGTGTATACATTTTGTTAAATGAAAAATATGTTATTTGCCAGAAAAATCTTAGAAAACAAAAGTAAATCCTATTGACCTTGTGTTATCTGACATATTTTTATCCCACCTTTCCATAGTGATCAAAATAGCTTATGTTGTAATTAAAAACAAAACTATACAGCAATATCTATATTAAGGAATAAACACAGGAAGACTGGGAACTTGCCCACAAGTCTGTCAAACTTCAGCACTTTTAATAAGGCTGACTAGAATCCATTATTTTCCATTTAAGATGATGAAATTAGAGAGACAAGGATCCCACGTGGAAATTTTCAAATCCCTCCACGTGCTTTCTTGTCAGCGCACCAGCCTGCAGGGGTTTCAATCCTTTGCACACTTTCCTCGGAGGAAGCCCACTGAAAACAACTTACATTCGGAAAGTATTATTGTACCGGAAGTGGATACAACGCTCCGTTTTAATCTGCCCGCGGCTGTATCTGCGAATAGGTTTTTTTGGTTTTCAACTCATTTCGCTATTTACTGAGGTTGCTCATACTCGGGAAATGCAGAAAAATAGCAGAGTGCAACCCGATCTAACCTTAAGTTTTGCACAAATTAAATCGGACTCAGGTACCGGGGACTTCCTCCTAGGTAAACGTGCTCGGGACGGCGGCAGCCCGTCTCTCTGCATGTTTGCTCGGAAGTAAATTCCCTCCGAACTCCATGAGAAATACTGCCATTGAAAAGTACTGGAAGTGCGGAGCTACGGCGAAGGGACGGCTTTTGCCTCGGGCTAGGCTGACAAAGCAGATCCCCTCCTTGCGGGTTTCCCGCCCCCGCGGGACTACCCACAAGCCCCATTGGCCGGTTTCTGGCTGGCTGCCCGTTTCCTACTGATTAACCGAGAGGGGAAACCAGGCTGCTGGCAAAAGCGGCCGGGCTGCGACTTCAAGGCCGTTTGCTGAGCATGCTCCGAGCTCCACCCGCTGCGCCGCCAGAGGAACTGCGCGGAGAAGCGGAAAGCACGAAGCATGCGTGCGGGGGCTGGCTTGGGGCGGCTGCTTTGGACGGTTCAGCCACACCGCTCTTCGTGCAGGAGAGGGACGCCGGCGCGGCTTCTGCAGCCGTGGGTCCTGATCTGTCGCTCGCACGGCGGCCTCATGGCTCAGTACGGCACGGAGCAGCGGGGGCAGCTCCACTCGCCCGATTTCCGCCTTTACTTTAGTAAGTAGCCGCTCGGCAGGACCCGCGTGGGCAGCGGCGGCGGCAGCGGTGACGCTTCCTTCGAACGCGCCGGCGTTCTATGGAACGCTGCGGGAACATTCGCTTGCTTTGATCTTTGTTACATGGCGTTCTAGGGCGGGGCTTCAGCGCCCAGCGAACACCCGCCCCTCTCCCTCCCTTCTCTGATGGGTGGGATTTAAGAGCAATTAAAAAAGAATAATCATAATACAGGGTTCCAGGGCGGGACTTGGGCTTGTTCCTCCCCCTTCCCTTCTGATTGTACTGTCATTCTAAACGCGTAATGAATTACCGGGCGTCCTAGAGCGGCGTTTAGGGAAAGAATCCTTTCCCGGTGTCGACTGGTTATACAGTAATTTAAGATCCTTTGCTGGAACAGATCAGAGATTAATCTAGTCCGCTATTGGCGTTTCCTAGTGGGGGAGGGGGCAGTGATTCATTTTCGGATGCCAACTGGAATCTGCCCTGGCGAGGCTCAAGCTTTACGTTATAATTAAATTACAAAAATCAAAGCCTGATTCAGAATTTGGGTGCGTGGCCTGCCTTGCACTTACAATCACTTTTCGCATGCCGCAGTGACAGGAGACTCGGTTTGTAACTCTAATGTGTGGATCTGAATAACTGATAACCCCGTAAAGTGCAAATAGCAAACATATCACATACAAGAGTGCAAGTAGTGTAGAGCCAAGGCCACTTGTAAGCATCCTGGAGTGTGTATTGGAGAATAAGGCCATCTGGCTACTAGCCATGTTGGCCCTGCTCTGCTTCTGCAGTTGGAGACAGTACACTTCTGAGTATCAGTTGTTGGGAACTGCAGGACGAGGGAGCGCTCTTGTGCTCTGGTCCTGCTTGCCGGTTCCTCACAGGTGTCTGGTTGGTCACTGAGAATAGGATGCTCTACTAGATGGGCCATTGGCCTGATCCAACTGTATGGCTATGTGCATGCAAGAATCACACATACACATCTGGCAGATTCTTCCATGATAGCTTAATTCTGAAGCAGCCTGTAGCAGTGGGGTGAAGCAGCAGTATGTACAGTACTGGAGATCTTCAGATGGGACCAGCTTTTCCAGTCTGGAAACCATATGTGGACTGCCCATGCCTTCTTCTTCTTCTTTGGTGATCACTCGTCGCCGAGTAAGATTGTCTTCCATAAACACGGTTTTAACAATGAGTCCGTAAGTGACTGTGGAGGCCAATTCTGGATCCACATGTCCTTCCACAGTGGGGACATTGGTTTCCGGGCGGGATTTGACAAAGTGTGGGTTTGCCAAGCGTGCCTTCCTCTTAGCATGTTTCTCCCTTGCGTCCTGAGTTTGAGTGTCTTCAAAGCCCATGACACCTTTGGTAAAGGCTGTTCTCCAACTGGAGCACTCACAGGCCAGTGTTTCCCAGTTGTCAGTGTTTATACTACATTTTTAAAGATTTGCCTTGAGACAGTCTTTAAACCTCTTGTTGATCAGCACTACGCTTTCCATTTTTAATTTCGGAATAGAGTAGTTGCTTTGGAAGACGATCATCAGGCATCTGCACAACATGACCAGTCCAACGAAGTTGATGTTGAAGAATCATTGCTTCAACACTGGTGATCTTTGCTTCTTCCACTACACTGGCATTAGTTCGCCCATGTATGATGTATGTGGATTGCCGTACATGACGTTTGCACGGGTTTTGCTGAGTATACCTGTGCTAGAAAGGCTTGGCCACAGCTAATAATAGTTTCCACTGTGCAATGAAAATAATAGGCCCTGCTTGTAGCTTGGGGCCACTGAGAACAAGAAGTTCTCACCAATCAAGCTCTTATCTTGGCTTTGTGGGCAAAATCCCCTGGCGAATGCTTGTTCTGCAGGTCAGCCCTCTGCATGTTTATTCAGAAGTCAATTCAGTGTGCCCTGCTGCTGAGTAGACATAGAACTGAGTTCCTAGGAAGGCATACCTTGAATGCTTACTTTTCTCATTGTTGCAAAGCGTGCCCAGTAAGTGTTGCTGCAGTTGCAGAGCAGATGTACAGCAGCCCTCGTGGTTAAAAAGTCCCATGAGAAGACTGAGGGAGCCATAGCTTAGGGATGGAGTGCATGAGTTGTGTGCAGAGAGTCCCACATTCAACCACCAACATCTCCATTATAGTATCTCCTCCCTTGCAGAGGTGCTATAGACTTGCAAGCAATGTACTATAGACTCACAGGTACTGTCCCAGTGTTGACCTAGTAACTAGCCTCCCATGAAGGTAGCTTCATACATTTATATGTAAGTCTCCTCTACCATCTGATGAAATGAATCTGCATAAGCACACACAGCAGGTTAACCACGGCAGTAACACCTTCCTACAGCATGTTAGTGGTACAGTTCTTTGTGATTTACTCACTGTTTGTAAGGAATGGTCCATCAAATGGTGAAATGTGGGCAAGTTCTAACACTGGTTGCTAGTCATACAACATAGGACCTGCTACCCTAAGGTTACCAGATTTTTTTCAATGAATCTGGAGACACTTTTCAACTTCAATTGATTTTATATGGGGACTGATTTGTAAATCCGGGGACTGTCCCCAGGAAACGGGGACATCTGGTAACCTTGCGCTACCCTATTACCTAGAAAGTTAATTGAATTAATTGAGTTTTTTATCATTGGTTTCTTAGATCTGAAAATCATAGTGTTGAGGTGGGAGAGGAGACAAGCTTCTAGGTATTCTTGAATGTATATTATTGCTTACTGATTGTAGAACAGGAAAGCAACCCAGCTTTTAAAGCAAGCTGAAAACTAGTTCTCTGCCACGATAACGTGAATTGTTTGTGCTTTGAAGAGGAGGTGGTTAAAACTGTATTGCCAATATTTTAGCTGAGCAAGCAGAGTTTATAGCTGAATAACTGCAAACTAGTTTTTTGTACCAGTAGAGAGACAAGCAATTGTATACACTGCCTGTGTGTTTGTGCTTATAACGTTTTGTTTAATCTTGTAGAGAATTCAAAGGGAAAATACATTTCCCCATTCCATGACATTCCTCTGTTTGCTGGATCAAATGAGGTAATTAACACATGTAACACTCTTTATTTGTTGAAATTGCTGGAAGTTGAGATCTTTTAAGGTAAGAATGAGTCTTTCACTTTTAACCTAACTAGTTCTATAGTCATAACTTTTTATTGTCAGGGGAAAAAATCATTTCAGCCAAAGTTTGATTTCATCCACATCTCATCAATTCTGAAATTATCAGTGACATTTGAGTTGTGGTCTTGCACTGGTAGAGGTCAGGAGACCTCATTAATTGCAATGGCCTGCTTCCTAAAGCAAAATTCACAGCAGTGTGTGGGTACTATCCTTTTTTGCATTCTGGGTTCTTTTGACATTATTTGGGCTAACTTGTGTGGTCCACTTGTTACTAAAATCCTCATCCTTATGGTCATCTGATGTATTTTAAATGTGAGAAGCAAAAGTGAATATTCAATACACAAATTTGTTACGCCTTAACTGTGTTATGTGCTTTTGAGAATGCATTTTTTGTTTTGGGGCAGAAGTAGTCAAAGAAGCACCAAGTCTAGAATTATTTGCAAGAATTGCAGTAATGAGGATTTCCTATTCTGGATGATAGGACAGTCTGCCGATCCATTCTTTATTTTTTTATATAGCATTTTATTTTTACAAGAAGAGACTAGGATAGTGCCTTCTATAGCAATCCTCGTGATTACAAATCATTACAAATTCAAAGATCAACACATCTCAGGGATGGGGAACCTCAGGATGCATTCCAGTCAGTCAAAAATTCTCAAGGTTTGTGCAAGCAGGAGTGGCCTAAAAGTCATCAGACAGAGAGACCTGGAAGGATGCATTTGGGATGCAGGTTCCCCACTCTTACTGTAGTTGAGTTGCTCATTCAACAAATATCCACAACCTTTAAATAACTTTTTTTGGGGAGGAAGGTGTTGAATCTAGTTAGTACTAGACACTGAGATCCAGCGCCGAGGGCCTTCTGGCGGTTCCCTCATTGTGAGAAGTAAGGTTACAGGGAGAGAAACCAGGCAGAGGGCCTTCTCGGTAGTGGCGCCTGCCCTGTGGAACGCCCTCCCAGCAGATGTCAAGGCAATAAACAACTATTTTACTTTTAAAAGACAACTGAAGGCAGCCCTCTTTAGGGAAGTTTTTAATGTCTGATGCTGTATTGTTTTTAATATTCAGTTGGAAGCCACCCAGAGTGGCTGGGGAAACCCATCCAGATGGGCGGGGTATAAATAAATAATAATAATAATAATTATTATTATTATTATCATCATCATCATTATATTAGTAATTAGCCAGCAAACTCATAATATTTTTGAACACTGGTGCTGAGCTTGACACCTGCATTCGATAGTCACTTTATCACTTGGCCCCATTTTTTAGACTTGTCTCTTTACAAGTTAGCCTTGTGTATTCACTGATTTTTCTATTTTCCTGTACAGGATAAGGAGATTCCTGCAAAGAGGTCGAAGAACAGTGAAAGTGAGGTATGATCACAGAGCCCTTTATTGAGATTATTTGCTGTACCTAGCTTTGCAGGGGAAGGAGAAATGTGGGGGGCTTTTTAAAACTAAAGGCAGCTGTCTGATTGTTCTCTGATGTGTTCAGTTCCTTGCCTTCAAGCCAGGGTTGAGGAAAATTAGGGTGCAATAATTCTGGGCATCAGTAAGAGGATTTTGCTACACTTGTTGTCTTGTGTCCACTGTATGGTCTCAATTAAATATTCATACATTTGAGCAAAGCCTGTATTTTTCATTGCCACCACTCCAGATGGAATTTAATTCGTATTTCAGTAGACAAATGTTTCAAGATACAAATGTCATCACTTGAAAGTTCTCAGATACCCTTTTTGTGTCTCTTTTAACTGGGCAACTTTTTTAAAATAGTAAATCCGTCTGCCTATAGCAGGGACACCCAACTTCCAAGAGACTGTGATCTACTCACACAATTCAAAACTGGCAGTGATCTACCCCTTTTGGGAGGTTCAGGTCAAAGTCGTTGAGCTTTTCTTAGGGAGAAAAATCACGTTTTTTTTGGGGGGGGGGGGAGAACAAGCCTAAGGAATACATGGAAAAAGCCGCTCAACAAGAGATCACTAATGAAACAGTCAGCCTCGCAGCAGGAGCTCTGACTTCTGTTCTAGCGATCTGGAGGACGGGAGGGGGGGAGGGGCTGGATGGATGGAAGAGCTAGCGATTGACCGCAATCTACCAAAACTTCCCGGGGATCAACCAATAGATTGTGATCGACCTGGACATCCATGGCCTATAGCAATATTTTTCTGGAAGATAGCTATACAGTGGAACCTCGGGTTACATACGCTTCAGGTTACAGACGCTTCAGGTTGACTGTACCATTACAGGCCAGGGTGCGTGTGGCTGTGTTCACGTGTGCTGTTTTTGAACGCTCTTCCACCTAAAAACTCTGCACACATGGGAGAAAGATGGCTCCTCTTCATTCTGAAATGTGCTTCCTAAAGAAGTTTACCAGGCCCACTCTGTCAAATCTGTAAACATAGCTATGACGTGGTTTTGTGGGACAGCCTTGCACCAGCCATTTTGCCTACAGCAATCATGAAGCCATTCAAAGATTCAGATTCCCCAGTGTTAAGTAGGACTGCCCATGAATCGATGACTTTTTTCTGGAACTTCATTCTGCTATCAAGAACTTTGTGGATTAATTTGCCATGCTGGTCATCTAGTTTATCATCACAGGCGTGGGCAGAGATGCTCACCTGAACTCCGGCTGGTCACATCACTGATTTTAATGTTACGTAGAGAGGGAGGGGGAAAGTGTTGTGAGATGTTGGTGTGGTGCAAACATACCCGCAGGAGCACCAGACTAGCTTTCCCAGTGTGTCTGCACCACATGACCTTCACAGCTGCCTCTTCCCCTGTACCTCTCCATAAACAGCCATGACACTACCAACCAGAGGTATAAATCTATGCAATCATCAGAATCGCTGTATTTGACCAAGCAGTTTCTTCCACTGATGCCCCATGCAAACAACTCAGATCTGCCTGTCACTTTTATCCTATAAGGCAGTCTTCATGGTCTATGGCTGATGTTTGCCAGATGTAAACGTCCCCTAAAATTAAACAGTTTATTAGTTTACACCACACTCTGTCTATAGATGTTTCACAGAGCCCATGGAAATACTGATAACCAAGATACTACCTAAAACTACAGTGGTACCTCGGGTTAATTACTTAATTCGTTCTGGAGGTCCGTTCTTAACCTGAAACTGTTCTTAACCTGAAGCACCACTTTAGCTAATGGGGCCTGCTGCTGCCGCCGCGCCGCCAGAGCACGATTTGTGTTCTCATCGTGAAGCAAAGTTCTTAACCCGAGGTACTGTTTCTGGGTTAGCGGAGTCTGTAACCTGAAGCGTCTGTAACCTGAAGCGTATCTAACCCGAGGTACCACTGTACTGTAATACTGTGTATGATGATAATACTGTGTAGTGTGAATGTGGTCTTTGTTTGGAGGTGGGCCGTATTTGCCAATGGGTTGCTCTAACCATGTTTAGGAAGGGGAGGGACTGTGATGAACAAGCATGAAGTCTTGAGGCTGGCTCCCAGCTGGTCAGCCATTGCAAGCAGAGAGCTAGCACTGTTTCCTTTGACCCTGAAGAGTATGATAATAACCATGGTTGCTCTGTGCTCATTCTCTGTAGATTTGTGTCTGTTTCCCATTAATTTCTTAGTTGTTCCTTCCCACCCGCTTTTTCTTCTTCTGTTAAGGTTGTACTTAACATGGTTGTAGAAGTGCCTCGCTGGACGAATGCTAAAATGGAGGTAACCATGGACAGCAGCTTGCAAAAAAAGTAATATAAGTGGAACTTGGCAAAAGTTTGTGGCAGTGCATCTTCAGGCCCGAAAAGGATTCTTTTGTGAGAGTATAAGATATATAAGTTGTCAACGGCTTGAACACACCACAAACAGCATTTTAAATAAAGTATCCCTTAAATGGAAAGATGCATTTAATATCACTTGGACTGGCACGTCAAGGGAATTCCCTAACCCACCCCAATATTTTTATCACCATAAACAAATATGTTCAATGTACTGTTTCCCTCACTTTGGGAGATGGGGCAAATATATAAAGCTTGACGCTTTGTTGTGTTGTACGCTATGGGGATAATCAGTTGAATCATTTTACAGTAATCCTCCTTTCTCCTTCCTTCCCAAATCTCTCCTCTCCATTTTGCAACATGTTCCAGATTGCCACAAAGGAGCCATTGAATCCCATTAAGCAAGATGTAAAGCAGGGCAAGCTGCGATACGTGGCAAATATCTTTCCCCATAAGGGCTATATTTGGAATTATGGGGCCTTCCCTCAGGTAATATGGTTCCCCCCCCCCCCCCGTGTGAAAGTTTTCTGTCTCAGTAAAGTCTAGGCATAAATCTTGTCATTTTTTATGAATGCAAAGTGGTTGCATGGAAAACAAAGGTGTTCAGGAGCCTTGTGCATTGGCTAAAGGGCTGGGGAGACATTATGCAACAATATTTGCCCATTAGTTTTGAGAAGTATTTAAAAACAGAATGTATGTGTTCCTGGGAAAATAGTCATGCAGGTTCATAGTGGTCTGATTCATGCAGAATTGTAGCGTTGGAAGGAGCCACAAGGGTCATCAGTGAAGGAGTCTTTTGCCCAACATGGGCCTTAAACTCACAACTCTTCAGATTAAGAGACTCTCATACTACTAAACCATGGTTTAGTAAACTATGGTTTACTAAACCATGGCATAGCATCATGTGTGAACCCAGTCTAGTAGCTTAACTATGGTTTATCGACTATGGTTAAAGGTTGCCCATTAACCAACGTTTGTAGCCAATTTATAAAACTTAGGTTACATTATCCTCATCTTGGCATTTTGTGTGAGACTGGACCTCCTCCTCAATTACGGTTAAGGAGTTGTCATGTTCCCAAAGCTATAGACCCACAACAAAGAGTGATTTTCCTGGCTTTGCCTCCTTTAATGGGTGAACCTAATAAACCAAGATTTAAGTCATTGTCTGCCAGATGTTTCAGTTTTAACTATACTCTATTAACTATGGTTATCCTTAATAATGGTTAACATGAACCATGGCTTAATGTTATGTGTGAACCAGGTTAATGTCCAGGGGTTTTTCTGCATAATGCATTTATGTTATATTCAAAACTTTGGGCAGATGGTGAATAGCATTGAAGTGGAGGTGGGACAACTGCTGGCCTATTGTGCGTTATGTGGATCTGTTCCATAGCACCGATATTTCATTCATTATATTTTTGCCTAGGACTTTATGTCAAAACACCCCCCCCATCCTGATTATAGCTTCACAATACAGTGGTACCTCGGGTTACATACGCTTCAGGTTACATACACTTCAGGTTACAGACTCCGCTAACCCAGAAATAGTACCTCAGGTTAAGAACTTTGCTTCAGGATGAGAACAGAAATTGCGTGGTGGCGGTGCGGCAGCAGCAGGAGGCCCCATTAGCTAAAGTGGTGCTTCAGGTTAAGAACAGTTTCAGGTTAAGGACGGACCTCCAGAACGAATTAAGTACTTAACCCGAGGTACCACTGTACCTTATAAGAGAGGGTTGTTACTTTTCTACAGCAGAGTGAAGATTTGACCCAGATCTCTACCCTAGCCAAACACCCTGTAACATGTGCCCCTCACCCCCAGAAATTGTTGGATTCGAACTCCTATCATACCTGACACTTGAAGCCACACATCATCTGGAGGGCCACAGGTTCCCCTGTATTATTTGTTGGGGACACCCGTATGCCATTGTCTCAAGGGAAATGAGAGTCACTATTAAACCTAGTCCACGCAAGTAGCATGGCTCTTTATTTTGGGAATCTTTGTAACCCATAGAGACCAGTAATAAGGCAAACGTTGATCACCAGAGCTGAAATTTGAGATCTTTCCTTGCTTTCAACAGACTTGGGAAGATCCCAATCACAAAGATGATAGCACAGGATGCTGTGGTGACAACGATCCTATTGACGTCTGCGAAATTGGTTCCCAGGTCTGTGTTAACTACTTGCTCTAGATTTTAATCTAATGTTTCAGCCATTTTTTTTCTATTATGAAGTAGGAGAATAGGCCGCAGCAGTCCAACTGGGAGATAGGGATCAAAACCTTAGTTTAGACCCGTGGTAAAGGTAAAGGGACCCCTGACCGTTAGGGCCAGTCGCGGATGACTCTGGGGTTGTGGCGCTCATCTCGCTTTACTGGCTGAGGGAGCCAGCGTACAGCTTCCGGGTCATGTGGCCAGCATGACTAAGCCACTTCTGGCGAACCAGAGCACCACACGGAAACGCTGTTTACCTTCCCACTGGAGCGGTACCTGTTTATCTACTTGCACTGCGTGCTTTTGAACTGCTAGGTTGGCAGGAGCAGGGACCGAGCAATGGGAGCTCACCTCGTTGCAGGGATTTGAACCGCCAACCTTCTGATCGGCAAGCCCTAGGCTCTGTGGTTTAACCCACAGCGCCACCTGCATCCCGTGGTACCTGCAACCAAATATTGCAGAGTTTCATTTTACCTATACAGGGTTCTAGCCAGCTAGCTGTAAACTAGCTGTGAAAGCTCAAAGAAGTCCAGCAAGACATTTTCCTTCATCTCTCCTCTTTTCCATTTTTCCATTCCGGATGACGCTTCATGCTCTGTTTCCACTAGGCATCTGCAATGAATAGGTGGTGTTTGTTTGTTTTATTGCACTTCTGCAAACCTTGGGGTTCCCTCAGTACGCTAATATCTCTCTCAACCCAATTTTAGCTCTAGTATTGTTGGTACTCACCACCTGAGTTTGCTATTAAAGCGAGCGATGCTGAGACCTTGGGAGATGAAACAATACCACTGATGCGGTAGAAGCAGGCTGGAAAATTAACACGTCTAGGAAAGAAACTAGGACGTAGCTGAAAAATAACAATTGTGGAGTCTTTCTTCTTTGCGGTGCTCTTCTAATTCAGAAGCTCGTTTTCTGTGCTTTTAAGGTTCGAATGTTCGGTGAGGTGGTTCCGGTGAAGGTCCTTGGAATTCTTGGTCTTATTGATGAAGGAGAAACTGACTGGAAGGTCCTTGCTCTCAGTGTGGATGACCCAGAATCACAGAAGATTCATAGTAAGCATTTTTAATCTCCCTGTTAAATCACCCATTGCACCTAATCTACAAACATCCTGTGTTTTAACTGTCATTGTTAGGAACCTTGAGAGTTGTGAGGCTCTATGGAGCATTGAAGATTGCAAGCAGAACTTTCTCAGCTTGCCCACCAAGCTACAATTTGTAGTGTTTGGGGTCAAAGCCATAGTAGCTAAAGAGGTTAAAAATTGGCTTGAGTTTGTGTTTATTAGATCTGAGTTGCTTTGTGACATGTGAAGGCATTTGAATTTGTAACATAGAATTCCTAACCAATCTTTTAATGGCATGACTTTCCAGTATATATAATACCCATCATTATTGTTACTATGTTGACGTTTGGTACCTTAAAAGAGTAATATAATTTATTATGGCATAAGTTTTCATGGACTGGGGTCCACTTCTTCAGATGGACGAAGCGTTAGCCTGAGTTACGTGTGGATGCAGGTGAGAATTGTAAACAGAACTGAAAATCGGAGGGAAATGAAACGTTTAAAGTACGCACAGTGATAATCGCAATATTAACAGCTGCCATTTTTATTTGGAAAACGTATCTTTATTCTTTTCAACCTGAAAGCAACTTCCTCCAAGTTTTTAAGGGACTTCAGTTGGTCCACCAGTTACGACATTTTATGGACAGGGATGATTTGGCCCCTGAACTTCATGCTCTGGATTATTGCAATGTTGTCTATGTGGGGCTTCCCTTGAAGACGATTCAGGAACGTCAGTGGGTCCAGAATGCAACAGGAAGATTTCAGATGGGTTTCTATCTAGATCTCACATAACCCTTATTTTAAAACAGCTACACTGGTTGCCCAGTTTGGGCCCAATTCAAGATGCTATTGTTAGTGTTTAAAGCCCTAAATGACTTAGGCCTGTCTGAAAGGCCTTCTCGAGGGACCATCTTGATAGTTCTTGTACCTTCTGAGGCCTGGGGATGGGTGGCTTGGGAGAGGGCCTTCTGAATGGCAGTCCCAAGTTGTGGAACTCCCTCAGAGGTGTGTTTGGCACCTTCATTGTACATCTTCTGGTGACTGCTGAAGACACACCGCTTTACCCTGGCTTTTTGACACTTGAGGTGTGTATATTGTTAGAGCCCACCTGGTTTTGTGTTCGCAAGTTGTTTTGAACTGTGCTTTAATGTTTTAACCTTCTCTGGGACCTATATTATTGCTCTTCGTGTTCAATTCTCAGGGTTTTTTTCAGGTGCGAAACCAGAACCATTAACGTACTGTATTGGTTCTCCACAGATAGTGTTTAAATATGTTGAGCAGCAAGGAAGATTTATGAATGCATCGGAGTGAATTTGAATAAACATTCAATATTGAGCAGCTTGAAACGTGTGAGCTCCCTTTCCCCCCGCTGCAAAACATTGCAAATGCCTTTATATGGTCTGAAGTGGTGCTTCCTGTAAATGTTTAGAAGATGTCATTAAAAACATATGCCCTCTTCCCACAGGCTTTCTCCCCCTGAATGCGTGCTGCAAATTGGGTGTGTTAGCTTTGCTAGAAAAAGAAAAAGGGAGAGGGGAAATGGCCACACGCGCATGTGGAGACACACACATGCACACAAAGTAGTTATGTACAAATCGTTTCTCTTGGTGCCAGTCCCTGTAGAGTTGGGAACTGGCATTCAGTTGCTCAAGGCTGCTTTCATGCGTTCATCAGAAGCATGCGCCAGTTCACATTAGTGATCCAAATAGCCCGGCGTTGCCTACTTTGACTGGCACCACCTCTCCAAGATCTCTCTGGGGCTGAGGGGGTGGGGAAGGAGCCCCAAAACATCCTGAACACCTCTCCCCCTGTTCTTCACGATCCTTTAACTGGTGAGGCCAGAGAAGAGCAGTGGCTCAGTGGTAGAGGACATGCTTTGCATGCGAAAGGTCCTGGTATCTCCAGATTGGGTTGGGAGAGATCCTGGTCTGGAACCCTGGAGAGCTACTGCCATCCATTGTAGACAATACTGAGCAAGATGAGCCAGTAATAATAATAATAATAATAATAATAATAATAATAATAATTTATTTATACCCCGCCCATCTGGCTGAGTTTCCCCAGCCACTCTGGGCAGCTCCCAATCAAATCTTAAAAACAGTACAGCGTTAAATATTAAAAACTTCCCTAAACAGGGCTGCCTTCAGATGTCTTTTAAATATAGGTTAGCTGCTTATTTCCTTCACATCTGAAGGGAGGGTGTTCCACAGGGTGGGCGCCACCACTGAGAAGGCCCTCTGTCTGGTTCCCTGCAACCTCACTTCTTGCAATGAGGGAACCGCCAGAAGGCCCTCGGTGCTGGATCTCAGTGTCCGGGCAGAATGATGGGGGTGGAGACGCTCCTTCAGGTATACAGGACCGAGGCCGTTTAGGGCTTTAAAGGTCAGCACCAACACTTTGAATTGTGCTCAGAAACGTACTGGGAGCCAATGCAGATCTCTCAGAACCGGTGTTATGTTGTCCTGGCGGCCAGTCCCAGTCACCAATCTAGCTGCCGCATTCTGGATTAATTGCAGTTTCCGGGTCACCTTCAAAGGTAGCCCCACGTAGAGCACATTGCAGTAGTCCAAGCGGGAGATAACTGGAGCATGCACCACTCTGGCGAGACAGTCCAGTGGTTTGACCCTGTATCAGGCAGCTGCTTATGTCCACACAAACCTTGAATCTCCTGTCTGCTCTGCCGCTGAGTGATGGTACTTCCTCATTATGGAGGAATAGAGTCCATTATTCACCTTGGAGGCACTTTTAGGCTTGCCAGGGAGTTGTTTTTTTCTGTGTGTGTGTGTGTGTGTCAGTCATAGCTCTCTGCTGCTCAGTGGCATAGCGTGGGTTACTAGTGCCCAGGTCAAGGCAAGTATCCTCAGCACCGCTCGCTGATAAGCTGGAACAAAGGGTTAATAGCTCACAGCGCCTTATGAGCATTGGGCACGGCGGAGAGCGTGATGGGGGATTGGTCAGGAGTGGGTATCTTTCTGAAACCCATGCAGAGGGTGCCCAAATCTGCTCCTCAGTCTACCCATGCGAACATTGGGAGATTTTCTGTGTGAGGAGGAAAGAGCGCTATTTTTTATTTTTATTATTACTACTTTCTCTTTTTTTTCCTATTGAAATTTTGCTCCCCCTCGAATTTTGCACCAAGGGCAACAGCCCCCCCCGCCCACTATGCCTGTGCCGCTGCTGCCTCAGACAGAATTGAGCCATCATGTACAAAGCCCTATTTTTTCGACAACAGTGGAGCAGTAGTTGCTGTGAAAGTTTGCTGCAAGATTCTTCCTGTTGTGTTCTAGTGAGCCTCCATGCCAAATCAAGAAAAAATACGGAGCTTCTGTCTCTCAACAGTCTCTCAACTGTACCTCTGCAAATTGGTGGAACTGCCTTCTGAGCTGCCAAAAAGCAGCAGTCTCTAGCTCAGCCTTTCCAAGTCTTCTGGACTCCAGCTCCCATCAGCCCCAGTCAACATGGTCAATAACCAAGGATGATGGGAGTTGTAGTCCAAAACAACTGGCAGGCACCAGGTTGTGGCAGGAGAACCTGTGGCTCTCCAAATGCTGTTGGACTACAACTCCCATCTCCCCTGGCCGTCAACTATGATGTCTGGGACTGATGGAAGTTGGAGTCAAACAACATCTGGAGGGTGTTCCCCATCCCTGATTTGGAGTGCAAAACCAGTGTAATAAATTACATAGACTTACAGTGTTGGTTTTCAGAATCAATGTGTACATTTATGGCAAAGTAACTGAAATTATATACAATGCATGGTATCTGTTGTGCATCCAGAACTCTTTGCAAGCAGGGACTAAACCGTAATCCATTCACTTTAGTTTTACAGAAACCTCCATGCACTCACTGAAATGAATCGAATTGTTTCTCTTTGTGGGGTGTGTTTTATTGGAGACCTTGCAGGTGTCACCTTGTAGACCAGTGGAAGCACTTGCATGTACATTTAGACCCTATGGAGTTGGTGCAAATTGGGATATAGCGCTATTTTGTGCATAAGTATAGATACCTGTTTTTCTAACCCTTTGCAGATATTGATGATGTCCGGAAGTTCAAGCCAGGTTATCTTGAAGCTACGGTTGACTGGTTCAGATTATATAAAGTTCCTGACAGGAAACCAGAAAATCAGTTTGCTTTTAATGGCACTTTTAAAGACAAGGTGAGGTACTTCCTTGTGAAAGATGACAGATTTGCTAATGGTTCTCGTTGAAATTGTACTTTTTGGAATAAAACTTTCAGAAGAGTTCTGGAATCTCATGCAAAAAAGGGTGGGAATCTCCAAATAAAGTAAACTTTTATTTGTGTTAAAAATGTACACCTGATATTTCACCTTTATAGTTCCATGCTTGGCTATGGAACAAGAAGTATTGAGCCTCACCATGTAGGAATAAAGCAGAAGTAGTTAACACACAGGGTGCGGGCCAAATCTGGCTGGCCAAGCCACAAGAAGTGACCCTCCAGCCCTTCCCCTCTCTCCAGTTTTATCACTCCATTTTGCCAGATAATAAATCTCCCTGTCTGTCTTGCTGAGGGTGATTTATATATATATATAAAAGAGCTCTTTATCTCCCTATGGAGGATCTCTGAAGAACGTTCTGAGTGATCTTTCGTCTCTGATCTCGGCAGTCATCGCAACAAGCGCTGAGATCTGAGATAAGCCCCTCTACATCTTCTGTAAGAGTACAAGACAGTGTTTTCTTCCTCTCCAGTGCTGGCATGTGGGGAAGGTTCAGACCCTGCCTTTTTCAACAGATCCATTAATGGTGATAGGAAGGCTACCAATGCTGACTTTGACTATGTGCATGTGCGCCAATGTATTTTTGTATTTGTGTTCATACGCAGGCGTGTAGGTCAAAGGGATGGAACAACTCACCTTCGAGGAGATTACTTGATACTTTAGGGGGAAAGGCAAGCAAGGCAAGGAGCATAATAGAGATGGCATGGAGAACGTGGAGAAGGTTTTCCCACCTCTTTCATAATCCTTGAGCTCGGGGACATTCAGTGAAGCTGAAAGCTGTATAAAAAGAAAGGACTTCTTTAAACTATTGAACTTGCTCCCACAGGAGACAGTGATGGCTGCTATCTTAGAGGAGGACACAAATTATTGGAGAAGATGGCCTCTACCCATGATGGCCATGTTGTGCCTCTACAGTTGGAGGAAGCAGTGCTTCTGAGTACCAGTTGCTGGAAGCCACAGGAGTCCTGCATGTAGCTTTCCCACAAGCCCCTGGGTGGCTACTGTGAGAACAGGGTCTGAAATAAATAGGCCATTGGCTTGATGCAGCCGGCCCTTGTGGTCAGCAGTTGTCAGGGTTATAAGCAGATGTCAGGGAACTGCCATCGGCTCAGAGGCGAGGAATAGAAGGGCAGTTGTATTACAGGGAGCCCACAAAAATCTTGCGAAGCACTTCCCTTCCGGGGAGGGAAAGCCCCACCTCTAGTGGGGAAGAGGTGCAAGGACCAGAGGATGCTGGTGGGAGCCTTAACACCACTCCTGGACAAGCCAGACAGGAGGGAAACACACCCTTGCCATCGCCCATACTGCACAGTAGCCTAAGACGCAAAGAGGGGAGGAGAAGGTTGGGGGTAACAAAGCTCTTATGTTGGGGGAGGTCCAAAGAAAGACCACTCCCGGATTCTGCTAGCGATTGAGCCAGACATGAGCTTTGGAGCTCTTCACTGTAAATAGTTTGCACCAAAATAAAACCTGTAAAACACAAGTTTGGGGTCCTGCCTGGTTACTCTCGAGCAACTGCAACAGCCACCTGACAGCAGATTTTGAAAGATTGTGACAACAGCAATAAGAAAGAGATCCAGTTAGTCTTGTAGACAATTCTGCTGCTGTAACTTAGGATGTTTTGGAAGAAACCCCACCTTGTCTTCCCAGTGCCTGCGACTTCCAAATAATTGCATGGTCGTTTGAAAGCTTCCCTTTCCCAAAGTGCATTGTTGTAAGCTCATTGACGGTCTGCAATATTCTCCCTCTTTGAGGTTGGGGGAAGCTCCCAAGTCTCAGTTATATTCTCAGACTGACCTTAATTAGACACTTTCCAACTGTTTCACTGAGGTCCAGGGAGGGCCGTTGCCAAAACAGCTGGCGTTTAAAAAATTAAGCATCTGCTGAAAAGCTTTGCCTAGAGCAGAGCCAAGGCATGAACTGAATTATTTCGCTCTCTGATTGAACTGTCTTGGAGAGGCTTCACAAAACGGTTCTGGGAATGCTAAGAGGGGTTAGTCTTTCCCCAAATATGGCTTAGTTCCCATGGCCTGCATGAAACATAGCTGTGCTCAGGCCATTCCATTCTTATGAAATGCACATTCTCATTCCTGGTGTGTCTCACCCGCCCCTTCTACTTTTTTGGGAGCAGATCAGTGTTTTTTTGGAAGTTTCCACAATGTTTGGTCTGAATTGGGGGAGGTTACAGCTTCTTATTTTTAGAATGGAAGTGGCTTAGCAAATGTATTGGGACCTTCCAAGCTCTTGTTCAGCCTGTAGTCTTAAGTGTTCTTTGAGTTCCTGTTTTGTTTTGCAAATCATACAATGTAACATTGATTTTAAAGAGGGGGTGGAATCACATCTTAATCGTCATTTTTTAAAAACAGGCATTTGCTTTTGAAATCATTCAATCCACCCATGAGTACTGGAAGGCTTTGCTTCACAAAAAGGCTGATGGAGGCGCCATAAAATGGTAAGCATTCACTTGGCACACAGATCTATTGAAATCCAGTGTGAATTAATGCAAAATTGACATGGGTGGCTTTTATTACAGTGGTTGCCTTTCTGTTCCTGAAGATCACTTCTGCGTACTGCCTTTGTTGGCAATTTCACTTAAATAAAATAATTAAGTCACAACCGCATGAGCCCCGCAGATTATTCAGTAATTAAATCGTTGTAACGGCTCAAAAATAAATTGGCCTGTAATCTCCTACTTGTAATTTTGCTTACAAAAAAAGAGAGAGGAAAACCTTGGCTTTTGCTTGAGGATATATTGAGTTTCGTGACTTTGCTCATTCTAGGGCCTCATCTGCACCAGAGGTTTAAAGCACTATGATGTTGTGCTTTAAACAGTCATGGCTTTTCCCAAAGAATGCTGGGAACTGTAGTTTGTTAAGAGTGCTGAGAGTTGTTAGGAGGCTCCTATTCCCTTCACAATTCCCAGAGTTCCCCGGGAAGCGGGGTTCAATCCAGGCTGAATCCTGAGAAGACAGAAGTACTGTTTTGGGGGGACAGGAGGCGGGCAGGTGTGGAGGACTCCCTGGTCCTGAATGGGGTAACTGTGCCTCTGAAGGACCAGGTGCGCAGCCTGTGAGTCATTCTGGACTCACAGCTGTCCATGGAGGCGCAGGTCAATTCTGTGTCCAGGGCAGCTGTTTATCAGTTCCATCTGGTACGCAGGATGAGACCCTATCTGCCCACGGACTGTCTCGCCAGAGTGGTGCATGCTCTAGTTATCTCTCGCTTGGACTACTGCAATGCGAGGCTGTGGGGCTACATTTACCTTTGAAGGTGACCCGGAAACTACAACTAATCCAGAATGTGGCAGCTAGACTGGTGACTGGGAGCGGCCGCTGAGACCATATAACACTGGTCTTGAAAGACCTACACTGGCTCCCAGTACATTTCTGAGCACAATTCAAAGTGTTGGTGCTGACCTTTAAAGCCCTAAACTGCCTCGGTCTAGTATACCGGAAGGAGCATCTCCATCCCCATCGTTCTGCTCGGACACTGAGGTCCAGCGCCGAGGGCCTTCTGGCAGTTCCCTCGCTGTGAGAAGCCAAGTTACAGGGAACCAGAGGGCCTTCTCGGTAGTGGCACCCACCCTGTGGAACGCCCTCCCACCAGATGTCAAAGAGAACAACAACTACCAGACTTTTAGAAGACATCTGAAGGCAGCCCTGTTTAGGGAAGCTTTTAATGTTTAATAGGTTATTGTTGGAAGCTGCCCAGAGTGGCTGGGGAAACCCATCCAGATGGGTGGGGTATAAATAAATTATTATCATTATTATTATTATTATTAACTACTCTGGGCAACACCAGCTTCTTATGTTCCTTCCTGTTCACATTTTCTATCATATCACTTGACAGTCACGCCCCAGTTGTTGGTAATTCTGTTCTGTTTTCAGCACCAACACCCAGCTGGATACCAGTCCATATTGCTGCAACGAAGAGGAAGTGCAAGCTATTGTGCAGTCTGTAAGGGAATTTTTTTACATCCCAATTCTTAAATGTATGTCATTAATTGAAGCATAAAATTTCCAGATGTGCTGCAAAGTGTAAAACAAAGACCTGACTTGAAAATCAAATGGAGAACACAGGTAGGGTGTTTGGGTGTGATGGCGGGAACGGGGGGCCAGGAATCTAGGTGGCAAGGGGTAAAAATATTTCACAGCTTTAAGTACTGTTTTCTTTACCATTTCTCAATCGGAGTAATTCCATTACCAGTCTTCTCAATACAGTGAATGTATTTCTCTCTTTACTTATTTCTCTGAAAGCGCCATAATGCTGGATTTTCTATCTCACTAATACTGAATAATAGCAAGGTGGACCATTTGTATCTCGCCTACTCGGTGTGCTGGCTTTGATTTGCCCTGTTGTCATGCGCTACTAGCACTTAAAGCACATTGACTAGCAGCAATATACTCTTAATCATAGAACGCGGGTGGTGCTGTGGGTTAAACCACAGAGCCTAGGACTTGCGGATCAGAAGGTCGGCGGTTCGAATCCCCGCAACGGGGTGAGCTCCTGTTGCTCGGTCCCTGCTCCTGCCAACCTAGCAGTTCGAAAGCACGTCAAAGTGCAAGTAGATATATAGGTACTGCTCCGGCGGGAACGTAAACGGCGTTTCCATGAGCTGCTCTGGTTTGCCAGAAGCTGCTTAGTCATGCTGGCCACATGACCCAGAAGCTGTACGCCAGCTCCCTCGGCCAATAAAGCAAGATGAGCACCGCAACCCCAGAGTCGGCTACGACTGGACCTAATGGTCAGGGATCTCTTTACCTTACTCTTAATCACAAAGAGCATACTTTATTGCCTTGTGTAATTCAGTGTATCTTGCAGGAAAAGATAAAAGTGTGTGTGTGTGTTTTAGAAAGAGATAATTATTTAAAATATTATTTTCAGTCCATCCACATGTTTCCATTTTCTTTTTTAAGAACACAAAAACTTAAGCAAAGGAGCTAAAAATATCAGAGCCTGCTTTTATCCTAAAAATGAAGCCTCGCATTCTGATCTGTTTATAAATGGGCTTTGCCAGCTGCAATGATTGCATCACTTACATCGAGAGTTTTCCGCCGCCCCCAGAAGTGTTCCCAGCTATTTAGCCAGCTGATTTTTAACTATTAATGCCCTGAAGTGCCCATTTTGTAAACTGAGTCATGGCAGTTGCACAGATGCAGGCCGTACAATGACGCTTCTGTTTTCTATGAAGAATCTAATCCAAGCTTTCGGAGACTCGTCTTCCCCCACTTTTGATTACAGCAGAATGCATAGTGCATGTTCAGAATGTACAGCGCATGCTTTAAATGTGCTGGAAAAGTATGGTGCCTTTCAGTGCAACCTTTTTATTAAATGAAATGTATGCTTGTCTGTTTTTGTTTTGTTTTGTTTTTAAATCCCTTTTTGTGTGTGCGTGAGCCCTTCAGCTCAGCCTCCAGGTTGCTACACCCTTCTGCAATTAACCCTAAGTGTATGTAACTACCGTATTTTTCGTCCCATAGGACGCACCGGCCCATAGGACGCACCTAGTTTTTTGCGCACCGACCCCTCTCGCTCTCCAAGCTTCAGCGAAAGCCTGCATTCGCCCCATAGGACGCACACAGATTTCCCCTTCATTTTTGGAGGGGAGAAAGTGCGCCCTATAGGGCGAAAAATACGGTAAATTAATTGCATGTTCTCCCTTTGTCGACTGCTGCCTCCCCTTCCCTAGTTTCCCCTACTGTCAAATTTTTGATTTATAAGCTTGTTGGATCGCTTTGCATGTTGGTGATGCAAAGTAAATAATACAACTGACTGTTCTTTCTGTAGGTTCCATCCCCTACAGAGGACTATCCTGTTTCCAAAGAAGGTAAGATCCATTTTTCCAGGCTTCTTCATCCCACAGCTGAAGCCTGCCTATCAGCCACACATGTGATAATTTACACTCCGTGTTCAATGCCACATACAGTTTTGTTCTAGTTGAAAACAATATGATTGTGAAATGGTGTCCTGTGGTCCTATTTTCTGTGACCTGACTTGAGCAAGTAGGATACCCCCCCATCCCCCAAACACTGGAATGATGGCATGAGACGTTTGCACACCACCTCTAGAACTGGAATTCTTCTTAAAGGAAATTCAAAATATCTTGTAGTAGGTTTTATGCAACTTAACATATTATTATATCAGGGTCTTTGCTCCTTTTTGCTACTTGTAAGCATTGCTAACTGCTGGACATCTGTGAAGCATAAATATTTAGCAGATCTGTGAGATCAGGTTGGCACAAACTTGGCGGGGGGGGAGCTTCTGCTAGAAATTAAAAACATGTCTGTTTCCCTGCCCCTTTATGCTTGTTCCTGATGTTATGCTTTATGTTCTTAACATTTTCTAAGTTGCTTAGAGAAACTTTCTGCAGCAAGCAATTTATAAACTGAACGAATGATTATATATTGATTCATTCACAGACAGCAGTGGTCTGTGTTTGAGTATTCTGTCCTTTTAAGGAACAGTCTAGTAATGAATAATATTTGTTCTGTTTTTTCCTTTAGTTGATAAGTGGCATTTTCTCAGGCAGTGATCATGAGTGTTCCCTGAAGTCAGTCTGTGCCATCTATCTACATCTATCTATCTTCTTTACACACATTCGTTTACTCTCTCTTTCACACACACACACACATTTTTTTGAAAATATGCAAGAGAATATATCACCAAATGGATTCTAAAGATACAAGTCTACATGTGCTGTGCAAATTTCTATCATGTAAATAAAAGCAGTGATTTTACATTCTCTTTGTGGTATTGTGTGTGCGTGTGCGTAAAATTTTAGATTGTTACCTAAAATACACTTTTAACCAAGTCTACCATTAGGTAATAACTGCAACCTCCCTATGTGTGCTTTACAAAGCAGATTGCCTTTTCCGCCTTGCCCCACTTTTATTTTATTTTTTAGACAGAGCAGTTAGGACTATCGACAAACATCACCTTCTTTGAGCCTTCGTTCACTATCCATGCCCCCCCAAAGCAGTTGTACCCAAATACGCTGGCGTAAATAACTCTGAAACAGCCCTGTCACAATTTTTGCACTTTAGTATAGGCAACTCCTGTTTTAGGCGCGACCGATTTGTGCGCAATTACGCACACAGCGCCGAACCCAGAAGTGACCCGGAAATGTCATAAAGATGTCCTTAAAAGAGTGGGATGGGGGCAGGGCAGAACGGGGTGTTTTCAGTCTTTTTCAATGGGTTTCCAATTTCACGCAAGTGCGCAGTGACTCGGAACGTACCCCTCCCCACATGCAAATGGAGAGTTGTCTGCAATTAAAATTTTAGTTTCGTTTCAAATATGGCATAAAAATGTGTTTTTATTCCTTGTGAATTTTTAGCTATGAAGGTGAAAAAGAACGAGTGTGGTGTAATAAAGAGTGTTGGACTTGGTCCTGGGAGGCCATGGTTGAGTAAGGAATCGAACCCTGATGCTCACTGGGTGAATTTGAGCCAGTCACTGTCTCTCAGCCTGACCCTACCTCACAGGGTTGTTCTGAGGGTAAAAATGGGGAGCCATGTACCCCACCTTGAGCTTGGGGGGGGAGCTAGTATATAAATACGTTCAAAGTAAAGGGCACTCTCCAGTCAAAAGTGTTTTAAAACCACTGATTTGAAAGGAAGTGTTGGACATGTTCTTAAATATTTCCATTGGAATTGATGTGCCACAGCAGAGTTACATATGGCCTATCAGATATCTTTTCTTAGTTAATGCAAACAATTAAAACAATTGTGCATTCCTGACTGCCCAATTGACTTTGATTTTGTTTACGTAGCCTGGAGTTGAAAAGTAAGTTCTTATAAAGATTTGTGGTTCAGTTTAGGTCAGAGTTTGCACCTAATAAATACTTGCTCTAAGAAGGGCTTCATTGACCACCAATGCTTGGGTGGTCCTGACCGAAGTCAATGGAATGTATTCTACATTAAATCAACAATAAAGTCAGCCGGACGTCTCTGCAGCCAGTGTTCTCTACGTGCCAGTTATTTACAGGCTCAAACATCTAAACAAGACAGAAAAGCGTGGAAAGAACAACTTGCTGGCATTTCTCTGTAGAACGGTGAGTAATGAAATGAAGTAGACTTGAGGAATTGCCTGAGGAAGAACTGAGGTGAACCATAAGACTTCTTGTGATGTGTGCGTTGTCTTGGAGTTCTGAACATCTGTCAATGGCCACTGTTTAACTAGGATAACTGGAGGTTACACTGGACTCAGAGTTCAGTTATGTTATGGGATGTCTTATCTGCATGCAACTATGGGAGTGTTTGCTTTAGTCCACAAATGAAGCTGCCGTCTGCTGAGTTGGTCTATCTGTCTCAGTATTGACCACACCAGAGTTTCCCAAACTACAACTCCCATCAGCCCCGTCAGGGATGATGGGAACTGTAGTCCAGCAACATTTAGAGACCCAAAATTGGGAAGGCTGGTCTACACTGACTGGCAGTGGCCCTCCAATCTGAATTCAGCAGAGGTCTTGCTTCTGGTTTTTGAGTCTGAACATGCATGCAGGAAACCACTCACTTGGGGAGATTGGCTTGTTCCTGGGCTACAAGCTGCTGGTGCCAGCTGTGCCCTTGACTTTTCCCTGTGTAAGAACATCATCTCTCTCCCAAGCCCTGCCCATAAGTAACCAAAGAATGACCTGAACTCAGGAAATGCACAGTTCTCAAAGAGACCAGGAATTACTGTCAGCCTGTGTGTTAATGACATTTCCCTTCCATCCACAGGATCTGTGTAGATAAACTAGATGATAGTTCAAAGGTTCAAAGAAGTGCAAAGTAGAAGTGGAGAGATGGGCACTAGCAACTGCCCTATTTACTCCTGATACATTAAAGGTAAAGGGACCCCTGACCATTAGGTCCAGTCGTGGCTAACTCTGGGGTTGCGGTGCTCATCTCGCTTTATTGGCTGAGGGAGCTGGCGTACAGCTTCCGGGTCATGTGGCCAGCATGACTAAGCCACTTCTGGTGAACCAGAGCAGTGCACAGAAACATCGTTTACCTTCCCGCCGGAGCAGTACCCATTTATCTACTTGCACTTTGATGTGCTTTCGAACTGCTAGGTTGGCAGGAACAGGGACTGAGCAACGGGAGCTCACCCCGTTGCCGGGATTCGAACCACCGACCTTCTGATCAGCAGGCCCTAGGCTCTGTGGTTTAACCCACAGCGCCACCCATGGCCCAATTCCTGATGCATTACATCAATCTAATTTACATCCCAGGAAGAATTGCCAGCAGGACCCAGAGCCAGAGAGGGCCCTGTCTCCATGAACATGGCAGGCTCTTGAGGTGTAGGGAGCTCCAGGAGGCTGAGGCATGCAAGGGCCCACAGCCCAGCTCCCAAGCTGGCCAGGTGGGGCTTGCTAGCTCTGGGAGGAGGGGTATGATTCCTCAGATGGATTAGGCTCAGGACAGGTGAGGGTCACATGTCTCGTCAAGCCCAGATGCTGCAATCAGCAGGCAAAGCACAAAGGGAAGCAGAACTGAGGTGCTGTGTCTGCTCTACTGCCCACGTTGATGGACCTTGGCTTGGAGGCTGGTGGACCTCCGTGGGACTGTGCTTCAGGTTTGACTCTGGACTTTATCCTGACTGCTGGACCTTGTAAGAAAAACACTGGGGCCTGATTTGGTCAGTGGAATGGTTGGTATCTGGTGGGAGGGGCTGTGTGTTATGCTCTGGAATTGGCTCCTCCTTTTAGGGTGTTCCATTAAGTTTCAGTTAAGAAACTTGTCTCTCGCCGCAGACTTTCCTCATATTGTTGTATTGAGTTTCTCTCATTACGCTATTTTTGTTACAGTTATCTTTATTATTAAAGATTACAGGGGTTGGCATTTGCATGAGCCACTCATTTTTCTCAAAGAAAAAGAAACTTTGCTGAGGAAAGGTGTGGAATACCCTAAACTGCACTAGTGAGGGGATATTCCCAATTTGCCAGGAGGATTGGTTTTGTTTTGCAGTTGGGATAATGTCATTGCATATTATTGTAGCCTCTTATTGTGACCTACCCTGGGCTATACTTCCCTTCCTGTAGGAAGGGTGGTTTAGAGCTATCTTGACTGAACTAATGTGGTTTCCCATTGGCATGGCATTTTGAGATTGTACAGTCCAGGGAGGACTGTATCACTTGCTGCTTGTGCAGATTTTGAATGGCCAGCCAGGTACTTTCTATGGAATCAACTCACAATGAGTGATAATCTAATGGGAGTCAAGTTAGACCCTTTGCAATCTATGGACTTTCAGTGGATTTACTCAGAGTATTACTAACCCTGGATACAGAATCCCACATCCTTCAAAGAGTGATGTACACTTCAGAAAATATATACGCTTCAATATCTCTATTGAATATATATATGTATATGGAAGTTTTTAATGTTTGTTGTTTTACTGTGGTTTTATAATTTGTTGGAAGCCGCCCAGACTAGCTGGGCCAACCGAGTCAGATGGGCAGCATATAAATAAGATGTTGTGGTTGAGTTTCTCATTGTTACTGTTTCTTACACTTTCTCTTGTGACTTTTGGAATAATTCATTATTCTTCCACAAACCAAGCTTAAAGTCCTCCTCCTAAATTGCTTTGACCACACTTAAATCTGTGGTTTCAAAGATCCTTCGAGTGCACATGTGCTTACAGTCTAAGAAGCAGCTTGAGTTGGATATCTGTTGTTGAAATCCCCTGGTTGAGTTGTCCCGTTGAGCTGCCAAAGAGATCTTAAAACATCTTTCCTTTTTGGTATCTGGAAGGCATCAATCAGGGCACTTCACTCAGGAAGAAGGCCCAGGGATTGCGGGAAGGGGTTTCTGTGTGTGTGTGTGCGCACAATGGGATGTTTTGTTCTATGTCTTTCTTTTTACAGTTAGCTTCAAATGACTAGGCAGCAAATGAATGGCTATTCTGTGTCGTAGGCGACTCTCTTTGCATTAAACCTCATCCCAGATGAGAACGAGTACTGTTTTTACTGAGTTAGTGCCTTGCCAGCAAGCACGTAATTCTGGTGAGCTCGACTTCCACGCAAGCCAAAGCAGGACGATAGGTGGCATCATTAGAAGTCGGGACGAACTAATTTGCCATCTCACTTTTGCCACTGCCAAGTCAGCAAGGCCACTTTTGCTCTCTCTTTTTGGAAGCGCATTCCCCATCTCTTATTGATGCAGATAGGAGTTTGCAGGCCGCAATTACATTTTCTTTATTGACCACCTCATAACAAATCAATTCAAAATTTGCCTGGGCTGTCAGTTCGGTGATCTGAAATGACAGAGGTGTGCGGCGATCATTGTGACTGAGAACTGAATACCTCGGGGTGTCCAATTATAACTGCGGATAGAGGAAATTCAGAAAAGTCATTTTCGCTTCCTTTATGTTGGCCCCCGAATGAGCAGCTACTCCGCTCCTTTCAGGTTTCACAGTGGAAAGAACATTAATGGCAACGCTGAGCAATTTTGGATTCTCATGTTCAGGAGGTCGAGAATCAATGCTTCTTTCCCCTCGCTTCGACTAAAACAAATTTACCATCCATGCTGTGCAGGCTGTTCCCATCTATACCTGCTCCGAAATGGCAAGAGACAAAACTGCAATAGTTTTATATATGAGTGTTTCTCTTCGTGCCCCCCCATAAAGTAGACTTTGTGGGTAATGCACAGTGGGAACAAAAGGGGGGGGGAAGCAGGGGGAAAACTCAAGCAGAAGCAGGCACCTACTTTAAAGAGGGCTTGACGTTTAGCAACAACATGGGGGTCTCAAATATAGAACTTC